CTGTAGAGGAACCCATAGCAGCCATTGAACAGGCCGTGCTTAATTCGCCCTTGGCATGGAAACGCTTTGTGGGCGAGCCGTCGATTCTGCACTTTTTAGCAGAGCGTGTCCAACAAGAACCTCTCTTCAAGCAGCAACTGCTCGCCACGATCGAATGCTCCAAAACCGACAAAGAGGCACGCAAGGCAGCAGCCAATGCGATCACGATATTGGTCAGAGCTGGGATCCTGTTTAACGGCGCAGATCTGAAAGGCATCCAGATTCCAGGAGCGGACCTGAGTGGAGGCCAATTCGATTCTGCTCAGCTGCAAGGGGCAGATTTGAGAAAAGTCAACCTTCGCAATATTTGGCTGCGTCAGGCCAATCTGAGTAATGCACAGATGGCGGGTGTGCAGTTTGGCGAATGGCCGTACCTCTTAGAAGAAAGCGGGGTGAGATCCTGCGCGTATTCTTCAGATGGAAAGTTCTGTGCGGTAGGTCTCGAGGACGGCACGATCAGCGTGTATGAGACTTCAACTTGGACAAAAGCCCACACCTTGCGCGGTCATACCGACTCAGTTACGAGCGTGGTGTATTCACCCAGCGGTCAGCAGATCGCCTCGGGCAGTTACGACGGGACGGTACGACTGTGGGATGCGCAAACCGGAGCACCTGGTCTCATCTTAAACGGCCATACCAACTATATTAGGAGCGTGGTGTATTCTTTCAGCGGCCAGCAGATTGCCTCGGGTAGTCAGGACAACACGGTGCGGCTGTGGGACGCGCAAACCGGTGCATCCGGCCCCATCTTAAGCGGTCATACCGACCGTGTTACGAGCGCGGTGTACTCGCCTAGCGGCCAGCAGATCGCCTCGAGCAGTCACGACAACACGGTGTGTCTGTGGGATACGCGGACCGGAGCACCTGGTCCCATCTTAAGCGGCCATACCCACTATGTCACGAGTGTGGTGTATTCACCCAGCGGCCAGCAGATTGCCTCGGGCAGTTACGACGAGACGGTGAGACTGTGGGATGCGCAAACCGGAGCACCTGGTCTCATCTTAAGCGGCCATACCTACGTTGTTACGAGCGTGGTGTATTCACCTAGCGGTCAGCAGATCGCCTCGGGGAGTTACGATGGGACGGTGCGACTGTGGGATGCGCAAACAGGCGCACCCGGTCTCATCTTAAGCGGCCATGCCTCCTATGTTAATAGCGTGGCGTATTCGCCCAGTGGCCAGCAGATCGCCTCGGGCAGTGACGACATGACGGTGCGACTGTGGGATGCGCAAACCGGTGCATCCGATCTCATCTTAAGCGGTCACACCAACTGGGTTACGAGCGTGGTGTGTTCGCCAAGCGGCCACCAGATCGCCTCGGGCAGCTACGACAACACGGTACGACTGTGGGATGCGCAAACTGGTGCACCCAGTTCCATCTTAAGCGGCCACATCCACTATGTTAAGAGCGTGGTGTATTCTCCCAGCGGCCAGCAGATTGCTTCGGGAAGTTGGGACTACACGGTGCGGCTGTGGGATGCGCAAACCGGTGCACCCGGACTCATCTTAAGCGGCCATACCTCCTATGTTATGAGCGTGGTGTATTCACCCAGCGGTCAGCAGATCGCTTCGGGCAGTTACGACAGGATGGTGCGACTGTGGGATGCGCAAACAGGTGCACCCGGTCTCATCTTAAGCGGCCATACCGACAATGTTACGTGCGTGGTGTATTCGCCCAGCGGCCACCAGATCGCCTCGGGCAGTTACGACGAGACGGTGCGGCTGTGGGACGCACAGACCAGTGCGCCCGGACGCATTTTAAGCGGCCATACCTCCTGCGTTACGAGCGTGGTGTACTCGCCAAGCGGCCAGCAGATCGCCTCGGGAAGTTGGGACAGCACGGTGCGACTGTGGGATGCGTATACCGGCGTACCCGGTCTCATCTTAAGCGGCCATACCGACAATGTTACGAGCGTGGTGTATTCGCCCAACGGCCAGCAGATCGCCTCGGGTAGTGACGACATGACGGTGCGGCTGTGGGATGTGAATTCGGGTCAATGTTTGGCAGTTGTTGAAGATTTCCATGGATCAATCACAAGTATCGCCTGGAGCGCTACTCCAAATGGCACCTATTTCGCAACCGGCTGTGACGATACGTCCGTTCGCATGTGGCGGGTCATAGAAGAGGAGGGTCGCTATCAGGTGTGCTTGCATTGGAGTTCGATGCAAGACAGACTTACCGTGTCAAATACCTCTATCCAAAACGTGCAAGGCTTAAACAGGATAAATATGCGGCTATTACAGCAACGCGGCGCTGTGGGCAAGCCGATTCCGCCTTTGGGCTTCCGCGAGGCAAGCAAAAAGCTCATTAGCATGGCGTCCGTGGCGCATAAACTCAAGGTGCCGTCAAACCACAGTGTGATCGATATCGTCGCCACGACCGATTCTCTCGCTGTACAGTCATCAAAGCCAGTCGACTCGGCGAACGTCTTTTCGCTTCCATGAAAGGTGAAGGTGATACAAACAGAAGATTAGCAACGGTGCTTTGGCTTTTACTCATTGCCAATCTTGTAGCGTAAGGATTGCGCTTTATGAACACAATATACAAAGCAATCTTTGTCAATGACAAGTTTACAAATTAAAAAGTGGTGGTCAAGAGCACAAACTAAAGCACTCAATGGATTAGAAAAACCAAAGAGCGGGAGAAAGCGATGAACAATGAAGAGATCAAACTAAGCTCATGGTGTATTGTGTGCCCGTAAACGTTGACCATGGCCATGGCAGCCTACTGTCTTAAGTAATATGCGCAAGAGAAACATAACTTTCTCGATTCTAAACAATCCTTTCGCGGAGAGTATCGTCCCAACTTCCTCACCGACCCTGGCCAATATCGCCAGCTCCGCCGATGCGACCAACACCAGATCTACAGCCAATAACGCACTCGCCATACTGAGTCAGAATTCAGCAAGCGTTGGGTTGTTCATCCATTAATAGGGAACGTGAGCTCGGTTTAGACCGTCGTGGGACAGGTTAGGTTTACCTTATTGATGAAGTGTTGTTGCAATAGTAATTGAACTTAGTACGAGAGGAACCGTTCATACAGATAATTGGTATTTGGGCCTGCCTGAGCAGGCAATGGCCCGAGGCTGCCATCCATTGAATTATGGCTGAGCGCCTCAAAGTCATATCCCACAAGAAGCGTTGTGTGCCACAATATAGTCCAGGACATGGAAGACGTTTGAAGATATGAAATGGCTCATATATATATTACTTCGTCTTTTGGACAAAGTGAGAAGAGGGGGTCGTTGGGCATCCTTCTTTGTAGTAACGGCAGGAAAACTTGGTGATACAATTTAGTTTTTCATTCATATATACGCTCAAGATCAACAGTAGGCATTACGCATCCTATATGTACGCAGCCTCCGCGCACAACATCGTCCCTGCTTCCTAGGCCTTCCTCGCCTTGATCTCCCGCCTCTTCTTCCGTCTCTCCACCACGACAGGTTGAGACACGGCTCCCAATGCTCGCACCAAATCCGATGTGTCGCATCATGTCCGCCCCCTTCGAGGTTCTGGATCAGGAACGGATTTCTCCTCACCACCGCGTTCTTTTTTCCTTGGCACCGATTCCGTGGGCTCTTTCGTATGGCGGTGGCGGTTCTGTAGGCGGAGATTTGTTGATGGTGATGTTGAGACAGGGGCAGAGGCGATGTCCTGTGGAGCGGTGCGCTTTCGGGTCGGGAGGGCGAGGAGGGCGAGGAGCAAGGAGTAGGGAGATGTACGGGATCGGAATGCCATTGTGTGCTGTGCTTGATATCTTTTGTGTCCTAGAGTTGATGGTGAAGTATAGAATGTAAAAAGGACGAGCTACGAGTGGGATGAAAAAATAAAGAACAAAAGAACAAAAGGAAAAGATGCAAGGCGAATGTCTGGAAGAAAAGAGAGTGGAGTAAAGCCAGGAGCGTGTTCCCACGATAGTCTTTTTTGATATTCTCTCTCCCTCCACTTTCTCTTCCCTCGTTGTCTCCCCCCTCCTAATCTCTCTCGCTTGTCCTCCTCTCTTTTTTTGTTTGTTTGTTTGTTTGTTTACACTACATGTCTAGTTCTAGCTCCCCGTTCCCTCATCTCATCTCATGCCTTCATTCCGCCTTCATCCCTGCCGAACATCATTACTCGCCATTCCATATCTTTTCATTCTCTCTCTACAGGACTCTAAAAGCTCGTTGCTCCAGGTTTGACCATTCACGTTCGGCTTCAAATACAAACCAGCGCCCTGAAGGATAACACGCCACAAATGAACAAGTAGCTTAGGGAACCCGATGCGGTCGACCAGCGCGCTATGGGCCAACTTGGTTGGCAGGCTCTTGTTTGAGATCGTTTGCTCGGCAGAACAAAATGGGTGTCGTTCTCTGTACTGACATCTGGGTCTGCTTCCAACATCTCCTTGTCGCACTCTTCGATCCAGGACGGCGTCTTCCACGATAGATCCTCGTCATTCACAGAGGTATCCTCGATCCATGGAAAGATAAGGCGCTGGAGCTGTTATGGCCGCGTCACCAGATCGCGCTCAATAAAGTCGGATTGTCTTTCCTGAAATGAGCCATGAAGAACGCTCCGATTGTAGGCAACTTGGGAGCATAATAAGACTCCATCTGGTCCATACTCTAGCAGCCGAGGTGACGGATGTGGTCAAGGTCCAAGCCGAGGTGGTATGCCTCTGACTCCCAGCATGACGTCCGGCATGGGTGACTTTGAGAGAGTACACTGGGCAGGCGTGCATGACCTGCACAGCGATATCGTTCTGGGCTTGGTTTATAATGGCCTTTGTTCGGCTATTGAGAATCTCCTGTAGAGTTCCGACCAACCTGAGGACTCGGATAGAATGCCAACCATTCGCACCAGAGAAGTTAGGAACGAGCTTGTTTTCTATCTGGGGAAATTTAATAACATGGAATGGTCAAAATGAATTAGCAACATGGCGCAAAGCTTGAAATAAAGCATGGCATCTACTGGACTGGTACAATCGGATGCTTACTTGAAAACGCTCAAGCATGTACTATCCAAATACGGCAACTGTACAGCGAACGAAGTTCCGATGGCGATATACTATTGTGTATATGTTGACGCCGCGTTGGTTGGTCTTTCCTCTTGGTAGAGAGAAGACAATCCCTAAAGCCAGGGCCGATCCAGGGACGTTATGTCGCGTTTGAACGCTAAAGACGTCGGACAGCATCAGGTTGCCCATATCCTCGTCACGCAACAGTATATGGTGCCGTGCCGGTATGTTCAAATGCTCACGAATGTGCGGGAACCGTGCTTGATCGTGTACGCGCTTGCCCACCCTCCCGGGTACCAGGAGTTTCCGCCATGTGAATGAAGCTATCTGGATAAGCTGCTTCGCCGTATGCGGGTTGCGTACGGAGCAGGTGCTTGTACGCGTCTCGCCCTTTGTTGTTTTCGTATAGACTAAGTTTTCACCATATTGCTTGATGGTGTTCCGCAATACAAGGTTCTTTCGAGGGCTGGGAACCAGGTTAAGATATGCCAGATAGTCTGCACTCTGGTATTTCCACAAGAAAATGTGAGCCTTCACGTAGTTCTCTGCTGTTGAAAGGCTAGGTGGGACGTAGATCGTATTGCGACTATTCTTGTCCAACTGTGCGTTCTGGATGACTATATGAAACACACAGAAGGGAGCAAGGATGAGCACTAGAGCGAACGAAAGAATAATAAACAAACATACAAACGGCAAACAGCAAACAGCAAACGATACGGATATAATACACAGAGGATTGATCTACCTTGTAATGCTCCTTCAACTCTGGAAATCCTGATGATGTGCCTTGAAGCGGCAATGGCAACGGCACCGGTTGTGGGTCCCGCAATATCGTTGTCATCGTCGCCGTCGTCAGTGCTATCATCGTTATCGCCATTATGATCATCGTTGCTGTTGATGTGGTCGTCGTCGTCGCTACCGTTATGCCTGACTGACGCTGGCGAGGTGGCTTCCAGGGCCTGTGCGATTGCCCACTCTGTCGCATTCACGTTCGACGGCGACGTAGACGGTTCCCAGGGCGAAGGTGATGTTCGCAACACGTTTGACGAATTCGGCGACAACACGCCAACTTGTGCAATGTAATCGACGTCCGCATTAACGTGCCTCGCCACCTCCTTTTGGAACACGTTTATCAAGAAGTCCATTATTCGTTCAGCATTCACAGCGTAGTCCACATTGCTCTTTCGTCGGTGCTGGCGCTGGCGCTGGTGCTAGCGGGGGCGCTGCTACTGATGGAGTCTTGTTTGACAGACAGCGCTGTCTCTTCGGGCGCCTCTGCTGAGAAGACGGCTGCATATCTGAAGGGAGCTGAACCTGAAAGACAATCTGCGATAGCTCCCTGTTGCTCTGGCTCCTGTGGTGCCGGTCTTTTGGTGATATTATGAGGCATGACTGGCGGGCGGGTGTGCCTGAAAACTGGTGCAGGGCTTTTGGCTTGTTGGATGGTTGGTTGACTATTGATCGGTTGGGGAGGAAAGGTATGTACAGAAGGCTGGGAGAGCTGCATTTTAGGTCCAGACAGGCCAATATGAATGTGCGGCCAAGTGGCGATGTCCGGGGTGTTCTCCCGCAGAAACACAATGCCTAAATGCAGAGTCGCGTACAAAATTCACTTATAGTTCGAGTCCAATTCCAGTTCATATTCTTGGAAGATCAGCGCAACGATTGAGTCAACAGAGGCAATGAGAGGGTCACAACGACTCGAACATCTTTGCAACTCTGCCCAACGGCGACGTTGGAGGGGCCCACCCTCACGCCGATGTGAGTTCAACCATCACATACAGTTGAGGTATGGATGCCCTGAAGTGACGCGGATCCCTCGCCAATGTTTGTTCAGTCTCTTGCACAAAGCTCTGTTGAAGAACCGGCTCGAGATAGTTATTGAACATCTTTGCGTAAGGTCAGCAGGGTTAGCAAGAGCAAAACCTGGTGGAGGTTCTGCTTCTGCTTCAGTAAGCGATTAACATGAGCAGAGGTAACTCGCGAAAAATCAAAGGGAGCTTAGACGTCCAACGCTACATCTGTAGAATCCATGCAAGAAGTGTTGACGACAGTAGCATATCCCTTACCAGCATCTAGCATCTCAGGATGGCTCGGAGGTGGCCATAGGGGCAAGAGCTCTGATGATACATACGAGCCAGAGGAAAGGTTGAGAAGCGAGGTGAGTAAAGAGGCTAAAGAGAGTGTGATGGGAAAAAAGAGAAAATGATGACGAGTTAGCAAGGGCGTTTGCTAATGTTCTGCGTACGACTGAAAAATGTTCGTGATGGTACTGAACCTCCACCGTTGCCGAAAATGAACAACAGCGATAACTTCGACACGAAGAATATTTCGTCTCAGACGACAACGACAATATCGATGATGAAATGGAGGATGAGCACAGTCTGAAGGTAATATCGGTGACGGTATAGACACAGATTCAGACGACGATACCGGCGATGATACAGACGAGGAAGAGAACGGCGTTCTAGATAATCAGAACAATAACAGCAACAGCAACAACAACAACCACATCAATCCCGAGGACGAGTTTATAGTCCTCTTCGGCGGCTGGAAATCACTTTATCAGGCTAGTTCTTGAGTATATAGTGTGGGACATCTAGTCGCGACTGTACTTAGAGGACGTTGAAGCTCAAAAACTTTTGAACTAGAGGTCATATTAGCAAACGACGAACAATAGTTTGTAGAGGGAAGGGTAATACGTACTTTAATGACCCAAACTTTCGGTTCAGCAGTTGTATTTGAAAATGAATAGACGTTTCTAGTCGAAAATCTCATGTCATGACTAAATGATCAGCACTGTATCAACAGCAGGCGCCTGAACACCCCCGATATTCCTAATGGTATGTTCGACCTCAACAGATACGACCCAGTTGCGATGTTCCGATTCAGGCTTTGTAGTCTTCAGATGACCCACCATGCTTGAATATCGCTTTATCCGCGAATGGCCCGTCTTCCAGTTGGTTAAGAAACCCATCCGCCATTGCAGCCGCATGTTCAAAGCCTTCCTTGGCAGCTTCGTAGCCATCACTGCGTGCCTTGGTCGTCGTAGTGAGTTCCACCAGGAAGAGTTTCTGTCAGACGCGTTTTATTTTGCCTGCTTCAGTCTCGACAGTGGCTCTGCCGTGGCTCGAATAACTCTGAGCACTTCTTCGGAATCTTTTATGCGCCTTGCGGAGTATGTGTGAATGATATCTGTGAAAAACGAGATGCCCTTTTAATAATGGGCAAGTCGTGCCTTATATACTAGGAAATATCTATAAATGCATCTAGTATAGGAGACTAGAGATATAGGAGGTAGCCTCAGAGGCACTATGCTCTTAAGAAAGAATCGGCACCAAGCGGTGGCAGATTCAGAGAAATGGGGTACATTCAATAAGCAGGACAATATGGTCAATACACCACACGCCTCGTGCTTGAGAGGAAGGATGAAGTGATGTTGCTTGTCTTTTGGCGGTGGTCGTTGTCGAAAGAATGGCGGCAGAATGATTTTAACGACCATTCGAAATATGGTACTTCAAAGAAGTGTTGGTCGACACCATCTGAGCCCTGCAAACCGAGAGTAGGTGGGTCGGCGCGCTTCCTCTTACTCTCTGTCGATGATCGCAGTGAGGGATCCATGATGGTCAAAAGCATCTGGTACTGATAGATCAAGGTTAAAACGCCGATAAAATCAAGCTTCAATTGGGTCCACTGGATCCATAATTTTATTTTATCCTGTACCAAACTCGGGCACACGCCAGATATGTCCACTCGACTCTGAATGGCTGTTTTAGACTATCCAGCACACCCAACAGCCACAGCAAGGACACAGATAGGGCTCTGGACTACATTAGTGGCATGTCTGGTCCATATGCTACAGCCGCAGCAGCAATATGGCATTCTTTTTACACAGTGATTGAATATTGAAAGTCAAGGTACGCCTTGGCATCTACGGATCCAGGAGAGATGAATCTCGCTAGTGCAGTAAATTGTATAAAATGCTTGCATTCGTTCCCTTCTTTCAGATCATAAACCCCGCCTTCTCTTGCTTCATGTAACCTCTATAGCCACGACCACTACTTCTGCGACCCTCCCGCTCCTTGTTAGTATGACTCTGCCTAAGCCTACTCTTGCTGTCCCCATTGGTCAGCCCCCTAGTTCTGCGGTTGGAGGACCCGCCGTGCCTACTCCTGCTCAAGCTGTTCCTCACCCAGACAAGCCGAACAGCACAGAAGGCTTCATAATCACTATGGCAAGCCTCTGCCGGCGCCCCATCCTGGCGAGCGTCACCCCAAGCCTGTCCACGCCAAGCCTGTTCAGCCCAAGTCGTTCCACCTCCCGGTTTACCTACCCTAAATGTAGTGCCGTAGATGACAGAGACAGAACATAGAGGCGGTGTTTCATCAGCATATAATACCCTGAACGTTGTCCGCTGAGCGTTACAGAACACAGTGTGCATCGCGTCAAAAAAAAAGAAGAAAAAAAAAAAGAGCAGCTGTGATGAACATGCACTATAGTAGGACACGCATTATGGGTCCGCCGCTTATTTCCATTTGCGCTTCGGGGTAACAACAGCGGGCGTATTGCTATGCAGGAGCCGATTGGGTGCTTGTCCCACCCACTTGCTCTCGCTTGCAGAGGAGACGATTGGCTCCACCACTGCTTTTTTCGCTCACACCACTCTTGTCACCATCCACTTGCGCTCCTTCCTCGTCCTGCACGAACGTCTCTGAGTTACTCATGGCACCTCCACACCTTGCTTTGCCAATGATCACTATCCACGAACAGCAGCAACAGATAGGAATAAATGGGGCTGTGAAATGGAAGAGGGTATGCATTCGTACATTACGACGAAGAAGTGTCTGGTTCTCTAAACTTCCCAGCATTGGGCCCATAACGTATGAGCGACGATATAAAGCAGTTGAGATGCCTAAACAGATCCATCTCTTTTGTGAGAATAGCCTAAACTCGTGGAGAAAAGCCGTTAGGGATGCATGTCTAGCACGAGACTGAGTCTAGGAGACGATTCCTGATGGATGCCTCCCGTGTATCGCGCGCTGTCGATTTACCGCCGGCTGCTCCATATTCTCTGTGTGCATGCACTCGTTAGCCGTCCATTGCGACCTGAAGATCCTTGGTGCCACACACATGCTCGTTTCTTTCGTTCCGTGATGCACAAGGCCAGGCCGAGAGAGGTTAACGTCTTCCGTGAGTCGGTGATGGAGTACGATCCAATAGCGTCTTACAGTTCACCCTGGTCTATCGCCTGAGTCTCTCTATCAATCTCGTAACAAGCCAACTCTGTCAAGGACTGTTGCAGCCTTTATTAAACCATCTCTGGGGGTTCGATGTGTTATGCTGACAACCATGAAGAAATGTGTTAAATATAGCGAAATGGACTGCTCCCAACTCTTGCCATCGGCGAGAGGTTCTGCCATATGCCATAGACGAGTGGTCCGCCTAGACATGAACGTAGACGGTACAGGACGGTGTACACCACATAGCTGTATAACTGGAACCTACAATGGAAAAACTGCCTAATAAATCAAAATAGGAAGGGAGCTCGGTTTACTCGCTGATGAGATGATGTATGTGGAACGGATAAATGTCCTGGCCGATGTAGGGCAGAGGTACGTGTAAAACCCTGTTCGATGCAGGGTGGAGGTACAGATTAAGACCCTGCTTTATTGTACAATAGGCAATCCCACTCCTGCTGGACCCGATCATCGGTCGAGACCCTGGCTTTGTCGCGCGTCTGGCTGAAGTATGATAGACCCTGTAAACAATCGTAGACAAGACAGTCCGTCCTGTTTTTCTTGTCCTGAAAAAAAAAAAAAAAAAAAAAAAACCCCCTGTTTTCTTTTTTAGCCGTACGGACGAAAGAGCGTGGCTCTGTCTGTGCACCCGGTGGTTGTACCTGAATCCCGATGGTGATGGTCTGATAAAATTCCGGGATAAACATGCATGTTGTGCATTGCCTGTACAAGGAATGCAATTTACCAAAGAAAAGCAGCAGGACTCTCAGGGTTCATCGGTTGCAGGAAGGCACTTTAGAAACGATCGCAGGAAAAAAAAAAAAAAGGGTCAAGGGTTCATTAGCATTGGTTTTAATGTTTTGTGGAACAGAGCCCTGTGCCTGACTCGGGCGGTGTCCACCAGACTCTGAAATGCCTGTTTTAGCCTAGTCCGCATTCAGTAGGCCACCGCGATTAGAAAGGTCATACAGAAAAGGGTTCTGGACCACAAAGGGGGCCATGTCCGGCCACATGCCATACCAGTAGCTTCACTATGGCATCTTCCTATTCTGCAATTGAGTACCGAGAGACAGGATGCGCCTTGGGATCCATGCATCCATGAGAGGAGAAAGCAGCCGCACCATCGCAACACTTTGTATAAAACGCGTTGCATTCGCTTTCTTCCCTTTTCATTCTTCACTATCTCCTCACTTGATCTACTCACCCAGCCCCATTCCTCCATACAGCGTCTACAACATCCATTTTTACCACCATCACCACCACTACAACCATGAAGTTCATCTCCTCTTCCATGATCTTTTCGCTCCTGGTGAGCATGACCCTGCTCCAGTCGACTCTTGCCGCCCCCACGGTTCAGGTTACTGCTTCCGCATTTGAGAAACGCGCTGTTCCTGCTCCCGCCCATCCCATTCCTGGAAATCACATCTACCCTCAACTTGGCAAGCCTGGATACCCTGGAAAGCCCGCTCATGGCAAGCCCGTCCTTGTCAAACCCGCCCGTGGCAAGCCCGCTCATCCCAAGCCTGCTCATCCCGAGCCTGCTCACCCCGAGCCTGCTTATCCCAAGCCTGCTCATCCCAAGCTTGCTCATCCCGAGCCTACTCATGGCAAGCTTGCTCACCCCAAGCCTGCTCATCCCAAGCCTGCTCATCCCGAGCCTGTTCACCCCTAGATGCAATACCATACATAACGGGGACAGGACATAGAGGTAGTGGTTGGTTAACATACAGTAGATGAAGAATAAACAAAATGATAGCCTGAGCATTGTCTGCTGTGCGCTACAGGGCACAATATGTATTGCGTCAAAAGAATAACAAAAAAATAAGAGCAGCCACGTGGAACATGCACGATGTATGGACTATGGTATATAGGATGCGCGCTATGGGCTTAGGAGGACGGCCGCTTGTCTCCATCTGTGCTTCGGGCTAATCACAATGAGTGCACCACCGCAAAGGAACCAATTGGGGTGCACGTTCTACTTGTATCACCCTCGTTTGCAGAGAAGATGATCGGCTTGTCGTCGCTTTCCTCTGCTCCCATTAGTCTTACCCCCATCCCTAGCACTCTCGCTTGCATTCCTCCCTCGTTCTGCACCATTCATTCGGATAGTTGGTATTTGGGCCTGCCTGAACAGCCAATGGCCCGAAGCTATCGTCCGTTGGATTATGGACGAACGCCTCAAAGTCAGAATGATGCTGAAGCGGCGGGAAAGGATGAGCATGGAACATCGTGGTGGCTAATTGCACACTTCCCAGTGTTCTCTCCTTTGCATCCGAGAGCCCACTTACTCGTTACACGAGGGCGAGGGAGTAATCTGACTACAAGCATGGTTCCGTTTGGCGGATGCTGCAACGATGGTTTTGTGTCTTTGCACTCTTTTCCCCTCTTTCCTACTTTCCCACTTTCCTTTCTTCCCAGATTCTCCCTCCCTCAATCCATCAGGAACCGCCTCTTATCTTTTTCATCTTTTCTCACTCTTCTGTCTGTCCCTCGCACGTCTCTGCTTTCCCGCTCTTCTGTCTGTCTCTCATACGTCTCTGTTCAATCTCAATAAGCACAGCCCAGCGTCGACTCATTGGTATCAAAGACACAGTTTATCTGCCAAAGCCCCATCCCAGAATGCACCTGAACAACCACAGTCGAGTCAAGAGTGTTAGTGCTAGATGTGCAATGGATAGTAATCTTTTCTTTCATGATCATAGGAATCTCTGCTAGAAGTGACGAGGGAAGCGAATATCACTCCACTCGGCCGCCTTGTTCGTGTGCAGACCGTCTTAAACAAAGAGTTGGAGTAGAAAACATTGCACAGGGACGGACCATCTCCTCGGCTGGTTAAAGATCTCGAGAAACAAATTCCTGTTGAGGTGAGGCACTGTTTCTTGTCAGTCGATAGTGGCTTATAAGCATGTTATAAGGTTATTAACCCTGCATGCTTCACGATGGGCAGTTAGTATCGCTGTTAGGAGGCACGAAGAGGACAAATCTTCAGGGCTACCTCTGCATCCAATCAAAGGAAACAGGAGTCGAATACACACTTCCGAGGTGGGACCCCATCACATGGCCGAGCAACCACATATGATATAGTTCATGGATATTAATGTTTTGATTTACGATAGCTCATTCTGCTGTCTCTACATCTGTAGTATACCAGCCCACGGCGCCTTATTGGTCCCCATTGTGTTATTGAGGTGTCTGTTAGGCATAAGTATGTATACTGGTTATTCGCACAGGCATATCAATCGACCCACAGGGTCACTAATATCGCCGCCATCTGCTCTATCATAACAGGAGAAATCCCCTCAGAGAAGCAACATGTTTGCCAGAAATTTTTCGTCACTGCGAAAGGCTCTCTCACCACAAAAGGAACTGGAACTCACCAACATCTACGTGGAGAATGCACGCAAAACCAAGGATCGGGAAATCGCTTTAGTGTTGTGCGACGATGCGGAGGCTGCGTTATCCCGGATGAAAAGAGCAGCGAGAAAGACTTTTACAACTCCCCTGTCAGTCGAGGATCAAGCCCTGCGCGATGGATTCGCCGGCGTCTGCTTCAAGCATGCCGACCTATTGGAGAGCTTAGGATATAGCGAAATGGCACAGGTCAGCTATAGGAGGGCAGAAAAGTGGGGGTAAGTGACAGGTACCTGCTCTCTATCTGTTCGTATTAGCCGACTATATCGTACGTCGCACCTAATGTATCTCTCACTTTGTTGGCTGTCCTCTGACTTCATCAGCCATGTGCATCCTACAAAAGATCCAGGTCCTGTAAGTTCCTCTGCCACCGACAGTGCCTGCCGCGACATGGCACGGGTCTCTGAGGATATCTTTCCTGATGACATGCGTCAGCCCACCGTCAAGATCGCGCTGCCAGAGGCAGATGAGCGACTCAGCGATACATCCCAGCTCGCCTACTGCCTTGGCCTTCTGCAAGTGACGCCGTCACCTGAAGAGGTCTTTGAACCAGCCGCAGGAAATTGGGTGAAATCCACAGAGCGGAATGCAGAGGAGAAGGAGAGACTCAGGACGCTGGCGACAGATGTGATCCGAGCATTCACTCGCGATGAGCTCAAGGATGCCAAGGCCGTCACAGAAGTCGTATGCCTGGGCCCAGTTCTCGAGAAGGATGATTTTCAACATTTGCTCATGCTCTTTGTCAATGGCATCGAACAGTCCAGCTTGCTGGATGTCCATTCTCTCAAGGGACTGGTGCAACTGATCCAAGACGCCTCCCCGGGTTACCTCGACGCTGATGACCTAGTTGCGATCTTACGTATCCTCAACACCCGCCTACAAGACACTCACAATCAGTCTCCGGCTCATATCTACCAGCTGACACTCGTGGTGTCCAATGTCCTGGATGCCATGGCTGATACCAAGGTCTCAGGCTTAAAGCGTGTAGAGCTGCATGAGCCACTCTCTGCCTATTTGAGTGGACTTCAAGGCAGCAGCGATCCTTACCTGGTGTATCAGGCCGCCTATGCCTTCCAAGCGCTGCAGTGTGTCCCAGACAACGAATCACCTTGGCAAGCAACGATGCGGCGCACAGGAATCGTTTTGAAGGGCGTCTCGGGGCTAGTTAGCGCCGTAAAAGGTCTGGACGTCGACGGCTTCATCGCAGGACTGAGGCATCTTCAGGAGGGACTGGGAGAGGTGATCCAGGTGGCGAAAATCGGTTATGAAGGTGTGAGCGCACTGGCCGAGAGTGGACAAGGACTGTTGGAATCTCTCAAAGCTGGCCTCAGTTTCAACAAGAAACGTGCCTGGTATACAGCACTGCGCGGGACAGATACGCTGCTTCGGGATGGTCAACTCGCCAAGTTCAAGACCCTGGTCTGTGAAGCGCCTTGCCGGCGTGATCTAGCCTTTCAACTAGGAGTATGCCAGCGCTGGGGGATCTTGCCGCCAATCCACTGTGGGACATCGAGTCTCGCCAAGGCGCTGTTGCGTTCCTGGGGAGATGTACCGAAACGATGCGGGTGGGGCCAGCAAGCCTCGTCAAGCAATGGATCCTCCACATCCTTATGCAGTTGGCTTCACATTTGGCTCGATATGCCAGGTATGTATGATGAACGGATATGTGAGAGGCTGTGGCTTATATGAAGTATGGAGTTCACGACCTAGCAGTACTAATAGCTGTACTATATTCTATTGTGGTCTATGCGATACATGGTGTAGGTGTCGAATCTTGTTGCAAGAGCTGGAATCGAATGGCGATGAGACGAAAAGGATTCTTTATCAGGATTGCCGAAAGGAAATCGAAGCTTACATCCGCTGCAGGTCGCCTTACCACCGTCGCGTCTCATCATTGCTTGATCTTGTCCAGAACAAGCCTGATGTTGAAGCCGACCTGAGACGACTGAGAAAGCAACGATTGAAGGAACGAGGCGAAGCCGTGTACATCCCCCTCAAGCCAAGGCTAACCTGCAAGCGTCCGATGACAACCTGTTCGACTTGACAAAAGAAGTTGAAGGCTTCCTGAGCAGTGACCATAAGGTGATGCTCCTGCTAGGCGATTCGGGTGGAGGCAAGTCGACCTTTAACCGGCATCTCGAGTGCGACTTGTGGGATGCCTATAAGAAAAAGGAGGCAGGATTCCGCTCTTTATCAGCTTGCCTGCAATCGACAAGCCAGACAGGATCTGATCGCCAAACATCTACGGAAGGCAGAGTTTACCGACCCCAGATCCGAGAGCTGAAAGACCACCGCAAATTCATCTTGATTTGTGATGGGTATGATGAGAGCCAGCAGACCACAACCTGTACACGAGCAACGGACTGAATCAGGTGGGAGGATGGAGCGCTCAGATGATCATTAGCTGCCGCAGCGAGTATCTTGGGCTCGATTATCGGGATCGGTTCCAGCCAGCAGATCGCAATCACCAAGCAGAACCAGCATTTCAAGAGGCAGTCATTGCCCATTCTCTATGGATCAAATCCAAGAATACATAAGGAAATATGTGTCCACGGCGAGACCGGTCTGGCAGGTAGCGGACTACTTGAAGACCCTTAATCTGATTCCCAGCCTGCAAGACCTGGTCAAGAATCCTTTTATGCTGACGCTGTCCTTGGAGGTACTGCCGCGTATGGTGGATCCAGGACAAGACCTCTCAGCCGTCCGGGTGACGAGAGTCGCATTGTATGACCAGTTCATGGAACAATGGTTGGAGCGAGGCAAGAAACGTCTTGTTGAGAAGAAGGACTTGAGCTATCAAGAAAAAAGGTGTTCGAAAGCTTGTCTGACGATGGTTTTGCACAGAATGGAGTTGCCTTTTTGAAAGCGCTAGCGGTAGCGATGTATAAAGAGCAAGCAGGCAATCCGGTGGTCGAGTACTCGCCCTTTCGTGATCAAAGGACATGGAAAGAGGATTTCTTTAGCCGGGAGGACGAAAAGCAGCAACTCTTGCGTGAGGCATGTCCTCTGACGCGCAGTGGTAATCAGTACCGGTTTATCCATAAGTCGCTACTGGAATACTGTTTGGCCCGAGCGGTGTTTGAGCCGCGAGACGGGGAGAGCGCGAGTCGTGCGGCCTTACCTCAAGTTCTGCCGCGTCGAGGGAGCGTCCATTCCGTCATGAGCTATGAAAGCCAGGGTGCTGTAGAGGAACCCATAGCAGCCATTGAACAGGCCGTGCTTAATTCGCCCTTGGCATGGAAACGCTTTGTGGGCGAGCCGTCGATTCTGCACTTTTTAGCAGAGCGTGTCCAACAAGAACCTCTCTTCAAGCAGCAACTGCTCGCCACGATCGAATGCTCCAAAACCGACAAAGAGGCACGCAAGGCAGCAGCCAATGCGATCACGATATTGGTCAGAGCTAGGATCCTGTTTAACGGCGCAGATCTGAAAGGCATCCAGATTCCAGGAGCGGACCTGAGTGGAGGCCAATTCGATTCTGCTCAGCTGCAAGGGGCAGATTTGAGAAAAGTCAACCTTCGCAATATTTGGCTGCGTCAGGCCAATCTGAGTAATGCACAGATGGCGGGTGCGCAGTTTGGCGAATGGCCGTACCTCTTAGAAGATAGCATGGCGATTTCCTGCGCGTATTCTCCAGATGGGAAGTTCTGTGCAGTAGGTCTCAACGATGGCACGATCAGCGTGTATGACATTTCGATTTGGGCAAAAGCCCACACCTTGCGCGGCCATACCGAGTCAGTTGCGAGCGTGGTGTATTCACCCAGCGGCCAGCAGATCGCCTCGGGAAGTGATGACAAGACGGTACGACTGTGGGACGCGCAAACCAGTGCACCTGGTCCCATCTTATGTGGCCATACCTCCTTTGTTACGAGCGTGGTGTATTCTCCCAGTGGTCAGCAGATTGCCTCGGGCAGTCACGACAACATGGTGCGGCTGTGGGACGCACAAACCGGTGCACCTGGTCTCATCTTAAGCGGCCATATCAACTCTATTACGAGCGTGGCGTATTCGCCCAGCGGTCAGCAGATTGCCTCGGGCAGTTACGACAGGACGGTGCGACTGTGGGATGCGCAAACTGGTGCATCCGGACTCATCTTAAGCGGTCATACTTTCGATGTTACGAGTGTGGTGTATTCGCCCAGCGGCCAGCAGATTGCCTCGGGCAGTAACGACGAGACGGTGAGACTGTGGGATGCGCAAACCGGTGCACCCGGTCTCATCTTAAGCGGTCATACTAAGTCAGTTACGAGCGTGGCGTATTCTCCCAACGGCCACCAGATCGCCTCGGGAAGTGACGACAAGACGGTGCGACTGTGGGATGTGCAGACCGGTGCGCCTGGTCTCATCTTAAGCGGCCATACCTCCATGCTTATGAGCGTGGTGTATTCGCCCAGTGGCCAGCAACTCGCATCAGGAAGTTGGGACAAGACGGTGCGACAGTGGGATGCGCAAACCGGTGCAACCGGTCCCATCTTAAGCGGCCATATCCGCGATGTTACGAGCGTGGTGTGTTCGCCCAGCGGCCAGCAGATTGCCTCGGGCAGTTACGACAGGACAGTACAACTGTGGGATGCGCAAACTGGTGCACCCGGTCCCATCTTAAGTGGCCATACCTCCGATGTTACGAGTGTGATGTATTCACTCAGCGGCCACCAGATCGCCTCGGGCAGTAACGACAACACGGTGCGGCTGTGGAACGCGCAAACCGGTGCACCCGGTCCCATCTTAAGCGGCCATACCAACTATGTTACGAGCGTGGTGTATTCGCCCAGTGGCCAGCACATCGCCTCGGGAAGCTGGGACAACACGGTGCGACTGTGGGATGCGCAAACCGGTGCACCCGGTCTCATCTTAAGCGGCCATACCAGCTGGGTTATGAGCGTGGTGTATTCGCCCAGTGGCCAGCAGATCGCCTCGGGCAGTAGCGACTGGACGGTGCGGCTGTGGGACGCACAAACCGGTGCACCCGGTTCTACCTTAAGCGGCCATACCCGCGATGTTACGAGCGTAGTGTATTCGCCCAGCGGCCAGCAGATCGCCTCGGGAAGTTGGGACAACATGGTGCGACTGTGGGATACGCAAACCGGTGCACCCGGCCTTATCTTAAGTGGCCATACCGACCATGTTACGAGCGTGGTGTATTCGCCTAGCGGCCAGCAGATCGCATCGGCCAGTAAGGACAAGACGGTGCGGCTGTGGGATGTGAATTCGGGTCAATGTTTGGCAGTTGTTGAAGATTTTCATGGATCAGTCACAAGCATCGCCTGGAGCGCTACTCCAAACGGCACCTATTTCGTAACCGGCTGTCGCGATAAGTCCGTTCGCATGTGGCGGGTCATAGAAGAGGAGGATCGCTATCAGGTGCGCCTGCATTGGACTTCGATGCATGACAGACTTACAGTGTCAAATACCTCTATCCAGAACGTGCAAGGCTTAAGCAGGATAAATGCGCGTTTATTAGAGCAACGCGGCGCTGTGGGCAAGCCGATTCCGCCTTTGGGCTTCCGCGAGGCAAGCAAAAAGCTCATTAGCATGGCGTCCGTGGCGCATAAACTCAAGGTGCCGTCAAACCACAGTGTGATCGATATCGTCGCCACGACCAATTCTCTCGCTGTACAGTCAGCAAAGCCAGTCGACTGGGCGGATGTCTTTTTGCCTGCTGGAAACGTGAAGATGGAGCAAAAAAAAGATTAGCAACGGTGCCTTGACTTTTATTTATTGCTAATCTTTTAGCGCAGGGATTGCGCTTTCTTAACACAATATACAGAGCAGTCTTTGTCCATGACAAGTTCATAAATTAAAAGTGATGGCCAAGAGCACAGACTAAAGCACTCAATGGGTTCGAAAAGCCAAAAGAGCGGGAGCGAAAGTGATGAACAATGAAGAGATCGGACTAGGGTCACGGAGTCTTGTGGGTCCATAAATGTTGACCATGGCAGCCTGCTGTCTTAAGTAATACGCGCAAGAGAAACATAACTCTCCCGATCCTAATCGATCCCCTCACAGAGAGTATCGTCCCAACTTCCTTCACCGACCCTAGCCAATGTCACCAGTACCGCCGCTACGGTCAGCACCAGGTCTACAGCCAACAATGCACTCGCCATACTGAATCAGAATTCAGTAAGCGTTAGATTGTTTACCCACTAATAGAGAACTTGAGCTGGGTTTAGACCGTCGTGAGATAGTGTTGCTCGAGGAGATAGTTCTTTTACAGCTGTAAGGAGTAAGAAGCACAACGGTCTTCTTGTTCAACTGGAACAAGGAACAAAAGACCGTGCTGGCTTCGACCCTCCTTTTATTCAGGCACAACCTCAAAACCTTACATCGAATCCTGCGTACTGGCTGTGGCTGCTGGCAACAACAGGTTAGGCTTACCCTACTGATGAAATGCTGTTGCAATGGTAACTGAACTTAGTACGAGAGGAATGAACGCCCCTGAGCTGCTCGTGCCATCTCCGCACCTTGCTTCGCCAACAATCACTGTCCGCAACGGTCAGCAGCAACAGACGAGAATGAGAGAGATCGGGAAGTGGAAGAGGGTTTGCATGCACGTTATGAGAAAATGTGTCTGGTTCTCTAAATCTACTGGAATTTTCGACTATAACATATGGGCGACAAAGTAAAGCTCCTTAGATACGTGAGCGAACGCACCGTTGTCGTACATGTGCCTGGGGATAGACTAAACTCGTGGAGAAAAGACGCCAGTGATGCACAGCACGGGAAGTGATGATCCGATTTACCCGACCAAGCCTTGGACTCGACAAAGTCTTGCATCTGATTCCTGAAGGTCCTTGGTGCCACACACACACATTTCCGTTGTTCTCTGACGCACAAGACCTGGTCGAGAGGGATCAACGTTTTCCGCGAGTCTGCGGTGGTGTACCATCTAATAGCGTCTTACAGTCCACCTTGGTCCGTCCCCTGAGTCTGTCCATCAATTTGTAACAGCCCTTGACAGAATTGTCTTGTTACGGGCCCTTATTGAGCCATATCTGGGGGTTTGATATGTTATGCTGACAACCATGAAGGAATGTGTTAAATATAGCGAAATGGACTGGTTCCAACTCTTGCTATCGACGAGCGGTTCTGCCATAGACGAGTGGTTCGCCTGGGCATGGATGTAGACGGTACAGGGCAGTGTACACCACATACCTGTATAACTGGAACCTGCAATGGAAAAACTACCTAATAAATCAAAATAGGGGGAGAGCGCGGTTTGCTCACTGATGAGTACCTGGGTGCACGGCCACAGTCCTCGGAGATGGTGTATGTGGAATGGGTAAATATCCTGGTTGATGCAGGGTAGAGGTACGTGTAAAACCCTGTTCTATGCAAGAAAGAGATACGTGTAAAATCGTGTTCGATGCAGGGTAGGTGTACAGTTTAAGACCCTGTTTTATTGCACAATAGGCAATTTCACTCCTGCTGGACTCGATCTTTAGCCGAGACCCTGTCTTTGTCGCGTCTGGCTGAAGTACGTTGTAATTTCCGATAGGCCCTGCCAAACAGCCGTGGCCAAGGTGGTCCGTCCCATTATTTTTACTATCATGTAAAAGCCTGTTCTCTTCGTTTATCCATGTAAATGAAACGCTGTGGGTCGTGTCTGTTGAATCTATGATTGTTCCTGAAAGGAGGGAAGGTCTGTTTATAGGATTCCCAGTGGAATGTACTAATTTACCCCGCACATGGATATCTCCTCTAAAGCCGAGCTAATGGCGCATATCGCACATCACCTATGACACGACACACCCATTCCAATACGTTATACTGCGAGTGCAGCAACGGCGCCAGCAACAGCAACAGCAACAGCAAGAGCAAGAGCAATAGTAACAGCAATAGCAGCCACAGCAGCAGCAGGGCCTGACCGCAAGGAGGAGTCTTCAAGGTCCTCGACCCACTGATTGTTAGCTTTTTAATTTAGTGAAGCAGAGCCCTGTGTCTGACTCAGGCGCATGCGAGGTGTGTCCATTCGACTCTGAATGACTGTCTTTAGTCTAGTCGCCACTCGACAGCTACACCAACGACACAGACAGGGTTCTGGACTACCTCGGGTCTGTGTCTGGCCCACATACTATACCAACAACTGCAAGGTATCTCCTTATCCAGCAGTTTAGTTCCAAAGGCCAGGATACGTCTTGGCATCCATGGATCCATGAAGGAAGGAAGCGATCTCGCTAGTGCAGCACTTTGTATAAAAAGCATGCAATCACCCTCTTCTTACTGATCATCAACCTCATCTTCTCTTGCTTCACACAACCTCTACAGCTACCACCACCACCACCACCACCACTTCTACGACCATGAAGATCATCTCCTCTTCCGTGATTCTTTCGCTCCTGGTGAGCATGACCTTACTCCAGTCGACTCTTGCGGCCCCCATTGATCATCCTCCTGCTCCCGCAGTTGGAGGACGGGTTGTGCCTACTCCTGTTCATGCTGTTCCTCACCCAGACAAACCCAAACAGCATGGAAACCCCCATGGTCACCACGGCAAGGCTCAGCCGAGGCCCCATCTTGTCGAGCCTAAGCCTATCAAGCCTTCCAAGGCGGCCCATGGCAAGCCCCACCACGGCAAGCCTCGGCAGGAGCCTCACATCAAGCGCGATTTGGAGGAGCGTGCTGAACCTGTCGAGCCCAAGCATATTCGGCCTTTCAAGCCCAGCCACGGCAAGCATAAGCCAAGACATCATGTCAAGCCAGCCCATGACAAGCCCAAGTCTATCAAGCCTTTCAAGCCGGCCCATGGCAAGCTCCACCACGGCAAGCCTTGGCAGGAGCCTAACATCAAGCGCGATTTGGAGGAGCGTGCTGATCCTGCCTATGGCAAGCGCGAGCCTGTTGTGCCTGTCGAATCCAAGCATGTTCGGCCTTTCAAGCCCAGCCACGGCAAGCATAAGCCAAGACATCATGTCAAGCCAGCCCATGACAAGCCCAAGTCTATCAAGCCTTTCAAGCCGGCCCATGGCAAGCTCCACCACGGCAAGCCTTGGCAGGAGCCTAACATCAAGCGCGATTTGGAGGAGCGTGCTGATCCTGCCTATGGCAAGCGCGAGCCTGTTGTGCCTGTCGAATCCAAGCATGTTCGACCTTTCAAGCCCAGCCACGGCAAGCATAAGCCAAGACATCATGTCAAGGCGACCCATGGCAAGCCTCGCCCGAAGCTCCACCCCAAGTATGTTCACCCCAAGTCTACCCACGCCGAGCCTGTCCACTCTCAGCCTACTCGATTCTGAATACAATGCCCTAGCTGAAAGAGAAAGAACATAGAGATGGTCTTTGATCAATATGCACTCGATGAGGAATAAAAAGTGATACCATACACAACATTGTTGTGCGCTAGAAAAGGATAGTCGTCGCGTGAAAAAAAAAAAAAACTTCAAACAAATAAAGAGCAAACGCGTTTTGAATGGTACCCTAGGATGAGTGCTAGACTATGGCAAAATACGACGAAGACGCTTAACTTTTTCGTTTGTGCCACGACGGGTGCGTCACCACGCAGGAGTCGATTGGGGGAGTGGGGAGGCGCTTGTTCTACTCATACTCGCGAGGGAGACGATCTAGTCATCACTTTCCTCACTCCCACCATCCCCATCTTCATCTTCATCCTTATCCTCATCTTCATCCTCATTCTTATCCTCATCCTCAACACGCTCACTTGCAATTCTGACCTGGCCCTGCACTGGCACCCCCGACTCCGCTCATCACACCCCACGCTTTTGCTTCGCCAAACGAGCACTTTCCACAACGAGCACTGGCAACAGACAAAAGAATAAGGGGAAGGGGGATCTGGAAGTTGAAGAGAGTTTGCATATGCGCATAACGACGACAGCAGCAAACAACATTGGGGCACGAGCAGCAAAAACAGTATGGCCCGCAGGAGTGGTTTCCAAGTCTTGTTCTGGCTGGCAGCCATGGTGGTGCTGTCGGCTGTGACCGTGGGCGGGGCCGATGGTTCGCGTGAGAACATTGCCGGCTCACGTCAGAGCGGAAACATTGCCCCATCTCCCCCGCCGTCTTGTCACACTCCATCTTCTTCTCGTTCTCGCTCTTGTTCTCGTTCTTCTCTTTATCGTTCTTCTTTGACTTTATCCTCATATTCTCCACCACCACTACTACCACCACCATCATTATCATCATCGTTTAGTCGTCCATCGATCTCTTCCGAACGACGACCAAGCACCCTTCTTTCTTCTACACCTCCCACGCCAGGAGAAGTCCTTTCCTTCCAAAAGTGCAGCCCCGACAAAGACAAAGACCTCGGTAGACAACACCACCGCGTCCGTCGTGTACAGAAGAGTCATCCTTCAACAGGACCTCTTCTTCTTCTTCGGAAGCGATTGCCCATCAGACGATTCTCAACCAATCGTCCGCCCCTCGACTCATTCACTCGACCTGTCGCCCGATCAGACCAGTGCGTCCGCCTCCGCAACCACCGCTACGACATCCATCAAGGCAACCAAGACAACCACGATAGCCAAGACTGCAACGGTTTCGATTCGACTGTCGAGAACACAAAGGGTTTCTCGCCCCTTCCTCGCGACCATAGGAACCTATACAACATGCAGCCTCACCAACCACACGCACACACACACCACCAGCACCAGTACCAGCATCGACCTGATGGAGGTGCTACCAAACCCTCTTCTTCGTCTTCCACTTTCTCCGATGCAAAGACATCAGTCCCGCCAATGCACCCTCGGTTGTTCCCAGAACCGATTGTCTACCAATACACCCTGTACTACCCCGGTAATATCCCCCTGGTGATCACGGCCGGACACGGCGGATCTGCTACACCCGGGAAACCCGTCAGCCGCAAAGTGACCCATGTCTTCAAGCGGATCCCGGATCTCGAGACCACGAAGGAGCCCATTGATGTGCTGTCGTTTTCAAAGCCCGTTGTTAGGGGGAGGAAGAAGAAGGCAAAGGTGGTGGGCACACAGCGAGAGGGGGGAGAGAACGGGAAGACGCAGGAAGAAGAAAAAGACGAAGAAGAATTAGGAGAAGAAGAAGAAGAGGAGGAGGAGATGATGCCATGGATGCCTCCGAGGGATCAGTCAAAGGGTGGGAACTTTAAGAAGGATATGAACACACATTCGATGGCGTTGAACCTTGCGAATGCGGTGTCGTGTTTGACCAGCGGACCTGTTCCTGTTGCGGTTGGCAAGCGACAGGGACAGGGACAGGGACAGGAGCAAGAAGGAGGAAGGTTACCGAGTAAAGGCAACGAGAGCTCTGAGCAGCATGATAGTGTGAACAATGATGCACAAATGACCAGGATTCTAGCAAAGTCAAGGACGAAGGTGGAATCTGAACCCGCGACGACGCGGGGAAATATCCCGGCCAGATGTGAGGCACAAGGTCCGTGGGGTGACGATGATTCCGACTACCCGTTCCCGTCCTTACCATCTCCATCCCCTTCCCCCTCCCCCTCCCCCTCCCCCTCCCCCTCCCCTCTCCCCCTTTCTTCAACTCCAAAGGAATGGTCAGGACCGGTGGCGGTAACTCCATCGCCTGTACGTCCGTTTGCGCTGGGGAGATCGGTCTCGACGCCACCACAGCAGCTTTGGACGACGAGAGCGACAACAGCAACAACAACGATGATGACGGAGGACGGGCATGGGTCCTTGATGCGGTACATGCCGAACCCCGGCCAGAACTATCCACATGTGGTTGTCTTTCGGGTGCCGCGGCTGTATGTGGACGTGAACAGGTATCTGGAGGGGGAGAATGCGATTGCGGAGGAGAGCGCGACGGCGGAGGCAGCATGGAAAGAGTATCATGATGTGATTGATCATGTTCAAAAGATGGTGCTGCAGCAACGGCAACGGCAGCAAAAGAAGGAGAGACAGTGGGAGCCGGTTTCGAAGCAGCAGCGGATGGAGGGCTCGTGGGCGGTTCCGGTAGAGACAGAGGCGGCATCGTCAACAGGGTTGTTGCTTGATATCCATGGTAAGGAACAAAGGAACATTGCATTACAGGCTAGGAGGGTATTCTGCGAGGTTAAAAAAAAAAAAGAAAAGAAAAAAGGTATACTAATGGCGCTGTTGGATTTGAATGATCACTTGTCCATGGTAGGACATGTGCATGCGACGAATCTGATAGAGATAGGATACCTGCTGAGCGGGTCTGTTCTCGCAATGGACGACAGACAACTGAATGCGCATGCTTCTTCACTGGCGAAGGAATCCAGTGTCCGGTCTCTGATCTCCCGAACCGTCCAGGGTTCCTCAATGGATCCCTCAAAGCGCGGGGAGGAGGAGGACATGAACAAGAGGATCCAGTTGTCGACGTTCCTGCGCGGATGGAACGAGTCTCTAGGCGGGATGTTTCAGACGCAGGGATTGAACGCGGTCCCGAGCCCCGAGTTCGAGGCACCCTGTCACGAGTGCATCTTCTTTTTCGGAGGGTACACGATCCAGAGGCATGGGAGTCGTGATCGTGAGGGCTGGATGGATGCGATCCAGCTGGAGTTGCCGAGGATCCTGAGGATTGTGAATAAGGAGGAGGGACGGGAGATTGGGATGAGGCTGGGGAGGGCAGTGGTGGAGTATTTGGCAAAGTACTATGGCGTATTTGAGGACAGAGTTGGCGGTGCGAGGGAGGTGGAGGAGGAAGCGAAGGGGGAGTGGAGTCGGTTGAGGGCACTGAGGCTGCAGAGAGGACACCGAAGCGAGGTGGATGTGAGGCGTAGTGTGCAGTCGCCGCTGCAGCAGAGACAGCATTCGCATATGGGAAGGAGAGGGTCGAGAGAGAACCATAGTGGAGACAGCGATGTTGATGACGAGAGGGGGGGAGACACCAGTCCTAGCGCCAGCATCAGCATCAGCATCAGCTCCAGCTCCAGCTCCAGCTCCAGCTCCAGTAATAGTGGTAGTGATGACTCTCGCCCCGAGATGAAGCGCCAGTCGAGTCGACTTTAATTTCGTAATAAGGATTCGTTGGCTAAATGGCCGGTATATTTTCTACGCACAATGTACATAATACAATGATGCTGTTGCCTATGCTTCAAAGGAAATGAAGGATGTCGCGTCGGGGGGTGAATGCTGACAGCCTCTTGTGTCACCAAGCCCCGGCTATTTGCTTACTTTCTCGCGCTAGTTGTTTTACGAGTGGCGGGCGATGAAAAAGTATGTAATAACTTGAGGAGATGGAGGCTCTTGTTGGGTTCCATGCATTAACCTTCAGTGGATACATAGTTGATAGACATTCATTTGGTTGATCGGACAGGGACCGTCTGTGGAACCACAGAAAGCAGTTGTGGGGTACAAGCTCTTCCCCTTCTTCCCCTTCTCTTGGATGCAATTGGGGGAGATGAGGACGATGATCGGTTCGATAGTGTGCATGTAATAGAAAATGTCTGACATGTAAATTTGGCCCGAGAGTGCAGCTGTTAGCGCGAGCAGGGAAAAAATAAATTCGAGAGAAGTGTGTTAGTCTAGCATGGTGTGTGGATATGGATAGCATGACCATGACCATGACCGTGAGCATGGCCGTGAGCATGGACGTGGACATGAACATGAACACGGGTATGAACATGAACATGAGTATGAATATGAACATGAACATGAGTATGAATATGAAAATGAATATGAATATGAATATGAATATGAATATGAATATGATGTGGATGTGCTGCCCCCCCACCTCGGGTCTCCACTCCCATTGGCATGCAAATATATCAGAGTTCATGCTGAGCTCCTCACCCACACGAGGTGGACAGACTGAGCTGTGTGGTTATAGTTCAATTTGATTCGATTCATAATCCCCCCTCTCTGTCTCTGTCTCTGTCTCTGTCTCTGTCTCTCCCCTCGTGCCTTAGCCTTAGCCTTAGCCTTGGCCTTAGTTGCGAGCAATTGTGGTCTTCTTTTGCCAGTCGACTGGATCAGCTCCTCCATCATCTCTTGTCCTTCATCCTCATCCTCATCCCCCTCCCCCCACTTCCTGATCATCTCTCTCCCCCGCTCTTCTCTGTTCTTCACTCTATATCCTTTTTTTCTTTCTTCTCTGTGCCCCCGTTCCACCCCCACCCGGGCCACTTTCCCGGTTACATCGTTACACAGGCGGATACAGCTAAAGGGTTTATCCCACCTTCACACCTCTCTGACTTCTTGTATCTTCACGCCCTTTTCATTATACAGACACTCTCTCTCTTCTTCGCCCGAACAAGAGACCTTCTTTCCTTCTTTCTTTCCTTCTCTCCTTCCTTCCTTATCTCCTTCTTTCCTTCTTTCCTTCTCCTTTCGACACAATGGCAGGCCTGTTCTCGAAAAAGCCCAAAAAGGAAAAGGACGATACCAACAACCGATACCAGGACCAAGGCCAGGGCCGACTCGGCAACGGCAACAGCGGATTCCGTGCCGGAGACAATTCCAGTGCCAACAACAGTACCACACACAGCCAATCGGACTACTCCCACTCACACTCCCCTTATCCTCAACAGCAACAGCAACAGCAACAACATTACAACAACAGCAACAACGGTGGTCTGTCCTCAACGGTCTATTCCAGCAAGAGCTCGCTACAGCAGTCCTCCTCACAGCAACATCTGCATTATCAGGGCGGTAGTGGCAGCAATATTATTATCAACAACAATAACAACAGCAATAATAATATGCACTCACATTCGGCGTCTTCGTTCTCGACCCACCAGTCGAATGCGTTTACGGCTTCCTCGGGTGTGAATACGGGAGGTCCCTGGGCAAGCGGGATGGTGATGTCGACGAATCCGTTCCCGCGGTTTGCGCATACGGCCTCTTATGTGACGACGGGGACGGACATTTATGTGTTTGGAGGGATCGTCAAGGGATCTGCGCAGAAGGATGTCCATGTTATTGATCCTCGTAAGTGTTTGTTGAAAGGGAAAAAAAAAAAAAAAAAAAAAAGGGAAACCCAGAGCTTGTGTTCTTTGCTTCTTTCTGCTTTCCCCTTCACTGGAGGAAGCGGGGGAGAGGAGGACGAGTGTGGTCTTAGCAGTGCTGGTCCTTGTTCACTACGGCCCGTCTAATCGGTTGCCGTGGACCAGAAACCGAGGTCGATCATGTGTGTGTGTGTGTGAATGCGTGGGTGGTTGAGCATCAGTGGTGGGCTCACAGTCATTATGATGAACCACGACTGTTTTTCGATCCATGGGTGGGTGGATCCTCACTATGTCTCTTCCGTGATCGAACCTTGTCTTAATTACTTCTTCTTCTTTTCCCCCCCTTGTTACGGCGGTGCATAGAATCACTCCACTGCCAGCTCCTGCCCATAGGCGGCGAGAGTCCTCCGGCGCTGACAGGACACTCGGCAGTTACGCTGGGACAGTACATCATGTGTAAGTCGACCGGGTCAAGGGCAAGGTCTTCATGTGAATATTCCGCGGGGAGCCTGTGCCTGAGATGGAGCCAAAGAAAAGAAAGAAAGAAAGAAATAAGAAAGTGTGATTGATTGACTGACTGACTCTCCACTTCTTCCGCTGGTTGGGCTGGTTTTTTTTTGTTCTCTCTCTCTCTCTCTCTCTCTCTTCCCCCCCCTGAACTTTCTTCATCTCCGACTAAAAATACACCGCCCATTAGATTTTGGTGGCAAAGACGCAAAGGGGCGGACGAGCGATGCGCTCTACGTGCTCCACACGGGCCGCAAGGAGTGGGCGAAACCCCTGATCCAGACCCTACAGCCGCCCCCTCGCCATTCGCATGCCGCCTGTGTGGTCGGCACCGTCATGTACATCGTCGGAGGCAAGCTGTCGGGCTATTACATGAACGACATCGCCGCCTTTGACATGAAGACCCGTAAGTCCGAGTCGAATTTCAATCGACTTCCTGTTGGCGAGAAATGGGATGGTCATGATGGACTCTATTTTAGTTGGCTAACAGCTTTGGTTCTATATTTCTGGGGAAAAAAATATATATACATATATATTAACCCTCTCGATAGTGAATGGAAAGCGCCCAACATGGACATCGTTGGAACCAAAGTCGGACCTGCCGTCGGCGCGTGCTGGACACTGCGCGGCTGCGTATGATGGCAAGATCTATATGTATGTCTATTCTTATTCTTATTCTCGTTTCATTTTGAATTTGTTCTCGATATCCAATTTTCCCCGGCTCTGACGCCATTCATTTCTTATCCGCTTTAATAACACTGTTTTTTTTCTTTGTTTTTTTTCAGTTTCGGAGGTGCGGACGACCAATACTACTACAACGACATTTGGTGCTATGATCCGCAGACGAACAAATGGGAGCCGATTCCGGCCTATGGAGCCTTACCGACGAGTCGACAGGGTCATACGGTGTGCGTGATCGACGACACCATGTATATCTTTGGAGGCATGGATTTCGAGGATAAACTTCTCGGAGATCTGTGTGCGTTCAAATTTACAGGTAAAAATTACATTCGGGGAGAGATATTGGGATTTTAACTAATGTGACAAAAGGACCAACTAATGTAAAAGGGACTAACTAATGTTGACCTGTATTGGATTTTTTCCTTTTTTGTAGAGCGCCGGTGGATGGCATTCCCGAATACGATGGAGGCTGCGACGCCGCGCACGGAGCATGCGATGTGCAATGTCGGCGATAAGATTTACATCCTCGGTGGACAGCTGGACCTGAACACCACGAACGAGGATACCGGCATCATCTATGTCCTCGACACCAGTACGTGGCCACGCGCCCTTGCCTGCGTTTTGGACAATTTTTTTCTTTTTATTTTGCTATCAAGAACTTGGATATCACCCATCCGCCCAAAGTTAGAAAAATCCGTTTTTAACAATTTTTTATTTTCTTTTTATTCTTACTATTGTTGACAGCCAAGATTAGGTGGAACGAATTTTCGGCAGCAGGATCCCAGAGATCTGTATATGACACCGACAGCTTGGTGCGGATTGAACAGGTTCCGGACGATAACCGGGGTTCGCCCTATAGCCGCCCAACACCTACGCCAGACTCGATGCCGTACCAGAACGGAATGGATCCGAACATCGCGCACATGCAAGATCGACGTGCTACGTATCAGTCGCCATCACAGCAACAGCAGCACCAGCAACCGCAATCGCGCCAGCAGAACTATAGCGATGGTCGCGATAACAGGGAGCAGCATTCTGACTATCACCAATACCAGCAGCAATCTCAGCCTCAGCCTCGGCACCAGGAGCGGCAGGATTCTTATCCGATCGAATCCAACGTACCGAGAGTCGGTCTTGGAATCATGGACGATGCACTAAACCCCCATGGAAGCGGTCGTCCGTCGCCATCGGTCTCGCCCTCGCCGATGCTCACTCCGGATCTGGGAGAGTCGATTCATACTGTACGTCGCCGGACGATCGGCAAACCCGTGAACTATACGGTGCAGGATGTCGAAATCCAACACCGGGGCGCACATTCGATCGATGAGGGGCGTCGGCCTTTGCCCCACGGCAGTGACTCGGGAGAGCAGGTGCTACGGGGTTCGTCTATGCACCGACAAGATTCTTCGCAGGGACAACCAGGTTACATAGAGGCTGGAGAGCGAACTTTTGCGCATCAGCCGGAGGGTGAAAGGTCTCGACTGCATCATAGCAGCAGTTACAATAGTCTGATCGGCAACAGCAGCAACAACAACAATGACAACAACAACAACAGTGGCAGCAGATTGAATGCACCGCATCAGCAGCTGCAACAGCTCGCGCATCTGGATCTGAGCCGTCATGGATCGAACAGCACGTTGAACACCAACACCAACACGACGGCAACGGATAGTCTTCAGCGACATGGGTCCTTGGCGGATTCGTTGAACCGACAGGGTTCGCAGATTGAGACCTTGAGCCGGGGATCGTATGCGTCCATCTCGAACCTGCAGCCGACGGCGAGGTCTTCGGTCGACCCTTCGCTTCGAGTCCCCTTACGGATCACCAACCCGGACAGCGAGGGCCGCGATCTGGCCGATCAGGATGATAGTCTGTCCGTCTCGACAACGACAGTAGGAGGTGTCTCGATCATGAACAAAGAATCTAGGGAGCTGAAGGATCTTAAGCAGCGGGAGCAGTGGCTTCTGGCGGAGGTGTCCATGGCCCGCAAGAAGATGGGCGAGCGACCGCTGAGCATGGCGATCCTCGCATTGGAGGACGAACTGGATGCTTGTGAGATCGATAGCGAAAAATACCGGATCATGCAGGCCCTGTTGAACGTCAAGGCCGAACTCGAGCGGTCCAAGACCTCAATTGCGACACAGGCCCAGATCGCGTCGAATAAGGTCCGAGAGGCGGAGCGGGTCCGGACCTCGGCACTCCAGGAGGCCGCGTACCTGAAGGCGAAGGTGAGCGCGCTCCAGTCCGGGGAAGTCTCGGCGTTGGTCGCGACCGAGACCGCGAGGGCTACGGATCTGGAAAGACGGTTGGCGACGGCGCTGGCGCAGCTGGAACAATACGAGGCGCAGTTTGTGCAGTACGAGACCATCCTGGATCACGAGAAGGAGTCCCGGGCCGCGGCTGAGGCGCGTGAACAGGAGGCCTCTTCGAGAGCGGAGGAGGCCCAGTTGGCTCATACGCGAGCGCTGAATGAGTTGACGACGTTGCATGAGCGGGCGACGATCGCGGAGGCAACCTTGAGAGAGAACGCAGCAAAGAGCGCGACGAGCGAGGCGGGCCTGTCGAGTTATCAGCAGCAGTCCGCGGCGTTGTTCTCACAGATATCGACGCTGAAGACGACGGTGGATCATCAGAAGAAGTCGCTGGAGAAGGCAAAGATGGCATACGCGGTCGCGAACGAACGGGCTGAGCATGCGGATACGCTGTGGACACAATCCCGGGAGGAGATGGATCAGGTCCAGCTGGAGATATCCCGGGTCAGGGCAGATATGGATCGGGCCCAACGGGAGTCCGAGCATTGGCGAGCCAAGGCTGGGGAGACAGAGTTGTTGTGGCAGAAGGCCAAGAAGGAGAACGAGGCGATGCGGACGTTGTTGGAGGAGGATATGAATGCGGCGTACAATCCGGTCTCGAGGGAGCGTAAGCATGACTCCATCATGGCGATCACTTCTGCCTCGCGGGTTGCTGAGCTGGAGCATGAGCTCACTTCGTTGAGGCAGCTGTTGAGGGATTCGCAGGATGCGGCGACGCAGGCGAACAGGGATCTGGGTGATACGATGGTTCGTATCTCACAGCTGGAACAGTCGTCGATGACAGCGCGCGCGGAGAGCGCGACAGCTCAGAGGCAGCTAAAGGAATCGCGTGAGCAGGTGGTGATGTTGCAGGCACAGTTGATCCAGAAAGAGGAAACGGTCGAGGAGATGATTCGCGAGCAGGAGAATAACGAAGTCCAGCTCGGATTGCTGCGCGGGGTCATGAAGGAGCATGGAGTGCTGGCGGATGATTTGATCCTCGAGGCGTTGAACAAGAGCGTCGACGGCACGGCCTCGTCATCGCCATCTGCGGTGTCGCCGTTGAAGATGAAGATCCAGGAAGCCGAGAGACGTGCGACAGATGCCGAGACTCAATCGAAGGAGCTGGCCGAGGTCAAGAAGCACCAGGAAGAGCGGATCCAGCAACTTGAGGCCGACTACCAAACAGCGGTGCATTACGTGCAAAACACCGAGGCGACGCTCCAGCGCCTGCGTGACGAGGCAGTGGTTAACAAGAAACAGCTTGAGGACGCTCATTCATCTCATCATCAGTCCGCTGGTGGATCGACCGAGGACCTCGAGGAGGAGGTCACAGATCTTCACCGGCAGCTGCACGATGCTCAAGAACGCGCGTTCGGACTCGAATCCAAACTGGATTCATTGTCAAACCAACTCCAGTCGACCGAATCTCGAGCGGAGGTAGCTCAGATCGAGCTGCAGTCGCTCAAGACGATGCAACAGGAGCACAAGAAGCGTGGGGTGACACAGTCGGATCAGCTTCAGCCACGTGTGGAGCAGTTGGAGCAGACGCTCTCAGAGACACGATACCGGTTAGACAAGACGCTCGAGGATCTGGAGCAGGCGCATGAGCTGAATAAGGTGACGGGTCAGGAACTCGAGGACGCGCTGGACGCGCTCAAACGGTCCCGCCAGCCTTCAGCTCTCAGCGACCGAGACCGGGAGCGGGATGGTAGGAGGACGATGACACCGACTGGACAGACACAGAGACGACAGGAGGAGCTGGAGGCGACGATCCAGGCGTTAAAGGAGACGAATCAGGAGCTGGAGGAGCAATTGAAGGCGTCGGAAAACAAGATTTCGTTGCTGTTGGATAACTTCCAGGGCGCAGAGTCGGTGAGGAACAGCGTTGTGAGTCTGAACGGGGCTCTGCATGGACATGGGCAGGGCGCGGAGGAGAGAATGAGGGGAGGATTGATGTCGCCGTCGCGGAGAGGTTCCGAAGGACTGGGGATGGGGAAGGCGGGGGGGTTGTCGAATTCAGAAAAGTTGGAGGAGTATGAGAAGCTGATTGAGGAGATGACAAAGGCACGGCGGCAGTACGAAGAGTGAGTTGTAGACGAGACGGGGTATAGGTGGATGCTGTTTTGAATAGAGATGGTGGTGGTGATGATAATAATAATAATGATAGTAGTTGTCGTAGTGATAATGGGGTCGCCCTCTTGCCGTCATCTGTGAATGAAGGGATGAAAGGAGAGGAAAGAGTACGGAGACGATCGTTACAGAGGACTGATTAACTTTACGGGTGTAGATTATTCTCTTTCACACCGCTTATTTTTTTTCATACACCGCTGCCAAACCAGCACGATAAACATGTTCCCTCAATGACTGAGAAAACGTTAGCAGTGGACTATTCGTGGTGTTAGATGGGTCGCTTTTTATTTATTGACGTCTGTTGATTCATGTGGATCTCCCTTCGATATATCAGTCTGGAAGTGCAGACTTGGAATGACATTGCGAATCTTTTCAATGCGAACAAGAAAAACTGAAGCACTGGGAAATGTGTATTTTGCAGCGTAAACATACTGCGCTGGGCATAAGAAGAGGAAGAGGAAGAGAGGGAAGGAAAACACCCCTCATGATGGATCCGATTTGAGGACGCTTTTTTTTGCACAGCCATAAATCGAAATTACGGGGCAGATAGACTAGTCGCACAAGTCCTCCCCCTCCCCTCGTTGCGAGAGCGTTTTGTGTTTGTTACACATGTCGCCTAAAATACATAGTCCACCGCGTAACAGTATGCGTACAGTAACAGTTGTACATCGTCTAGACAAATTCAATTGGTCTTGCTCTAATTTTTTTATTATTTTTTTGACGGCGACGCGTAACTTTTTTTTTTTTTTTTTTTTTTTTCGTAGCAGCAGGACAATGTTTTCATCATATCATTATTCTATCCTTCATCCACTGCCTATAGAATCAAACACCACCACCACTTCTGTGCTCTATTTCTCTCATCTATAGTATTGCATTCAGAGTTGAGTAGGCTGGGCGTGGACAGGCTCGGTGGTGTGAGTAGGCTTGGGGTGGAAAGGCTTAGTGTGAACAGGCTTAGTGTGAACAGGCTTGGGGTGAACAGGTTTGGGGCGAGCCTTGCCAGGGACGACTCTAACACGCTGCTTCAAAGTGCGCTTAGGATGGGGCTTCGAGTGAGGCTTGCCATGGGCAGGCTTGACAGGCTGGACAGGCTTGACAGGGTGTCTTGGCTCAAGCTTGCCGTGGGTGGGCTTGACAGGCTCAGGCTTGCCTTGGATGGGGTTAGCAGGCTTGACTGGCTCGCGCTTGCCATCGGCAGGATCAGCACGCTCCTCCAAATCGCGCTTGATGTGAGCCTCAGTAGGAGGCTCGTCGGAGCGGGGAGCCGGCTGAGGCTTGGCGTGGTGAGGCTTGCCATGGGCCGGATCGGAAGGCTCGGTAGGCTTGGGCTTGCCATGGGTGGGCTTGCCATGGGCGGGCTTGCCATGAATCGGCTTGACAGGCTGAACAGGCTTGGGTTCAACAGGCTCAACAGGTTCGCGCTTGCCATCGACGGGATCAGCACGCTCCTCCAAATCGCGCTTAATATGGGCCTCCTGCTGAGGCTTATTAGAGTGGGGAGTCGGCTGAGGCTTGCCGTGGTGGGGCTTGCCATGAGTGGGCTTGACAGACTCAGGCTTGACAGGCTCAGGCTTGCCTTGGATGGGTTTGGCAGGCTTGATTGGCTCGCGCTTGCCATCGACAGGGTCAGCACGCTCCTCCAAATCGCGCTTGATGTGGGCTTCCTGCTGAGGCTCGCTGGGGTGGGGCTTGTCATGAGTGGACTTGCCATGGGCCGGCTTGACATGGTGGGACGTCGGCTGAGCCTTGCCGTGGTGACCATGGGGGTTTCCATGTTGTTCGGGCTTGTTTGAATGAGGAGCAACCTGAGCAGGAGTAGGCACGACCCGTCCTCCAACTGCAGAAGCAGTGGGATGATCAATGGGGGCCGCAAGAGTCGACTGGAGCAAGGTCATGCTCACCAGGAGCGAAAGAATCACGGAAGAGGAGATGATCTTCATGGTCGTAGAAGTAGTAATGGTAGTAGTGGTGGTGGTGGTGGTAGCTGTAGAGGTTGTGTGAAGCAAAAGAAGATGAGGTTGATGATCAGTAAGAAGAGGGTGATTGCAAGCTTTTTATACAAAGTGCTGCACTAGCGAGGTCGCTTCCTCCCTTCATGGATCCATGGATGCCAAGACGTACTCTGGCTTTCGGTACTCAACTGCTGGATAAGGAGATACCATATTGCAACTGCTGGTGTAGTATGTGGGTCAGACACAGACTCAAGGTAGTCCAGAGCCCTATCTGCGTCCTTGATGTGGTTGTAGAGTGGCGACTAGACTAAAAACGGCCATTCAGAGTCGAGTGGACACACCTCGCGTGCACCCAAGTCAGGCACAGAGTTCTGGTTCACTAAATTAAAATGAATGCTAACAATCAATGGATCAAGGACCTTGAAGACTCCTCCTTGCAGTCAGTCTCTGCAGCTGCTGTTGTTGCTATTGCTATTGTTATTGCTATTGCTATTGCTATTGCTATTGCTGTTGCTGTTGCTGTTGCTGTTGCTGTTGCTGTTGCTGTTGCTGTTGCTGTTGCTGTTGCTGTTGCTGTTGCTGTTGCTGTTGCTGCACTCGCAGTATAACACATTGGAATGGGTGTGTCATGTCATAGGTAATTTGCAACATGCACTATCGGCTTGGCTTTAGAGAAGATATATCCATATGAGGGGCAAACTAGTACACTCCACTGGTAATCCTATAAACGGCCCTTCCCTCCCTTCAGGGACAATTACAGATGCAACGGACACGGCCCACAGCGTTTCATTTGCATGGATAAACGAAGGGAACAGGCTTCTACATGATAGTAAAAATAGTAGGACGGACCATCTTGGCCATGGCTGTTGGCTGGGCCTATCGGAAATTATAATGCACTTCAGCCAGACACGACAAAGACAGGGTCTCGGCCAAAGATCGGGTCCAGCAAAAGTCAGATAGGCTATTGTACAATAAAGCAGGAGCTTAATATGTACCTCCACCCTGCATCGACCAGGATTTTACATGTGCCTCTACCCTGCATTCACCGGGAAATTTACCCATTCCACATACACCATCTCCGTGGGCTGTGGCCATGTACGCAGGCACTCATCAGCGAGTAAACCGAGCTCCCTCCCTATTTTGATTTATTAGGCTGTTTTTTCCATTGCAGGTTCCAGTTATGCAATTATGTGGTATACATTGCCCTGTACCGTCTACGTCCATGTCCAGGCGGGCCACTCGTCTATGGCAGAACCGCTCGTCGCTATATTTAACATGGTTTTTCATGGTTGTCAACATAACATATCAAACCTACAGAGATGGTTCAATAAGGGCCCGTAACAAAACAACTCTGTCAAGGGCTGTTGCAGATTGATAGGCAGACTCAGGCGATGGACCAAGGCAGACTGTAAGACGCTATTAGATGGCACACCACCATCGACTCGCGAAAGACGTTCACCTCTCTCGACCCGGCCTTGTGTGTCAGAGAACGAAGGAAACAAGCGTGTGTGTGGCGCCAAGGGTCTTTTGGAATCAGATGCAAGACTTTGTCGAGTCCAAGGCTTGGTCAAGTCCATTGGATCATCACTTCTCGCGCTGTAAATCACTAGCACCTCTCCTTCGCGAAGTTTAGCCTATCTCCAGGTACATGTACAACAGCGGTGCGTTCGCTCAAGTACCTGGGGTGCTTAACTTTGTCACTCATACGATATAGCCCAAAATTCGAGTAGATCTAGAGAACCAGACACTTTCTCTCATAATGTGTATGCAAACCCTCTTCCACTTCCCGATCGCTTTTATTCTCGTCCATTGCTGCTGACCGTTGCGGACAGTGGTTGTTGGCGAAGCAAGGTGCGGAGATGGCACGAGCAGCTCGGGCGTTCATTCCTCTCGTACTAAGTTCAGTTACTCTTGCAACAACATCTCATCAGTAGGGTAAACCTAACCTGTTGTTGCCAGCAGCCATCGCGAGTACGCAGGATTCGATGTAAGGTTTTGAGGTTGTGCCTGAATAAAAGGAAGGTCGAAGCCAGCGCGGTCTTTAGTTCCTTGTTCCAGTTGAACAAGAAGACCGTTGTGCTGACCACTCGCTACAGTGTGTGTAGTTTGTGCGTTAGACCCTTGTATTCAGTGTGGAACACAAATTATTCGAGTATTCAGATTGGGAGTTTCCTTACTCCATACAGCTGTAAAAGAACTATTTCCTCGAGCAACACTGTCCCACGACGGTCTAAGCCCAGCTCACGTTCCTTATTAATGAGTGAAAAATCCAACGCTAACTGAATTCTGCTTCAGTATAGGGGGTGCGTTGTTGGTTGTAGATCTGGTGTTGGTCGCAGCGGTGGTACTGGTGATATTGGGCAGGGTCGATGAAGGAAATTGGGACGACACTCTCCGTGAGGGGATCGTTTAGAACCAGGAGAGTTATGTTTCTCTTGGACGTATTACTTAGACAGCGGGCTGCCATGGTCAACATTTGCGGACCCACAAGACTCCGTGACCCTAGTCCAATCTCTTCATTATTCATCGCTTTCGATCCCGCTCTTTGTTCGAACCCATTGAGTGCTTTAGTTTGTGCTCTTGACCATCACTTTTAATTTGTGAACTTGTCATGGACAAAGACTGCTCTGTATATTGTGTTAAGAAAGCGCAATCCCTGCGCTAAAAGATTAGCAATAAATAAAGACAAGGCACCGTTGTTAATCCCCTAATTGCTCCACATTCGCGTCTCCAGCAAGCAAAAAGACAGTCGCCGAATCGACTGGCTTTGCTGACTGTACAGCGAGAGAATCGGTCGTGGCGACGGTATTGATCATACTGTGGTTTGACGGCACCTTGAGTTTATGCGCCACGGACGCCATGCTAATGAGCTTTTTGCTTGCCTCGCGGAAGCTCAAAGGTGGAATCGGCTCGCCCACAGCGCCGCGTTGCTGTAATAGACGCGTATTTATCCTGCTTAAGCCTTGCACGTCCTGGATAGAGGTATTTGGCACTGTAAGTCTGTCATGCATCGAACTCCAATGCAGGCGCACCTGATAGCGATCCTTCTCTTCTATGACCTGCCACACGCGAACAGACTTATCGCCACAGCCGGTTGCGAAATAGGTGCCGTTTGGAGTAGCGTTCCAGGCGATACTTGCGATTAGTCCATGGAAGCCTTGAACAACTGTCAAACATTGACCCGAATTCACATCCCACAGCCGCACCGTCCAGTCCCAACTTCCCGAAGCGACCTGCTGGCCGCTGGGCGAATACACCACGCTCGTAACTAAGCCGGTATGACCGCTTAAGATGGGACCGGGTACACCGGTTTGCGTATCCCACAGTCGCACAGTTTTGTCCCAACTACCCGAGGCGATTTGCTGGCCGCTGGGTGAATACACCACGCTTGTAACGCAGGAGGTATGGCCGCTTAAGATGAGTCCGGGCGCACTAGTTTGCGCGTCCCACAGTCGCACCATCCCGTCGTAACTGCTTGAAGCGATCTGCTGGCCGCTGGGCGAATACACCACACTCGTAACATTGTCGGTATGGCCGCTTAAGATGGGACCGGGTGCACCGGTTTGCGCATCCCACAGTCGCACCGTGTTGTCGTAACTGCCCGAGGCGATTTGCTGACCACTGGGTGAATACACCACGCTTGTAACGCAGGAGGTATGGCCGCTTAAGATGAGACCGGGTGCACCGGTTTGCGCGTTCCACAGTCGCACCGTCCAATCCCAACTTCCCGAGGCGATTTGATGGCCGCTTGGCGAATAGACCACGCTCGTAACATTGCCGGCATGGCCGCTTAAGATGAGACCGGATTCACCAGTTTGCGCATCCCACAATCGCACCGTCCAGTCGTAACTGCCCGAGGCGATCTGCTGACCGCTGGTCGAGTATACCACGCTCTCAACGTAGTTGGTATGGCCACTTAAGATGGGACCGGATGTACCGATTTGCGCGTCCCACAGTCGCACCGTGTAGTCCTGACTTCCCGAGGCGATCTGCTGGCCACTGGGCGAATACACCACGCTCTCAACAACGTTGGTATGGCCGCTTAAGATGAGGCCGGGTGCACCGGTTTGCACATCCCACATTCGCACCGTCCTGTCGTGACTTCCCGAGGCGATCTGCTGGCCGCTGGGCGAATACACCACGCTTTCGACAACGTTGGTATGGCCGCTTAAGACGAGACTGGGCGCACCAGACTGCGCATCCCATAGTTGCACCGTGCAGTCATAACTGCCCGAGGCGATCTGCTGGCCGCTGGGCGAATACACCACACTCGTAACATGGGAGGCATGGCCGCTTAAGATGAGACCGGGTGCACCGGTTTGCGCATCCCACAGTCGCACCGTGTTGTCGTAACTGCCCGAGGCAATCTGCTGGCCGCTAGGAGAATACACTACGCTTGTAACGCATGAAGTATGGCCGCTTAAGATGAGACCGGGTGCACTGGTTTGTGCGTCCCACAGCCGCACCGTCTCATCGTAACTGCTCGAGGCGATCTCCAGGCCGCTGGGTGAATACACCGCGCTCGTAACAATGTCGGTATGGCCGCTTAAGATGAGACCAGGTGCGCCGGTTTGCGCATCCCACAGTCGCACCGTCGTGTCCTGACTTCCCGAGGCGATCTGCTGGCCGCTGGGCGAATACACCACGCTCGTAACTGACCCGGTATGGCCGCGCAAGGTGTGGGCTTTTGCCCAAGTCGAAGTGTCATACACGCCGATTGTGCCGTCGTTGAGACCAACCGCACAGAACTTCCCATCTGGTGAATACGCGCAGGATCTCACCCCGCTTTCTTCTAAGAGGTACGGCCATTCGCCAAACTGCACACCCGCCATCTGTGCGTTGCTCAAATTGGCCTGACGCAGCCAAATATTGCGAAGATTGACTTTTCTCAAATCTGCCCCTTGCAGCTGAGCAGAATCGAATTGCCCGCCACTCAGGTCCGCTCCTGGAATCTGGATGCCTTTCAGATCTGCGCCGTTAAACAGGATCCCAGCTCTGACCAATATCGTGATCGCATTGGCTGCTGCCTTGCGTGCCTCTTTGTTGATTTTGGAGCATTCGATCGTGGCGAGCAGCTGCTGCTTGAAGAGAGGTTCCTGTCGGACACGCTCTGTTAAAAAGTGCAGAATCGACGGCTCGCCCACAAAGCGTTTCCGTGCCAAGGGCGAATCGAGCACGGCCTGTTCAATGGCTGCTATGGGTTCCTCAATAGTATCCTGGCTTTCATAGCTCATGATGGAATGAACGCTCCCTCGACGCGGCAGAGTTTGAAGTATGGTCGCGTGACTTGCGCTCTCTCCGTTTCGTGGCTCAAACACTGCTCGGGCCAAACAGTATTCCAGTAGCGATTTATGAATAAACCGGTACTGATTGCCGCTGCGCGTCAGAGGACAGGCTTCCAGCAGAAGCTGGTTCTCGTCTTCTCGGGAGAAAAACTGTTCCTTCCACGTCCCTTTGTCTCGTTTGCGCGAATAGGCCACCACCGGATTACCTGCCTGATGTTTATAGATTGCACTAGCCAAATCCTTGAGAAAATCCATGCCGTCCTGAGTAAAGTCTTCGTCGTTCAGCTTCTCAAAATTTGCCCTTGCTTGAGGGCTCAAGTCTTTGTTCCCAAGCCGCTTCTTGCCTCGCTCCAGCCACTGTTCCACAAACTGGTCATACAATGCGACTCTAGTGACCCTGACGGCCGAGAGGTCTTGTCCCGGATCCACCATGCGCGGCAATACCTCCATGGATAGGGTCAACATAAACGGGTTCTTGACCAGGTCTTGCAGGCTGGGAATCAGATTAAGAGCATTCAAGTAGTCCGCCACCTGCCAGAGCGGGCTCGTCGTGGACACATATTTCATTATGTATTCTTGTATTTGATCCATAGAGAATGGTGCAATGACTGCCTCTTGAAATACTGGCTCTGCTTGGTGATTGTGGTTTGCTGGCTGGAACCGATCCCGATAATCGAGCCCAAGATACTCGCTGCGGCAGCTAATGATCATCTGAGCGCTCCATCCTCCCACCTGATTCAGTCCGTTGCTCGTGTACAGGTTGTGTGTCTGCTGGCTCTCATCATACCCATCACAAATCAAGATGAATTTGCGGTGGTCTCTCAGCTCTCGGATCTGGGGTTCGGTAAACTCTGCCTTCCGTAGGTGTTTGGCGATCAGATCCTGTTCTGGCTTGTCGATTGCAGGCAGGCTGATAAAGAGCGGGATTCTGCCTTCCCTCTTCTTATAGGCATCCCACAAGTCGCACTCGAGATGCCGGTTAAATGTCGACTTGCCTCCACCGGAATCACCCAGCAAGAGCATCACCTTACGGTCACTGTTCAGGAAGCCTTCAACTTCTTTTGTCAAGTCAAACAGGTTGTCATCGGACGCTTGCAGGTTAGCCTTGGCTTGAGGGGGGATGTACACGGCGTCGTCTCGTTCCTTCAGTCGCTGCTTTCTTAATCGTCTCAGGTCGGCTTCAACGTCGGGCTTGTTCTGGACACGATCAAGCAGTGATGGGGACGAGGTGGCTGGCGGAGCGACCTTGAGGGGATGTAACCTCCGGTCTTCTTTTCTGCACTCTTGATAAAAAGTCCTTTTTGTCTGATCGCCATTCGATTCCAGCTCTTGCAGCAGGGGTTCGACACCTACACCATATATGTGTTGCACAGGTCAAAATAGACCGTGGCAAATGCCATTAGTACTCGCTGGTAGTGAACTCCATCCTTTGCAATAAGACAATGGTCTCTTGTGCATCTTCTTCATTATAGTACATACCTGGCATAGCTGAGCCAAATGTCGAAGCCAACTGCATAAGGATGTGAAGGATCCATTGCTTGACAAGGGCTTGCTGTCCCCACACCGCATCGTTTCGGTACATCTCTCCCAGAAACGCAACAGCGCCTTGACGAGACTCGATGTCCCACAGTGGATTGGCGGCAAGATCCCCCAGGCGCTGGCATACTCCTAGTTGAAAGGCCAGGTCACGTCGGCAAGGCGCTTCACAGACCAAGGTCTTGAACTTGGCGAGTTGACCATCCCGAAGCAGTGTGTCTGTTCCGCGTAGTGCTGTATACCAGGCACGTTTCCAGTTGAAACTGAGACCGACCTTGAGAGACTCCAACAGCCCTTGTCCACTCTCGGCCAGTGCGCTCACACCTTCATAGCCGATCTTCGCCACCTGGATCACCTCCCCTAGTCCCTCCTGAAGATGTCCGAGTCCTGTGATGAAGCCATTGACGTCCAGACCTTTTACGGCACTAACTATCCCCGAGACACCCTTCAAAACGATTCCAGTGCGCCGCATCGTTGCTTGCCAAGGTGATTCGTTGTCTGGGACACACTGCAGCGCTTGGAAGGCATAGGCTGCCTGGTACACCAAGTAAGGGTCGCTGCTGCCTTGCAGCTCATTCAAATAGGTAGAGAGTGGCTCGTGCAGCTCTTCACGCTTTAAGCCTGAGACCTTGGTATTGGCCATGGCATCCAGAACATTGGACACTGCGAGTGTCAGCTGGTAGATATGTACCGGAGACTGATTGTGAGTGTCTTGTAGGCGGGTATTGAGGTTGCGCAGGATCGTGACTAGGTCATCCGAGTCGAGGTAGCCCTCGGGTGCGCTTTGGACCAACTGCGCCAACCCTTCGAGGGACTGCACATCCAGCAGGCTGGACTTGCCAACGCCATTGACAAACAGCTTTAGTAGAGAGTGGAAATATTCCTTTTCAAGAACCGGGCCCAGGCATACAACTTCTGCGACGGCCTTGGCATCCTTGAGCTCATCGCGAGTGAATGCTCGGATCACATCTGTCGCCAGCGTCCTGAGTCTCTCCTTCTCCTCTGCATTCTGCTCTGTGGATTTCACCCAATTTCCTGCGGCTGGTTCAAAGACCTCTTCAGGTGACGGCGTCACTTGCAGAAGGCCAAGGCAGTAGGCGAGCTGGGATGTATCGCTGAGCCGCTCATCTGCCTCTGGCAGCGCGATCTTGACGGTGGGCTGACGCATGTCATCAGGAAAGATATCCTCAGAGACCCGTGCCATGTCGCGGCAGGCACTGTCGGTGGCAGAGGAACTTACAGGACCTGGATCTTTTGTAGGATGCACATGGCTGATGAAGTCAGAGGACAGTCAACAAAGTGAGAGATACATTAGGTGCGACGTACGATATAGTCGGCTAATACGAACAGGTAGAGAGCAGGTACCTGTCACTTACCCCCACTTTTCTGCCCTCCTATAGCTGACCTGTGCCATTTCGCTATATCCTAAGCTCTCCAATAGGTCGGCATGCTTGAAGCAGACGCCGGCGAATCCATCGCGCAGGGTTTGATCCTCGACTGACAGGGGAGTTGTAAAAGTCTTTCTCGCTGCTCTTTTCATCCGGGATAACGCAGCCTCCGCATCGTCGCACAACACTAAAGCGATTTCCCGATCCTTGGTTTTGCGTGCATTCTCCACGTAGATGTTGGTGAGTTCCAGTTCCTTTTGTGGTGAGAGAGCCTTTCGCAGTGACGAAAAATTTCTGGCAAACATGTTGCTTCTCTGAGGGGATTTCTCCTGTTATGATAGAGCAGATGGCGGCGATATTAGTGACCCTGTGGGTCGATTGATATGCCTGTGCGAATAACCAGTATACATACTTATGCTTGACAGACACTTCAGTAACACAATGGGGACCAATAAGGCGCCGTGGGCTGGTATACTACAGATGTAGAGACAGCAGAATGAGCTATCGTAAATCAAAACATTAATATCCATGAACTATATCATATGTGGTTGCTCGGCCATGTGATGGGGTCCCACCTCGGAAGTGTGTATTCGACTCCTGTTTCCTTTGATTGGATGCAGAGGTAGCCCTGAAGATTTGTCCTCTTCGTGCCTCCTAACAGCGATACTAACTGCCCATCGTGAAGCATGCAGGGTTAATAACCTTATAACATGCTTATAAGCCACTATCGACTGACAAGAAACAGTGCCTCACCTCAACAGGAATTTGTTTCTCGAGACCTTGAGATCTTTAACCAGCCGAGGAGATGGTCCGTCCCTGTGCAATGTTTTCTACTCCAACTCTTTGTTTAAGACGGTCTGCATATGAACAAGGCGGCCGAGTGGAGTGATATTCGCTTCCCTCGTCACTTCTAGCAGAGATTCCTATGATCATGAAAGAAAAGATTACTATCCATTGCACATCTAGCACTAACACTCTTGACTCGACTGTGGTTGTTCAGGTGCATTCTGGGATGGGGCTTTGGCAGATAAACTGTGTCTTTGATACCAATGAGTCGACGCTGGGCTGTGCTTATTGAGATTGAACAGAGACGTATGAGAGACAGACAGAAGAGCGGGAAAGCAGAGACGTGCGAGGGACAGACAGAAGAGTGAGAAAAGATGAAAAAGATAAGAGGCGGTTCCTGATGGATTGAGGGAGGGAGAATCTGGGAAGAAAGGAAAGTGGGAAAGTGGGAAAGAGGGGAAAAGAGTGCAAAGACACAAAACCATCGTTGCAGCATCCGCCAAACGGAACCATGCTTGTAGTCAGATTACTCCCTCGCCCTCGTGTAACGAGTAAGTGGGCTCTCGGATGCAAAGGAGAGAACACTGGGAAGTGTGCAATTAGCCACCACGATGTTCCATGCTCATCCTTTCTCGCCGCTTCAGCATCATTCTGACTTTGAGGCGTTCGTCCATAATCCAACGGACGATAGCTTCGGGCCATTGGCTGTTCAGGCAGGCCCAAATACCAACTATCCGAATGAATGGTGCAGAACGAGGGAGGAATGCAAGCGAGAGTGCTAGGGATGGGGGTAAGACTAATGGGAGCAGAGGAAAGCGACGACAAGCCGATCATCTTCTCTGCAAACGAGGGTGATACAAGTAGAACGTGCACCCCAATTGGCTCCTTTGCGGTGGTGCACTCATTGTGATTAGCCCGAAGCACAGATGGAGACAAGCGGCCGTCCTCCTAAGCCCATAGCGCGCATCCTATATACCATAGTCCATATATCGTGCATGTTCCACGCGGCTGCTCTTATTTTTTATTATTCTTTTGACGCGATGCATATCGTACCCTGTAGCGCACAGCAGACAATGCTCAGACTCTCATTTTGTTTATTCTTCATCTACTGTATGTTAACCAACCACTACCTCTATGTCTTGTCTCTGTTATGTATGGTATTGCATCTAGGGATGGGCAGGCTCGGGATGAGCAGGCTTGGGATGAGCAGGCTCGGGATGAGCAGGCTTTCCAAGGTGTCCAGGCTTGCCATGGACGGGCTTGTCATGGGCAGGCTTGACAGGGTGTCTTGGCTCAGGCTTGCTGTGACTAGGCTTGACAGGCTGAACAGGCTTGGGCTCGACAGGCTCGCGCTTGCCATCGACGGGATCAGCACGCTCCTCCAAATCGCGCTTGATGTGAGGCTCCTGCCGAGGCTTGCCGTGGTGGAGCTTGCCATGACCCGGCTTGACAGGGTCTCTTGGCTCAGGCTTGCCGTGGCTATGCTTGACGGGCTGAATAGGCTTGGGTTCGACAGGCTCAACAGGCTCGCGCTTGCCAGCGACGGGATCAGCACGCTCCTCCAAATCACGCTTGATGTGAGCTTCCTGCTGAGGCTCGCTGGAGTGGGGAGCCGGCTGAGGCTTGCCGTGGTGGGGCTTGCCATGAGTGGACTTGCCATGGGCCGGCTTGACATGGTGGGACGTCGGCTGAGCCTTGCCGTGGTGACCATGGGGGTTTCCATGTTGTTCGGGCTTGTTTGAATGAGGAGCAACCTGAGCAGGAGTAGGCACGACCCGTCCTCCAACTGCAGAAGCAGTGGGATGATCAATGGGGGCCGCAAGAGTCGACTGGAGCAAGGTCATGCTCACCAGGAGCGAAAGAATCACGGAAGAGGAGATGATCTTCATGGTCGTAGAAGTAGTAATGGTAGTAGTGGTGGTGGTGGTGGTAGCTGTAGAGGTTGTGTGAAGCAAAAGAAGATGAGGTTGATGATCAGTAAGAAGAGGGTGATTGCAAGCTTTTTATACAAAGTGCTGCACTAGCGAGGTCGCTTCCTCCCTTCATGGATCCATGGATGCCAAGACGTACTCTGGCTTTCGGTACTCAACTGCTGGATAAGGAGATACCATATTGCAACTGCTGGTGTAGTATGTGGGTCAGACACAGACTCAAGGTAGTCCAGAGCCCTATCTGCGTCCTTGATGTGGTTGTAGAGTGGCGACTAGACTAAAAACGGCCATTCAGAGTCGAGTGGACACACCTCGCGTGCACCCAAGTCAGGCACAGAGTTCTGGTTCACTAAATTAAAATGAATGCTAACAATCAATGGATCAAGGACCTTGAAGACTCCTCCTTGCAGTCAGTCTCTGCAGCTGCTGTTGTTGCTATTGCTATTGTTATTGCTATTGCTATTGCTATTGCTATTGCTGTTGCTGTTGCTGTTGCTGTTGCTGTTGCTGTTGCTGTTGCTGTTGCTGTTGCTGTTGCTGTTGCTGTTGCTGTTGCTGTTGCTGTTGCTGTTGCTGTTGCTGTTGCTGTTGCTGTTGCTGTTGCTGTTGCTGTTGCTGTTGCTGTTGCTGTTGCTGTTGCTGTTGCTGTTGCTGTTGCTGTTGCTGTTGCTGTTGCTGTTGCTGTTGCTGTTGCTGTTGCTGTTGCTGTTGCTGTTTCTGTTGCTGTTGTTGTTGCTGTTGCTACACCCGCAGTATAACACATTGGAATGGGTGTGTCATGTCATAGGCAATGTGCGATATGCACCATTGACTCAGCTTTAGAGAAGAAGATATCCATGTGCGGGACAAACTAGTACACTCCACTGGTAATCCTATAAACGGCCCTTCCCTCCCTTCAGGGACAATTACAGATGCAACGGACACGGCCCACAGCGTTTCATTTGCATGGATAAACAAAGAGAACAGGCTTCTACATGATAGTAAAAATAGTGGGACAAACCATCTTGGCCATGGCTGTTGGCTGGGCCAATCGGAAATTACAATGCACTTCAGCCAGATGCGACTGAGCCAGGGTCTCGGCCGAAGATCGGGTCCAACAAAAGTCAGATAGGCTATTGTACAATAAAGCAGGAGCTTAATTTGTACCTCCTCCTTGCATCGACCAGGATATTTATCCATTCCACGTACACCATCTCCGTGGGCTGTGGCGATGTCTGCAGATACTCATCAGCGAGTAAACCGAAATCCCTCCTTATTTTGATTTATTAGGTTGTTTTTTCCATTGCAGGTTCCAGTTATGCAGTTATGTGGTATACACTGTCCTACACCGTCTACGTTCATGCCCAGGCGGACCATTCGTCTATGGTAGAAACCCCCTGTCGACGGCAAGAGTCGGGAGCAGTCCATCTCGCTATATTTAACACGGTTCCTCATGGTTGTCAACATAACATATCAACCCCCAGAGATGGTTTAATAAGGGCTGCAACAGATCTTGAAAGAGTTGACCTGTTACGAGATTGATAGACAGGCTCAGGGGATGAACAAGGGTGAACTGTAAGACGCTATTAGATGGCACACCACCGCAGACTCGCGGAAGATGTTCACCTCTCTCGGCCTGGCCTTGTGCGTCAGAGAACGAAGGAAACAAGCGTGTGTGTGGCACCAAGGATCTTCAGGTCGCAATAGATGGCCGACTGGTGTATGTACACAGAGAATATGGAGCAGCTGGCGGTAGATCGAGAACGCGCGATACACAAGAGGCGTCCATCAGGAATCGTGTCCTAGACTCAGCCTCGTGCTAGACATGTCTTTTCTCCGCGATTTTAGGTTACTCTCAGGTACATGCGCAAAATAGATGAATCTGTTTAAGTATCTCGACTGCTTTATATGGTCGCTCATATGTAATGGGCTTAATGCTGGTAAATCTAGAGAACTAAACACTTTTTCGTCATATTGTACATATGCAAATTCTTTTCTACTTCCCAACCCCATTTATTCTCATCTGCCGGTACTGTTCGTTGTGGACAGTAGCTGTGCTGTACAGCAATTCCCCAAGATACAGACAAGCGCAGGATGCTCGTATTCTGCAAGTGAAATGCGATGGAATGTGCTGAGGGACCAAGAATAGGCACTATTTGATGGGAGAGTTTATCCAGTTGCGGTTGTCTACTTGGCTTTTCACTGACGGCAAAGAAAAGACTTCAAAACTTGAAAAGCCCCAGCTAGGAAGCTAGGAGGACATTTGGCGGAAGTCTTTTGCCGACGACTGGAACAATGCCGCGGTTTGTTATCATCAACCAATGCCAAAAGACGAGGACCGAGAGGATGGGGTATCGAGACAAAGACAGAACTCGTTCGACTAGAAGATCAGCTCAAGCAGCAACATCTGCCCTGCGTAAAATAGGACGAAAATCAAGGGAGCCGGAGAGGATAAGATACTGTCCGTCCGCATGGGCAATACTGATGGATACTCCGAGGATCAAAAACCTTTTTCGAGGAGCTTGTTTGGCGCGAGCCCTTCTAGGTTACTTATGATGAATAAGGATGTTGTGGAGATGTTTGATGATAGCGGTGATGTGTCGGCACCGCCTTCGAACAATGTTTCAGATATTTTTCGGCGTAGGTGTATCAAAACATGGGGCAGAGGATGGGCATATATCACAAATGGCCGTTGTTGGAGCAGACGCTAATACGCAATAAAAATACTATTTTCCATCATTGGACACTTCGTGGTTCCTGCGCCATAGATGCCGGGAAGTCTGGTCCAAAAGGAAGAAGGGGCGGAAACAAAGACCTATGTGATTTTCCCACACGAGTACATCCTCAGAACACAGACCCACAGACCGGATCATAAAAGCGTACGCTCGATTACGCCTTTTGTTCCCTCCCCTTCCTCACCTCCCCTCTCTTTGCAATCCCGCTTTGTTTCCGTTCCACCATCATCTCCTCCACCTGCACTCTCCCCCAGGCTACACTTTAATCCTCCACAGTCAACGCTGCTCCAGCGGGATCAAGCGCCAATGACGGCTGATGATCACCGGTAAACCCCTTTTATTTCCAATATCTCGAGTGCTGTGCTGATTTGCTGTGCTTACTGCTGCGCAAATGGGCCACAGTGCGCATTGAAAGTGCATTTCTGTCCTACGCTAGGATGATCCACATGCTGCTGTTTTTCCACCGACATGTCTATCTGGAAGGTTACTGTGGCACGCCTGGAAACCTATTGTTTGTCACAGTAACTGCTTTAAGGCATATCACCCGATAAAATAAACGGGATGTAATGAAGACAGGCGTGCACTTCCCAACGACAATGTAAACGTCAAAGTGGCCAGGCCTTTGCTAAGCTATTTTTTTTAAGATGGGATGCTTACTAGTCTAAGGGAAAGGGTTTCAAGTGGAATAAGAAAGAACCAGGTATAGCGCTTATGCTGCTTTCTGCATTCCTTCTGGATCATATCATTCCGCAACTTGTGGGGTACTCTTTTGGGCGTAGTCTACTTGCACACGAAGAAACCCGCGTTACAGCAGCATGTTCGTCCCTTGGCTTCAAATCACAGTGGTGGGTCCATTCCTTGAACTGCTCGAGAATCGTGTTACGGATTGTACTTTGGGCCAGCTCCTTTATGTCAATACTCGCGCCCGCTGCTGCTTCGTTAAGCACCAGGATGTAGGTGTCAGGACCTGCAAACATACGCTTTTTTTTTTTTTGCCTGCCGATAGCTACGCGGCCTTGACCCTAGTTATTGGCTTTAAACCAAAATCTTCGGTAATACTGTGTTGCAATTTTTGTCTCCATGAAACCATGCGGTCAGTAGCACCGTCTTTAGTTATTCAGCTGCGCAACAGGCCTACAACATGCTCACTTCACCGATTATGGAGACCGCACTCGACTAGGTCCCTCCGCATTGATACCGCCGTCAAGGCCGCTGCCCTGCTTAGTCATAAACAAATTGTTGCATGCCATCTATATCAAATAGTACTCTGCCCTTGCGTCTTCTCGTGGTCAATGTCTTCTTACGTTTAGGTGCCTACCTTGTGTGTGCTATACACACTCGACTTTGCTCTGCAGCCGTCTGCTCTAGGTAAAGCTGTGGTAATAGCTCGTGAACTGCCTCCTATTGATCGATGACTGTGCATGATCTTGTTATGCTGTGCTCAAAAATAGAGTTGGTTGGGAAGCAGTGGCTTTGACTGTAAACAGAACCCGCTTTTTTCTTTTTGGAGAGGCCACCCACCTCACACCTCATTTCCTCCTCGTCTTCCTTTCTATCCTTTCTATCCTTTTGTTACTACTACTACTTCTTTTTTTTTTCTTTTTTCTTTTATTTTTTTTTTTCTTCAATACAGTGTTCATCCTTTTGTTCTGGACTCGAGCTTCTTGCGATCCGTCTACATTCCTCATTGGACTCTGATTTCGCGTTAACGAGCAATCTATTTCCGTGCTCATTTCGGTTTTTGTACACTATCGCTACCAAAGTTCCCCCATCAGCTTGGTTGGCGGCCGGCCCCTACACCTTTACATTTGTATATCGCTCCCCTAGTGAATCGATCGCACACAATGCCAGGAACGTCGAACCATAGACTTCAGGTATCGGTGAAGCGAGAGCAGGAGGTCAAGAAGTTGTTGGTTATCGTAGAAGGCCAAGCGACGATCAGGCAATTGAGGAGTTATATCGCCAAGTTGCTACAAAAGAATTACCCAGATGCGACGTATGTATCGTCCCTTGTTCCTGTGTTTTTGCTTGAGGATGTGGGTCGTGGCGATGCGGTTAAAACAAAGTGAGTTGACGCCCTGTGATTCTCTCCCTTTTTTTATTCTTGTGTGCAGGAGGAGATCACGTTCGTTTGAGATCATCGCGATAAAAAACCAGAATTCGTTTGACTTGGATGACGATTACCTCGTGGAGGACGTCTTCGACAGGATGGATTTTGCACACGCGTTGGGACGATACAATGAGGACCTCGATCAGGGCCAGGACCAGGACCAGGACCAAGGGCAAGATTACGACGACTCTGCGGCTTCCAGGAAGCGCAAGCATCGGTACACTCCCGAATCATCCCCAGTACCGGACCAGGACGCGCCAGTAGAAGAGCCATCATCATCATCGCCTTCTTCTTCTACAGCAGATTATCCGACGACATCCGCATCCGCATCGGAGACCCCTGCGAAGAAGCAAAAGCAGCAGGAGCAGGATCTGAGAGAACAGCTGCCAGGATCCGAAGAGGAATGGGTAAAGGCAAGAGCAGTCGTCGATAGCGTTTGGGCGTCAGTCGCCCGGTCGGGACACCATCCGGATTCAAACAGTAAAGCGAAGGCCGCTGTCGACTTACAAGGAGGTAGTAGCAGCCCTGTTTCCTTAGAATCGGCTCATAGCCCATCATCATCACCATACACTCTCGCAGCTACATCATTGGATTCATCCGCATCATCGCCATCTCCTTCCGAGCCCGCGCCTTTACCTTTATCGAACCCTGGGCCGCATGCTGTCAACAAGAAACCCATAAATACCAAATCAAATGCAGCCACCAATAATAAGAAAGGAAAGCCTACCGTTAAGGAGCAATCAGCCTCTGAGGAATATGAATTGGAAGATTCCGAGGAAGACGATGTTGAGGCCGCCGCGGCCGAGGAGAAGAGGGCCAAGATGAAGGAGCAAGAGGCAGTTCGCAAAAAGGAGGCTGCTGCTGCTGCTGCTGCTGCGGAAGAGAAGACGCGGTTGGAAGAGGAGGAGCGCAAGCGGAAAGAGGCCGAAACCAAGGCCATAGCAGAAGAGGAGCGTCGGAGGGCCGCTGCAGAGGCGGAGGCGGAGATCGCTCGCAAGAAGGAAGAGGCGCGGTTGAAGAAGGAGGCCAAGGCCAAGGAGCGTATGGAAGCGGCACAACGAAAGAAGGAAGAAGAAGAGAGGCAGAAAGAAGAGGCGAAGAGAAAGCAGGAAGAGGCCACGAGAAAGGCGGAAGAGGCCAAGAAGAAAGAGGAGGAGGCCAGGAAGAAGGAGGAGGCCAGGAAGAAGGAGGAAGAGGCCACGAGAAAGGCGGAGGAGGAAGGCAAGAGGAAACTGGAAGACGCCATAAGGAAGGCGGACGAGGAGGCCACAAGGAAGGCGGGCGAGGAGGCCAAGAGGAAACAGGAAGAGGAGGCTAAAAAGAAGAAAGAGGAGGCGGCTCGGAAGAAGGAGGAGGAGGCGAAGAGAAAGCAAGAAGAAGAGGAACGCGCGAAGAAGGCCACTGCTGAGGAAGAAAATCGCCGGAAGGAGACTGCCTGGCGTGATGCTCGCGAGAAGGCAATGGCAGAGTTGGAAACAAAGAGAAAAGAAAAGGAAGCGCAGGGGTCCAAGGATGCCAAAGACCAAGCCAAGGTCAAGGATGATCAGCACATGGATGTTGATGAGGAGGAACCCACACAAATGGCGCCCAAGAGTCCCTCAAAGAAGGTCGCACTGAAGGCAGTCGGTAAGTGAGCAACCCGTCCTGGTTAATGGCGTCCATACATAACATGGGCCTTGATGTTGATCTTGATTACTAACACCTTGCCAATATTTGTGCTTTTTTATTGTATCATGTAGAAGTAAAGCTTCCTGTGAAGAGAAAAAAATCGCTGGACGAGGATGCGCGCAAGCAGACAAAGCAGCCTACATCGCCAACCGCCGCCACCAGGCCTGTTAGAGGTGCTGCTGCCAAGGCTAAGGAAAAGGTCCATGCGAGCTTCACGGATATCCCGAACATTGAAGAGGATGAATTAAGCGAGGAGCCAAGCAAGGAGCCAAGCAAGAATGCTCCTGTGGTTACCCCTGCTCCAGCCACAGCTGCAGCGGCGACGGCGCCAACGACCCCAAAGAAGCGCGGACGACCACCAAAAGTAAAGCCTGCAGAGCCAATTGTAGAGAAGAACGAGGCTGCTGGTAAGGATGCTGATAAGACCGCTGACGATGCGTCTCAGAAATCCGATGCCAAGGAAACCGCCAGCGGAGCACCCCTATCGCAGAGTCGGATCGCCACAATGACATCACCCGCAAAGACAAAGGACCTTCCCGTACGCACCTCACTGACGGACGCTGACCTCGAACAAGAAGTTATGGATTTCTTGGAGCAGAAGCGCGTCGAGAGGGATTCTCAGATTAGGTCCCCCGTGATGAACAGCACAGCGGCCGCCGCGGTCATACAGCAGGATTCGGAGCCTTACCACGGATCGCTACCTCGTCCATTTACAACATCCAATAGTAACAATAGTAAGCAGAACAATTCTTCGGTGTCCACATCGCAGTCGCAAGCGATGGGTCGGCCGAGAATGAGAGATTTGGACCTGGACACGGACTCTTCAGATGACACCGGGAACGGCGACAAGGAGGATTATGCGAGCCCAACAATGCCACCGGCAATCATGGCATCACGTCCTTCGATCAGCAGACATGCCAACGTCGGTGTCAGTGCAGGTGTAAATGCGAAGCAGGCTCAGGCGCCAGCACGGTCGGTGTTAGGCGTTTCGACAGTCTCTACTTCTTCGGCAAATAAGCAGCAAGGTAGCGAAGACGAGGAGGACGATGAACCACTGGTCAGGCATCGTGCTGGAGCACCTGTCACGCCAGTCAAAGTCAAACAGGAAGCAAACGGGTCAGCCGGCACCAACAAGGCGGCGGTCGCAAAGAAGTCGGTTGCAAAGTCATCGTCATCAAGCGAGAGCGAGAGCAGTAGTAGCGGTGATGATGGGTCGGACGGCAGCAATGGTAGCTATGACTCGTCAGATGATGAATCGACCAGCTCGGACTCAGACTCAGAGTCGGACTCGAGCGATGATAAGGACGGCAGCGGCTCGGATGATAACACCGCTCCTCTTGCAAAGAAACCCACCACCACCACCACTGCCCTCACTTCTTCACCAGCCAAGAAACCGCCAAGCAGTGCACTGAGCGACATCCGCAGCTTGAACGGGACCAATGTCACCAACAACAAGACCAAACCCGCGAATGAGATCAAGTCGCCTGTCCGCCCATCACTGCCAGTCTCATCAACGATGTCTCTCTTCGGCCCCGCGTTTACTTCCTTGTCCGATATCTCTTCTATGAACGGTATGCCCAAGATCCAGTCCCTCTCGGCACTGACAGCCCAGAGCCGTGCAAACAAGCGCTTGGGTACCATCGGCTCTGTCCTCGCCTCCTCCACGACGAATCAATCCTTGAATACATCGACCTCGACCGGAGCCAAGAGGAATCAGACAAACGGCAAGGGTGGGAATGCATCGTCGTCTGAAGAAGAAGAGGACTCTGAGTCAGAAGAGGACTCTGATAGCAGTGATGACGACGACGATGACGACGACGACAAGGATATAAAGCGAAAAATAGCCCCACAGGTCAAGATTGCTGGTCAGAAGCGCAAGACCCCTAGTTCATCCTCAGCGGCAACCAAGGGCAAGGCATCAGCTGCGCCCAAGAAGAAGAAAGGCGGCCTCGGCGCCATGTTCGTTTGAACACCCCACTCATCATCCACCATTTATCATCTTGCATACTCCAGTAATAAACGTAACCATGTATTGCATTAAATCGATCCTTTCTACATTTACAACACAAAACTGACAAGTTTGCCACCCTTGACAACAATCATCTTCTTGACCGGCTTGGCCTGTCCGTTCTCGTCCTTCAGCCATTTACTGGCACGTTCATGTCCATAGACCAATCTCCTCAAAAACTCCTCCTGTGCCTTCTTATCGCTCTCCGGAGGAAGGTCCGACATCTCGAATTCGACATTGAACCGACTCTTGCCGTTAATCTGGATCCCACACACGACCTTGTCCTCCTTCAACGCGGTCTCGTCAAACGACGGCCATTTATGTGCGAATACACTGTCCTTGCTCGATATCGACGACGCTGTCTCTGCAGAAGAAGTCAGAGGAGTCCTCAGTGTTTCCCAGCACTCTTCACCAAAGGCCGGGGCGAGGGGTGCGAGCATCTTGACGAGTGACTGCACAGAGTATTGGTACAGATCCGGGGATACTTCAGCCTGGATCTTGGCGCTCTTGTTCTTCTTGGAGACCTGCTGCTGCTGCTGTTGTTGTTGTTCCTGCGCTGGACTTGAGGATGAGGGCATTACGCTGGAGATGTGGTTTGTAAGCTTGATCAAGAACGCGATCGACGTGTTGAACGCATACGTGCTCTGGAACGACGTCGTGAGCTTGTAGAGAAGATCACAAAGAATAAATAGAAACAGGATATCCGTTAGAATCCGCTATATCGCCATACCAACTCCAGACGTACCGCAAGTGGACGCTCGCTTACCTCTTTCGCCGTGAGGTTGACCTGGCGCCAAAGTTCCCGCTCGTCCTTATTCATACCCTCGATCTCTGGCTTAAACTCCTCTAGTCCCGCCCCACTCGTCATCGTCGTCAAGCCCTTGCTCTGTCCGACGATCTTCCACACCTTTGCTAAGAACCTCTGCATCCCGACAATACTCTGTTCATCCCACTCCAGCTCCTCTGACGGCGGAGCCTTATACAGCACATGCAACCTCGTCGCATCCGCTCCATGGCTCTGAATCATGTCCTCCGGATCCACTCCGTTGAACTTGCTCTTGCTCATCTTCTCCCAACTCACTGCCGGCGCCAGCCCCGTCGAGATCTGGATCGGTTTTGCTGGGTCTGTCAAGTCCACCTCCGTAGGTTTCAAGAATGCACCCGTCACCGGATCCTTAAATGTCCGGCCCTGCACCATTCCTTGCGTGATCAACACCTTGAATGGCTCACCGCGTCCGGGTTCTTTACCTTCCCGGTCCTCGATCTCAGGTCCCTTACCATAGAGCCCTGTCTTCCATGCGAACTTGGACAGAAATCGAGAGTAGAGCAAGTGCAGGATCGCGTGCTCGACCCCTCCAATGTACACATCCACGGGCATACCAGCCGTCGCCTTGGCTGGTGAAAATGGCAGTGATTTGTTATGTGGGTCTAAGTATCTGAAAAAGTACCACGAAGAGTCTACGAATGTATCCATCGTGTCCGTATCCCTCTGTGCAGCTCCTCCGCATCTGTCATCCACAGGAAACAAAATATTGATGTAAGAAAGTCGTTGTCAGACACGATAAATAAAAATAAAAAGATAAAGACGCAGTATTCTGTAGTTCACATCACGTCCGGATTGCTTACTTTGGACAGGAGCAGTTGACCCAGCTCTCGATCTGCTTGAGTGGGCTTCCTCCACGACCTGTGAACGACACATCCATCGGCAACACCACCGGAAGCTCCTCAGCCGGGACAGGTACCGGTCCACACCCTCCACAGTGGATCATAGGAATCGGTGCTCCCCAGTACCTCTGCCTCGACAGCAGCCAATCGCGAATTCGATAGCTCGTCTTCTCCCTTCCGAATCCGTGCTCGCTTGCTCGTTTCACAATCGCCTCCGCAGCCTCGTCGCTCGTCATGTTGGAAAACTCGCCATTTATGCTCGTCAAGACCCCGCGTGCCGTCAATGCGCCCTCTGGTATCGCCGCTTGCTCCTCTACAATGCCACTGTCAGCTAAAGAAGGAGCGACGACGTACTTGATATCCATCCCCTGCGTCATCGCAAACGCATAATCGCGCTCATCATGTCCTGGAACGCCCATCACTGCGCCCGTTCCATAGTCCGAGACCACGTAATTGACCACATAAACCGGGATCTTTTCCTCCGGCAAGAACGGATGCTTCGCAAACAATCCCGTCGGCACGCCTTCCGGTCCCGGTTCCTGATTCGACGTGACCACCTTCTTCAACGACTCCTTGAATTCCTCGACTTGGCTTTGATGTGTCACCGGAACGTTCTCCAGAATCGGATGCTCTGTCGATACCGCCAGGAATTGGACTCCATAGATGGTATCCGGTCTGGACGTAAACACCTGGATGGCTTCCTGTTGTGCGGCCTGTGAGGGTGGCAAAGGCACTGTAAAGTCGAATTCTGCGCCCTTGGACTTGCCGATCCAGTTGCGTTGCATTTGCTTGACGCGCTCGGGCCAGTGGTGGAGCCGATCGAGGTCCTGGAGGAGATCTTCAGCGTACTCTGTGATCTTGAAGAACCACTGGCGAAGCTTGCGCTTCTCAACGACTGCGCCCGATCTCCACGATTTGCCGTCTGAATCGACCTATGAAAAAAAAAGAAAAAAAGAAAAAAAAAGCGACAGCGGCGTTTATGTGGTCAGCTCCAAAGTAGGTTGGGGTCGTGTCGGGTGATCCATCTAGCCACAGTAGGAACCATACTTGCTCGTTAGCGAGAACTGTTTCGTCAATGGGATCCCAATTGACGACGGCTTCCTTCTGGTAAGCCAATCCAGCTTCATGCAACTTTAGGAACAAATACTGGGTCCATCGGTAATAATCCGGGCTACACGTCCTCAGTTCCTAATTATTTTTTTTTTTTTTTTTTTTTTCGTCCGCAATGTATAAACATCATGAATCGTATCTGTCAGTCGTGCTGCTCATCCATATCTTGGCTCAGATTGTAGCTTCATCATCGTTCTTTCGTCTTGCCTTGGAAAAAAAAAAAAAAAAAAAAAAAAAAAGAAAAAGGATCCATCACTTACCCTCTCCCAATCGAAATCCGCGAGGATCTTCTCCATTTGTCCTTTCATGATCTCGATATTCCGAATTGTCCATTCGTTCGGATGAATCGACCGCTCGATCGCCGCGTTCTCTGCCGGCAGTCCGAACGCGTCCCAGCCCATTGGGCTTACGACCTAACGACAGATCATAGTTTCCAAAAAAAAAAAAAAAAAAAAAAAAAAAAAAAGGCAAAATAATAATAATAAAAACTAGTGTGAGCAAAATAAAAACCTTTCGGGAGTGCTTCATCAACCACTTCGTCAAAGTTCGCTGCAAGGTAGAAAAGGAAAAACGAAAAAAAGAAAAAAAAAGTAGCATCGCTTTTTTTTTTTTTCTTTTTTTTTCCGAATTTATTTACATCGTATCCCATCATACGCCTCGCGCGCGCGAGGGCATCACTGATCGCGTACACGCGCACATGGCCCATATGCAGGTACCCCGACGGATACGGGAACATCGACAGGATATAAAACTTCTCGCGCTCCTTATCCGTCAACCCTGCAGCGGCAGTGCTCGCCCTTGCTGATGCCGTAGCCGCTCCAGCAGTGGTCGTCGTCCGTCCGACACTGCCTTGCCGGCCCGGGTTTCCTTCCACCGCTGCAACCACTTCTTTTCAATGGCTGCATAATCCAATGGCTGGACTGCCTCTGCAGGGGTTGTTGATGTCTCGGTCGCGTATGGGTTTGAGGAAGAGGTGGAGAAGAACTGTGAGAACACTGGTGCGGCCGTCGTCCGGATTGTGGGGATAGAGGGCGAGACGAGGGCATGGGGCCGAAGGATGAATGCGGGCTGGATTCGGATGCTGTGTCGGAAAGCGAGTTGTCGGGTCAGGTGGAGATGTGCCCCTGGAGAGGCGATCCTCAAACAGGAGGACATCTGGGCGGAAAGTGGGGAATGGGGGGCGCTAGTGAAGTTGGTGGCAAAGGAGCAGAGAAAGAGGGGAGAGGGGGGACAAGGAACGGATCACTGTTTACCGAATCCTTTAATGTCCGCAACACAGGCCATGCACTTTTAATACGCCATTTTAGACCAACCACTCGTACATCTCCTTCGTGCCACGGAATCGACCATGGAGTCTCCAATCTCTGATCAGCCCGCTGCGAACCATCCTCTGTCCGTTCACCGCCAGCCCACGCGTGATCTGATAGAGCCACTGGTAGCCGATGGCCTGCAGCAGTTGGTACGCGCACTTTTTGGCTGTATTATGCTGTGTGCTGGCTACCTATATCTGTTGCTAATACGCAGTGTATCTTGCAATACACAGGGATTACATGTAGCCACCACAAGTAACGGTGAGAGCAGAAACCAGAGTGACAGCAACGGTGTTACCGGTAGCGGCGGCGACAGCCAAAGCCAAAACCAAGGTTCTTCAACTGAAGTTAGTGCCGTAAGAAGGAGAGACGCCAGCTGAAGAGGACCAAGATGACGAGGCTACGCTCAAGCAGAAGAATTGGATGGTACGTTACCGCCAGGGGATGTCATACTCTAGTATCAATACCAATAACTTCATTGAGTCCTGGCGTAACACTCTCAAGCGCCACTTCTTGAAGAATAAGCAGAAACGGCGTGTGGACACAGTCATCTACGTCCTTGCTGTCATGGCCGTACCGCACTTTCAACAGAAATGCATTTGCAGCGTTGTCAACATCGGTCTGATGAACCCTGCCCAAAGAACGGAATTAAAACTCGGTAATATTACCGGGAACCATCCCAAGAACAGGAAGCTGAAGGAATACACAGGCCACTACATCATGCAAGTCTCAGACACGATACTCTGAGTAGAATCCTTCACGCGTCTTGGGGCACTATACGATGTCGAGATTGACTTTAGCAGGGCTACTGGCGGCCATGCCATCAGCTGCTGTAAGCACATCGCTTTGGTGCAGCTGGAGATGCCTTCTATGGAGTTGTTCAGATAGGGACCATGGATGTATGAAGAGAAATTCCATCCAGATACGTTCGAGCCGGACCACGAGGGTCCCGCGGGACCTGTAGCGCTTTCATTGCCATACTTGGATGCCCTGAGCTGTTGCTGTGAACGTTTTACCGCCTTGGAGGCATTAAGGGACACATGTGCACCTTTACCACACAAGGAGCAGACCAATCTGTACTTACAGGAAGCGCACCAACAAATTCAAGATGCCCTCGATTTGTTTGAAGCAGGTTTTCTTCGGAAAGAAGGCCATGGTCTCAGCAATAAGCTGCAACGACAACGCTACTAGAGCTGATGGAGCATCCATGCACATACAGGGGTGATTTTTACAAACTGCAGCAAAAGTAGGGCCTTAGATTTTTCTCACGGCGGATAGTAAAAATCTGAAATAACGCAAGCTGTGGGTGAAGAGCAGGGGGCGAAAAGAGAACTTGGACACCGAATCACTCATGAATTCTTTTGACAGCACAAAGTGGCCAATTGCTATGGCTGTGCTTACAGAATACAAGCACCAATGCCATCAATCAATATATGTGTCATTCACCTACAGAATAAAAAAAAGTGCGGGGAAAATCCGATGAGTATCCATAACCCTGTACTCGGAAATAGCATGCAGTGTCGTCTCACGCGAGTTCATTCTCTTCAGAAAACCGCATCCTACCGGTTCACTTGATCGTTTCTGCACCTACCAATGATACCACTCATAGTTATGGAATACAGCTATAGGATAAAAGCCGTATTTAAGAAATCTGTTCAGTATTCATGGACTTTTCTTACCAAGAGATCACAAACTTGAGTCATTTTTGGCAACTCAACGCTCTTGCCTATAAGTGATCTTTTGTTTCCGACATATAAAAATGTGCTGCTTTCTTATGCATTGAATTTTTCATTGCCGACTCAATGTATGGTGCTTATGTCAAAGAAACCTGGCAGATATTCAACTGCAGCTTGCTGCATATTCAGCGTATACAGTCGAAAATGGTTTTTACGGACAAAATGATAAGAACAGTCGACCTCCAACATAAGTTCTATTTTGCAACTTATGTTGGAGAAGCAGTCATGTATTCAGTCCAATTGAAAATACGTAATAATTTAAACATTTGTTCACACACTCTCACTTCCTGAACCCAACTTGTCCTCTACTTCTACCATGCCCAAAACAACGCGCTCTGGTCAGACGGCCCCAGTCCCTAATCCACTAAACACCAAACGTGCTGGCTCTGGTACCTCCGCTTCCAAATCACACATGTCTCGAAAGAAGTACACTCTTTACGACAAGTGTCAATTCCTTACAAAGTATCGTGCAGAGCAACAGCATAACCCATTTGAGTCCCATGTCGCCATATCAAGAATGTTGGGTATACACCCCTACACAGCCGCCCGTATACTCAAGGAGGAAGACAAAATCCATCAAGCAATGGCGACACGGCCGCTTTCGGCAACAAAAGCGATTGCACGCGCCATACGGAGACCAATGGAGATTGTGGAAGAGGTCCTCTATGCCTGGTATAAACTGCAGGAGTCTTTAGGTACGGAAGTCAATTCCTGACCCTTAGTTGCTCGTTTCTTAAGCATACTCCTAATCCATATGTTTTAGTAGGCATCAACGTGTCTGATTATCGCCTGAAAGGAACTGCTGTGGTGATATGGATCCTCATGAAGAGTTACTTTCGTCCCGAGCACCTGCCAAAGCCGATTAGCTTTTCGAATGGCTGGCTTCGAAACTTCAAGAAACAGAAAGGATTCAAGAGATACATTGGCCATGGTGAAAGCGGATCAGTCGACTTAAGTCTCTACCAGCCCCAAATCGAGAACATCCAAATGAGGCTCGAGGACTTTGGCCCAGACAACATCTACAATTGCGATGAGACGGGTCTTTTTCTAAAGGCTATGTCAAACAAGACCATAGCCACTGGTCCCATCCGCGGTAAGGAGATTACCCGAATTGCTCGAGTGTCAATTTTATTGTGCTGCAATGCCACGGGCACAGACAAGCGCAAGCCTTATATTCTTTGTAAGTAATGAAGCATTATCCAAGGACTGTGACAGTGGAGTTGAAAAGGGTTGCTTGCTGATTTTTTTTCTTTTTAAATGCAGCTAAGCACCGTCCAAATGGGTTGGCTACAGCGACAATGATGGAAATGGATGCTGAATTTCAAGGAAGCGGCTACATGACACACGATCTGTTCGCCGACTGGCTCTGGAAACTAGACTGGGACATGCACAGAAAGAGACGCAAGATCGCTTTGCTGATCGACAGCGCACCAGGACATGGCAAATGTGAAAATCTGGGCCTTCCCAACATCACCGTCATCCGGCTACCACCAAATACAACATCCATGACTCAGCCACTCGACGCTGGGATTATCCGGACCTTCAAGGTCTTCTATAGTCAAGAGATGCTAGAGGTTGTCTGCACTCGTCGTGTTCAAAAGAGGTCATCTACGACAATAATTCCGAATGGGAGACTCTGGGCATGTCTGGTCAACTCTTGGAAAAAGGTGACTCCTGACTGCATCCGTAATTGTTTCGTCCAGGTTCCAACTCTGTCCGAGTACCAAAAGATTCATTTGAAGGCTCTAGGAGTCAATACAAAGGCGGATCAAATCAATCGCCTTCAGGAAGAGCTCATGGAACAGTATGCAGGAAACGAAGAAGACATTGCCCTCCAGAAGGACTTTTCTGTTCTGAATTACCTCAGTATGATCCACAGTGAGGGGCCCACACAGGCGATCCACGAGCTCGTCCTCCAGATAATGGGTCGCAAGGAGTACAAGGGAATGTTCCTATCACTCAAGGAAAATGATTTCGTGGATGAGGATAGTGCCGATAATGATGTGTTGGATGACGATGATGACTCTGATCCTGATTACGAGGACACGAAACCAGTTGCCGATGATCAAGAGATGCAGGTAGTCAAAACTGTTCTCCGCGGCCGTACTGTGGACAAGATGGTTCCCATCGAAGATTTCTCTTCACCACCTTCAAGCCCCTATCCAGATGAGGACTATTCTCGAGAATCATTTCAAGAGACTGTAAACGGGTTCATGGATACTGAAGCTGATCTACAGGATCCCAACTGCGATGTTATATTGAAAGCTAACCTTCGGGCAGCTCTCGATACGATGGAATTGCTTATTGATTTGCATGGGCTGAGGAACATGTAAACGCGAACCTGTTTAAATAAATTATACATATTTTTCAATTGGACTGAATACATGACTGCTTCTCCAACATAAGTTGCAAAATAGAACTTATGTTGGAGGTCGACTGTACTTTATTACTATACTAGGCGCAGTATGGTTATGACCATGACATCATTCTCGAATAAACAGTTGTACCTGTTGCAGTATGGCACAGGACGAGTTTAGTTTCCAGCACGACAACGATCCCAAGCATACCGTCAAGGTCGCCAAGCAATACCTCAAGTCCGCCAATCTGATTGAGGAGGACCGACGCTTGCTGTTCTGGCCGGCACAGTCGCCCGACCTCAATCCGATCGAGAATATGTGGGCGTACCTCAAGAAACAGCTGGCAAAGTACCGGGAACCGCCGAAAAGTTGCAAAGAGCTATAGGAGCGCATCTCGAAGGAATGGTACAACACTCCTAAGGAATACTGCCAAAATCTTATCAGCAGCACTCCTAAGGAGTACTGCCAAAATCTTATCAGCAGCATGCCCAGATGGCTTCGTGCCCTTCATAAGGCTAAGGGAAAGCACACCAAGTCTGAAAAAGATGAGTTTTTTAATAAAAATGGAAATTTTGTGGGTATGGTTCAAAACTGAGCCAATCACCTCGCCTCTACCGACGACTATAACTTTACAATAGTTGCTGGTAACGACTTCATCTTTTATTAACGTTTTCTATAGTGACTAAAGAACATTCCTACAAAGTCCCAAGGTAATCCGATCGCTAGTTTGTGAGTATCAGCTCTCAAAGTAAAAACTTGCTCAGTTTTGAACAGCACTGTAGCAATGAAAAGAGATAAAAGAACGAACATGGAAAAAAGGGATGCAACGAGCAAATTCATTCTGGAAAGCAGTTTCATAGCGATGACAAATTTTATTTTCATTGTAACCGACTATGAATGATGCTGTGAAGGAGAGAAATGTCTAGTATGAATTATGCAGAGGGTTAATGAGATGTGGATGGAGAAAAGGAATAATCCTTCAATCCGTGAATGTATTTTTTCCAAGTCTGTAGTATATAAGAGCTCTCCAAACGTAGGAATAAACCACTGATTCAACCATAAAATCCCCTGACCACTCCAGCCCACCGACTGTTTGCAGAAGGCCATGTCAAAGACCCTTTCCAATCGGATTGGTTCCAGAGGTTAGTCATAGTTGCCAAGTGGGCTGAGGCAACCGAACCAGGGGGATGAGGCAGTGGAGCGGGCTCCATCATAGACGATGCATAGTTGTTTCAACCTAGAGAAGAAGACTGTTAGAACGAGGTGCTCAACAACAGAAGAGGCTGAGAACCTAAACTGGGCTTAGCATTTCGCGACATACCGTCACGGAATAGACACAGCCCGTTGATTAACGCTATAAAAGCATTCAAGTCCCTCTCTCTCGATCTTGCCATCACCCTCTTCACCAAGCACTCGATCACAACCAAGCTAGACAATAACAACAACAACAACAACAAAAACAACAGCAACAACAACTATAATATCAAACCATGGCCTTCAATATATCGTTCCTCGTCGCCCTTGCCACGTCCATGGTTCTGGTCGCCATGAGCAGCGCTCCCGAGACCCAAGTTGCCGCTGATACTTTTCCGCAGTGGTGCATTTGCGGTGATCCCAAGGTCAATGGCCAGTCCGTTGTTAGCTGGCTCTCTCAGAACAACTGCTATGTCGCCAACGGGAACTGGGATAGAGGTTCGTGCGGCCTAAACTCCCAGGACCGCTTTGACAATTTTATTAGCGGTTGCAAGCGCACCGTGGATATCAAGCCCCAGCCCAACCCTATCTGCTGGCACTAAAAAGTTGTAGGGAGACAAAAGATATTAAAGAGTAGTTTTGACAAAAGACTCGACGTTTGTTTATTTTTGTTTGTTAACCTGAGGAGAACAACAGCAGTGGGGCTGAAAAGGTGTTAGAGTTGGGAGAGTGCTCTCTTGTGGAGTGTAGAGAAGAAAATGGATGTTATTTTTTTACTGCAGCTGTATTGATCGCGTGAAATTAGCGCATCTATTCGAATGGTACCCTTAAATTCGAATGATTCGAATAATTCGAATTATCAGTTTTATTCGAATTCGAATCGAATTTGAATTCACTTTATTCGAATAGATGCGCTACGTGAAATATATAGTGGTTCTTGAAGTCAGTGAGAAAGAGATGTATCTCCAAACACACATCTACACGATATTTATTAATCAACTAGTAGAACTGCCCGTGGCAAAAAAATAAAATAGCACTTTTACCAAAAAAAAAAAAAAAAGGTCTATTGGATGTTCAGCAGATTCTTACAGACGATATTTCGCGTGTAAACGCCCTCCTTTCCATCTATGGCGCCATTTTCGACCAGAACCTTGAGGTTGTCTCGGTGTTTGCAACGCGAGAAGTCGACGTACAATTGCCCAGCACCAAAGACGTGCTGAGGAAGATACACACCAACGCGGTCAAGTGTTTGTCATTGTGCCTTGTTAATGGTCATGGCAAACGCAAGTTTGACAGGAAACTGGCGCCTAATGAACTTTATTGGCGTAGATCCGTCGTCCAGAGTCGTAAGAGGTATGCGTGGAATAAGAACTGTTCGTCTCCTGAAGTCACCGTTAAGAATCTCGGCACTGATGTATCTCTGACGGAATGCTCGAACAATCAGATGGATATCGTTGCAGAGGCCGGATTTGCCGTCCATGTTTCGAAGGAGAATGATAGGCTGGCCCACCTCCAACAGCAACTCATGGGGAGGCATTGTGATGTTTTATGTACCTGAGAGTGAGTCAAGGAGACAAAAGAGCGTTGTTGTTTATTATGCTCCCGGTAGGGGTTTTTATAGCCCCGATCTGGGGCTTGGAGTATTAGTGTTGCGCTTGGAGATAGTTCTTTTACAGTTGTATGGAGTAAGGAAACTCCCAATCTGAATGCTCGAATAATTTGTGTTCCACACTGAATACAAGGGTCTAACGCACAACTACGCACACTGTAGCGAGTGATCAGCACAACGGTCTTCTTGTTCAACTGGAACCATAATTCATTATTGATATATCTAAGCAAAAGGGTACCTGTAGCGAGTGATCAGCACAACGGTCTTCTTGTTCAACTGGAACAAGGAACAAAAGACCGCTGGTTTCGATCCTCCTTTTATACAGGCACAACCCAAAACCTAATATTAAATCCTGCGTACCCTCGGTGGCTGCTGGCCAACATTAGATAGCTTAATAGTCTCATGAATAAAAATGGAAGTGGCCTAAATGTGAAGGTTCACTCCCAGTACAGTCCCAATTTGGGTCTGGACGGAACAGGCATACCTGGAAGACTACTGTACACTGAGCTTTACATGATCTGGAGCGGGATTTTGAATGTCGAGTGGACTGTACGACCTCCCATCAAGACCCGGGCAGCAATTCCAGATGACGCTCTTCCGTCCAGACCCCAAATTGGGATCGTACTGGGAGTGAACCTTTACATTTAGGCTATTACCTTTTTTATTCATGAGACTATTAAGCTATCTAGTGCTCCAAGACCCAGGTCGGGGCTATAAAAACCTATACCGGGAGCATAATAAACAATAACGCTCTTTTGTCTCCTTAACTCACACTCAGGTACACAAAACATCACAGACGCAACTACGATCACGTCCTTCTCGCGTCTTCCTCGGATATGGGCAATCAAAGTGCTGTACGAAAAAGACTTGAACGTTCCTCCTGGCCCATCAATAAAGAGCACCTTTGCCACACCTTCGTCCTTGTTATCCAGCGCTGCTGTGGTTGCAGCGTAGAGCGCTTTTTGATCGTCTTTGCAGAAATCCAAGTCATGAGCTGACTTAGCCGCAAGTGCCCCAGTGTCGAGCTCTGCATGTTATCCAAGTTCGTCACTGTTGGGTTGGCGATTGATGAGGTTGCGAAAGTTTCGAAGCATCTCTTCATAGACCGCCAGACTGATCCCAGTTCCCTTCAAAATCTCGTTGACATGGAACAGTGCAGTGCTCTTGACAGCCTCTCCTCATTCGGGTAATCTCCAGCAACACACAGAAAGAAAGTTCCGAGATAGGTTATTAGCGAATGCTTCCCACAGCTCGGGAGGATTGGATGGGCTGCATAGGTGCAGAGCCGTGGCGAAAAGGTGGTGTAAGCTCTTGGGACTTCAACGCCTGTTACCAAATCCTCAGTGAAAGGGCACCGTTCAAAGGGCAACGCATCTAAATCCTTTGCGCTATTCGGGCGATTGTAAACGGTAATTATATCAGCGTGCTTGGTGAGAGGTATAAGCTCATCTCATAAAAAATAATAAGAATAAAAATAAAAAAGAATTTACCTTTCGAGCGTGTTACCGAGATTCTTAGGGCAGTCCTTGAAGATGATTCTGGAGCAGCCAGTTTGGCCGCATCTGGATGTCCGAGACACTGGGGAGATCCTGAAGCAGGGGCGGGTGCCAGGTCTGCATACTCTAGTTCCTCCAGATGGTGATTAGCACGCTCATGCCTCTGCTGTCTTTCGCGGGCGCACTTGGCGGCATAGGCTGGAATTAGCCCAGCACTCCAGGTGAGAAGTACATCAGCGGTTAGTTCAGATTGTTCTGCAAGTCCACCCTATAAAAAAAAAAAAAAAAAACCTGCCTTTCGGGCGTGCCACTGAAATTCTCAGGGCAGTCCCTGAAGTTGGTTCTGAAGTGGCCAAGATGACCACATTTACATATCCGAGGCGCTTGGAGAGGTCCTGTAGCAGGGCAGGCGCCCGATCCGCATGCTCTGGTCCGTCCAGATGGCGATCAGCACGCTCCTGCTCCTGCTGCCTTTCTGGGGCGCACTGGGCAGCATAGGCGGAGATGAGCATAGCACGCCTGGTGTGAAGTACATCGGCGGATAGTTCAGACTGTTCTTTTGTAAGTCCACCCCATAAAAAAAAAAAAAAAAAAAAGAACCTACTTTTCGGGCCTGTTCTTGGGGTTCTCAGGGCAATTCTTTGAGGTGATCCTGGAGTGATCAAGTTGACCACATCTACATGCTCGAGGTGCTCGGACAGATCCAGCAGCAGGACTATAGATTCGATAAATTCGTGTCAAGTCAGCATGGGGACCAATGTCGATGTAAAAAGTAGCAACGGCACACTTCACATACACTTGGTCGCACGTTGTATCCATGTTATCAGTAATCATTGTAAGAGGGATGCAGTAGTCTAGTAGTAGTTGAAGGAGGAGCAAAGGGAATGGCTCTGAATGATAAGGGTCAAGCAGTGAATGTGCAAGAACCAATGGCGTTTGGCGCGGATGTGGAGGAAATTGATTTTTGGGAGGAAGGCTATTTGTTTATTTTTGGGCGAAGCAAAAGTTGAGTTGGCAATCAAGATCAATGCCATCGATAACTGATAATGATCTATGAGCTATCGAGAACTTAACATCAAGGAAAAGAAACTGTAAATCGATATGTTTATCAAAGAAATAGAACTGCAGAGTAGGATGGAGGTAGGCGGCGGTGATAGAGACGGACAGATGGAGAGAAAGTTGATGAGAGAGAAAGATAGATAAAAGATATATTTTTATTTTTATTTTTGGGTCTAGTCTATGTGTGTGTGTCCATGCGACATGGCAGAGCACCAACCTCAACTTTCAGCTTGTACGTGGATAAAGAGTACGTGAAAATTAGAGTTAGCTCCGGTGGATTACACGGATTTTACAAAGTGCCTGTATTTTTATTATAGAGGATATTTATTACCTCTGAAACTTAATAAATATCGTGTGGTGTGTGGCCCGACATCTCTTTCTCACCTACTTCTCGACCCTGATATACCACAGTTATTCTTGCCCAGGTATTCCACTACAGTCTACCATATTGCCAACACTACTTACACTACTTATCGTCTAGGTATTTTAGCTGTATCTGCATATATTCATATTCAATACCGCTTGTTGACTGACTTTAGCGTACGTTTTGTATTAGGAGGATATGCGACAGTATCTGGAAAGCGAAGCAAGCAGTTTGAAGCGGTCGTGGAGCTACCAAGATGTGATGAATAAGAAGAATGCCAAGTAACTTATGGATTAGTACAAGGCCAGTTGGATCAGCAATGGTGATCAACAAAGCCTGTGGCTACATAGTATTGTAGTGTATACTGAGTGTACAACGCAGCCAAAGAATAAAACCGTCTCCCTCTCAGGCACACTGCGCTTGCTCTCTTCTCTGCCGACTCGAGTTCAGATTGTTTACAGGGGCCTTGCAAAGGACTTGTTACGCGGGTCTTTCACAGGCATTCGCATGGCTCCAGGTTGGACATTCGTGATGCTGGAAGAGGTGGCATTCTTTTCGTTACTGAAACATGGTGGTTACGCTAGTGCCTGACTAACGCGAAGACCTATCGCCGGTCTTTTCCTGGTACCTTTGCTGTTTTCTGCTTTTATTAATTGACTGTTGCATCTACAAAGATACTTTGTGGCAGCCCTCTCTCCTATCCTCCTCTGGTTCTCCTCTGGTCATTCCGTGTCCTATCCTCTTCTGTGCTGCTATGTCATCCTCTCCTTTCTCCTATCCTCCCCTGGTCCTCTCCTTCTCTCTCCTCCTCTCCTTCCTTGGTCCTCTCCTTCTTTGGTCCGTTCGTCCTATCTCCTTTCCTGGTCCTCCCTGGCAACACCCCCTGGCAACCTCTATCTTGACTGCCTGGATTACCCTGAACTGTGGAAACCAGAGCAAGGAAAGAAAAAATGGGTAAAAATAAAATAAAATAAAAAATAAACCACGTTGCCCCAAAACCACATTGTCCTGCTGTGCGTCGCAGGGTCGCAGCAGGGTCCACTGAAACAAATTAGTTCAGGGTGCATGGAGGATGAACAATGGGCTTAATCTCAACAGATCGACACAGCAAGGTTACTCTATTGCTCACAACACCCCGTTCAATAAAAGTCGTCTGCAATGGAGTTATCTCTTCATGAAGCATTTCCGCTCTACAAGGTGACTCCACATAGTATGATTCAGGACCCGAAGGTCTATTCGTATCCAATTAAAAATCGAAAAAGGCGGTAATCATCGCGTTCTAGCACGGATTCAGGCTTTGTGGCGTTCAACCATAATCCAACGGATGATAACCTCGGGGCCATGGCTTGCTCAGGCAGGCCCAAATACCAGTTACCCGAATGAATGGTTCCTCTAGCACTAAGTCCAATTACTATGGCAACAACATTTCATCAGCAAGTGCAAACCTAACCTGTCCCACGATGGTCTAAACACAGCTCACGTTCCCTATTAGTGGGTAAGCAATCCAACGCTTACTGAATTCTGCTTCAATATGGCGGGTTCGTTGTTGGATGTAGGTCTGGTGTTAGTCGCAGAGGTGGTGCTGGTGATATTGGCCAGGGTCGGTGAGGGAAGTTGGAACGATAGTCTCCGTGAGGGAATTGTTTAGGATTGAGAGAGTTATGTTTCTCTTGGGCATATTACTTATGACAGCGGGCTGCCATGGTCAAGATTTACGGACCCACAATACTCCGCGACCCCAGCTTGATCACTTCATTGTTCACCGCCTTCGCTCCCGTTCTTGGTTTTTCGAACCCATTGAGTGCTTTAATTTGTGCTCCTGACCACCACACTTAATTTGTAAACTTGTCATGGACAAAACTGCTCTGTATATTGTCTTCAGAAAACGCGATCCATGCGCTAAATGATTGGCAATGAGTAAAAAACAAGACACCGTTGCTAATCACCTATTTGCTCCATCTTCACGTCTCCAGCAAGCAAAAATACATCCGCCGAATCGACCGGTTTTGTTGACTGTACAGTGAGAGAATCGGTCGTGGTGACGGTATCGGTCATACTCTGGTTTTTTGACGGCACCTTGAGTTTATGCGCCACGGACGCCATGCTAATGAGCATTTTGCATGCCTCGCGGAAATTCAAAGGCGCAATCGGCTTGCCCACAGCCCCGCGTTGCTCTAATAGCCGCATGTTTATCCTGCTTAAGCCTTGCACGTTTTGGATAGAAGTATCTGACAGAGTAAGTCTGTCATGCATCGAACTCCAATGTAGGCGCACCTGATAGCGATCCTCCTCTTCTATGACCTGCCACATGCGAACGGACTTATCCCAACAGCCGGTTGCGAAATAGGTGCCGTTTGGGGCAGGATTCCAAGTGATGCTTGTGATTGATCCATGGAAATCTTTAACAACTGCCAAACATTGACCCGAATTCACATCCCACAGCCGCACCGTGTTGTCGCTACTGCCCGAGGCGATCTGCTGGCCGCTGGGCGAATACACCACGCTTGTAACACCCTCGGTATGGCCGCTTAAGATGGGGCCGGGTGCACCGGTTTGAGCGCCCCACACTCGCACCGTCTTGTCCCGACTACCTGAGGCAATCTGCTGGCCATTGGGCGAATATACCACGCTTGTAACAATGTCGGTATGGCCGCTTAAGATGGGACCGGATGCACCGGTTTGCGCATCCCACAGTCGCACCGTGCTGTCCCAACTTCCAGAGGCGATCTGCTGGCCGATTGGCGAGTACACCACGCTCAAAACTGGGTCGGTATGGCCACGCAAGGTGTGGACTTTTGCCCAAGTCGAAGTGTCATACACGCTGATCGTGCCATCGTAGAGACCTACTGCACAGAACCTCCCATCTGGCGATTACGCGCAGGATCTCACCATGCTATCTTCTAAGAGGTACGGCCATTCGCCAAACTGCACACCCGCCATCTGTGCGTTGCTCAAATCGGCCTGACGCAGCCAAATATTGCGAAGGTTGACTTTTCTCAAATCTGCCCCTTGCAGCTGAGCAGAATCGAATTGCCCGCCACTCAGGTCCGCTCCTGGAATCTGGATGCCTTTCAGATCTGCGCCGTTAAACAGGATCCCGGCTCTGACCAATATTGTGATCGCATTGGCTGCCGCCTTGCGCGCCTCTTTGTTGATTTTGGAGCATTCGACCGTGGCGAGCAGTTGCTGCTTGAAGAGAGGTTCCTGTTGGACACGCTCTGCTAAAAATTGCAGAATCGATGGCTCGCCCACAAAGCGTTTCCGTGCCAAGGGCGAATCGAGCACGGCCTGTTCAATGGCTGCCACGGATCCCTCTACAGCAGCCTGGCTTTCATAGCTCATGACGGAATGGACGCTCCCTCGACGCGACAGGACTTGAGGTAAGGCCGCGCGACTCGCGCTCTCTCTGCTTCGCGGCTCAAACACCGCTCGGGCCAAGCAGTATTCCAGCAGTGATTTATGGATAAACCGGTACTGATTGCCACTGCGCATCAGAGGACACGCCTCACGCAAGAGCTACTGCTTTTCGTCCCCCTGGCTAAAGAAATCTTCTTTCCGTGTCCATTGATCGCGAAAGGGCGAGTGCTCGACCACCGGATTGCCCGCTTGCTCTTCGTACATCGCTACCGCTAACGCTTTCAAAAAGGTAACTCCGTTCTGTGCAAAACCATCGCCAGACAAGCTCTCGAACACCTTCTTTTCTTGATAGCTCAAGTCCTTCTTGTCAACAAACCGTTTCTTGCCCCGCTCCAACCATTGCTCCACAAACTGGTCATACAAAGCGACTCTCGTGATCCGGACGGCTGAGAGATCTTGTCCTGGATCCACCATGCGCGGCAGTACCTCCAAGGACAGCGTCAAAATAAAAGGGTTCTTGACCAGGTCTTGTAGGCTGGGAATCAAGTTAAGGGCCTTCAAGTAGTCCGCCCCCTGCCAGACCGGTCTCATTGCGGACACATATTTCCTTATGTATTTTTGTATTTGATCCATAGAGAATGGCGCAATGACTGCCTCTTGAAATGCTGGCTCTGCTTGGTGATTGTGATCTGCTGGCTGGAACCGATCCCGATAATCGAGCCCAAGATACTCGCTGCGGCAGCTAATGACCATCTGAGCCCTCCATTCTCCCACCTGATTCAGCCCGTTACTCGTGTACAGGTTGTGTGTCTGCTGACTCTCATCATACCCATCACAAATCAAGATGAATTTGCGGTGGTCTTTCAGTTCTCGGATCTGGGGCTCGGTAAACTCTGCCTTCCGTAAGTGTTTGGCGATCAGATCCTGGTCTGGCTTGTCGATTGCAGGCAGGCTGATAAAGAGCGGGATTCTGCCTTCCCTCTTCTTATAGGCATCCCACAAGTCGCACTCGAGATGCCGGTTAAATGTCGACTTGCCTCCACCTGAATTCCCAGCAGGAGCATCACCTTACGGTCACTACTCAGGAATCCTTCAACTTCTCTTGTCAGGTCAAACAGGTTGTCATCGGACGCTTGCAGGTTGGCCTTGGCTTGAGGGGAGATGTACATGGCTCCGCCTCGTTCCTTCAATCGTTGCTTTCTCAGTCGTCTCAGGTCGGTTTCAACATCAGGCTTGTTCTGGACAAGGTCAAGCAATGATGATGACGCGACGGTTGGTAAGGCGACCTGCAGCGGATGTAAGCTTCGATTTTCCTTTCGGCATTTCTGATAAAGAGTTCCCTTCGTCTCATCGCCATTCGACTCCAGCTCTTGCAACAAAGATTCGATACCTACACCATGCATCGCATAGACCACAATAGAATATAGTACAGTTATTAGTATCTGCTCGGTGGTGAACTCCATACTTCATGATAAGGCAAGAGCCTCTCACATATCCGCTCATCATACGTATCTGGCATAGCTGAGCCAAATGTCGAAGCCAACTGCATAAGGATATGAAGGATCCATTGTTTGACGAGAGCTTGCTGTCCCCACACCGCATCGTTTCGGTACATCTCGCCCAGAAACGCAACAGCGCCTTGACGAGGCTCGATGTCCCACAGTGGATTGGCAGCAAGGTCTCCTAGGCGCTGGCATACTCCTAGTTGAAAGGCTAGATCACGCCGACAAGGCGCTTCGCAGACCAGGGTCTTGAACTTGGCGAGATGACCGTCTCGAAGCAGTGTGTCTGTCCCCCGCAGTGCTGTATACCAGGCACGTTTCTTGTTGAAGCTGAGGCCGGCCTTGAGAGATTCCAACAGTCCTTGTCCACTCTCGGCCAGTGCACTCACACCTTCATAACCGATTTTCGCTACCTGGATCACTTCTCCCAGTCCCTCCTGAAGATGTCCGAGTTCTGTGATGAAGCCGTTAACATCTAGACCTTTTACGGCACTAACTAGCCCCGCGACACCCTTCAAAGCAATTCCAGTGCGCCGCATTGTTGCTTGCCAAGGTGATTCATTGTCTGGAACACACTGCAGCGTTTGGAAGGCATAGGCAGCCTGGTACACCAAGTAAGGATCGCTGCTGCCTTGCAACTCATTCAAATAGGCAGAGAGTGGCTCGTGCAGCTCTTCACGCTTTAAGCCTGAGACCTTGGTATCAGCCATGGCATCCAAGACATTGGACACTGCGAGTGTCAGCTGGTAGATATGGGCCAGAGACTGATTGTGAGTATCCTGTAAGCGGGTGTTGAGGATACGTAAGATCGTGACTAGGTCATCAGCGTCGAGGTAACCTGGGGAAGCTCCTTGGATCAGTTGCGCCAGTCCCTTAAGAGAATGGACATCCAGCAAGCTGGACTGTTCGATGCCATTAACAAAGAGCATGAGCAAATGTTGAAAATCATCCTTCTCGAGGACCGGGCCCAGACATACGACCTCTGCAACGGCTTTGGCATCCTTGAGCTCATCGCGAGCGAATGCTCGGATCACATCTGTCGTCAGCGTCTTGAGTCTCTCCTTCTCCTCTGTATTATTCTCTGTGGATTTCACCCAATTTCCTGCGGCTGGTTCAAAGACCTCTTCGGACGACAGCGTCACTTGCAGAAGGCCAAGGCAGTAGGCGAGCTGGGAAGTATCGTTGAGTCGCTCATCTGCGTCTGGTAATGCGATCTTGACGGTGGGCTGACGCATGTCATCGGGAAAGATATCCTCAGGGATCCGTGCCATGTCGCGACACGCATTATCAGTAGCAGAGGAACTTACAAGACCTGGATCTTTTGTAGGACGCACATGGCTGTTGAAGTCAGAGGTCAGTCAACAAAGTGAGAGATGTGTTAGGTACGACATACGATATAGCCGGTTAATGCGGATAGGTAAAGAACAGGTACCTGTCACTTACCCCCACTTTTCTGCCCTCTTGTAGCTAACCTGTGCCATTTCACTATATCCATAGCTCTCCAATACGCTGGCGTGCTCGAGACAGGCGTCGGCGAATCCATCGCGCAGGGCTTGATCCTCGACTGACAGGGAAGTTGTAAAAGTCTTTCTCGCTGCTCTTTTCATCCGGGATAACGCAGCCTCCGCATCGTCGCACAACACTAAAGCGATTTCCCGATCCTTGGTTTTGCGTGCATTCTCCACGTAGATGTTGGTGAGTTCCAGTTCCTTTTGTGGTGAGAGAGCCTTTCGCAGTGACGAAAAAGTTCTGGCAAACATGCTGCTTCTCTGAGGGCCTATTGTCATAAAGCAGATGGCAGCGATATTAGTGACCTTGTAGTAGATTTAGTAGATTGATATACCTGTGCGAGTAGCCAGTATACGTACTTATACTTGACAGGCACTTCAGTAACGTAATGGGAACCAATAAGTCGCCGTGGGCTGGTATACTACAGATGATGTGGCAGCGGAATGAGCTATCATAAATCAAAACATAGCAGCTGCATGAACTATATCATATGTGGTTGCTCTGCCAAGTGATGGCACCTCACCTCGGAAGTGTCTATTCGACTCTTGCTTCCTTTGCCCTCTCCGTGCCTCTTAACAGCGATACCGACTGCCCATCGTGAAGCATGTAGGATTAATAACCTTATAACATGCCTGTAGGCTACTATCGACTGACAAGGAACAGTGCCTCACCTCAACAGGAATCTGTTTCTCGAGTACTTTAACCAGCCGAGGAGATGGTCCGTCCCTGTGCAATGTTCTCTATTCCAATTCTTTGTTTAAACGGTCTGCACACGAACAAGGCGGTCGAGTGGAGTGATATTCGTCACTTCTAGCAGAGATTCCTGTAACCATGAAAGAAGGGATTAGTATCCATTGCACATGAATGGCTGTTCTCCTGATCTCGGCCATTCTAGCATTAACACTCTTGACTCGACTGTAGTTGTTCAGGCGCATTCAGGGATGGTACTTTGGCAGATAAACTGTGTCTTTGTTACCAATGAGTCGCCGCCGGGCTGTGCTTATTGAGATCGAGCAGAGACGTACGAGAGACAGACAGAAGAGTGAGAAAAGATGAGAAAGAGTTCCTGATGGATTGAGGGAGGGTGAATCTGGGAAGAAGGGAAAATGGGAAAGTGAGAAAGTGGGGAAGAGGGGGAAAGAGTGCAAAGACACACATCCATCGTTGCAGCATCCGCCAAACGGAACCGTGCTTGTAGTCAGATTATTCCCTCGCCCCCGTGTAACGTGTAATGGGCTCTCGGAAAGAAGGAAAACAACAGTCTGAGAATTGTGCAGCAATGTTCCTTGCTCATCTTTTCTCACCGCTTTTGCGTCTTCCAGTAATTGAAAGCGAATGCGACGGTGGCATGAGAGCGAGTTAGCAATGGTGAATGCGAAGGGAGGAAGGCGAAAGCCAGGGTCAGGGCGAGGGCGAGAGGCAAGGTAGTCCATAAGTGTGGGCTGTTCAGAGTTTAGCCCCGCAAAAGGATGTAAATAGGCGCAGGAACACCGCAAATCCGTTTCACTGCATGCTGGGTACGACCGTTATCAACCCTAAGGACACTCGTTTACTAGTAACACAATACCAAATCTGGAGCTGTTCCTTCCCCGCGCGACGCGAACGGGATCTTGTGCAACATAGCCGCTTTTTTGTCGCGTGTGAATTGCTGTTATTCGCGGGATATATTGATGTATGTATACATAATCGTTGAGAGTAGGGTATTGTATTTCTAGATATGTCAAAATTGCTCACAGCTCTACCTAGAACTTCGTATCCGTAACCCCCAGCGACTCGACCATGTCCTCAACCTCCTCACTCAACGATCTCTTCGACAACTGATCCTTCTTCAGCCGCTGCCCCTTCTCTTCCTTCTTCCTCCCCTCCGATCCTGCGCTCGCCACTCGTGAATCACCAGTGCACGATGACTTCGACTTCAAACTGTTCTCCAAAAACACCGACGGCGGGAATTGTCCAAAGTACCTCTCGAGCTTCTCTGCCCGTCTCAAAAACCGCTCCTGGTCCTTCCCAGACATGGCTCGTAATCGCGGCAAGATCTGTGCCGCCGCAATATCGTCGCCCGAATCATTATCATATCGCGAATCTTGCACGAGCGTAAATGATGTAAGGTCATTTTCTGCAGTCGTTGTGGTAGTCAACGGGGACAGGGGCAATGCAGGACCCGAAGTAGCTGATGAAGAAGAGATACAGCCCGCGTCCGCACTGTTGTTGTTGTTGGCGTTGACGTTGGCGTCCGCATGGAGTAACTGACCAATTCCAGACATACTCTCACCTTTGGACGTAGATAGTGGTGGTGGGATAGGTGAGGCAAGCTGCTGTCGAAGTCGACCTGTCGTGGTGAAGCATTGTTTCACTGACTGTCCCTGCAGCTGCTTCAGGTCCTCGGCCAGTCCTTCGCTTTTTCCCCTCCCCATGCCCAATCCCCGTGGATCCGACAGCAATCTCTCCATCTTTGCTGACTCATCCTTTCCTCCTGTCGTCACCCTCGCGGGCGCTGACCCAAAAGCTGCTGCCGATCCTGTCACTGCCGCCCTCAGATCTGCCGTCTTGCCCTTACCAGTACTCCCACAGCTGCTCCGCCCAGCATGAAATCCATGCCTCTCGAGCGATGACAGAGATGGCGAGCCGGATCCAACAGAGCTCGTCGGAGAAAGCAGATTCAAGTCCAACATCTCTTGAGTCCTCTCGCGGCCTACGGTGCCCATCCATAGATCTTGCTCCGGTACACGATCGCCGAGGAACTGATGGATCTTGTCCATCTTCTTCTTGCGATGGTATCGACTCATGCCTACCTTCTTAGGACTGCGGTTATTGCCAGCCACGCATCCGACAACATGGGCGTTGGCGCTCAGATCCGTTTGACTGAAGGGTCGGATGCTGCCTTTCTTAATGCCAGGCGATGGCGGAATACCAGTGGCAAAATCTTGGTCATAGTCATCATCATCTTGAAGCGCGCCGGCGGTCACTAAGGAGTCAATACTCAGGAAAGAGCGCAGGGATTGATGGCTAGTTAGGCGAGTCAGGCTTGAACGGTGAACTCTTGACGGGCGAGACTGATAACCCTTCCTGGGAGAAGCTGATACCGTAGATAGACGGCGTGATCTGACACCGCTGCGTTTCGGGATCTTGCCTTTACCCTTGCTAGTACGACTGGCTCCAGAACTTGCATCCAGAAGCGCATCCATGTCCTCGTCACCTTCTTCTTCCTCTTCATCATCTTCGCTTTGTCCATCATCGCTAGCAGTATCTTCATCCTCAGCACCATGACGAGATCCCGCCTTACTAGTCACCGAACTCTGCCGCCTCCTTCTCACTACTCTATTTCCAGCACTGGTCCGTCTACCTTGAGCGCCTATGCCCTTAAATCTGGACGAGAACAGTACCGGACGGGTCAACGCAGCCGCGACCTGAGTCTCCGGCAAGGACTCTCCCAATAGACCACGCAACTTCTTATTTCGTTTCCACAGGGCTGTTCGCTCTCTGTCCGACAATTGGTTCACAGACGAAACCGTCACCCCGCCAATCCTCTTGGACTGCTGCTGGTTGCTATCGCTCGACATCCTATCAATCTTAGCTTTGCGATGCTGTTGCTGTGAGAATCCAACCATACTGTCCTCCTGGCCCATCGGCAGCTGTGAGGATAATTCCAGTGTTGTCAACTGTGCTCCAAAGAACGTCGACAGCTTGTCTGCCTTCTTGCGCCTCGAGTACATGGCCTGTCGATCCAGTGATGCGCCACCAGCCTGATCAGCCCCAACTTTGTGCCAAGCATGCAGCCCTATCATCGCGCTAGTTGGTGTCGTTGGTGCCACCCCGCCACCACTATAGCCGCCTAGATTGCTGTTACCCATGATGCTGAGAATTGACATACCACGGCGTCGTTCATACGCTGAAGACGATACACCTTCCTGATCGGAAAGCGATCCACTCCAAAGCGGGTGCGGATGTGCCAAGATCCGCCTCTCATGGTGCTGTAGATCTGTGGCGGTCTTGGACCTGAAGTGGCCAGGTCCGTCCTTTTCACCGGTCTTCTTGAAAATCGACCCCCTGGAGGACGTAGGTGAGCGCCTGGCGTCAAAAGGATGTCGAGAACTCGCCAAAGACTGGAATGCCATGTATCCCCTCTCGTCCTCCAGCTCTGGCGAACTCCTCCTGAATTTCTGTAGCAGATTACTCGACTTTGGCTTGTTCGTAACTCCTTCGCCCGGCGACAGCAAGAGCACCTCGCTCCCGCTTCCCATCATGTTCCTCTTGATCTTTATGGATTTACCATTCCCTCTGAGCTTGCTCATGTGTTTCTTATCCATGTCATGAATCGTCGACGACGAAAGCGCATATGCCAACGGGGACCCCATCGTTGGTGCAGAACTCGGTCCCGCCAAGGCCACACGACTCACTCCATTCTCCGTGATCTCCTCCACCGGACACAACGTGCCATCAACGCGAGAGCCAAAGAACTTTGTCAGCTTGTTGTTCCTCCTCAGCAGTCTTTTCCTCTGCGCAGCTGTCAATCGGACGTGGTCGCTAAAGTACCCCGCTACCATCCAGCGCGTTGTCCGCTTTCCATTCTCGATCGATTCGATCTCGACCGTGTCCTGGCTACTGCGATAATGATCATCGGCATAAAGGTCCATCATATCCTCACTCAAGTTGGAATTCCCCTTCCGTCCCACGATATTATCGTTCAGCCGTTTGGAGAACAAGTGCCGCCTAGTACCACCAGCCGCTCTGGCAGCAACACTGTTCGCTGAAGCCCTTATGTTGCTCAGGTTTCTGCCGTTGGGTGCGCAGTTCTCAAAGTCGTCAGAATCCTCGAATTCGTCATCACCGAAATCGTCCGCTCTGCCTAGACCAAGGATAACACGACTGGGATGGCGAATTGATGTAGGGATGGGTCCAAAATACTGGCTCATCGTTTCGGCCAGGGCCTCTTCCTTATCGCGAGACCGGTCCAGATCCGAGGTCGAGTTGTTCCAGTTGTACAGTGTCAGTGGTCGGGCAGACGGGTGGCGAGATCGAGAGCGAGCGACAGTAGAAAGGATGACGGACTTGTTGGGGCGATAGTGCGAGTTGAAGGGACCTTGGAACGTTGCCTTGGCGTATTCGTCGGGTTCTGTTTTCGTCATGTATCCCATGGCAGAGTAACGTTAGCAATGAGGCGATTTCGACTGCAATAACCGCAATGATAAAACAAAACCGATGCAGAAGCTGTAAAGGACTTACGTTCACGTTTGATCTTCTCGGTGGCTTTCCACAGATCACTCTCCTCGAACCGCACGAGGGTATGTCCCTTCATGAGTTGATACGTATGCTCCTGAGCGCCATCAAACATGTGTCGATCTAGTGGCCATCCCACGACATCGTCTTCTCCCTGTCGCCTCTCTTCCTTCCTCGAATCCTTGCTCAACGACCCCCAGCGGTATCCGCCCTTCTTCTTTTCTATAGGCCGAGGTGAAGGCGCCACAGACGAAGGCATCGACAGTACATTAGGTGACTCGTAATCCAGAATAGGCCAGGGGATGTCTGTTCGACTCTCATCACTCAGATTGACTTGCAGCGGCCCACATGAATCAATATATGTCAAATAGATATACCGCGCATGCTGGACTCCAAACTGCTCTGCACTCATTTCCTGTGTCTTGTCCGCCCCTAGATCATCCTGTTCCTTCTCGTCTTCATCCTTCTCATCACTTTGGTCCATCGGCTTACTCCTTCGTCCCATCTTCAGAAATTCCTTGCTCGGTTTCGCAAATAGCTCAACATCCATCCAGAACAGCAAGTTCTCGATCGAGTATTCTTGGAAACAAAACTGCCGGAAATGATCTAACGCTATTGAGTTGTGCAGAATCTCTTGAAACCGTGCGTCATTCGAGGAAGACTCCAAGTTCAGGAGGATATCCGTTGCCCGGGATCGCTGTCGTCTCGCTGACGGTCTGATAGGGGCATCGCTATACTTCTTCTCGCCGGAATAACGACTCCCTGTCGCTGCCGTGGTATCTGTTGTGGTCGAGTACATCGATGTCGGACGACACGAGTCGGCTCTTGAAGGCGTCTCTATTAGAAAATGCGCTTGTTGGGCGGGAACCTCAACAGTGTCAGGTGAATCAGCTTGATAGCTTCCATTCAGAATTGACGATGTGGAGGAAACAAGCGAAGATGCCAGCAATGTTGCCGTGGTATCCGTCGTCACGGTTGACGCTCTCGGGTCTGAGCTATATTCATGTGCCCTGCTGGAAGCGGCACCCGCTGCTGGTGTAGAAGTCCTTGGAGTCGTTTGATCTGATGCGGTTGAATTTAAATGGCTGTTCGCACCAGCGATCAGGCCGTTGCTGACTGGAGAAGAGGAACGGCTTCGAATTGGAGTGGATGCCATTGTCGCAAGCACTGAAGAGTGTATTGAAAGCAGGTCAGATTCGCTTGAATGGGCATTAAGTGGCGAGATGTGGACATTGGAGTGGCTATTGCTGGGAGTAGTGGTGGAGTCAGGGGAAGAGCTGGGGTGCGACATGGCCGACAGCGATGGCGACGAATATTCTTGTGTGGGGATGGCATCCTGACCGACTGCCAGGGCGAGATTTGTGAGTGACAGCTTGCGTCCCATACCAAGGCCTTTTCAGGATGAAACGGACATCGTTCGATATGAATGATATTTGATGGAAGGATGGGTTGACAAAAGAGGATAGAAAGCAATAACGCGGGAGAACAAAAGAGGGAAGAAGAGAAACGATTAGTGAATGCCCTTGGCCTTGATGAACGAGATCCCAGCCCCTTTCCTTCCCACTTTTTCCAACAATACAAAAAAAGTGAAGCGAAGTAAAGCGATGTGATGGTGTGTGCCTTTTGTCCATTGTTTGTTCGTTCGACTAGTCTGCCCCTGTGCCCCCTATCCCTTAACACCCACCCGTGCATGCCTTTCATCTTTCCATCGCTTGCATCGCTTTTGCATCGGCGAATTGTTGGCCAAACAACAAAAAACAACGGACGACAGGTCGGAGTTCGTGATAAACAGAAAACGTGTGCACGCTGTGATATCGATACGCGTGCTTTCGTATATTTCTCAATATACTCCAACTCCATTTCCCTCCACGTTTCGTACAGTACTCTTAGCAAGGATGAATAGTCCATTATTTTTATCCGCATTTCGTCAGCCGTTCATCAATGGCCTTCATCTCTCAAGGTCCCTCTTAAAATAATTAGAGATAAATAGCATGGGAGCCCTGCTTAGAACGCTCACTTCAGATCGACAAAAAAAAACCATCCAACTCGACTTTACGCCCACGTTTCTTTTTTTTTTTTTCATAGCTTCGCCCTTCCTTGTGGCACCATACCTTAGCCTCCCATGATCAAAATTACCTCCACTATACAAAAGAACAATACATGAACGAATGACAAAGCGTCCCTGCGTTTGTTATAGAAGATAATGTGTTGTTTTCCCCACTCATCCGCAACGCGCTCCTTTCTTCTCCATGTTTCCCAAACAAGCATTCGACTGCAGACTCGGTTTTTGCTTACCTTGATCAATATTCATAGCGTGAACAGTGCTGTTCCACTCCAGCACATCCTCCACCCGATCTGAAAACCGCAGCTGCACCCCTCGTGACTCGGCCTCCTCTCTTTCATCCGTCAAATCTCCTCCCTCTATCTCATCCTCATCCACCCACTGCCCATCCCCGTCCTTCTCTTCATTCATACCATCTTTACCGTCCCCTCCGCCCCCGTTTTCAATCGTCGTCGTCCACCTTCTCCTTCTCTGTCGAGGCGGCAGTTCGACATGATCAAACAAGGCCCCACACTCGATCACAGGGTATCTCGACGTGCCGAGTTCACGCTCGACTAGGAATGCGTACTCGGCCTCGATCTGTCGGGCCAATTGCTCGATCGTCAGGGATTTGGGGACCGTGATCGAGAAGGAGACCCCGGTGGGGCGGTTCAGAATGATGTGGAGAGGGATGTAGTTTGAGATGATCGAGGAAAGGGTCTTTTGGCGACGGGTGAGCATCAGCTCTTCCTGGTGGTTGGTTACCATTGGCCTTTGTGGTGAGGGATCGGAAGTGTGAGAAAATGTGTGCTGTGTGGTCTTTTTGTTTTTGGTGGCAAATGATTACAAAAAGACTCTTGAAAATAAAGAAAAACTCGGTCGCAGCAAACGGAAAAAAAAAAAAAAAAGTGAGCAGTAAAACAACGGGTAGGTCGCCCAAGGTGAATGATCTTTTCACAACGGATGGAATGGAGGAATGTTCATCAGTAAAGACTAGGCTGCAAAGGGGTGGAGCACGGGAAAGAAAGGGATCTTGTTTTGAACGTGGGAATAGCGGTATTCAAATAAAGGGCGAGAGAGAGAAGGAGTAAGAGTGAGAGAGAGTGAGAGAAAGAGAGACGAAGGAAAGTATGGATAGTGGAGAGGCAAAGATGCAAGGAAGGAAGGGGATGAGGAGATGGATGCGATTGAGATGCCAATGGCCATGGACGACCCGCATAAGAGGAACTTGATGCAACCCTTATGTCTGTGACCTTGAACCAGTATTTCCACAAACCTGAGCCCTCTCTCGATCTTTTTTTTTTTTTTTTTCGTTATGCGGTGCAGAGCACTTTTTTTTTACTTCTCCTTCAATATCCCCCTTCTTTTCAATACTCGCTTGCTCCTTCCTTCTTTGACACCTACAATAAATGCCCTACGCATATGCCCCATGTACGTTATATGCATCTACCAATGGAAGAGAGCACCCCCAAGTCCCTGCTCACTCACGTCTTGGTTGAATACATCTCATATCAACCCCGCTATTCTCCATGCCCCTTGGCTTCTTCATCTCTTTTATGTTGCATCGTTATCCATGAGGAGGGGTTGAGGGCCGTATCAAGGGCTAATGGGACGACTCAAGGGGAAGGGATGACGATGGTAACGAGGGGAGAAAAGGGGGAAAAGGGGTGGCGCGAAGGCCGCATCCACCTCCAGCATGTCGTCCTGGTCTGCTCTTATTTGGCAGATGATGTTCCCTGAATTATTTCGAAGCGAGTTTTTGCACTCCTAGCGTCGTTTATAGCAATGCATAGTATCGAGAATGACAGATGCGCAAACTGTCTACCACTGCTTGTGCATAAAGACAACCATAGTTCATTCGATAAGAACTGTGCTATTATTTGTACTGCGCAAATTATAACCTTTTATACCAGGTCCACAAACAGCTTTATCAGTATCTAATCCAAACATCCCTCTCCAGAAGCACACCTTTCAATGCATGTAGCGTTGTCCGGACTAGGTCAATTCTGAAGTATGAAATTTATGTCCTTCCGACCGTACCGGAAAGCCCTGGAAATCCGAGTAAAGACAGCTGCTTCGGCAGAATGTCTTCCGCTGTCCTGAATCATAAAATGCGTCCAGATCTGAGACTGATAGAGTTGTCGAGCACAATATTATATGATTTTGTGAAGAGCAAGCAACGCTCCTGAGAACTACTTCTTTCTATAACAATGCTTTTCTTTTTCGCCCTTATACCTCTTTATTTATTTTTTCTTCCTCTCTCTGTTTATATCCTGCTGATAAAAAAAAAACAACATCAATACATGTGCGATCGCTCTCCATCGTCTAAAAGATGCTCATGTCACTAACGAACCGCCCCACAAGATCCGTGTCCTGGCGAGCCTTCTCAATTGTCATCAGTAGCTTCTTGACACTGATGGACAACTTGTCCTCAATCCCGCTCTTCGCCAACGTCGCCATCGCAGTCCGGCGATCATCATCCGACTTGAACAGCTTCAGGCTCTTGACCACAGTGTTCACCTCCTCCAGTGTCCTCAAGTTCTCCACATACAACTCTGACGAAAACGAATCCATCAGATCCATCTCTTCCAGCACATGTCGTCGAGTCGTTGTAGTCAACACCAGTAACCTTCTGCCCTTTGGGGGCTGTTTCTTCAGCAACACAGCTAACGCCTGCAGCACCGTGTTCGAGAACCGAGATCCGATCGGCGTATAGTCCAGCAGGCGCTCAACGTCGTCCATCACAATTACACTCAGAGGCGACTTGTACGAGTCCTGGAACACTCTGTGGATCGCATTGACCTTCTGTATCTCGCTCATGCCAATCATCGTCTCGGGTGAGATCAGCTTGATGAACGGGAACTGTGACTCCATCGCCATCGTCGCTGCCAGAGCAGTCTTGCCTGCACCAGGGGGACCATGAAGCAGCATACTGACAAGAGGCGTGCGCTCAGAATGCTGGACCTGCTCCACACGAAGCTGTCCTTCTTTGAGGATCCTGTCGATCTGTGGCGAAAAGTGGATGACACCGTTCGTGATACATGCATCCAGCTCCTCTTCCGAAGAACCGAACGCTGCGTGCACTTCATCGAGTGCCCCCATGAAATCTGCGCGCTGGATCTTCATGTTCTCGAGATCGCCTGTTGTGCCAGCCAGCGTTCCCACTTTGACGTGACGATTGAACGCAAACGATGTTGCTGATTTGACAAGACCGTTGATCTCAGCTCCTGTAAAGTTCTTTGTCAGAGCCGCCAACTCAATCAAGTCCACATCTGATGCGAGCAGGTTGTTTTGCATGGCCTATCACCATCGTGAACAAAGATGAGGCTTTAGAAATTTGTGCAGCAATTAAACAAGAGCACATACAGCAATATCAATGAAAACATATATTACCTTGTGAGTATGAATCTTCAGAATCTGAAGACGACCATGCTCATCGGGAAGACCAATCTCCATGTGGACTTCCATACGACCTGGACGCAACAAGGCCTCATCAATCATATCCTTCCTGTTGGTCATACCGATGATGAGAATGTTGTTCAGCTGCTCAACACCGTCCATCTTGGCCAGCAGCTGGTTGACGACTGAATCACCGACGCCCGTGCTGTCGTTCTTAGACCCACGCTGCTTACAGATCGCATCTAATTCATCAAAGATGATGATGTGAAGGCTCGAATCCTCGCCCTTGTCCTTGTACTCGGTCTCAGCATCGATAAACAGCTTGCGAATGTTCTCCTCCGATTGGCCCACGAACTTCGACAGCACCTCGGGTCCGTTCACGATCTTGGGCTCACGACCGTTCAACATTTTTCCAATCTCACGGGCCATTAGTGTTTTTCCTGTACCAGGAGGGCCATACAGCAAGATACCCTTCACGTGCTGAATGCCCATCTTCTCAACGATCGAGGGCGGGAAGATACGCGAGGCGAAAGCACGTCGGAACATGTTGCTGAACTCTGTGTCCAATCCACCAATTCCCATATCCTCGAACTTGAAGTCAGGCTGAATCAGGGTCACCGCGGGTTTGCTACATCAAATCAAGATAGATTGAAAGTACATTAGCATGCAGTCGAAGGTCAGCCCCTATAGCTGTCGCTTGGCGCCAATATGTACAGCATGCTCTACCTACTTTCTAGCAGCGCCCTTCAGCTTGATGTTGGAATCCTGAGCCCTAACAAACTGGATCAGACTCTGCTGCGTCAAAACGCCGCGGAATCCAGGGCGACTTGCTACAATTAGGTCGAAAAAATATAGAGACCTCGTTAGTCTCATACCAAACAAGTCTCACTCCGTGCGTAATGGTAGCACGCGAGTCCATCTCCTTACGAAGTTCCTGGCCATCGGGTCCATGCATGCCATTCATGAGCGCATCTGATCCAACAAGTTCCACCTTCTTGGGTACCATGATCAGTCTGGTCTCCTGGAAATCCAGCACCAAGGCCTGCTCAGTCGACAAGACTTGGTTGTTGAACACCTATCATCCAGATCACCATAATAAACCCCATGTAGGATGAGTGTCGGAAGTCCTTGCAAAATGAGGCCTGCTTTAGTATGTAAACATCACGATCGGACATACACTGATGAATTGGCGCGCCATGTCTTTGGCATCAAACTCTCCACGGAACTCGTTGTTCTTGACCATCAAGGAGACCTAGATTGTGTGAAAGAGCAAACGGGAGTAAGTCTTCATTCTAAATGGGTCTCATGCAGGAAAATAGGTAAATCCAAAAGGGAGGCATTACTTCGACTTCCAGGGTTGAAAGGTAGACTTCGGGTCCATCCAAGCTGGGATCGAACGGTTGGACATCGATCTCCTTGTTGAGAGCGACATTGATCCACTTGCGCTGTAAGTTACTAAACCCCAAGCATCCCCCTGGGAATCCATCCTCGAAACTGCGAATCATCGACAGACAATACGCGGAAAAGGTTTAGCAAAACGAGAACATAGTTACAAAAGTATGCAAAGGGCGATTTGAGGCTGTGCCTATCTTCTTGCCCTCACAAATCCAAACGTCATCCAGTGTCAACGCAACTTACTTGATAGAGAATACAAACTGGTGCTCGACAAGGATGTATCGGGTATGGGGCGAAAAGTCCTGTACATTCGCAACGACATAGTTCGTCAGGGCATATCTCTCGTGTGTAGACCTGACAGCCCTCATCCGCCTCGAAGGCTGAGGCTGGAACGGTGGCGGCTGCTGCTGGTAGTTCTGACGGGGTGCAGGCTGTCCATATGAGTTCTGGGTCGAGAATTGAGCCTGGGCATCCGGTGTAGGCGAGCTTCCGTACGAGGTCCTGGCCTGATATGCACCTCCGCCATTGTTCGAACCGGGCACGCCTGGCCGGGCGGGCATTCTTGGTGGCGTGGGACCTCCAGAAGAATTGTATCCGTGGTCGTTCGGGTAGTTGTTCATGATGTCTTTGTTCCTGTCAGCCTTTCTATTCGTTTTTTGGGTATCCGGTTGTGGTTGGGATAAAAGATGAGAGAGATGAAAAGATGATGGGGTATGGGGGCAGAAGATTATGTTCCATCAATGCAACGTGTTCCTTATTCCTCATGTAGTCGAGCGACACGTACAAAATTCTTTACACAAGGCCGCGTACGTTAAAACGCGCCTCTGACCAAATTTTAGGCCATCTCCAGTCTGCTTGCGATCAAAATCCGCATGGCATGGTCGCAAGCAGAAATATTACAATAATAGACAACGATAAATACTGACAGTAATATGTATCGACTGGGTAGGGGTCATCACCGTGGGGACTCCACCAGCCGTAAATCAGTGCTAGGAAAAATTGATGATAGAATACCAGGTCCGCAAGGCAGCTACTGCAAATATACTCTGAATCCAACACACTCACGGACCATTGAAGAACCGAACGTGGCGGATCTAAATAGTGCTTCGTACTCTAAACTTTTTTAGACTATCTTGGGAATACATGCAACGCATGGCGTAAAGTAATTTCGGACATTGCTTGCGAGATAATAATAGCTCCATGTCCCCCTTGAACGACAAGTCTGGGTCAGGAAAATGCTTCGGTTTATTGTTGTTATCAGATGAAGCTGGGTGTTGTTGCCTTCGTAACATCAAACAAGAACAAGCTGTGATACAATCAGTGCCAGAACCAAGAGACCGGACATGGTCAGCCTCTTGTCACCGCCATTCGGCGATCCGCTTCCACTTGAGCTGCCACTACTGCCCTTCTTTCCACCTTTGCCCTTGGATGAGCCATCTTGGGGCGCCTCGTTCGGGCACGATTCCATGGTACACTGGAAGACGGTCATGTTGATATTTGTCGGTAACGGCGATGGACCTGATCCGCCGATGGAAATTGAGTTCCCACCGACACAATGGAAGTTCAAGTGGTTGTTATTTCCATCCTTGACACAGCGCTTGAGCTTCGTGTAGCGAAGGCACGAAGTTGTGTTGTCGGCGAGGAAGGACTCTTGGCAGATGAAGCTGGTTGGGTTGACGGCGGTCATGATTTAGATTCGAGCTGATCTGGGCACAGGGGTGAGGGAGGGCAAGGCGAGGCGTAGGATAGGAAGATATGAAAGAAAGAAGAATGAAGAGTATGAGAGAACGTTTTCGAGAAAAAGGAACGGAGGGCAAGATCCATTGAGGACAAACGCGCGCCTTTTTTGTAAGGCGTCTGCCAGGGCACGGCTGCAATCAAGACCAAGGCTCCCAAACGAAGACAGGGGGATGTTGCAGATGGACCTGGGTAACCGTTTTTACATCGCTGGTCGTGTGCGTGTGTGTGTGGAGGGCTGGGGTGGTTGGATTTATATTTAGATGGAGAACCACAGATACTAAAACATTAAAAACGAGCCCATTCCGTCCCAGTTGAGGATAGTGTACCTGGGCAACATTGCCCCTTATACAAGCAAGAGTGCTACACCGCACATGGACTTGATTCTCCATATCGGGTCAACCTTCCTTGCAAGGGCTTGAGGTCTCCACGCGCCACACTCTTGAGCCCTACACAATCTCCCTCTTCTCATGTCGGTGCCCCTACACAGTACCCCGGGTGCATCGATGGTCCTCCTATCCTCCTGCACTCCATCGACACATAGTATTCACATAGATTCCATATTGTCTTTGAAGCCGGGGCTGGCCATAGTCTTGAACACAGGGCAGCGCCCAGCAGGTGTTCAGGGATAAGGAGGCATGAAGAGAAGTAACTACGAGGAGCAAAAGAAGGAAGAGGGGAAACGAGGGGACATTGGAATGAATGACTCGTTGAAGAGGCGTATTGTCGGACGTTCATGGCTGCGGGAAAACACGTTTTTTTTTGTTTTTTTCATCTTCCAAGCACATGCGGTGATGAGACACGACGAATGGCATGAGGCTTCCACTCCCCTGGGCCAAGTCTCATTCGGCTCCTATCCCATCAGGGACCCTGCGTCGGCATTCCCTTTGTCCTCCGTCCTCCTGAACTGGCCACGCATGCCAGGAAACAGAGGATAACGAAGCAAAGGAAGCGAAGTCAGAAATGACAGCAGCAAATCGCGTTATCGATCCCAGCTCATACCGACCTTTTTTTGGACATCAAGGGCTGACACTTTCCCTCTGCTTCTCATGCGACCCAATACAGACCCCCTTCTATTGCGCGACGTTTTTTTTTCTAAGCGGATAGCTCTTCTGAAGTATGCGTAGTAGGCTTCACTTTTTTCTTTATGAGGGTGTAAAATAATATACTGATATACTGTTTTGGTGTAAAGGACGTTATGCGAATTGGGTAGACGAGCATAGCAAATGTCAATTGGATGAGGGGATGTACAACGACGGGCTTCAAATATGGTGCAGTGCATAGACACATTGCAGGAGCCCGTGTGTTCCCGGAACATCAGATCGCCTTCGGATCGTCTTTGGATCTTTCCCTGGCAACACTGATCCTCGAGCTCGCCATTACCTTGCCGTGTATCCAATATGACATACATGGGCCGACAATGCTTTAATAGACCGGAGCAGCGGCAGTAGTATGATGGCCTGTTACGATCTAACACTCTGCACATCACACCCTTTTTCCTATTTCTCCTAATTCCTCCACGTCGTCTTTCGTTCTCATCCCTTGTGTTACTCGCTCTATTTCACTTCTTTTGTCTCTATACTGTCGTCGACTTGGCTCCTTGATTGTTGTCTTTCTTTCCTATCCCTTGCATGTCCACATCGACCACTCCCCATGGCATGCTGTCTGACCCCCCTCCATGATTTGAATCCTAAGCTGACGAGCTGCATCCGCCTTCTTCTTTCTCCCTACCTGCCCTCTGCCCTGCGCTGTTTGTTGCATGGCTACTTTAAAAGGAATTCCTGCCGCAATAGTCTTTAAGGCTCTGTGCACGTTTACGTGTAGGGTGCATGTACCAGGCATGTACCGGGCACATGGAACAGTACATTGTCATTCCTCTTTCAGTCTGCCCTCTTTTTTTCTTTTCCCTTATTTTCTCGCGTCATTTCTTCTCTTCGTGCCCTCCCCTCGTCACCTCAGCTTTAACTTTCTTTTGTCTTCATAAACCACAACGGGTGAGAAAGAGGGAGAGGAAGATGAAGAACGGCCCTATGGTCAGTGCTGTATACTCTCTGGTGCTGGTGCATTAATGCGCGTTTCCAAGGATGAACGTGTCCTCAGAGGAAACTAGAAAGCGGAGGATCCCAATCTGACATCCGTCCAAAAGTACATAAGAAACATTAGTCTATATCTTCCAGTCGCCCCATCTGTCCTGACCCCATCCGTCCGTCCCCCCTCCCCGTTATTCTGTTTAACCATAAGCATCTCCTGTCCAGATCGCAACAGGATCTTGCAATACATGTAGCAGATATAAAAGGATGCCTTTGTATGCTGTGAAGCATTTCACCTGTCTTTCCCTCCGCATCCATTATTTCTATATGGTCGTCGTATTCATCCCTACCTTGCTCCGCATAGTCACCTTGCATCCGGACCTTTGCTCCCCATCTCTTCCCCACCCGGATCCGTGTCGATCATTCCTATCCTGGTCGACAGCAACAACTCCGTCAATAACAGTAACCCGCTACCTTGCAGCATTATCTTTATAGTCCATATTCACACCTTGCTCGCAGCTTTAGAATCGCGTGGATGATTTACCCCACATTTTCCCTTCATTCGCCTTCCTTCTTTACTCCGCCACGTTTTTATATTTCACACCCTTGCCCATCCGCATCGAATAAAGTCTGAGAGAACATCACTCCACGTAAATCAACTGAGTTATAGCTACTACAAACACTACCATAGCACATCCACCACCTTCAGCCACACACCACAGCTCTTCTCATCCCTTTCTTGTACAAGGGTTAATATTATAAATATCCTCCTTTTCTCATTTTTTTATCCCCTTCCGTCATCTATCACGTAGATCACAAACATCCACCCTAACCTTCACACTTTCTTCCCGCGCTGCCTTACAGGCTATCTTTCAGTCCCCTAAACCTTCCCCCTGCTCATCACGCCTTTATTTCGGCCTTCCTTTTTTTTTTCTCTACGCGACAAATAACCAAGCAAACACATCATGTCTTCCAGACCGTCTAATCGTCTCAGCATCGAAACAAACGCGGCCTCTGCAGCAGCGGCCGCGAGACGAATGCTGCCATCACCCATGTCCTCTATTAATTCAAGGGCGCCGTTCCCACTAGAAGAGATGGTTTCGACTACGATCCTCTCCCATCCACCAGCGCTCTCCATTTCCCCCCTGCCCTACACTGCTAGTGACCAGTACGTGCAACAGCATCCATACCAGCAACACGTACCTCCTCAACCACAGCAGAGACAGCGGTACCGCAGCCTCTCAGGAAGCGGGGGACCACAAGCTACCCCTGGAACATCCCCTTGGGGAGGGGAGCAAGACGTGCAGAACCCCGTTATGAGCAGGCGGCCAAGCTTGCCAGTGAATCAACATCAAATGTATCAGCAACATCGGCATCAGCACTCACAACAATACCAGAATAACTACGCTCAACGTCAATACCATAGCGCACACCCATCTAGTTACTCTCATCAGCGGGAGCTGCTGATGTCAAGAGACCAGCAGCATCAAGAACTGCCATTGACGCCTTCAACACCGTCATCTATCGCGCCAGTGGTGAGGCATCCCCTCTGGAGGCTGGAGTGCTCTTCATGCAATACGACTTTATGCGAGCAGGCAATGCAGGGTCACTTGGTAGGAGATCCCTCCAAAAAGTTATTTTCAACAAATTTAGCCACTGGGTAAGGTATCCACTGTGCGTTGCGTTCTTACTAGGGCCCAAATATGCACGTGAAAGATCAAACGCGTTCTTATTAACGCCATCCTTTCCTGTCTGTAGTGTTTTGGGATTGCCTGATCGCCCAGTATCCATTATCTGCCCGTGCAAATTCCATCTCTTTGCCTGTGCGAGCTGGTAATTACAGAAACGCGCTGACTTTATTTTAAACTTTATAAGTTTCTGTGAAGGACGTCCTGATTGATCATCCCATATCTGCCTACATCTTTTCATGCGTTCATAGCGGGAGTGTCTGTGGCTACAACTTGAGCCAACCATGTACAGGCTGCGAGACCAACCGGGGTAATGGCCACTTCTGGATCTTTTACGCACACGAGATCATCCCATACTGGCGCACGATCGGGGACCGCAACATGTTCTGGGATGATTTGCCGCCGTGGAACAACAAGATAGACGGCAATGTCGGACGGTGAGAACCGATTCCGGGAGCTTCCCTTCTCTAGTCCACAGAGCGACTGATTCGCATACAATCGGCCCTCCTTTGCTCCATTGCTCTATACGTATCATGGGTAATGATCACCATAGCACCTTCTCCTCCTTGATCTTACGCATCACAGTAACCTTAGGACCCATTATTTGGGATTATTGCCTAATAGACTTGGCCATTAAATCATCGGCCTTTGTTAACGCTATGTGGTGTAATAGTTGCTTGGATGGTGTTTTGAACCATGTATTTTATGTATGTTGTCAAGCTTCGATGGGCAAAGCTTAATGTGTTTCCTCACAACCACCCTCTGCCACAGACACCAATCAGGCGAACTGCAGCAACAGACAAGAATAAGGGGAGGTCAGGAAGTGGAAGAGAGTTTACATGCGCGCATGTCGACGACAACAGCAAACAGAATCTACAGCAGCAACAGTGCCTTGCAGAACCGTGGTAGTCCTGTCGACTATGGCCGCGGACGAGAGCCGGTAGTGCGTTACGCGTCCGTAGGGTGCACGAGTGTCTGGCTCTCTACGAACACCGAGATAAAGCAGCCGAGGTACCTGAGCAGATGCACCGTTGTTGTGCATGTACCTGAGAATAGCCTAAGCTCGCAAAGGAAAATGACGCAAGGGATCCATGTCTAGTGTGAGACTAAGTTTAGGACACGATTCCTAATAGACGCCACGTGCGTCTCGATTTGCCGCCCAGCTGCTCATAGCTCTCTGCGCGCATGCACCCGTCAGCCGTTCATTACAACCTGGAGATCCTTGGCGCCACACACACGCTCATTCCCTTCGTTCTCTGACGCACAAGGCCAGGTCGAGAGAGGTAAATGTCTTCCACGAGTCGATGATGGTGTGTCATCTAATAGCGTCTCACAGTCCACCTAGTTCATCACCTGAGTCCATCCATCAATCTGCAACAGCCCTTCACAGAGTTGTTTTGTTACGAGCCCTTATTGACCCATCTCTGGGGGTTTGATATGTTATGCTGACAACCATGAAGAACCGTGTTAAATATAGCGAGAGGGACTGCTCCCAACTTGCCATTGAAGAGCGGTTCTGCCATAGACGAGTGATCCGCCCGGACATGAACCATACGAAACTGGGCCGATAACTCTAATTGGGAATTGAATTGAACCTCTCTGAAAGGGCTATTTTAAAGACGAAAATACAGTCACTTATTCAGTCACATGTTACGTTGAGTCCCTATGCGCATAAAGGTCGCTCGTGACTTAGAATGTGCGATGGATATTGTGGCTTTGTGCGTACAAAGGGCACCTGACTGAATAGGTAGTTGTATATGTGGCTGTATTTTTCGTCTTTAGAATTGGCCACCCAGAGAGGTCAATTCAATCTGAAATTAAGTTTCGACTGTAGACTATTTCACTCCTGCTGGTTCTGATCTTCGGTCGAGACCCTGGCTTTGCCGCATCTGGCTGAAGTATGATAGATCCTGTCAACAGTCGTCGACAAGACAATTCGTCCTTCTAAAAAAAAAAAAAAACTCTTGTTTTCTTTTCTAGCCGTACGGATGAAAGAACGTGGCTCTGTCTGTTGCACCCGATGGTTGTACCTGAATCCCAATGGTGATGATGTTTTAACAAAATTCCGGGGCTGAACATGCATGTTGTGCGTTGCCTGCAATAAGACACAATATATATGTCTGGCGTACTGCGATTGAGACAACAACAGCAGCAATTTGCCAAAGAAAGGCAGCAGGGCTCTTAGAGTTCATTGGGTGTAAGAAGGCACTTAAGAAACAATCGCAGCAAAAAAAAAAAGGGTCAAGGGTTCATTAGCATTGGTTTTAATTTTTTGTGGAGCAGAGCCCTGTACCTGACTCGGGTGATGTCCACCAGACTCTGAAATGCCTGATTTAGCCAAGTAGGCCACCGTGATGAGAAAGGTCATACAGAAAAGGGTTCTGAACCACAAAGGGGGCCATATCTAGCCATATGCCACACCAGCATCTTCCCTACAGCATCTTCTTACTCTTAAATTGAGTATCGAGAGACAGGATACGCCTTGGCGCCCATACACCCATGAGAGGAGAAAGCAGCCGCGCCATCGCAACACTTTGTATAAAACGTGTTGCATTCGCTTCCTTCCCTTCTCATTCTTCATTGTCTCCTCACTTGATCTACTCACCTAGTCCCTTCCCTCCACACAGCGTCTATAACTTCCACTTTTACCACCACCACCACCACCACTACAACCATGAAGGTCATCTCCTCGTCCGTGATCCTTTCGCTCCTGGTGAGCATGACCCTGCTCCAGTCGACTCTTGCCGCCCCCACGATCCAGGTCACTGCTTCTGCACTTGAGAAACGCGGTAGTCCTGTTTCCGTCGACCCTATTACTACTCTCCTCAGCCCTATTTCTGGAAACCGTGAAGACCCTGGAAACCGTGAAGACCCCGAAGATCCTGAAGACCCTGAAGATCCTGAAGATCCTGAAGACCCCGAAGACCCCGAAGACCCTGAAGACCCTGAAGACCCCATAGGCCTTGGAAACCTGTTATCGCCAGTGGTTGGTTAACATTCAATAGATGAGCATTGTCTGCTGTGCGTTACAGGGCACGATATGCATCGCGTCAAAAGAATAAAAACAAAAAAGAGCAGTCGCGTGGAACACGATTGGTTCTTCTCGCTCCCACCACTCCTATCCCTATCCATAGCACGCTCACTTGCATTTCCTCCATTAACATTTCCGACCTGCTCATCCTACCTCCACACATTGCTTCCCATTCAATCACTTTCTACCATAAATTAAAAGGCAACCGTCCTAGACAACATCCATCTATGCGCACCGCAGTTAAAAAAAAATGATTATTGTAGATAGAGCGTACCAGTCTCTTGCTTAAAAATTGAGGGCAAGCAGGCTAAACCACCAAAAGTCCAGCTTCCAGCCATACACAGAAAAATCGTGAAAGAAAGTGCTCTTGTCAGACGCCACAAACCATAGTACCGATGTGCCAAATGCGCGATAACGGTTGAGAGCGTTAAAGAGTTAAGCATACATACATGCATGCAGTTCGTATTATTAGAGATATTTGGTCGGATGTATAAGTTTGAGTACTTTAGGTATCATTACGCCTTCAGCCCCATTACGGGTTAAGCCGTCAAGTCTGCGGTAGAGGGCGTTCGTGGTCATTTGAAGACAGGTTGTGGCACCGGTCATAGAAGGCATAAGTAGAGCCAGCTGAACATTTGTGTATCACTAGACAGTGAAGAAAGACAGGGACCCGGATAAAAACAAGACACTAATTTGGAAGAGCGCACTCTGATTGGCCACGAGGGAAATTAATATATTTTGTCCATTCGCATTGGCACAAAGTGTCTCTCATCTCATGCAGTTTGAGGAAGAAGGGCTCGCTTTTAACCTCTAATTTAAGCAATAAAAGACATGGCGTGCCTGAAGACGCAGTGGACAAAAGTCAAGCGCGGAAGGAACGTTAATCATAAAAAGGACGGTTCTATCCTACGAGACGATAGACACATTATATACTCCTTGCCTACTTTTTATTCAAGCTTGAAAACAGCAATGAAGCGGGCGCCTTGCAGGGCTAACGAGGGGGCGGTGATAGGCGAATGGGTTCGGGCGTGTATGTGTGTATGTATATGTGTTGTGTGGACAGCGCTGACCGGTCAAAAAGGAAAATTGTTGTCCAACTCACCATCCCGGCAGGCTCCAAATTATTTTTATGAAGCAGGGCCAAACTAATTATACAAACAGCCTGATTTCGATTGCAAACAGCTTGCATCAATGGACTAGATCCATTGCCTACTTTGCCCCAATGCAACAGGACAATCAGAGAGCTATAGAGTCCATTGGCACTTGCCTGCTATTAAGGTTCTCACAAATGTCTTTATCCCTTCCACCTTTTCTTTTTCTTCTTCTTTTCCTTTTCTTCCACTCCTCTTCACGCCTCCTCCCTTACTACCTGTCATCCCTCTTTCCCTTCCGCCGACTCGACTTTGGTTTACCTTACGTGCCCCCACTTGTGGACATCTGTCTTCATCTCACGCCTCTCGGAACCCCTCCTACAACCTGCTTAGCATCCCTTACGCTTCCCTTCCCTCCCTCCCTCCCTCCCTCAGTCTACTTTATTTCTGCTTATCCTACCCATTAGCTGGAATTCACTTGTAACAGCCCCGTTCTGCTCCCCCTTTCTTTTATTCGCCAACTGTCGAAAAGAGAACATACCCAGAAACTCGAAACAACACTCATCCCGTTTTCTCATCCCACTTCGCACTCATTTCACTCATCTCATTCCGCCTCAATAGGTACATTCAATCGTGTTGTGATGAGGGCTTTTGGAAAGAGGAAGTTCCTGATTGCACTACAAGAGCTAACCCATCTTGTGCCTTTCTTTGCTCTAGCGTTTTTCCAAGACACAGGGGTTCCATACATACACCATGTCCAGGTACAACGGAAATACCCAGTACCCACCTCAACAGAGCCCTACCTCACCCCAGCAGGCTTACTATGCAGGCCCACCTCAGCGCTCTCCCACCAACCATAGCCAGCGCTCGCCCCCATCGCCTCATATGGGTGGCCCCGGCGGTTACAACCATAGCGTTGGACATGTTGGTTACGATATGATCGATGAAAGTGACAATGCTGGATTGTTGAACAATCAAGGTAGAGCCGGTGGACGCCCTCCTCCTCCAGGCCAAAATGGAGGCCTATTGCCTAGATTCGATTCCAAACTCGACAGAAGCACGACCATGAACCGCAGGGTAAATACCATCAATATTTTGTCTATTGCATCCAGTCAATCTCCAGGGGTTTCTATGATTTTTCATACTAAAGTCGCACGCTGCTGCAATCTGCCCTGACGTCTCTTCATAGTCGGTTTGCCACGTACCTTTGACGGATGGTAACTTGGTCATGGACTGCCCTGTCCCTCGACAACTCCTCCAGAACGCCCATTTTAAGGGCGAGCGCGAATTCGAATACATGCGCTACACAGCCGCGACTTGCGACCCCAACGACTTTTTCAAGGAGCGCTATACCCTTCGTCCTACCATCTACCGTCGCCAGACCGAGCTCTTTATCGTCATGACCATGTACAATGAGGACGATGAGCTCTTCATCAAGACCATGGGCTCGGTCATGAAGAACATTGCTCATCTCTGCACGCGCGCAAAGTCCAAGACCTGGGGCAAGGATGGCTGGAAGAAGGTCGTTGTCTGTGTCGTTGCTGATGGCCGCACGAAGTGCCACCCTCGAGTGCTCAAGGTCCTGTCAGCCATGGGTGCCTACCAGGAAGGTATCGCCAAGGACTCGGTTGGGGGCAAGCCTGTCACTGCTCACATCTACGAGTATACGACCCAGGTTATGGTCGATGAGGAACTCAAGGTCCGTAGTGCCGACCGAGGCATTGTCCCTGTCCAGATTTTGTTCTGTCTCAAGGAGCAGAACAAGAAGAAGCTGAACTCGCATCGCTGGTTCTTTAACGCCTTTGCGCCCCAGCTGAACCCGAATGTCTGTGTTCTCCTGGATGTTGGAACCAAGCCCTCAGGAACGAGTATCTACCATCTCTGGAAGGCCTTTGATCGCAACTCATCGGTCGGAGGTGCTTGTGGTGAGATTTGCGCGGACCTGGGACCCAACTGCGCCAACTTGTTGAACCCTCTGGTTGCATCGCAGAACTTTGAGTACAAGATGTCCAACATTCTCGACAAGCCCCTCGAGTCAGTCTTTGGGTACATTTCAGTCTTGCCAGGAGCCTTCTCGGCCTACCGCTACAAAGCTCTCAAGGACTCCTCGCCCGGTGTTGGACCGCTCTCATCGTACTTTAAGGGAGAGACCATGCACACGTCCGGAGACGCCGGTATCTTCGAGTCAAACATGTACCTGGCCGAGGATCGTATCCTGTGCTTTGAGCTGGTGGCCAAGAAGAATGAGGCATGGCTGCTGAAGTACGTGAAGTCCGCCAAGGCCGCGACAGATGTGCCCGACAATATTGGAGAGTTCATCTCACAGCGCCGTCGCTGGCTGAATGGTTCCTTCTTTGCTGCCTTCTACTCGCTCGCACACTTTACGCGCATTCTCACCTCGGGCCAGAACTTCCTCCGCAAGATCTTTTTGATGATCGAGTTCGTGTATAACGCCGTCAACTTGATCTTCAACTGGTTCTCCCTCGCCAACTTTTACCTGACCTTTTATTTCTTGACAAAGGCTGCCGCCAACAATTCGAATACCAATTTCTCGCCTTTTGGACACTGGGGAACTATTACGTTCGAGGTCATGCGCGAGGTTTACTTAGCAGCCATCATCATCGTATTCATCTGCTCGCTCGGAAACCGACCTCAGGGCTCCCGCTTTATCTTTTTGCTCATCATCTTCCTATTTGCGGTCATCATGGGTTTCATGCTCTACCTTGCTGCTGCAACCGTCTACGCGGTCGTCTCACCAGTCTGGGGCAACTACCACCAGATGATCGAGTTGATGAAGACCCAGGGACCCTTCCGCGACACCGTCATCTCCCTGCTTTCGACCTATGGACTGTACATTATCTCATCGCTGATGCATTTTGAGCCCTGGCATATGATCACGTCCTTCATATCCTACCTCTTCCTCCTGCCTGCGTATATCAATATCCTGATGGTCTATGCCTTCTGCAACACGCACGACGTCTCGTGGGGAACCAAGGGTGACAACAAGGCGCCCGAGCTCGGAGGAGCGACCAAGGTGACCAAGGACGGCCAAGAGGTCATCAAGCTGGAGAAACCGACCAGCCGCGACGATATCGATGCTATTTACCAGCTCAATATGCAAGAACTCTCGGTCCGACCCGAGCACGTGAAGGAGAAGCGGGATAAGAAGACGAAGCAAGAGGATTACTACAAGATGTTCAGGACAAGATTGGTATTGACGTGGATGTTCACGAACGCGGCGCTGATTATTGCGATGACGAGTAGTTTCTCGATCAGCAAGGACAATGCGACAGCGGCAGCTCCGACAAAGGATGATATGTTCAACCCGTATCTGTCGATGATCTTCTGGAGCGTGGCGGCGTTGAGCGCGGTCAGGTTCGTGGGATCGACATTGTACCTGATCCTCAGGGCGCTCTTTGGTTAAACGGAACTTTTTAAACATTTAATCTTCCTTAAAAATAAAATCACACTGCATATGTAATACCAAGTACCAAAACGTCCATTATTGTAAGGCCGGCGAGTTAGAGAGGATGTGCGATCTGTTTTAGCATTGAGACAAAAAAAAAAAAAAAACCGTTGCGGATACTCTTTCAATACAAAAAGGATGTCCCTGGCTTGCAAATATCAGAGTCGCTTTGTATGTATGAACTTGATGTGCCGGCAGCAGGCTAAAAGGGATGTTGTGAAAGGGTCCTAGATCCGCAAAGTCCATTTTGATGTGTACCGATCAAAGTTCTAATAAGGTTGGTCAAAAAGGATTCAACAAGTATTATTCTTAGGTTCTTCTCCATATTCGTTCTCCTCACCTAAATATCACCTAGCCATTCCTCACAACTCCATTCCTTATAGCCTCATTCCCCTGGACGGTCAGCAAAGCAACCGGCAGTATGGACCTTCCAGAACTACGGCACCATTTATCCCAGTTCCTTGACAAGCCTCAGCTCGCTGCAGCGACGGTTGTCTGCGAAAGTTAGCACGCCTCCCTCACTCCACAGCTCTACTCCACCATCCAGTTCCCTGGCTCCTTGAACCAGCCTACCAATGAAACCATCGAGTCCATCGTTGTCTATGTCCGAGCCGTTCAGATCCACCTGTTTGAACCTATCAATATCGCCTGCAAGGTCTTTACGCGACTCCAAAGCATCCAGCTCGAACTCCGTATACGAGATCCCTCGACGTGGACGCTGTTTGCGCTCCTGGTCCGCCAGAACACACACACCCGGGAGCTCAGCATGTCGCATATAGGTCCCTGGTCTTGCAGAAGTTTATGGAGACTGTAAGTCGGACGAGGGATCTGAGACGACTTTGGATGGCAGCCTGCATATTCGATAACGAATGCATCCGACTTTTGTTAAGAAGCTGTAGACATCTGGAGGAGCTGATACTCTGTGGGAGTGAGTTATGAGATGAACGGCATTATTTATTTTCAGCATCCTTGGATATCTCCTGCCACGAACACTTCGCCGATTGAGGTCCTACAGCCGCTACAACTGATTATTCCCAATAGCGGCAAAAATGCTCCATCATCCAGTAAATGTCCCACTCGCCCAACTTCAGCTATAGCAATGGGAATGTAATCTCCTTCAGGCGCTCCGTATTGCTCAACACATTCATTCCAGCTTCGCCAATGTGAATGAATAGGACGTTTGACGCCCTTAATTTCCTTCAGTCGCGAGAGCTGTGCAAACGCTCCTCGATTTCATTCCGTCTAGTCGACAAATGAGGGTTCTTTAGCCCTCCCCCAAAGCCAAGCCAAGCTCACTCTTGCGAGCGAAATACTGTATTCTCTTGATCCGCTTTGTCTGTGATTTCGAGAATATGATTAACCCATGCAGTCGATGTCCTAGGGCTGGACTCTGCGCGCTACTTAGTGTCGGCTTTTTTTTTCACAAAGGATGACGGATATGTCTCTGTTGATCTCGAAGAGACCATCGTTCTACTTCGAGACGTGTCTGTACACGGATTTGGAGGTGATATCCAGCATAGTTGATATCACCCTAATCCATCGATGTAGTAAGCATCGCATACACCAGTACGCGTCTCCTAGTCAGTTGCGTCTCAAGTTTCGAAGCGGATCTGATCATTAGAGCACCTGTCCAAGACCTGGGAACTTTACTTTGACACCGGCACAAAGAACTTGGGCTTGAACGATATGGATAATACCCTCAAGGCACATTAGGATAGCCCGAATGTCTATTTGTCCAAGAAACAAGGAATAGAACGCCTACAGAATGCGTTGTCTTACATTTGAACCCTTTCTCTCTGCGCACGGCTGTTGACCCTGAACTACCATTTGCGTCTATTCCTGAAAGCAGATCCACTTTCTCATGCAAGGGATGGAGGCCCCCACGCCCACGTTCGAGAACGTATTCCGGACCCTGTTCCAAGGTATCAGCCGTTATTTTTACAAGCTCGTAGTCTCAGGTTCGATCATTTGCGTCATCCACTATACTGCATGTTTCGACAACGTGTAGAGCCCTTTGTATTACCACATTTTCAAGTTTCTCCTAATATTAGACAAGGCACAAGCGTTGCAAGGTGGGTATTTGACAATTCCTCTCTGGATAGTGATTGCAAAAAGCTATTCGGCTAGTTTCTGCCCCTGTACTCCACGCATTCAGATGGCATCATCCAAGGTATGGACGATATACAAGGTTTGCGTTAGTCTATGCATTGTGACACAGCTTTGGGCTGTTGCGGCTCGGACTTGGACTTGAACTAGAGGCGCCGATCTAGCCTGCTTATTCATGGGCCAGTCGTGCCTTACATAATAAAGAATAGCTGTTTCAGAGGCATTACGCTTACAACAGAGGGCTGCCACCGAGCGGTGGTAGATTCAGAGGGGGGGAGGAGCCAGTAACACTTTCAATAAGCAAGACAGTACGGCCGATGCGTCTAGGCTTCAAACTGTCAAGAGGAATGAATACGAAGCAGCGAGCCACGGACCTGATATCCACGCGAGAGTTCAATGGGCCCGTCTGCTTCCAAAAGGCGATTTTTGCAGTCGATACCTCCCTCTCCCCGTTATCGATGGAAAGAACATACTAATGACAGCACGCATCGATTAAGGGCTGTAGGTATCTCCTTTATAATCAGTGTCTTGTCAAAAGAAACATTTGTGGAGAGCTGCTACATGTTCGATCGAGTCAAGGCTAACCCGACGACATTCATCGAATATTAAGATTTTTGGGTCACACAGAGCGAATTCCTTGCGTTTCGAAGGAAAGCACTTCCGAGTTGGTGGATGACCGGATCCGGAGATTTGGAGGTGCAAGCTACACAATAAAATGACGAGGCGTTCCGTAAGGACGTACTTTGAGACCACGTTGCCAACAAATCTAGAAAGGGGGGGAGTATTCCATGACAGGGCTCTGTTTTAACGGTGCGGAACCCTCACATGAGATGTTCTGACGCAGATGAGCGAACAAATTGCAGACAATTAACCACGAGGAGTTAATTATGGATGTTTTGGATGCCAATATCAAGACCAAGTAGCCATTTTTCTCCTTTCCTGACGAACAAAAGCGCTAGGTCCTGATCATGTTTGTTGTAGTTCAGTTCGTGGGCGCGACCGCTGAGGTGCTGAATATCAGTCCAAGGTTTAGAAGACGCTTGACCGGTTCGACGCAGAAAAAGTCCGCTTAACAGTTCAGCCCACAAAAAAAAAAAAAAAAAAAGCCAGCAACCATGGTGTGGGTATCTAGCAGTTACTTTGGAGTCGCATAAATCATTACATCAGCTTCATTGTATCGTATCCTGCCAAAGTCGCAAGGACAATCGCCGAGATTGTGCTTACAATGGGCGGGCAACAAGAACATCCACAAGCTCTTTGCAGAGGGATTTGGTGTGGTGTTGAGTTTGGCGAAACAAAGCTAGAGTCCAAGATGACTGGCTGAAGGAGGGTCGAAGCTTAGACCAAAGGCATAGTGAGAGTTAATGAGACTTATTGTTCAACACAGCGACCCATTTTGAGGCTGCTGTCGATCCATCTTATGGTTTCATTAGTCTATAATATGCCAATCCACCGTCCATGTTCCATCGAATCTCCGAGGGGGAGGGGGGGGGGGATTCGTTGTTGGAGACCGTTCATCCTCGTCATCCTCGTCAGCGCATATTCTGATGTAAAAATACCCTGGACTTAATAAATTCCAGGAGGATCGACCAAGATTCACCACACACATGCATTTTTTTTCCTTGGCCTGCAAATTATGAGTCGATACAGCCAAAGAAAAAAAAAATTGAGCAGAACAGGCGGGGGACAAAAGGATTTTTTTTCCACACAAAAAATCCTGTGAGGATGTACAGTACATGTATATGAGGAGCCCGTATACTTAAAAAAAAAAAGGCGCTCAGTCGACATCCCTTCCTAGACTATCCATCTATTAAAGATCTTGTAAGCTGAGCTAAGAAGAAGGGAGAAGGGCGAGGGCGGTCTTGGGTCGGTCCTCGGTATTCTGGCAAATGCTCTCCAGATGTCGATGAGACTAACGAACTAAGTACATGTTTAACCGAAAAGGTATTCATTCATTCATTCATTCAATCATTCAATCATTCATTCAAGGAAAAGAGAACTATCTTTCCCCCCGCACTTAAGCATATTTCCTCAGCTTTCGAGGATGTTGTTGCTGCTGCTGTTGCTGTTGTTATTGTTGTTGTTGTTATGAAGGACCCTGGATTTCACAAAGATACAAAGATACAAGAGGACCATGGGTATCATGTTGTCGCCTGAGGACGAATGAGAGTTTGTACGCCCGTTCAAACTCATTTTCTGTGTATTTGTTTACACCCACTCCTCCTCCCGTTTCGACTTTTTTTTTTTTTTTTTTTTTTTTTCTCGCGGGAAATTAAACATGCATTTCTTTGTGCAATGTAATTTCGGGACTATATCTCTACCGTCCCCCCATCCTCGAAATGAAAAAAGATGAAAAATGATTATTACACCTCCAAATTCTTCTTTATTATGATTAATTTTTTTTATCGAATATGATTTAAAGCAAGAGACCAGCGGCAGCAACGACCAGGAGAGCAACGGTGGAGCCAACCTGGAGAGCACCAGCGGCGCTGGCGGTCTGGGTGGCGGTGGGCTTGGTGGTCGTAGTGGTGCCGGTGACGGAAGTGGACGAGTTACCGGCAGCGGTGGTCGAAGGGACGGCGACAGTGGTGGTCGTCGTTGCAGGGGCGGGCTTGGCAGGGTTGAGGATGCTGAAGAGAGCCGAGTACGAGAGAATGTTGGTGTTGGTGTTCTTGACCAAGATCGAGTACAACGAGCCAGAGACGACATCGGGAACGGTGAAGCCCTTGAGGGTGCCCTTCTTGGTGCAGTCAACGGTGCCGAGGACACCGTTGGAAACGGGCTGCTGGAGGCCGTTGACCTGGATCTGGAGGACGGCGTCGTACTGGCCGTCGCAAGTGGTGTCCCAGGTAATGGAAGCGTTGGTGGCACCGACCTATGTAGAATCATGGAGAAGGAGGCAGTTGAGTAAGGGTGTGCTTTCAATTGGTTTACACAGTGGTGGGCGTTTATAGCACACAGAGTTGTAAATGGTGTGGATAAGATAGGAAGTGTCAACTTACAACCCAGGTGGTGGAGGCGATGGGCTGAGTGAACTTGAGCATCTCAGTGGTGTTGCCGGTGGTCTGGGCAGTGGCGACGGCAGCCAAGGCAGAGGCGGCGAAAGCGAAGAGAGCAGTGGACTTCATGGTGAATGGGATGTTTGGTGAGGAGAGGAGGGGAGGTGTGAGTGAGAAGAGTGTGGGAGTGAGGGTGTCTACTAAAGGGTAGTGTAAAGGGATCTGATGTGGGATAAGATGAAGAAGAAGAAGAAGAAGAAAAAAAAAAGAAGAGAAAAGAAAAGGCGAACTTTTTGTACGAGAACCGAAGAGGGGGTGACGACGACAACAGCGCGGACTAAGTCGGTGGAGCCACATTCCAGGCACAAGCCGAACCTTGCTTAAATTGGTCGTCCCTGATTGGCCACGAGAGCACACCCCATAGCCCTTGCTCTCTGCTCTCTCTTTTTTTTTTTCTCTCTTTCTATCGTTCTCTCTCATGGCACTTTCTATTTTTATCCTCCTCTGCATGCTATCGCACACAGCAGCGCTGCTGGGCCACAGGCTGCAGACCTCTCTCCCTTGAAAGGGCCCCGCCAACGGTGCCACGAGCACCTTCAGTTAGTGCGATGCACAGCTCCATAGACTTGTATTCGCTTTAGTCTCGCCCCTGTCCGCTTGCGCTGATTACATCTTTCATTTTTGAAACCAGAAAAGCACGAGGCCCCACCGCGTGTAGCTATTTTCAGGTACCGCGTCAAACCTAAATCCGGCCGCAAAACCTGCTTCCTTTCATTTCACGCTACCTTCTCGATTTTTATTACTGTCCACTCAGCAACGTACATCTCGACCGATCTATCTTCATCGCTACCTCGGTCCGCTAGTTCTTCCTCAACGTCCGCTGCTTCTCCGCGTGCTCGACAATCTTCTGCTCTACAAATAGCCCCTTTCGCTTCCTCACAGTGTCCATATATTTCTTCGCTACATTCTCCCTATCCGCCTTCTCGCCCAGATCCTCCAGCTCCTCGACCGTATTCGGCACCCAGAACGGGTCCATGTCCAACACCTCAAAATGTGAAAAGATCAACTGTGGCGAGGCCGCTCCCGAGGTCCTCTTACGGATATCGTCTGCGAACCCAAAGGACTCTACAACAGGCAGCAGCGCCTGGATCGAGAAGAATGGTGTTCCTTCCTTCATTTCCTCGTGCAGAATCTTGCCTTTACGACGCGCAATCACTCCATACACCTTGCCCAGGACCTCAGCTACAAAGGGATTGGAGAGAAAAAAAAACCACATGTTAGCGGTTCATTCAGCATACTACACAAGAGGAATATAATACATCTTAGACAAAGGATGGGTTTTCTTACCAGTCGTCTGGATGTCGCAAGAGTACATTGCCAACATCAGACGAGGACTCCACTCCAGGAATCCCAGACGACAGGCGTCCCTCACCGTCGTGATCGCCTGTCCACTCGTCACCGCCATCTTGGACCTTCCCTCAACCGCCCCTCCTTCCTGCGTGTTCTCCAGGATCTTAATCTCTTGCAGAAAGAACGCCATCCCCAGCATGGGCTCACCACACAACGGCCCACTGTTTGTCGCAATCTGGAATCCAGTGTGTACCGACTCGGCCATATCCTGCACCGTGATTGCATTCTTCTCCTCGTCGCCCTTCTCATTGTTGCTACCGCCTGTCCTGTTGCGACTAAAGTCGATACCCAGGTTGTTAATCAACAGATTTGGTCCGACTCGACGAGGTCCGAACGCAAGAATATCCTTCTCTTTGCCCTTCCACTCCTCACCAGCATTCGCAAACAAAGGTTTAAGCTCATTCATCATCTTTTCCTGGATTTTACCCTCCTCTTCAGCAGTGCGCTGCGGTGCTACTACAGCTGCGACTGCAGCTGTTAATTCTTCTCCCACGTCTGCTCCAACTGCTGCTGATGCCACCTCCAATGGCGTCAAAGATTCCCTGCTGCCAACATTGCGTAGCGTCCCCACATACGTTTGAACCTGGTCCGCATGCTCTAGCAGATACTTCTTCAGTTCCTCAGGAATAGGCACCGTCCGGACCACGAACCGCACATGGCGGTTAGGTGTCGTTGCCGTGATCGTTCCACGGGCTCCTGTCTCGCTCTTCGTGATCAGCTTCTCGCCCTGCTCGCGAGCCTGGTAGGCTTCATTGGCAGACATGGCGCTTGAGGTTACCAGCTGCGCCGGTGCATCAATCGCTGTCTCACGGAATGGCACAATCGGCTCACTGACCGAGATTTCAATCCTGGCAAACCGCTCCCTCAGATCTGCCATACATCGCTGAAGATGTACCTCGCCCGATGTCAAAATAACGTGCTCTCCCGTCTCCTGGGTCAAGACCTGGACCGCTGGATCCGCCTGGTTAAGCAATTGCAGACCCCGGACCAACTGTGCCATCTGTGAAGGATCCTCTGGCTCGAGTGCAACACGAACAATTGGCGCCGTTCCGGGTCCCTTGCCGACCAGATTTTGTCCGCCCTCCCATTTAGCATCCCACAGGGTTCCGTACTTGAGGACATGTCCCTCCAATCCTCCGATACCAAACACATTGCCCGCAGGGACCTCCTCCAGTCCGATCAAGTCGCGTCCCATAATCATGAACAAACTGTCGACCGTAACCTCAGTGCAGTGCAACGTCGGCTGTGCAGGATCGTACTTGGGCCCTAAGACCTTGAGCTTCTGACCCACACGCACAGTTCCGGAATAAATCCTCGCGAATCCGATCAACGTCTCCTTTCCTTCCAGCTCCTCCATCGCAGCCCTCTCCTCGGCCTCGGCATGGGTCCGGTTCGCAATGACCTCGTCCACATCCAGATGCACGCCGACCTCTCCATTCTCGGCCGCCTTGGCATTCGCCAACAGTTGCTCCCTTTGGGCCCGTCCACGCTGACGCATTTCCTCTGCCGACAGAGTCTTGCGCTTGTTCTTCGGTAACGCATCCAACGGCACGCTGACCATCTTGCTAACGTACGCAACCACACCACTGGACGCATCACAGTTGACCATTCCCAGCTCCCATGCCTCCGTCGGTTCTGAAGGCGTCGATTCGAATGGATGCAACATCTTTGGCATCCTGATCTTCTGCGCCGCTGGGGGCGAAGGTAGCTGCTCCACGACCGCCAGGAGCACACATGTCGAGAGCGGCAGCCACTGAGAAAAGATTGTCGTCAGCGTCGCACGTGTATCCTTTGACTTCATATCCCTCGGCAACACCTTTAGGTTCAATGACTTGACGACCTTCTCTGTCATCTCCCTATCCGGTTCCGTGACAACGACCTCATAGACCTTCCAGACATTATCGAGCACCATCTGTACAGCGAGCGGTTTAAGGGCACGACCCTTGAGTCCCTTGTATCCAATGACGCGTTTGGTCTTGGGATCCAGATAAAAGTCGCCCCAGAGACATTTGCGGAGGATGCCCTCTTTCATACCAAGCTTTTGTGCATAGATTGCCGCGAACTGGTCGACTCTGAAGGCCCAGCCGTCGATGGCGGATGCAAAGATGACGTTGCCCTGAGATGGGTGGAAATAAATGTGCGAATCGTCCTGTGTCTCGACATGCCAATCTGAAAAAGTGTCCTCTAGTTCTGTCGACTCGTTTTCCTTGCCCTCCTGCTCCTTTCTTTTCTATTAAGAGCGAGCATTAAGAATGATATCCAGTTAGACTTTTTTTGTATCTCTTGTATAGCAAATACGATCCAAAAATAAAAGAGAGAATTCGAACCTCTGCCTTTTTCCTGTAGTCCTCCTCGAGGACGTTCTCGGAGAAGAAAGTTCCCATGACAGCATTGACCTGTTCCAGGATATTATTCAGATGCGTATAGGCCTCCAATGGTGTGAACTGCAGTTCTGTGATCAGTCGGTCAATCTTGTTGATGACCAGGACCGGGCGTACGGATTCCCTCCATGCCTGACCCAGCACCGTGTGAGTCTAATAAATGCGCAGGGGAAAACCATAGTTTTAGTTTTCTAGTTTTTTCTTTTTCTTTTTCTTTTTCTTTTTTGGGTTTGTAAGCGGATAACTTTTTTTTTTTTTTTTTTTTTTTTTTTTTTGAATGACAGAGACTAGATTGTCTTACCTGTGTACAAACACCTTCGACAGCGTCCACCAAGACGAGGGCTCCGTCACAGAGTCGAGATGCTGTCGAGACTTCTCCTGAAAAGTCGACATGTCCTGGCGAGTCAATCAAATTGATCAGATATTCCTCCGAGACGCTCTTCTTGACTACAGCGCGCGTGTTTTTTGATTCAAGAAAATAATTAAAAAAAAAAAAAATACTGTCCATGTTAATCCAAACCTGGGAAATCCGTGGAAAATAAAAAGATACTTCCAAATAAAAAAATAAAAAAGTGGGATAACCACACACACATACCTTCCGTAGCAGATGGCTGCGGCGATCCCGTCTGTGAATCTGTTGGAGAACCTGTCCCCGCATGACTCTGATCTGTCACCGCAGCAGATTGGCCCTGGTTCGCTGTCGTAGCGGCCCGTCGCATGATCTTGAAATACAATGAAATAGCACTGGACTCCATAGTGATTCCACGCTCCTGTTCATCCTCACGCGAGTCCAGATAACGGACCTTGCCCGCGAGTTTCGAGGAGATAATACCATTGGAGGCAAGAAGCGAGTCCGAAAGAGTGGTCTTGCCGTGGTCGACGTGGGCGAGGATACAAATGTTCCGGACTTTGTCTTGGTTCGCTTGGAGACGAATGAGCTCCGACTCTGGAATCGACGGCATGTTTTTTTAGTCCTGGTTTGGTTTAGGTGGTGTTGGTTTTCGTGAAGGTGAGAGCTGTCAGAGAAGAAGTGTTAAATAAGGAGGGGCTTTTAATATGGAAACTGCGTCAGAGGAAAGGTGAAGTAAAGAACGAAGGAGCGGGAACGTGCTCTACTGAAGTCAGTGGAGCTATGGTGAGTGTGTGTGACAAAGAAGACTGCGGCCCCCTTCCAGAAAAGCATGGGAAACTTGTAAACAGTTAGTGACCTCTCTTTTTCCCACTATTTTCGCCACCAAAAATAAAAAAAACGAAGAGGGAGGGGGAGGAAAGAGATCCCTTTTTCCTTTGAACGAACGAAAAACAAGAAACACATAAACGGGGATCATCAGCAAGTCTACCCAAACCAGCCGCAGAAAAATAACATGATCCCATGGCCACGCTCGTCCGCAAGTGCGGAATGTTTTTTTCGGATGAGTCGCCCCACCACAGCACTCTGTCGAGTCCACGCTACCCGTCGTGCACTCACCACGAACACAACAGTCTCGCGTGTCTCAACATGTCCACGCCGCTTAAAGAACACGCCATCAATTGCTCCGCAGACATATATTCACCCACGAACATTCTCTGCTCCATTCAGTACATCCTGTAAAGGGCTTCTCAGGAACAGTTCCAGGTCATTATCTTCCACGGATAGTACAGCTCCCCCTGATCAGGATCCTGATCTGACGCCTTTAGTGGGCGTGCCTTGTCCTGGATGTGGCTCCCCCTTCCAGATCGATCGCCCGCAGGATTCAGGATACTTGACCAAAGCAGTAGATACGACCAATGCTTCGGAATCAATATCGGAAAAAAAGTCCAAGAAATCGACACAACCAGCCTTCGATCCGGATGCGACATCAATGACACACACACAGTACGAGGAGCACCTCAAGACATTAGACCCCAAGATTCTTGAAGAGATGGGTGTCATTCTGCCAGCTGCTCCCTCTCCCACGACAGACGAATCCTCAGAACAACGTCACCCTGGAAAAGAAGGACCAGAGGTGCGGGAGGAGGTTGAGGAAGTGGTCGAGATGTTGAGTAAGAAGCCAGTGATCCAACCAACGACGCCATCCCGACTAGTCTGTCACCGTTGTCACTCCCTCCTGCATCACGCCTCGCCACTCGCAAATTCCTCTGTCCGTCCTTCGATCCTCTTCCCGTCCCCCCAGCACCCATCCCAAAGCACATCGAGACCTTGGCGCAATCCAAGACTGCGACGGTCGTGTTGGTCGTCGATCTGATCGATTTCCCGCTCTCGCTGCCTCAACCCATCATCGATGAACTTCTCAAACCCAAGGCAAGGAAGCATCGGGATTCGAAGGAATACCCGACAACGCCTATTATTCTTGTCGGTAACAAGTTCGATGTTATGCCCTTGGGCACTCTTAGACATAAAGTCATCCAGCGAATACAGCGTTATCTCGACTCTCACGGACTGAGCGAAAACATCCGAGCAATCCACCTCGTCAGCGCCAAGAACCCTGCGGGCGACGAAATCCGACTGCTACTCAAGAGCATCGGTACCTCGTGGGACAAATCGGGAAGAAAGGGCAACATTGTCATGGTCGGCGCTGAAAACGTCGGCAAGTCCCAACTCCTGAACGCCTTCCTTCGCGAAAGCGGTCGCTGGCGTCCAAACAATACACAGATCCAGCGAGCCCGTTACGGAAGCGAACAACTGGAGCGTCAACGGAAGTTGAGCGCGCTTTTGGGGGACGTCTCCTCCTCTACGACGGAAAGTGAGGGCGATAAGGAATGGGCGACTCTGACAGGGAAGGATTCAGTGGGTCAGGATATCGACCAGTACGAGACGGTGTACAAGGATCGAGGACTGGAGAAGTTGTATCGGTATCAGACGACGGTGTCGAATGTTCCGGGGACAACGTTGGAGAAGATCAAGGTTCCGTTGAGTGTGCTGTCGAGATTTATGGGCGCGACATTTAAGGAAGTTCAGACGAAATGGTTGATGGACACGCCTGGTGTGAGGGATGATCGTGCGCAGTTGACGAGTTGGCTGACGCTTGAGGAATTGAATGTTTCGTTACCAAAGAAGATGCTCAAGCCCGCGAGCTTCATGCTTGAGGAAGGTAAAGCAAAGCGCTTGTGTGGAAATTTAATGTTGTGCTGTTTGGAAAACATTCTTTTGTCCTAATGCGTTATATTTGTCTTTTTTTTTTTTTTTTTTTTTTTTTTTCAATCACTAGGGAAATCATTCTTCTTGGGAGGCCTCGTCAGGATCGACTGCATCTCTATCGGAAAAAAGCCGACGGACAGCACTCTAGACGCATCCGCCTCCGCCTCCGCAACAATATTAACTGACAGCACAGCAACACATTCTGGACGTCAACGTGGCTCGAATCCGGTACCAAAGATCACTGTGTTCACAACCCTCCCCCTCCACAAGACCTCGACCGCAGCTGCGGACAAATTCCTGGAAAGGACCGCGAAGGGTGATCTCACGGTGTTACAGCCTCCCTTTGGCTCCAAAGAACGTCTACTGGCCTTTCCAGGACTCGCACCTGTCTCTGACAAGGACATTGTTATCATCAACCAGCCCTATCCCACTTCTTCTTCTTCTTATTCAGATCCATTTGCCAAACTGGAAGGGGCAGCAAAAGAAGGCGATCCCATAGAATCGATCCTCGCGAATATGACGCGTCAAGAGCGCGAGAACACGACTATGCAACTAGCAGGGCAGTACGGGATCAGCGACTTGGTCTTTTCAGGAATTGGATGGGTGATGGTGTCGGGCAAGTTCCGCGGGGAGCAGCAGGCCGTGACCTTGAGGGTTTGGACGCCGAGGGGGGAGGGAGCGATGGTGAGGGAGATGTGTCTGCTGCCAGAGTTGGCGGCGAACCCGGTGGAGAAGACAGCGGGAGGGATCCGGCAGAAGCAGAAGTTGTTTCGGCCCTTGCCCCCCAAGGTCACGAAGGCACAGCTTGCATCGGGCGCAGGAGCAGATGTGGAGCGGTGATAGTCTAATGGATTATGGAGCATGGAAATAAAGGTATTTTTATTCATGCAGCAAGCAGTCAGTCTATCTATCCGTGGGGAGAAAGATAAAGAGAAGACTAGTAAGGGGACGCGTGTGAGTGTGAGTGTGTGAGTGAGTGTGTGGGTGTATGGGTGTGCCTCTTATGGTTATGCGAAGATGTATAGGAGGATATACTATCAGAGGGATATGAGGATGGAGATACGACGATGATCCGTTTGTGCAACCAGCGCACACGGTTCCCCCTCCTACCGACTGGTCTATGCTATGTGTACCATACATAGCATACATAGCATACATAGACCTTTGTCGGCTGGTTTGGGCGTGGGCCCCCCTCGGTCCCTCCCCTCCTCGGTCCAGAGATGAAGGAAAAAATAATCCGAAAAAAAAAAAAAAAAAAAAACTGTAAAAAAAAAAGGGCCAGTGTCCGTATTTCCCCGCGATTTCATTCGAGTATCAATCGGCTCGTTGTCATATCTTTTCATTTTCTTGCGTTGTTTATGTTTTTTTTCTTTTCTTTTTAGTTTTCTCCACAATGATACAACCATTGTCGGAGGAGATACTCTTTTCCTTTTTTTTTTTTTTTTTTTTTTTTTGGGTTTTAGGGGACTAAAGAATGCGGGGGAAAGGGGGAGGGACAAGCATGAAGTGAGATCAATCGGGGGGGGGCCAGGTACTGGGTTCCAGGATCGTCTTTCCTTGATTTGCACGCGTAAGCAGTAGAGTTCCCAGTGTTGATTGCTGGTGTTACTGTTGTTGTTGATGTTGTTGCAGGGGACAGAGTGGAAGAGAGAGCGAGTGTTGTTTAAACATGAGTGGAGTGAGTGCGTGCGTGGGATGGATGAGAGTGGTGAGTAGTAAGTAGACTAATGTGAGTGCGGCCTGTCCCGGTTTCTTCCTGCTGCAGGTTGGGTCCAGCGATGATTTCATGGCTCAGAGGACATTTAGGCACATGAGAATGAATCAAAGGGCGACTGTGTAATTGCACATTCAAACAGTCAAACAGTCAGACATTCAAACATTCAGACATTCAAACATCCAGTCGAGTACATAATTCGAGTAAGAGAGTAGGAGGGAGAGGGTCCCCATCCATCCACACGCGCGTGTGGGAACACCAAAAAGGGAGCGCTGAAGTCACGGATAAAAAGAAGCGCAAAACGCGGGCACCCTCCCTCTTCTTCTTCTCCTTCTCCATCGCTCCATTCCTCCTTCTCTCTCTCTCTCTCTCTCTCTCTCTCTCTCTCTCTCTCTCTCTCTCTCTCTCTCTCTCTCTCTCTCTCCCCTCATTCCGACAACAAACGACTTCTTCTCCACCCCCCCCCCCTCTTCTCTTCTTCCCCCCATACCCACACTCCCTCCTTTCATATCCAACATGCCATTCGATTCCAAGGTCCCCGGCGTCACCATCCTCGGCAAGGTCTCCGCTGAGCAGGCCACCCACATCCTCACTCCCGAGGCCCTCCTGTTCCTCGCCACCCTCCACAGGACCTTCAACGGCACCCGCAAGGCCCTTCTCCAGAAGCGCGTCCTCCGTCAGCAGCAGATCGATCAGGGCATCCTCCCCGATTTCCTGCCCGAGACCAAGGCCATCCGCGACGATGTCTCCTGGCGCGGCGCTATCCCCGCTCCCGGCATGGCAGATCGCCGTGTGGAGATTACGGGACCCGTCGACAGGAAGATGGTCATCAATGCGTTGAACTCTGGAGCCGCCACCTTCATGGCCGATTTCGAAGGTAAAGGACGCGGCGCCATCACGGCCAAAAAAAATAATTCTTGAGCACATTGCATTTTATTTTTATTCTTATTCTTCATTTTACGTGGATCTATCACCGCTACCGCGAACATCACCCTTAAAAAAAAAAAAAAAGGGTGAACAAGAGAGTGAGCATCGGGCATGAGGATGCTGAGTCGTGAGAAAAAAAAAGATAATGTCCTTTTTTCCATGAAACAAACGGGGTCTTGAATATAGGGGGAATTGTGGGGGGAGAGGAGGGGGAGGCAGCAAGAAAACAAAAGGTTTCTTTCTTTCTGTGGGTTCATCTGCAGGAGGAGTTGTCTCCCTTTGAGAGGACAATGGGCTGGCTGGATGGATGATCCTTTTTGACAAGCGAGGAGAGTGTCGTCATTTGACTGTACCCAGAAACCAAAAAAAAAAAAAAAAAAAAAAAAAAAAAAAAAAAAAAACAACCGCAGATCCGTTTTCTTTCGTGTAAAGCGTGTAAAGTAAAATATATGGGAGAGATATGCATGCAGCAAGTGGGGTTGAGGAAGGAATGAGGGAAGGCGAGAATTAGGGTTGTGGATGCGGCCCACCCTAGTCTATCCGGAGGCGAGTCCCCGCTTTACTCATCCCCCCCGCAAAAACCAGCGAATCAGGAGCGAGTCCACTTGGACTGAAGAAAGTCTACACGGGGGCAGTGTTAAAAAAAAAAAAAAGTGTCCGTGTTCCTTTTATTCTTTCTTTCACGTGCCAATCCATCCTCGGAATGCGCCCTCCTTCAGTGTTTATTCAAAGAGTTAATTGAAGGGGCCATGCTGCACCACTTGGTCTACATCGTCACACCATGTTCAGTCTCAAGCGACTAACCTTTGATCTTTCTTTCATTCTATTGCCGACCTCAATTGATTCGATGACGATCTCTAGACTCCAACAGCCCTACGTTCGAGAACAACCTCTCGGGTCTGGTCAACATGAAGGATGCCATCCACCAGCGCATCTCCTACACCGCCCCCAACGGCAAGCAATACAACATCCGCAAGGACGGCAAGGTTGCTACCCTCATTGTCCGGTATGTCTTGCACTCAATCGTCAATCGTCAATCGTTCTTTATTGCCAGCGATCAGATCCTATTTCAATTGATTCGTCCTTACTAACAGCTTGCCCTGCTATTGACACCTCTTTATCACATCTTGGTTAGCCCCCGCGGATGGCACTTGGATGAGAAGCACGTGTTGATCGACGGCGAAGTGACATCGGGCTCTCTCTTTGACTTTGCGCTCTACTTCTTCCACAACGCCAAAAAGTCGGTCGAGATCGGTATTGGCCCATACTTCTACCTGCCCAAGATGGAGTCTCACCTCGAGGCGCGTCTCTGGAACGATGTCTTCAACCTCTCGCAGGACTACATCGGCATGCCCCGTGGCACCATCCGTGGTACCTGCTTGATCGAGACCATCATGGCCGCCTTTGAGATGGAGGAGTTCATCTACGAGTTGCGCGAGCATTCCTCTGGCTTGAACTGCGGTCGCTGGGACTACATCTTCTCGGTTATCAAGAAGTTGCGCCAGGACCCCAAGTTCCTCCTCCCCGACCGCTCGGATGTCTCGATGACGACCCCCTTCATGGATGCGTACGTCCGCTTGTTGATCAAGACCTGCCACAAGCGTGGAGTCCATGCCATGGGTGGTATGGCCGCTCAGATCCCGATCAAGAACAACGAGGCCGCCAACAAGGCCGCGATGGACAAGGTCCGCAACGACAAGTTGCGTGAGGTCAAGGCCGGTCACGACGGCACCTGGGTCGCTCACCCGGATCTGGTCAAGATTGCGCTCCTGATCTTTAACGAGCACATGCCCCAGCCCAACCAGCTTCATATCCGTCGCGACGATGTCCATGTGACGGCCAAGGATCTGTTGAACACGAACGTCAAGGGCGGCAAGGTCACGGAGACCGGTATTCGCTCGAACGTGTCGGTGTCTTTGATGTACATGGAGGCATGGTTGCGCGGGGCTGGATGTGTACCGATCCACAATCTGATGGAGGACGCTGCGACCGCCGAGATCTCGCGTTCGCAGTTGTGGCAGTGGGCGAAGCACCAGGCCAAGACGGATAAGGGTGTGACTGTGACCCCACAGTTCTTGTTGAAGATCTTGGACGAGGAGGTCGAGAAGCTGGCCAAGGAGATGGGTGAGCAGCGATTCAAGGCTAGCAAGATTGGACAGGCAAAGAAGCACCTCGCAGGACAGATTACGGGCAAGGACTATGCTGATTTCTTGACGACGCTGTTGTACGAGGACATTGTTGTCTATGACGATGTCAAGGCCAAGATCTAAAAACAACCAAGTCCAACAGAGGAACCCAAGGAACCGAACGAAAAAGAAAAATCATTTTGCATTGTATCAAAGAAACCCAACCATCCCTCCCTCCCCCTCCCAACTAACTCGGCAATAAAACTAAATAAATAATTAAAAACAAAATGTGCGCCTTTTATTTTTTGTTGATGAGTTGTTTTTCTTTTTTCGAGGCGCATGGTCATTACAAGGAGGTTTGCGATGCTTATTATTTCGTGGGTTGTATGATGGCGATAAAAGGGACTGGAAGAAAGACCTTGTTATTATGAAGTGCTAAGCGGGATATCTGCGAACATGCGAACATTTATAAAAAGAAAAAGGAAAGAAAAAAGAAAAAAAAAAAGAGCGGGTCGCAATTTGCGTTTCCCGTTTTTTTTTTTTTTTTTTTTTTTTTTTTTAGCTGGCAAGACAATCCGGCAGCTTGATCTTGAGTTTCTTGTCGATGGTCAAGAGACCCCAGAAGCCCTCGATGGCCGAGCCGGGCCAGATCTTCCAGGGCGCATCAAAGAACTCAAAGAAGTAATAGGGAGTTCCCTTTGCGTTCGCGTCGCATAGCCAGGTGTCGACAAAGGTCTGCAAATTCGGGATCGAGGGGATCGATGCGTCTGTTGATCGCGGAGCCAAAAATAATAAAAATACAAAATAAAGATGCGTCAGAACATCGGTTCAACAACCATAGCTTTTTACCCAAAACGGGACAAGGCAAACAAAAAAAAAGGGAGGGAGGGGCTCCCCCTACAGATGCTTGACGCGTCATCAGTAGCAATAAGAGGTTATTTTTTTTTTTTTTTTTTTTTTTTTGCGTTTTTGGACTTACTGGTGTTAGAGCCGGTCGGGAAGGTCGGCCAGCCCACCTCCGTGATCCAGAGCTCGATCGGTGTGGCATTGTCCGCATTCACGTTATTGGTCACGTCCACCAGATACTTCCAGAACCAAGCCGCCGCATCCTCAACGGGCACGCCCGCAAAGAACGGATGCAAATTCACTCCTGCCCGATCCTCGATCGTCGTCAACGGCGGTCGATTCGCACTCTCCAGATCCGATGTGAACACTGGGATCTCTGGGTGTCCCAGACTGACGACCTTCTGTTTGACTTCTGTCACATGGGCCATCAGGACCTCGAGCGGCTGGTAACTATCGAACATCACCTCGTTTCCGACACTCACTCCGATGATGTCGTTCCAGCCATAGGTTGTTACCACATTGAAGAATTCATCCCGTTGACGTGTATACGTCGTATTATCCTGATCGATCCAGATACCCACGACGACCTTTAGATCCAATTTTAGCCGTTGGATCGCATCGAGTGTGTACTGGAGGACATGACAGTCCGTGCCGTAGAGACGTACCCGTCGGGTGGTCTGGACCAGGAGCTGGAGTTCGTCGTCCACGGTCTGTTGAGTGTTGTAGCAGTCCGGGAGCTGGGCGTTCATGGGCACGTAGGCCATCCCGTAGAAGACCCGCTTGAGTGGGTAATTGGTGTTGGGGACGACCGTGCCGTTCGGGGTGACCACTGAAAAAAGAGGTGAACAAGAAACAAAAAAAAAAAAAGGGGGATATGAGACTTTTTGAGTTGGTATTCCGTCACTTCTTCATTCCATATGGATTTTTTTTTTTTAGGCATGAACATGAATAAAAGCAGAAACGCGTCTTAAAACAATAAAAAAAAAAAGGATCGACCCATGGTTAATAAAAGACCGTGAAAGACCGCGAAAGACCATGGGCGTTACACATTTCCCTGTAACGCAACGCCCATCCTGGGAGAGGGGGGCTGTTTTGTTATTTGCCGCCCGCTCATTCTCCTCCCCTCGTGTAACGAAGGACAAAACCATGAGAGACAAATTAAATAAAAGAGCTGAATCTGAACTGAAAGAAGAACTGATAGAAGGACTGAAAAGAAGAACTGAAAAAAAGAACGAGCGAACGAACGAATGAACGAAGCAAGCGAAAAGAAACGAGTGAACGACCCCCCTCCCCTTCAAAAAAAAAAAACACCAAAAAAAAAAAAGAGTATCGATTTCGATGCCTTTACCTGTAGGTCCCGACGCACCACCCCCACCATTCTTGGTACCCCCATCATTCCTGGATCCGCTAGCGTTCCCGTTACTTTGATTCTTCTTGTACACTGCAAAGTACCAGGCCAAGACCCCCGCGAGTGCGATCAACAAGAGCGCGCCCACCGCCCACGCAATCGTCTTCCATCGGCTCGACTTTTGCTTCTGTTTCTTCAACCAAGGTGAAGCACCCGTCCCTGCAGCGGCTGCTGCTGCTGCTGCTGAAGCACTGACGGCCATCTCACCATGCAGACGACGTTCTTCTTGACGACGTTGCTGAGGTGTGAGAGTTGAACTAGAATTGTTGTTGGTGTGTTGGTGCATTTGGAAGGCGGAGGTGCTGTTGTTATCATAATCGTCATCATAGGTGGATGAGTCCTGTGGAGGGTAGTATTGGGAGTTGAGCTGTTGGCCTGGATGTGGGTGTTGGCGGTTCCCCCCGTCAGGGCTGCTGTGGTTGTTAAGATGGGACATTAAAATCGGGGTTTGCTATTCTAGATAGAAATTTGTTTGTGTGTGTATGTGTGCGTGTGCTACTGCTGCTGTGCAGGACACGTTTGTGATGGTATTTGATGGGGGATGATAGGGGATGGGGGAGAGGAGGTGTGATGATGGCAGGGATTAATGCGAAAGGGTTAATACAAAAACCCTGAGGAAATGGAAGAGTTGGAATGAGATTCGATTCGGATTCGAAGGCGATACTCGAGAGTCGGCCGTTTGCTGTTGCAATCTGGGCGGGAGGTTGACGAAGGACGAAGGAAGGGATGGGAACCCGGTCGCGGCCAGACGCAGGAGGGGGGGAAAGAAGGGGAAAAGGGCAAGGTAGACAGAGGAAGAAGAATGGAGAAGGAGTAAATAAAAAAAAAAGTAGTTTATCTTAATCGGTCCCCAGGTATGTTCGCAGACATCTTCGTCGACATGGGGATACCCGCTCTCTCTCCCCCTTGGGCCCCATCGCTCCCTGGTACCCACTGATTCTCATCCTCCCCATGCAGTGGTACCAGGGACAAAGGACTGAGACATTTCCCCCCCAGTTCCTAATTGTCTATTTATATGTCCGCTTCCTTCTATTTTCCTGGGCTCCGTCTGCCCAACCATAGACTACGCCACGCCCACGCCCATGCGTGCCCATGCCCGTCCAAGAGGTAATTAATACGCCAGAAACTGTTCTAGACTTAAGCACCGTAGACAGTCTCGTCTGTCGGCCAACTCAACGGAGCAGAGGGACTCCCCCTCTACTGTCCTTTACACTGAATCTCATCGGATATGTTGATGTGTTCGCGCGATGGGATCTCAAGTCGGCGCCCATCTAGTCTACCGACAATCTCTAAAACACTAATCCAAATATGGTTCCAACAGGATCTTAACCCTACCTTACCCGCGTTCAGGTCATACGTCATAAGTCGAGCTGAGCGATTTTTGGATGGATTAAAAAAAAAAACGCGTCCATCCTCTCGTTGAGTACTACGAAATCTAGGACAGCCTTGCCTTGTCAGAGTTATGCAAGAGGATGATAGCGAGACACGGTGAAGAGTAAGGTATTTTCTTCCCGCTGCAAGGTACATTTAATCCACTAGGCACACTTACGACGTACATATCTTTTTAAACAGACTCATTTCTACTTCTTCAGGACTCTGCAAGATTCGCATCTGCAGAGAATAACCCCCCTGCAAAGCATGCAATCATGTATGTAATATGCGATGCGATGGGTTGAAAAAAAAAAAGAAAAAGAAAAGCGCGAAAACACGACTGGTGCGGAAAGCAGCAGGAGAGAAAAACGCGACAGTCCAAGGCGGCCAATTGAGGTGACTAACAGAGTTGAAGGCGTCCTTGCGATAGGCCTGGTGGATCGGAAACCCGCGGAAAGCGAGTCGCTAAAAAAAAAAAAAAAAAGTGCGCTTGCACCCCCCCTCTCAGATGATGACATGAAGGGCTGTAGAAGCGGGGCTAGAACACATTGGTCTACACCTGTACCGCCCCGCATAGGGATGATGGCAGAGAACTCACACCCCTCACTCCTTCGTCCCATTCATTCCTTCATTCCCTCATCCCTCCATCCTCATTCCCCCCTCCGTCCTTCTTGAGCCTGAGCATCATCTCCATTCCATTCCATCCTCACCTTAACCTTCATTCATCCTTGCAACACCATGAATCTGCCCTCGCCTGACGAGCAGCTGGACCTGCACGGCCCAAGGGCCCAGCTGCCCTTTGAGCAGACCCCACCCCAGTCCCGCGCCGGGATCAAGTCCTCGCACGAGTCGCTTGAGCAGGACAAGGCCTTAATTGTTTCCAACGGCATCATCACCTCCGGTGGCACCCAGGATAACACTACTCCTCGTCCTCAGCAGGAGATTCTGGTCTCGCCTGCGCCTGCACCCGTTGCCACAGCGGTTCAAAGGAGACCAGATCGGGCGGGAGCGGAATCAATCGATATTAACAAAGACAGCGAGATTGATTCTGCTGCTGTGGCAATTGCCGCAGTCCGCTCCAACAAGGAGGAGTACCACCTGCAGGACAACGAGGATGAGAAGTCGGCGGGTGTGGAGGTGTTGTCCCAGGCAGGGCCAGAATCGATGGCGGACGTGGACACCCAGGGACAGGATGGACATCCGCACTCGACATCATTCCTATCTCGACTCACCCTTCCTTGGTCCCGACCCAAGGCCCACTCTGCCAAGGACACAGCGCCTTCTCTCTCGTCCACTTCCTCTCAGTTTCCTCCTCATCACTCGCACTCGACTTCGCCGATGCACAACCGAGCCGTATCCCCGCAGTCACGACCGTTGCACACTGGTGGTACCTTTGCCAACAGCAGCATCGCCTTGGACTCGCGTGAGCTCCCTCCTATCAAACCAACTCGATTCGAGAATATGATGGTCATCTTCAAGCGCTTCATGGGCTTTGTTGGTCCTGGGTACAGTAAGTGTGCCCATCCGCTTCCCTTCGCACAACCTTCTTTGTTCTGCTCTCTCAGCATATGTTCCCAATGTCCGCGGACATTATGTTCTTTGATTGCTCAACTTGCAGGGTCGTCACTCATTTGTATCGATTCGTTGATGTATTGAGCAATTGCCCTTGCAGTTGTTGCTTGAGTGTCTAGCCTCTTCCATGCTTAATTTAAGCATTTTTTTTTTTCATTTCTTTTCATTTCTTTCATTTCGCCCAATTGGACCACACGACGAAGGTCAGCAACACAGAGACCAACAAACAAACACACCTTTTTTTATATTTTTTTTTTTATTCTTTCCCAGGAACGTATTCCGTCAATTGGAAGAGGTAACATAGCCCCGCTAATTTATCATTCAACCTTTGTGATGCCTTACAGTCATTAGTGTCGGATACATGGACCCTGGTAACTGGGCGACTGATCTGGCGGGTGGTTCCAGCTTTGGGTACATGCTCCTGTTTGTCATTCTGCTCTCAAACCTGATGGCTGTTGTCCTCCAAGGTCTCGCCGTCAAATTGGGCGTAGTCTCTGGCCTGGGTAAGTTTTGCAGATAGTGAGTGGTCTAGAGCTGTTTCAGGGATGATTTTTTTTTTTTTGACCAAATGATTTTTATTGGCGATGTTTAGATTTGGCTCAAGCGTGCCGCAAGTTCCTGCCCAGGTACGTGAACTTGATCCTTTACGTGCTCGCAGAACTGGCGATCATTGCCTGCGATCTAGCCGAGGTCATCGGATCCGCTATCGCCTTGAACCTCCTGTTCAAGATCCCGTTGCCCTGGGGCGTGGTGATCACCGCCGCAGATGTACTCATCATCCTCTTCGCGTTCCGGGACGATCAGTCTGTCAAGTCCCGTCGACTCTTCGAGGCCCTCGTCATTGTGTTGGTCTCGACTGTCGGTGTGTGCTTCTCGGCCGAGATTGCTTATGCACAGCCCGTGGCCAAGGATGTGTTCAAGGGGTTCCTGCCGAATATCGAGATCCTAAAGAACCAGGAGGCATTGTATCTGGCGATCGGAATCATTGGTGCGACGGTCATGCCCCATAACCTATACCTGCATTCGAGCATTGTCAAGCTCCGGACGAGTAAGGAGCTGAACAAGTTGGCAAGCAGTCAGGCATCGATGTCGTCGACACAGGATCTGATGACGACGGAGCAGCGGCAGACGATGGCTGAGGAGGATAAGGGGTCGGTGTCGATGAAGCATTCGACAATTGTGACGACGTTGAGGTATACGTTTGTGGACTCGACCGTGGCCTTGACGTTTGCGTTGTATGTGAATTCTGCAATCTTGATTGTCTCAGCGGCGACGTTCAAGTACAAGTATCCGGATCAGGATACCTCGGGACTTGCGGATTTCTTTGACGCGTTCCATTTGCTGTCGCAGTATTTGGGCAAGGCTGCGGGATACGTCTTTGCGGTCGCGTTGCTCATGGCCGGTCAATCCTCGACCCTGACGGCGACGTTGGCGGGACAAATCATCATGGAGGGATTCTTGGGGGCTTCGTATTTGAAACCCTGGGTGAGGAGGCTTTTGACGAGATGCCTGGCGATTATCCCCGCGTTGGTGATTGTGATCATCAAGGGGAAGAGCGGACTGAGCGAGCTGTTGTTGGCAAGTCAAGTGGCGCTGAGTATTCAGTTACCGTTCGCAGTGATCCCCTTGGTGTTGTTCACAAGCATGGGACGGTGTATGACGATCCCGGTGCAGGATAATGATGATAAACCCGGGGAGCTGAGGTATGGTTTCGAGCAGGACGATACCAAGGCGGTGAACACGCCCGTGCCCGCGGTCGAGGACAGGAACGATGAATGTGTGCATCCGGCGCGCGATGAGGAGCATCATGCAGAGTCGACGGTCGATCGCGCTCGGATGGAAGCTGGGGCTCCTCCTGCTGCTGGAACAGGGCCGATGCTGCTGCTGCACAATTTTGCGAACCCGTGGTGGCTGGTCATCATCTCGGTGTTGATTAGCGTGGTCCTGCTATGCCTGAACTTTTATCTACTTGTCCAGACTATCCGAGGCGAATAGACAGCATCCAGCTCATGGTTTTCCATCCCTTTTTCAAAGGGGGACAATTAGAGAAATACTCTTTATGGGCTTTCTACAGCCAATGTGGAGAGCTATGTAAATAAAACGGTGTGAGTACTTTATGCGGGTGTTTCATGTATTTGGCATGGACCCTGACTCGTTCGCTAGTCTAGTCTAAGGCGTCTTATGAAACTAAACAGGAACTAAGGTTTGATTGTAATTTCGTAAGGTCGCGCACCAAAGGGTCCGGAATAACAAACAAAGACAGGGTCCAAGCATCAAAGCAGATGTACAAACGCCTAGTCGCCTAGCCTTCGGAGACAATTGGGCATTAAAAAAACCCCCTTCTCCAACGTGGAGGAGGCGCGTCTTGGCGTCATGAGCGACAATGGCTCATTCTGCACAGATGACCTGCAACAGACGGGGGTACTTCTGTATAAATAAGTCTCGCCTGCCTCTGGAGCTCGTATATCTTTCTTCCTGGCTTTACTCTACTCTTTTTTCTTCCGGATATTCTCCTTGCATCTTTTCCTCTTTACTTCTCTCCTCCCCTCATATGCTCAGCATCGTTCAATTCTAAGCATTTTCTTTTGTACTTTTTTTTATTTATTTTTTCATCCCACTCGTAGCTCGTCCTTTTTACATTCCATACTTCTGCATCAACTCTGGGACACAAAGGATATCAAACATAGTACACAATGGCATTCCGATCTTGTACATCTCCCTACTTCTTGCTCCTCATCCTCATCGCCCTCTTCGTCCTCTTGGACACTTTCTCGCACGTCGAAGCTCTCCCGACCCGAAAGCGCGCCGTTCCACAGGACATCGCCTCTGCCCCTGCCTCATCATCGTCATCGTCGTCGTCAACAAATCTCCGTCAACGGACCCGCCACCGCGCTGCGAAAGAGCCCACGAAATCAGCGCCAAGAAGAAAAAAGAACGCGGTGGTGAGGAGGAACCCGTTCCTGATCCAGAACCTCGAAGGGGGCGGACATGATGCGACACATTCAGATTTGGTGCGAGCATTGGGGGTCGTGTCTCAACCTGTCATGGTGGAGAGACAGAAGAAGAGGCAGGAGACCAAGGCGAGAAAGGCCTAGGAAGCAGAGACGATGTTGTACGCGGAGGCAGAGTACGTGTATAGGATGTGTAATGCCTACTGTAGATCTTGAGCGCAAAAGATTGTCTTGTATATATAAAAATAAATAAAAAAACTGAATTGTATCACCAGGCTTTCGTGCCGTTACAACAAGGAAGGACGCCCAACGACCTCCCTCTCCTCCCTTTGTCCAAAAGGTAAAGTAATATATTCATATATATTTTTTATATATGGACCATTTCATATCTTCAAACGTCTTCCATGTCCTGGATTATGTTGCGGCACACAACACTTTTTGTGGGACATCCACTCGCGATTCCGGAATAAATAAAATAAATTAGTTCAGGGTCCATGCCCCATCCTTAATTAACGGAGGATGAGAAAGCTAGAGAACGAGGCTGTTCTTTCGAACAGATCTATGGAGCAATGGGCTTAATCTCAGCAGGTCGTCGCATCAAGGCTACTCTACTGCTTACAATATCCTGTTCAATAAAAGTCGTCTGCAATGGATTTATCCCTTCCAGTATTTGAAATTAACATTAGCAGGCGCCTCATGAAGCCTTTCCGCTTCACAAGACGACCCCACACAGTATGATTCAGGGCCCGAGGGTTTATCCGTATTCAACTAGACATTGGGACATCGAAAAAGACGGTAATCGTCGCGTTCTAGCATGGACTCTGACTTTGAGGCGTTAAGCCATAATCCAACAGAGGATAGCTTCGGGCCATTGCCTGCTCAGGCAGGCCCAAATACCATTTATCCGAATGAACGGTTCCTCTCGTACTGAGTTCAATTACTCTGCTGCAACATCTCATCAAAAGGATAAACCTAATTTGTCTCACGATGGTCTAAACACAGCTCACATTCCCTATTGGTGGGTGAGCAATCCAACGCTTACTGAATTCTGCTTCAGTATGGCGAGTGCGTTGCTGGCTGTAAATCTGGTGTTGGTCACAGCGGCGGCGCTGGTTACATTGGCCAGGGTCGGTGAAGGAAGTTGGGACGATACTCTCCGCGAGAGGATTGTTTAGAATCAGGAGAGTTATGTTTTTCTTGGGCGTATTACTTAAGAAAGCAGGCTGCCATGGTCAACATTCACGGGTCCACAATACTCCTTGACCCTAGCTTGATCTCTTCATTGTTCATCGCTTTCGCTCCCGCTCTTTTGGTTTTTCGAACCCATTGAGTGCTTTAGTTTGTGCCGCTTTTAATTTGTGAACGCGCCATGGACAAAGACTGCTCTGTATATTGTCTTCAGAAAGCGCAATCCATGCCCTAAAAAATTGGCGATGAATAAAAAGTCAAGGCACCGTTGCTAATATCCTAATTGTTCGACCTCCATGTTTCCAGCAAGCGGAAAAACATTCGCTGAGTCGACCGGTTTTGCTGACTGTACAGCGAGAGAATCGGTCGTGGCGACGGCATCGATCATACTGTGGTTTGATGACACCTTGAGTTTACGCGCCGCGGACCCCATACTAATTAGCCTTTTGCTTGCCTCGCGGAAGCTCAAAGGCGGAATCGGCTTGCCCACAGCGCCGCGTTGCTCTAATAGACGCATGTTCATCCTGCTTAAGCCTTGTACGTTCTGGATAGAGGTATCTGACACGGTAAATCTGTCATGCATCGAACTCCAATGCAGGCACACCTGATAGCGATCCTCCTCTCCTATGACCTGCCACATGCGAACGGAATTATCGGAACAGCCGGTTGCGAAATAGGTGCCGTTTGGATTAGCGTTCCAGGCGATACTTGTGACTGATCCATGGAAATCATTAACAACTGCCAAACATTGACCCGAATCCACATCCCACAGCCACACCGTCTTGTCATAAGTGCCTGTGGCGATCTGCTGGCCGCTGGGTGAATACACCATGCTCTCAACATAATCGGTATGGCCGCTTAAGATGGGACCAGGTGCACCAGTTTGCGTGTCCCACAGTCGCACCATGTTGTCCTGACTGCCCGAGGCGATCTGCTGGCCGCTGGGCGAATACGCCACACAATAAACAGAGGAGGTATGGCCGCTTAAGATGGGACCAGGTGTACCAGTTTGCGTGTCCCACAGTCGCACCGTGTTGTCCTGACTGCCTGAGGCGATCTGCTGGCCGCTGGGCGAATACACCACGCTCCTAACAGAGTCGGTATGGCCGCTTAAGATGAAACCGGGTGCACCGGTTTGCGCGTCCCACAGTCGCACCGTGTTGTCCTGACTGCCCGAGGCGATCTGCTGGCCGCTGGGCGAATACACCACGCTCCTAACATTGTCGGTATAGCCGTTTACGATGCGACCAATTGCACCAGTGTGCGTGTCCCACGTTCGCATCGTGTAGTCCCAACTGCCCGAGGCGGTCTGCTGGTCGCTAGACGAATACACCACCACGCCCATGTCCGTAACCCAGCCGGCACGGTTTCTTAAGACGGGACCGGGTGCACCGGTGTGCGCATCCCACAGTCGCACCTTCTTGTCCCGACTTCCCGAAGCGATCTGCTGGCCGCTGGGCGAATACACCACGCTCCTAACCCAGGAGGGATGGCCTCTTAAGATGAGACCGGGTGCACCGGTGTGCGCATCCCACAGCCGCACCGTCTTGTCCCGACTTCCCGAAGCGATCTGCTGGCCGCTGGGTGAATACACCACGCTCTCAACATAATCGGTATGGCCGCTTAAGATGGGACCAGGTGCACCAGTTTGCGTGTCCCACAGTCGCACCGTGTTGTCCTGACTGCCCGAGGCGATCTGCTGGCCGCTGGGCGAATACGCCACACAATAAACAGAGAAGCTATGGCCGCTTAAGATGGAGGCGGGTGCACCGGTTTTCGCATCCCACAGCCGCACCGTGTTGTCCTGACTGCCCGAGGCGATCTGCTGGCCGCTGGGCGAATACACCACGCTCCTAACAGAGTCGGTATGGCCGGTTAAGACGGGACCGGGTGCACCGGTGTGCGCATCCCACAGTCACACCTTCTTGTCCCGACTTCCCGAAGCGATCTGCTGGCCGCTGGGCGAATACACCACGCTCCTAACAGAGTCGGTATGGCCGGTTAAGATGGGACCGGGTGCACCGGTGTGCGCATCCCACAGTCGCACCTTCTTGTCCCGACTTCCCGAGGCGATCTGCTGGCCGCTGGGCGAATACACCACGCTCCCAACAGAGTCGGTATGGCCGGTTAAGATGGGACCGGGTGCACCGGTTTGCGCATCCCACAGCCGCACCATGTTGTCTTCACTGCCCGAGGCGATCTGCTGGCCGCTGGGTGAATACACCACGCTCGTAACAGAGTCGGTATGGCCGCTTAAGATGAGACTGGGTGCACCGGTTTGCGCATCCCACAGTCGCACCGTGTTGTCTTCACTGCCCGAGGCGATCTGCTGGCCACTGGGCGAATACACCACGCTCGTAACTGACCCGGTATGGCCGCGCAAGGTGTGGGCTTTTGCCCAAGTCGAAGTGTCATACACGCTGATCGTGCCGTCCTTGAGACCCACTGCGCAGAACTTCCCATCTGACGAATACGCACAGGAAAACACATAGCTTTTTTCTAAGAGGTACGGCCATTCCCCAAACTGCACACCCGCCATCTCTGCGTTGCTCAAATTGGCCTGACGCAGCCAAATATTGCGAAGGTTGACTTTTCTCAAGTCTGCCCCTTGCAGCTGAGCAGAATCGAATTGGCCGCCACTCAGGTCCGCTCCTGGAATCCGGATGCCTTTCAGATCTGCACTGTTAAACAGCATCCCAGCTCTGACCAATATCGTGATCGCATTGGCCGCCGCCTTGCGTGCCTCTTTATCGATTTTGGAACATTCGATCGTTGCGAGCAGCTGCTGCTTGAAGAGGGGTTCCTGTTGGACACGCTCTGCTAGAAATTGCAGAATCGACGGCTCGCCCACAAAGCGTTTCCGTGCCAAGGGCGAATCGAGCACGGTCTGTTCAATGGCTCCCACGGGTTCCTCTACAGCATCCTGGCTTTCATAGCTCATGATAGAATGGACGCTCCCTCGACGCGGCAGGGCTTGAGGTAAGGCTGGGCGACTCGCGCTCTCTCTGCTTCGCGGCTCAAACACCGCTCGGGCCAAGCAGTATTCCAGCAGTGATTTATGGATAAACCGGTACTGATTGCCGCTGCGCGTCAGGGGACTAGCTTCCAGCAAGAGCTGATTCTCGTAATTGCGGTTGAAAAAAGATTCCTTCCACGTCCCTTGGTCTCGTTTGGGGGAATACTCCACCACAGGATTTCCTGCCTGATGTTGAAAGATCGCCCCAGCCAAGTCCTTCAGAAACGTAAAACCGTTTTGAGTAAAGCCATCATCCGTCAGCCTCTCGAAAGCTTCCCTCGCCTTACGACTCAAGTCTTTCTTTTCACCAAGCCTTTTTTTGCCGCGCTCCAGCCACTGCTCCACGAACTGGTCGTATAATGCAACTCTAGTGATTCGGGCAGCCGAGACGTGTTGTCCTGGATCCATCATACGTGGCAGCACCTCCAGGGACAGCGTCAGAAGAAACGGATTCTTGACCAGGCCCAGTAAATCGGGCATCTTGCTAAGAGCCTCCAAGTAGTCCTTCGACCGCCAGAGTGGCCTTCTCGCCAATACATATCGCTTGACATAGTCTTCGATCTGAGCTGCAGAAAACGGGGCGATGACTGCTTCCTGAAAGAGGTCCAACCGAGCGCTGTGATTTGGGTCCATGGGTTGAAAGCGATCCCTGTAGTCGTGGGGAAGGTACCCGCTACGGCAGCTGATCACCATCTGCGCGCGCCATTGTCCTGGCTGGTTCAGCTGGTTGCTTGTATACAGATTGTGCATCTGCTGGCTCTCGTCGTACCCATCGCAGATCAGGATGAACTCGCGATGATCTTTCAGCTCTCGGATCTGGGGCTCTGTAAAATCATTCCTGCGCAGTTGTTTGGCGATCAGGTCCTGTTCCGGCTTGTCGACTGCAGGCAAGTTGATATGGAGTGGAATTCGGCCCTCTTTTTTTTTGTACCGACTCCACAAGTCGCACTCCACTGCCCGGTTGAAAGTCGACTTGCCCACGCCCGAGTCGCCCAGCAGGAGCATTACTTTGTACTGCTTGCTGCTCAGGAAGCTTTCAACGTACTCTGTTAGGTCAAACAGGTTGTCATCCGACGCTTGCAGGTTAGCCTTGGCTTGAGGGGGGATATAGACTGCGTCGTCTCGTTTCTTCGGTCGCTGCTTTTTCAGTCGTCTCAGGTCGGCTTCAACATCGGGCTTGCTCTGGACAAGATCAAGCAATGATGGAGACGAGGCGATTGACGAAGCGACCTTGAGGGGATGTAAGCTCCGGTCTTCTTTTCTGCACTTTTGATAAAAAGTCCTTTTTGTCTGATCGCCATTCGATTCCAGCTCTTGCAGCAGGGGTTCGACACCTACACCATATATGTGTTGCACAGGTCAAAATAGACCGTGGCAAATGCCATTAGTACTCGCTGGTAGTGAACTCCATCCTTTGCAATAAGACAATGGTCTCTTGTGCATCTTCTTCATTACAGTACATACCTGGCATAGCTGAGCCAAATGTCGAAGCCAACTGCATAAGAATGTGAAGGATCCATTGCTTGGCGAGGACTTGCTGTCCCCACACCGCATCGTTTCGGTACATCTCGCCCAGGAACGCAACAGCACCTTGGCGAGACTCGATGTCCCATAGTGGATTGGCGGCAAGGTCCCTCAAGCGCTGGCATACTCCTAGTTGAAAGGCTAGATCACGCCGGCAAGATGCTTCACAGACCAGGGTCTTGAACTTGGCGAGATGACCGTCCCGAAGCAGTATGTCTGTCCCGCGCAGTGCTGTATACCAGGTGCGTTTCTTGTCGAAGCTAAGACCGACCTTGAGAGATTCCAACAGTCCTTGTCCACTCTCGACCAGTGCACTCACGCCTTCGTAACTGATTTTCGCTATTTTGATCACCTCTCCTAGTCCCTCCTGAAGATGCCCGAGTCCTGTGATGAAGCCGTTAACATCTAGACCTTTTACGGCGCTAACTAGCCCCGAGACGCCCTTCAAAACAACTCCAGTACGCCGCATCGTTGCTTGCCAAGGTGATTCGTTGTCTGGGACGCACTGCAGCGCTTGGAAGGCGTAAGCAGCCTGGTACACCAAGTAAGGGTCGCTGCTGGCTTGCAGTTCTTTCAAATAGGCAGAGAGTGGTTCGTGCAGCTCTTCACGCTTTAAGCCTGAGACCTTGGTATCGGCCATGGCATCCAGGACATTGGACACCGCAAGTGTCAGCTGGTAGATATGTGCCGGAGACTGATTATGAGTGTCTTGTAGGCGAGTGTTGAGGATATGTAAGATCTTGACTAGGTCATCAGCGTCGACGTAACCTGGGGAAGCCCCTTGCATCAGTTGCGCCAGTCCCTTGAGAGAATGGACATCCAGCAAACTGGGCTGTTCGATGCCATTGACAAAGAGCTTGAGCAAATGCTGAAAATCATCCGTCTCGAGAACCGGGCCCAGGCATACGACTTCTGCAACGGCTTTGGCATCCTTGAACTCATCGCGAGTGAATGCTCGGATCACATCTGTCGCCAGTGTCCTGAGTCTCTCCTTCTCCTCTGTATTATTCTCTGTGGACTTCACCCAATTTCCTGCGGCTGGTTCAAAGACCTCTTCAGGTGACGGCGTCACTTGCAGAAGGTCAAGGCAGTAGGCGAGCTGGGATGTATCGCTGAGTCGCTCATCTGCGTCTGGTAACGTGCACTTGACGGTGGGCAGACGCATATCATCGGGAAAAATATCCTTAGAGATTCGTGCCATGTCGCGGCGGGCCTTGTCGGTGACAGATGAAACTGTAGAATCTGGATGTTTTGTAGGACGCACGTGGCTGTAGTAGTCAGAAGACAGCCAACAAAATGAGAGATGTGTTAGGTGCGACGTACGGTATAGCCGGTTAATGCGAACAAATAGAGAGCAGGTACCTGTCACTTACCCCCACTTTTCTGCCCTCTTGTGGCTGACCTGTGCCATTTCACTATATCCATAGCTCTCCAATACGCTGGCGTGCTCGAGACAGGCGTCGGCGAATCCATCGCGCAGGGTTTGATCCTCGGCGGACAGGAGAGTTGTAAGAGTCTTTTTCGTTGCTCTTTTCATCCGGGATAACGCAGCCTCTGCGTCGTCGCACAACACTAAAGCAATTTCTCGATCCTTGATTTTGCGCGCATTCTCCATCTGAAAGTTGGCGAGTTCCAGCTCCTTTTGTGGCGAGAGAGCCTTTCGCGGTGACGAAAAAGTTCTGCAAAACATGTTGCTTCTCTGAAGGGATTTCTCCTGCTATCATAGAGCAGATGGCGGCGGTATTAGTGACCTTGTGGTCGATTGATATACCTGTGCGAGTAGCCAGTATACGTACCTATACTTGACAAAGACTTCAGTAACGCAATGGGGACCAACAAGTCGCCGTGGGCTGGTATACTACAGACGTAGTGGCAGCAGAATGAGCTATCATAAAATAAAGACATTAATATCCATAGCAGCTGCATGAACTATATCATATATGGCTGCTCTGCCAAGTGATGGTGCCTCACCTCGGAAGTGTCTATTCGACTCCTGTTTCCTTTGATTGGATGCAGAGGTAATTCTGAAGATATGTCCTCTTCGTGCCTCCTAGCAGCGATACCAAATGCCCATCGTGAAGCATGCAGGGTTAATAACCTTATAACATGTCTATAGGCTGCTATCGACTGACAAGAAACAGTGTCTCGCCTCAACAGGAATCTGTTTCTCGAGTTCTTTCGCTAGCTGAGGATATGATCCGTCCCTGTGCAATGTTCTCTACTCCAATTCTTTGTTTAAGACGATCTGTACACGAACAAGGCAGTCGAGTGGAGTGATATCCGCTTTTCTCGTCACTTCTAGCAGAGGTCCCTGTGAGTATGAAAGAAGGGATTAATATCTATTGCACATGAATGGCTGTTCTCCTGATCTCGGCCATTCTAGCATTAACACTCTTGACTCGACTGTGGTTGTACAGGCACATTCGGGGATGGGGATTTGGCAGATAAACTGTGTTTTTGTTACCAATGAGTCGCCGCTGGACTGTGCTTATTGAGATCGAGCAGAGACGTACGAGAGACAGACAGAAGAGCGAGAAAGCAGAGACGTGCAAGAGACAGACAGAAGAGCGAGAAATATGAGAAAGATAAGAGACAGCTCCTGATGGATTGAGGGAGGGGAGATCTGGGAAGAAGGGAAAGTGGGAAAGTGGGAAAAGAAGGAGAAAGAGTGCAGCATCCGCTTCCCCCTCGGATGCAAAGGAAAGAAGGAGAACAACACTGAGAAGTGTGCAATTAGCCACCGCAATGTTCTTTGCTCATCCTTTCGCGCCGCTTCAGCATCATTCTGACTTTGAGGCGTTCAGCCATAATCCAATGGATGGCAGCTTCGGGCCATTGCCTGCTCAGGCACACTCAAATACCAATTATCCGAATGAATGATTCCTCTCGTACTAAGTTCGATTACTATTGTCATCAGTGGAGCAAACATAACCTGTCCCACGACGGTCTAAACACAACTCACGCTCCCTATAAGTGGGTGCACAATCCAACGCTTACTGAATTCTGCTTCAGTATGATAGGGAGTGCCGACATTGAAGGATCAAGAAGCAATGTCGCCATGAAAACTTGGCTGCTCTAGCCTGTGTTCCTTCGATGTTCAGAAGTATTTCTTGCATAGATCTCTGCAAGTGTGCTATATTGTAACAGTACTGGAGCTCCAGCTCACTATTTAGCGCGCACAGGCAACTCGTGAAGTATAACTTCTTGCATCGTTCTTATCTCCTGTAACCGATGCTACATTATATATTTTGCAACATGACCCTCTCTAAGTGTGCGACATATGCCTCTACGGACATGCGACTTACTACACTGACTGGTTGATCGATCCTCAATATCTGCTTAAAGCTCGACGTTTGGTTCAATTTATCCTCTTTATCATAGATGTAGTAGTAAACGTCGTCCCCCTGAGCAGCGGCTGTTGAGCTCTGATACTGATGTAGGCCCTGTCCGGCTGCCTTTTTTCTTCATACATGAGTCCCCAGGATGTTTAATTTAAAAAAGCAGCCAAACGTTTTCGTAAAAAAGCTCATCTGATTTTATTCAAGCAGCAGCGCAGTGCAGTGCATCGGTAAAGGTTCAAGGCTGAATGTCTAATTGGGATCTTGACAGGTCGCCTTTGTGGGTATCGCAGTGATTGAACTGTCTGTTTACGCTATCGGGATAATTACGCTCCTTGATTCTGAACCTGTACCCGATGCCTGTGCTCCTGCTGACTGTGATGTCGTAGCTCCCGTAGGAGCAGACTCCGATGCCGCCATTGTTCCTGCTGCAGCTGCACTCGTCGGCAGCGTCGATGTCGATGTCAATGAGGCCGTCGCTACTCCAGCCAATGCTGCCCAAGTCGACACGAACGACGGCACTGACTGTCCTGCTGCTGCATTAGCCGGGACTGCGGCCTCCAGGGCTGCAGAGTTCGTCGCAAGCATGATCATCTCTGTTCTCTTGGCCTTGGCGAACGATACCAGCGATTGAGCAATGATCACAATGCCCAACATCACCAAGAAATACGACAGCCAGATATACTCTGTCATTGATCGAAGGGACGTCAGCGAAGTAGATGGCCCAGTGTCGCCCATGTATCCTGTATCCGAATCCTCCATGGGATCGCCGTCGATATCGCCCTCACTGAATTTGCCATTCATGATGTTGAAGCCCATGGTCACAAATGTGATGCCCAGTCCGGTCTTGGAACCTTGCTTCGTGGCATGCGAAGTATGCAGAAGGTACGTCAAGCAGAATCCCACAAACTGGAAGCTCATCGAAACTATATGGAGTGCCAGGAAAGCAATAGAGGCGCTGGTTAGAATTTGCTCCGCATTGAAAAGGAGCGCATAAAAACGAATCCCAAACGAAAAGAGGGAGGGTGCATAGAACTTACTGATCATATTCCACATGAATCCAAAGAGGCCTCCAACTGGCAAGCCCTCGATCAGCAACATATCATCATCGTCAATGAATCCAGGTGAGAGAACCGTCGACTCGTAGTATGCTGGCGACACATCCTGCGCTGCAGACTTGTACGACTACATTTGTTAGCACAAGAATGAGGGAAAAAAAAAGTAAGTTTCAGTCAAGAGTTCAATGAACACGTATATGGAACAAATACTTCCATAGAAATCCAAGAAGAAATAAATGATCGAGAAATATACACGTTTCCTGTCCACGCAATCATTGTAACTTACAGGTGGCAATTCCTCTTCGTACGGCTTTTCCACCCGCGGTTTAGCCGACAGGTTCGAGAAGACTCCATCCATGGTCGACTGGATCATCCGCCGAGCATCCCGCTCTGGTCGCTGTCTACCAGTCAGTCTTGCCAAGAACGAACGATTCGTCGTACGAACTCCGCTGTTTCTCCTGGCTGTTGCTGTTGCTGCTGCGGAAGAACTGGATGCCGAAGGGTTGATTTCAGAAGACGACGACGATGATCCTTCTGCTAGTGGTGCCTCTGTAATTTCATTATCGTCGTCGCCATCGTTCGAGGGGTATACAGGGCGCCGAGGTGCAGAGGAACTAGAGGTCATGGGTCGAAGCATGACGCTGTCCTCGGCTGCGTCCTCAAAGTCATCTTCATCATCATCATTATCGTCGTTCAGGGCCGAGTATCCACGATGGTCATTTCGCTTTCCCTTCGCTGCTCCGTCTGTCCTGCTGCTGCTGCTGTTGTTGTTGTTGTTGTCGTTGTTGTTATGAGTTGAGGCAGTGCTCTTTTTCTTTTGACTGCGGGCGAATGCCAAGGCGCTGTCGTTGGTTAAGGTCTCCTCAGTTTCTGGTGCCTCTGAGATGGGAACCTAAGTAGTGGAGGATGGAGGAGAAAGGCAGAGAGACAGAGAAGTCAATAAAGGGGCTCTCCATTCAAGACAGACCGGTGGCAATGCAAAGGAAGATATGCAGCTATGGAGTGATTGACGCCTTAGAGCGCCGCTAGACTACTACCACCACCACTGGTGTAGGCCAAAAGAGAAAAAGGCAACAGCAATGAGGAGGAGTAGGGGATATGAGGGGATATGAGGAGGGGAAAATAGAAACCTCACCTGAGCGTACGAGTGAGCCCGGGACATTGTTGATGGACAGACTAGAATACGATGGATGGATGCGTGTGGGTGTATGAAAAGGACAGGATTGGGATTGGAATCCAAGTGAGGATATGTGCGAGGAGGAAGGGATGTTGTGGGAGAGGAGGATTGGTTGATGGGGTGAAGAGGGATTGGATTGGTTGATGGAATGAATGAAGACAAGCGAGAGAGAGAGAGAGAGAGAGAGAGAGAGAGAGAGAGAGAGAGAGAGAGAGAGAGAGAGAGAGAGAGAGAGAGAGAGAGGAGAGAGAGAGAGAGAGAGAGAGAGAGAGAGAGAGAGAGAGAGAGAGAGAGAGAGAGAGAGAGAGAGAGAGAGAGAGAGAGAGAGAGAGAGAGAGAGAGAGAGAGAGAGAGAGAGAGAGAGAGAGAGAGAGAGAGAGAGAGAGAGAAGAGAGAGAGAGAGAGAGAGAGAGGAGAGAGAGAGAGAGAGAGAGAGGAGAGAGAGAGAGAGAGAGAGAGAGAGAGAGAGAGAGAGAGAGAGAGAGAGAGAGAGAGAGAGAGAGTGGGTGTGAGAGGGCAGAGGGCAGAAAAGGACTAGGCAGCCCAAAATAGTCTCATCATCATCGAGGAGGAGGGGGGATGAGCGCCCAATAGGAACAGCAACATCGGACGGAAAAAAGAGTTCCGTCCTTCTTCCGCCCTTCTTCCGCCCACGACACTCACACCCACACCCACTCCCCCACCCTATCTCTCTCCAACTCTCTCTCTCTCTCTCTTCCACTCTCCCGTTCATTCACATACTCAACTGCCATCCTCTCTTAGTCTCAGTAAACGACAATAACAGATAAACCAAGAGTGCTCGCCTCTCCAATGCAGCGCAGCACTCTTCCGCGGAGGAATGGAAATGAAATATTTAATTCGAGAAAACTAAAAAAAAATGCGTTCAAGTTCAGACCCTAGCCTCTGGATCTTAAGAGTTTTTTCGCTTATATCTTTTGGTGTTTTGAACGCATTTTCCTCCTCTCCCTTACAAATGTATATTCTATACTATGCAAGAATGGATTCATCTACCAATGTTCCCTCTCGTTCTACAAGAGCCTACGTCCTTTTTTCTTTTTTTTGCTTTAGCAATACGATTAACTGATTACAAGTATTTATTTGGTAGAGAAAAGAAAAGAAAACTACTATGAGGCACACAAGTACCCAGCCAAGACTACTGCGACAAGAACACCCGGACAAACAGCCATCCCTCGCCTCACTCCCGTATGTGTAACGACCTTGTTGAAATACACCCGTTCCAGAGCCACGTTATATTCCACCACCCCCAACGACATGCCTCTCTCCTGAAGAACCCTTTTTCTTGATGTTGCTGCTGTAACTAGTCTCTCTGATAATACCTCTCGTGATGTCGAACACGATGCTGAGGTGCCAACATCTGCAAGCGCTCGTCGGTTTGATGCCCTTCCTGAGAGGCGCACTCGACCGAACAATACTGCGTCCTTTTTAGAAAGACGGAAATAAGTCGATTAGGAGGAAAGTTCACGTATCGAATGAATGAAGTAGGCAAACCATTAGCATTTTCCTTTCTTTACCCCTGGATAATGATCGGTGAGTCGAACATCCTTCGGCATTTGCATCTGTGCTGCCTGAAGCGTCCACACCGACGCGTTCAGATTCACATCCACCGGTGTCTACCATCGTGAAAAGGACCCCAAGGCAGATTTATCGAACATTAGTCTCAATATATCCAGTTCAGTTCCTGACCGATCGATTGGATACCGTTGATATTCATTTCAAATGATTGACATGAGCACGATACCTCGATCGGGAAGGTGATCCTGAACTCGAAATCAGCACCCTGCTTCAACACGCCTTCCAGAACATACCACCGATCATAATCAGAACCTGTCGCGTCTTCATCCGTGTACGTGTCATCCTGCTGCTGCGTTTCTGGCGAATCTCCTCTCTCTCCGATTGGCTCGTTCGTCAAGATGCTGTGCGGTGCAGCCAATTTCTTCCTACACATCTAGCAGGTTAATGAACAGCATAGATTGAGCGTGACTCTTTGTCACTAAATGTAACACATCGTCTCTTACCATTTTGAGGGATCAACTTCCGCCGATGTCCTCGAGTTGAATGCCTTCTCAGCTCCTGCAGTCGTTGCCGCTACACTCCATGTTCGGCGCTTATCGTCATGAACACATTCGCCCCCGTTGTTTCTCGTGATCTCTGTCGAATTAAACTGCACCCTCTTTGTCCGTTGACGTGCGGAGGAAGAAGTTCCCGATGGCGCAAAGATGAGCAGGAGAAAGAACCCACCGATCAGGGCCAGTGCTTGCCGCCATGGCCCAGGTGGGGCTGTATACATTGTCGCTTGCTTTTTTTTGCTCTCTTCTGTCTTTGTTTTTGGCCGGCGGTGCTGTGCTTTGAGATTCTTTATGCTCTTGACGCGACGTGGTCTGCGAGCAAACAGTCAGCGAAAATAAAGAGGCAAGTCGACCGAAAAGAGTTGGACAAGTTGATGAGATGGAATGAACAAAAGGATGAAGAAAGGGTTCATTCATCCTCCAGTGTTGTCTTTGTCCCTACCCCCCCTAGCACAACCCTGTGACCAATGCCATATTGTCCCATACAAAATGAGTCTTCTCAGTTCTCCAATGCACGCTTGTGTACTCCTTTAAGCATTCAGGCAAGACCAACGAACGACAAATCGATCCATCCCCACGTTGCACATACATTTTCAAAGCGCCAGAAGGCTGCTTGTTACATATGCAAACACGAACACACAATTTAGTCCGCAGCGTCGCTTCAGTTCCCCTTTTGCTTCCAGAGCACAAAAAAAGTCTTTTACTTCTTGACGTCTGACTATGTACAACAACCGGACATTTCCATATAGATCGAGCAACTATGAAACTATTCCCACGCTACTTTTTTTTTTTTTAGCTGGTTTTGTTTCAAAATTGGGGATGTTTCGCTCTTACTCCAGCGCGATATAGCCGCGTGTGCCGTAGCGGGCAAACAAAATGACGCCGATCGCAAGTGCCGCCGCAAGACCCCAGGATACGTTCGAGAAGATGAACGAGAGGCCATAACGGTGGTGTATGAACATCGCCGACGTCTGCATCACATGTGCGACCATAGCCATGCTCACCACTTGCAGTGCGGCTATCCATCGTCCCATAGGATAAAAAATAATAATAATTAGAAATCGTTCATTTAAAAAAAAAAAAAGTAAGAACTGAAGAAACACAGCATCACGTACCAAAGATACCAATGAGTCCAAGGATATGCTTCCATCCATGGGCCCGCCATCTCTCACCCGTGTACAGCACGGTTCCCAGTCCAGCTAGAACCCACAGTCCCACAATCGCGGCCACGACCGACATCCCCGCAGCGAGGCGCCATTCCAGACACAGGTTCACCCATCGGTCCGAACCCTTGTCATGATCACAGTCGCCCCATTTCTTCAGCGGGAACCGACGGCAGTCGTCTGTCAGAGTAGAACACTTCTGGAACAGACCGTAGTTCGTCTCCGTGTAATACGGCTCCGGGCTCTTGTACTGGACCCTAAACAGAGTTAAATGTCGAGGAAGCCGGAATGAAGTGGTGAAGGGAGGAAACTGGGTTAGAATTCTGGAGTGACCGGTCTGAAGGAGGGCATTTTGCCCAAGAACAAGGGTGTGTGTGTGTGTGTGTGTGTGTGTGTGTGTGTGAATATCTGCTGTGCTTACCACTTGGGGTCAAACAGCGATGCTAACTGGAGAGCAAATGTCCCAGTAAAGATCAACATCGTGGCAATGTAAGCGTTTTGGGTCGGCATTGTTGTGTTGTTCTCAAACTGATCTTTCTTTAAGTGTTGTTGTTGTTGTTGTTGTTGTTGCTGTTGTTTGGTGGTGATGAGGACGAGGATGAGGATGAGGATGAGGATGAGAATGAGGATAAGAATGAGATTCCCTGAATGTGAAATGTGTAAAGGAGAGCAAGAAGGATTGTAGTATCCAATCCACTATATATTTTTTATATAAGCACACAGTGCACGCGCTGTATGAATGAATGTGTGGGGGTGGAAAAGAATGCGGGACCAAACTTGAAAAAAACGACGACAACGACGTCACTCGCGCCTCGTCGCATTCGCAGGGTTTGTGTGTCTCTCTTGTATATGACCCGTAGACGGCCTCTGATTCGACAGGTGTTAGTTAGTTACACCTTGCTCTCTGGCGCGCATAAGACCCCTGCTCACGCGCGACTTACGCTCCCCCCACCACCACCCCGTTCCTTCCCCCAACAGGGAATGTTGAGAAGGATGCCAAGACTCACTTTGTCCGTAGACTTTTGTCCTATCCTAGGAATGGCATCGATCGGACAAAAAGATCCTTTCCTGATTGAGTATCGAATCGACCACAGGATCCACCGGACATCATGGTGATAACATAAGACGCAGATGCCGGCGTCCACGAATGTTTGCAGACACCGCTTACTGTCACTATTACAGCTACTATTATTGCTACAGCTAGACTACCCACGACTACAAAGTACACTATACAAAAAAACAAGATCAATAAATCATTTATCATGGAAGAAAGATGCAAAAAGATAATATGTTGTCTGCCTACTTCGTGGAGCATGGCATCCTGTCATCCCTATTTGACAGAAACAAATGTAGATCCTCACCCTAAAACAGCAGAGCCGCGATCATCAACACCACACCACTCGCCACGTTCGACTTTCCAGCCATCCCCGACTTCCCTTTCGCCGCATGATTCGTTTGCTCCCGCCCCTGTTTCTGCGCCAAACCTACGGACGTCTGTCCAGATACCATCGACGACGTCATCGTCCCCGCCTTCTCCGTCGCACTATTAGCTCCCGTTGGAGTCCCCCTACTCCCGTCCTCAAGACTCATCGTCCCATCCTGTGCCAAATGCACCCCTCCAACCTTCTCCCCCAACAACCTCAACACCTCCGAACGATCCACATCAAACATATCCATCAACGACCCCTCGGACTCTTTGCCGTCGCTAGTATTACTACTCCCATCCTCAGACTCTGCTGTTGAAGGATCTGTATTTTCGGGGAACGCATTCACAGGACACGTGGCACCAGCCGGAAGGGGTTGAAGATGAATGATCTGACGGTCTTCAAGTTGGAGCCGACAGAACTTCCGCTGTCCGTTTTCAGTGCATGGATATGTCGCGCCGCCAAAGGCCCGGAGAATGTAGTCGCCCGAGGACCAATCCTGGGGCACGGACCATGTCAAGTTCTTTGCGCGGTGTTCTAAAAAAAAAAAAAAAAATTGTTAGAAGAACAAGGGAGGGTTAAGTATTTGGAATGGGGGACACGAAAATGGACTGCTGAAAAAAAGACCACAAAAAAAAAAAAAAAAATTTAAGTTAAGGCATACATGCATACATGCTTAAAATATGCATGTATGCATCCACTTACGATCCCATTCCTGACGCGTCGAGTTATCGACGTTCTCGATCACGATGTTATCCTGGAAATCTAGAACCTGTAACTGAACATAGCTCAACATCGCTATATCCGAATACTGCACCCTGAACCCCAGCTCCAAATCACAGCCTAGAACAGTAGAATGTAAAATGTTAGTGTATTTTGTTTTTTCTTTTTTGAATCAGTCAAATCCATCATCTGCAAAAAAAAAAAAAAAAAAAAAAAAAAAAGATCAATGATGGGGGAGCACCTAAAGAGTTTAATAAGAAGAAGAAAAAAAAAAGAAGTCTCATGGAGTGGGAGACATCCGGAAGGGTGTAGGGCGGGGACAAATGTCGAAAGATTATACCTGGGTAAGCAACGCTGTTGTTCGCGGGGAGGGTCCAGAACACACGATCTATACAAAATCAAAATGGAGTCCAGAGCAGTGTCAGAATATATTCCTTGACATGTCAAGGGTGTTCTCTTGCATTCATGCATTCCTCCCCATCGCGAGCGATTTTTTTTTTTTTTTTTTTTACCTGCGCGGGCAAATGAGAGCATGCTGAGAAGGCCCGCCATGGAGGCGAAGGAGATACTTGCTGTCGAGGGAATGAACTTCATGATCTTTTAGAGAGACGATATATGCTGCTATGTGCGGTATGTTTTAAAGGACAGTGAGCGCGTGAAGTTCCTTGGGCGTGATATTCGAGGTCGTTATGAGTCCCTGTGGAGTTGCGTGCGTCCTGTTGAGAGTATGTCAGTGATGTCTGCGCGAGGATTGAATAGACGACTTCAAGAGAATTGATACTATGCAAAACCGTAAATGAGGGGAGGAGCTTGAATGGGAGAGGGCGAGACGAAAGATTCGGCAGTGATAACTAGAAAAAAAGTGTGTGTAGTAAGTAGACAGGTTGTCGCGAGAGGTGTTTCTGATAGGGAAAAAAAAAAAAAAAGAAAGTAGACGAATCAAGAACTAGAAGGTCTCGTCTTTTTGTAAGGGAACCAGGAAAGACGGTACGTGTGTTCAGTACGAGACAAAGTGAAATGAATGTGATGACCGCACGGTCCCTGGTAGATCCTACTTATTCCCAAAAGCGCGCACGTTTAAAAAAAAATTCCTAGTCGAAGGAGTATCGTATGTAACAAAGTTCTTTTCGTATGATCCTGGAACCCCGAAAAAAATAAAAATAATAAAAATAATAATAATACGGGAACACCCAGTGAATACACAGCAAAGAAGCTAAATAAAGGATCGCTTATCCATCAGTCGCACACTGATTGCTTCGAGGGCTGGGTCGGACTCATTCCCCGATGCTTACTTGTGAGATACTCAAGGGAAAGGGAGCGACTAACTGTATGAGAACTGCTGCTGACACCTCATGCTCGAACGTGTTACTATATTATGCAGGATGATCATGACTACATGGAGTGGTGAACATTGTTCCGATGATAAAGTGAATGTATGGCAAATTGTCTCAATCCCGGTGCAGATAAACAAATACCATGGCTCTTGTACTGCCTCCATCAGAAGCAAAGTAATGATCTCCATTGCATACCTGTGCCTGTGTTTTACATACCTGCCTTTGTGCGAATACCGCGCTTGTACACATAGGAGAGTTCTATGGTGTGCAGTACTTCATAGCAATTGGTAGCATCGTCCAACAAGAGTCCACGCTATTGCAGAGACGTTCAGAATCTCGGATCCCGCATCCTACGATCTAGCATACACTTGGTCCGTTCCGGAATGGGCGGGAAACAGCAAAAGGACGTTCACTCTCTACTTTTGCCACGTAAGTGAAAACGTGTTCATCCAGTCATCCGTGAGAGAATATAATAAGGGGGGAGGGGGAGTCAGCCCAGCTCCTTATATATCCCAATAGTTGGTTTCCAAGTCCAGGTCCAGGTCCAGCCAGGTCCAACCAGGTCCAGGCCCACGTTCAGGTCCAAGTCTCTCAAGCGATTTTCACTCTCTCATTTCATAATAAGGCATAATAAGGCATAATAAGGCATAATAAGGCATAATAAGGCATAATAAGGCATAGTAGGCTTATTGCTCCATTGTTCCATGCCACACCAGAATTTCCCGAGATTAAAAGCGTAGCCAAGAAGGATACTTGCTGTCTCCGTCTTTTTTACTCAGTCACCACTTACTAACCTCCCCAACATGCTTGATTCCAGGAACAGCAAACGGTCCGTGCATGGACAGGTTTGTTCAACAATTTATTATCACAAGTGATAGTTCAGTTCCCTTCAAAATCCAGCACTCTACGCATAATAGCTTGGTGAAATCAACATATCGCTCAAAACCTCAAGTTCATCCAGACTGAACCGCTTCTGATCCTCATGCCACGTATCCTGATGTGTCCGTTTAAAGTCTCCAAACGCCTTCTTGACCGTTGTTGACACCGGTGGCGGGTCTGAAAAGTACCCCTCCAAGAACACCATCACCGGCGGCATCCACTTTGGCACATCGTACGGAAATGCCTCCAACAACGAAGACAGACCCAGTACTCCCGCATGTCGCTTCACCAGCGCATCTGAGTATCCCTCCGGCAACGGGCCCTTTGCGCCAGATGGATCGCGCTTCTTGCGAGAGGGTAGTGGTGTCGAAAGAAGCAGCTCTTTGAAATGTGGGATCAGCTTCTGAATCGCATCGCGCTGTGAGCACCGAACAATGCCCGACAATGTCGACGCCGCCAGTTGACGAACCTATACACATATCCAGAAAATTAACCAACGCTTGTTAAGTCTCTGAAAACAAGAATGACATGTACAGCGAAAAACAAGTGGGCGCTTGGTATGAATCGCACCTCAATTTGTGGATCAAGAAGCATGCCAGATACGGCATCCATAACCTTGACCATCATATTAACGTCCATCGAGAACAAATTCGTGTAAAAAAATATCTGCACCACCGGAAGTACGTTGTTGCGCACATGCCAGCTCGTTGACTCCTTCAGAATCTTGCAAAACATGTCAACCATCTCAGGGACCATCGTGGCGGGGTAAACAAAGCGCGCAAGCTGGAGCAGTGAAAGAGTCGCTAACTGCTGAAGATCCTGGTCGTCTGGAATGTCCTGCATCTGGAACAGTTCAGGAATCAGTGGCAACACAACCCCATACGTCGCCTGTACACGGAATCCCGACAACGCCTGGTAAACCCAGGACAACACTACAATGGATTCAATCGATAAACAACCTATGTTAGCCTCAAAGAATGGGAGCAAACAACAAATAACAAATGTTTGTAGATGGGCGCAAGCAAATTACCGGTCTTGCTGGCATTGGTGTAGTCGGACGCTCCTTGAATGGCAGGCGGACGCTCAATTCTCCACTTTTCCAAACTCTGGACCAGAACCGATATTTGGTGCGCCGACTTTTCGTCCAACGAGTCCACCATCGTGCTCCGTGCATCTCCTTCACTCTTCTGCACTTTTAAAAACTCGGCTACACTCTTGTACGAGGGATGCGGCATGATCTGGAAGTACTCATTAATGACATGTCCAAGGATCTCGCGCACCTGTTTGTACGGGTGTGTGATATGTCCCAGGCAATCCTCCCTTAACGCTGGCGTCAGCAACGATACGCGCCAAGACAGCGACACGAGAACTGCGCGCGTAAAAAACAGGTTCTTCGATTCAGAAAAGGCTGCAGTCGAGTCCTTGTCCAGGGGAGTGTTGAAGATCAAAGAGACCAAGGGCAAGAGTCTACGAGGGTCGCGGAAGGAGCAAACATACTTGACAAATCGCTCCCAATAGACTAGTGAATCAGGAGTGCACAGTTGGAAGGCTTTCTTCAGCACAGGTGTCAGCCAAGCCCACATGCGATCGAGCGACGACTTTTTCCAGTGTTTGCTTCCACGAATAAGACCTCCGATCAGCTCTGTCGCTGTTCGTTGTGCGTTCTTGTCATCGACTGTTGAGCACAGCTTGACGACCACAGGCTCCACAACATCCAAGAACTTGTCCTCCCAGAGTCCAAAGATCGATTTGAACAGCCTTGCATGTTCACTACTGAAGGAATCATGTCGTTCACCACGAACAGGTTCCTGGGCCATGAATTCAATCAGCTTTTCCCAGAAGGACGCCTGGCCAAAGAACTGCTGCAGATGCTCATACGCAGGTCGAGATTCGGCATCGACCTCGGGCATCTCAAACGACTCCGTGCGGGGTAAGTACGCCTTGTAAGACTTTGGCCACACCAGCCATCCAGTTGCAATCGAATCATCCAGCAGGCTAAAGAATAACACATAAACACAATCATACCATGTTAGCTTCGTACTAATAACATTCATAACATGTTGTAGAGTCATAAAAAACATACCACGACTCTGGCTGATCATAGTTGATCTCAGTGACGGATGCCCTCAGATATTCCAAAGTGAAATTGTCAGGCACATTCTCTGGCAATGTCACATATCGCCTCAATGGATTCGTCGCCTTGCGAGTAATCAGACTGTAAGGATCGCCCTGTGCAAACGTTCGGACCTTGATGTTGACCATGATGATACTTAGACTAGACAGCGCAATCCGGCGGACAGTGGGCATCTCTGAGAGTAGACCGTTGGTCTCAAACTGCGCCAGATCGAGACTGACAGGGATCTCTGGACGCATGTAGAGCTCAAGGAAGCTCATCACCATGGTCTGGTACCGCCAGTGCAGCGTCTCATCCTTGGCCAACTCTGTTAAGGACACTACCAGATTGTCGTACGCCTTGACGTTGTTCAAACGGCGATTCTTCGCCTTAGTAGTCACGCGGCTGAGCGTATCTGGGTCGCACTTCAGACCATGGAGGTCGCTGAATTGTTGAATCGCACTCGAGAAATCGTTGCTCACCAGAACCTTGAACGAGACATTTGTCAAGTTCATGACGTATTCAAGGAAGCACTTTCGGACTAATTGCTGCACACTAGGCTTATCGGCATGGTGCATCGTGCAGAGGCGCAAGACATAATCGGGTGCGAAGCGCCAGTCTCGAAGGCAAGGCAGCGCCAAGGTCTTTGAGCTGAGAAGGAACAGTGCGCCTTTTATCCTCTCAAAGTCTGTATCTATCAGAAGGGTAATAAAAAAAAAAAGTCTCGAGTAAACAAATCATTCATTTCCAGGTGCAACAGTAGTCGTTCTCAGAAGCAATCAAACATACTTGAGCTCTCTAAAGCCTTCAGCAAGATAGGGAGCACAAGGTTCTTGGCTCCCTGGTAGCACCGCACAGCCTTGAGAAGGGCATGTTGTGATTTCTTTCTCACATCTGTGTACTGACTCAGAGAGAGATCCGTCAAGTCGAGAATCAGCGCATCGTGCAGCTCGGTCTTTGCTCTTCCACAGGAATTGACCTTCAGTCTCATAAAATGTTGGGCAGCTGCGCGTCTGCATCGCAACAAGCGAGGGTACAGTTTCTTGTCGCCAGGGATCTTGTACATCTGCTTCAAAAAGCTGTATCCCTTCTTGTTGTTGTCGTAGCTGCTGCTGTCAACACCGTGATCCGAAAGAAAAACGCGCGTCGCCTAAAGTACCAAAGACGAGCTCGTTAGACTGTTGCTCAATGCCTCACCAAAGACATCGGCGCGCACGATCGATTACCTTAACTAGAACTTTGACGTTCTCAACATCATCCTCACGTTGTGTGTGAAAAAACACCATGAGCTCGTGCAACAGCTGGCCTGTTTCTTCGCGGATCTTCCGCATCCTCTGAGTGCGTGGGTCATTTAGGTCTCTGAGGCAATATCCGACCTCAATACGCTTCATTGGTTGCACAGAATCCATGTCTTCACCCAAACTAAAATACAGAATCCAGCGATTTGGTTAGCATTCGTTTCTTGATGATTTAGCATCGCAAATCCAAGGGATATCAATTTGAAGTGGGTTTGTCGTATATTACCTGGCTTTTGACACGGGGCTATCGCCATCGTCCTCGACCAACGTCACCATACCAGTGATAAATGCTTTCATTGTTGTGATGGATTTGCAGAACTCGATCGAAAGCTGCTTTCCTTCTAGCATGGTAGATGTCATCAGTTCCCGAGCGCGCGCCATAGATGGTACGTGGAACTTTTCAATAAGTTCGATTGCGAAGTCGATCTCATCCTGCGAGGGTTTGTGCCAAGTCACTTGATCAGAACCCGGCTCACCCAGGGCGCCCCAATGCATGTGCGACTCCGACATAAATGCTATGCAAGACCAAAAAATTAAATAAAATAGATGTTAGGTATGGTCCAGTTTTTATCGTCCTACCTTTCACTGTATGTGAAATGACATGTGGTTGAGTACCTTCGTCTTCCCACTTGCTAGGATCATGCGAACGAATATCCATGGTGTACGTGAAGAGCAAGTTCTGCAAAGTTGAGACCATTGCCTTGGCCGCCAACTTGTAGCCTCGACGATCCTGACACTTCTCCATCATCAGGGTCGTGAGACTGATGATTTCCGATTTATATCCAGTGATCTCCGCATTGACAAGGAGCTGATTCAACAGACCTTGATAGTAGTGCAGAGAGTCGTCACGATGCATGTGAGAATAGGCCAACGAAGGTACAGAACTGGCCCCGTGTTCGAGCTCTGATCGAATCATCCTGTCGAGAATAGGAAATACCCTGGCCATGGCGTTCTTGGGGTTGGCATGGGCCCAGGATGCGATAAAAGAACCCATGGCTTTTCCAGCATTGGTCAGGGGTGCAGATTCCAATAGCTCGATGACGAGTTTTGTCGTCAAATCATACAGCTTAGTTGACAACTGGCCAAAGAGGATCTCGAAGCAATACTACAATCCCGTAATGAAGATATCAATCTGAATTAATTAGTAATTGCGTCCACAAGCAGGAGGTATTAAATTATGTAAAGTCTTTGACCGTTTACCGAAATGGTTCCAGTGACGGAGCTCTCGACAGTATTCTTGCTTCCTTGGCTGATATCCGGATAATTCTCAAACTACGGAATGAACAAGAGGAACATGCATCATTAGAACACAAGTCGATGGCAAACAAGAGCGATAAATAGAGTTCGTATAAAAAGTTTCATACCATACGGATGGCGCGGCGCAGAAACTTCATAACCCATTCCTCAAACTCGGCTGTCGTCGCCTTCCTGTTCGAATCCTCCAGTTCCAAGTCCACGATCTCCTCAGAGTCCAGTATATCCTCCTCCATGCCTCCCCACTGGAAGCCTGCGCTACCAAAATCCGTCAAGTCTCGGATAGGTACTGTTGAAATCATGGAGGTGACAAACAGCAGTGTGTACCACGTCTTTCCGGGATCGTTCAAATCGACACCAGGGACGGTGAGATGAAGCAAAGGCAAGAGATGTTTTCCGCCTTGAGGATAATGGTCACGGTTTAACAGCGGTATAGCCAACGAGCTCATGGCGGAAATGACACTGGTCGTTCGATGCGTCTCCGTCAGGGATTCGAGGGAAGGATATGCCCGCTCCAGTACGCCAGGGATAATGAGTCTGGGTGCGATCCAGGCCAGGTGCCTTAATGTCATGTTGGTCTGTGCTACTGCTCGCTGGTCCTTCGAGAACATCATCAGGAATGTCACGCCCTTTACCGCCTCCACAAACTTGTTGTTGAGCTCCGGAGTCAATCGGAGTTCCTGTGGAGTCATGCACTTGGGATCTTCCTCCTCTTTGACTCGTTTCAAATAGTCCCAAGACAACGAATGTAAAAAGAGCGCCAATACGTACGACCATTGTCCAGAATTCGAAGGATGGAAGAAGGATTCAGTCGCTTGAATCAGATCATTGAGATGGGCTAGCGAGGACGACTTTGGGTTTTCTTTTTCCGAGATCGGGCTGATCGTATTGACGATAAACATCACAAACGAAATCATCCTCATCTACATGGCAATATATTGGATAGTTAATATGGTGTTCCATGCATCTAGAAAAACTCGATATCAGAACTATGAACGCGTACTTACATCGTTTCGGCCGACAGCCTTGTGTGAGGTGCCTCCTTCTACATCGACGCTGTTTGTGCGCTGACCTTTTCCAACGGGCAGGTTCAGCGCGCTCAGACCAGCGGAAAAAATGGTACGCACTTGGGCTTGCGTGAACATATCCCTGACACCAACGTTGTCTTGAGCTACCCGTCCCATGAGCGACAAAAAGTTGCGATCGAATTCGCTCGATCTCGCGACCAGGGACCATAGCCTGAAAATGGCGGGCATCCACTCACGAGGGTCCGTTCCTGATTCGATATCCGTCGGCAAGAATGTGGTGAGATATGACTGGGCCTTAAGTAGTTCAGGCAAATTTCCTGTACTCATCAGCGGAAGAAATTCCTCCAGAATCTCTACAGATGCCTCTGGTGGAAAAAACCTAATATATAGATCGCGAGTGTTCATAGTATGAGGATCGAAGCAAGACTTTCTAGATTGCAGATCGAGAGTTCGTCCGCTGAATGTTCAGAGCAGACGTATTACCTTTGCGCATCCTCGATGAGACGAACCACCCTTGCCATGCGCTTACTAATGACAATGGAACCAATAGAAAAGATGTGCGGATCAAATTAACGCGATAGACGCGGTCGAGGACACATATAACAAGTGAAGGGAAGATATAGAAAATTCAAATGCAGTGTATTTAGATAGTGTTCTTGTGGATATTGGATGCAACAACAGCAGTTCTTTTCGTACGATTCTGATAGCAATGATCTTTGCCTGCTCTTGGGGAACAATGTCCTTTCGAGAATGTCGTAGAGCGGTCGCCAGGGAAGGGTCAGGTCTTTTGGTCCGATCAAGTCCTTCTTCCTAGAAACATTAACATTTGTTTGGTTAGATTGAGACCTGTGGAAACTGTGTGTGTGTGGGGGGGGGGGGGGGGGGGGGGGGAGGGTGAGGGAGGAAGCGAGGTAATTAAAGGGGATACCATTTGCAATGTAATTTATGCATTGGTGGATCTGCGCACGGATACATTTGATGTGGCATCGCATTAATGATGGTTATAAAGATAAAACATTACTTGATCAAGCGACGGCAGTATTGACACCAGACTTCAACCATGGTGGCATCCATGCCTGGTGCGGTCGTGAGCTCCCAAAAAGCCTTTGCGAATGCAACACGTGTCTCCTTGGGCAACGTGTACTTCAAATCAAGATATCTACACATCGCCATTTGAGACAGAAAAAAATGTAAGTATTGGCGTAGTATATTGCAGAAGCAGTTCATGCACTTGGACATACTGGTTCAATTGCTTCGCCCAGTAGAGAGCGCCTGGCGCCCAGTCCTCCGATTTTAGACAGAGATCAAAGTGCTGAATGATGTTACTGAGCATGTCGCTCGCCTCCTGCGACAGATCATTGCCATAAGGAAGGATGTTGTGGTGCGCTGCTGAGAGGTCACCCCATTGTTGGTTGGATATTTCGATGTCAGGCATGGCGGTAGCCGTGAAAGGTGGCATGGTAGTGTAACCAAGAAACTATATATTTTCTGGGAGGTCCGAGGGATGGATGTGCGAGTTGATGATTGAGGTGGATGCAAAGAGATGATTTAGAAGAAGAGACGGTTGTCGAAGTTGGAAGAAAGAGCGGAGGAGGAAGAAGGGCAGGCCAACTTTGATACCGTGTTGCGTGGGCTAGGTGCTGCGTATGCAGCTTTTTTGAAAGAAGGGTGCGTGTGCAAAACCACCTCACTTTCGATCATCCATTTATGGAATAAGGTGGCCGCCTGGGAAATACTCCGGGCCTGGTTATCCCTGGCAAGAAGCTACCTTCAACAGGCGCAATGGTGTATCGAAAGGCTCAATGGCGGAATAGATCTGATTCTAATACCCTTTGAGCCTCTTGGGCTCTCGTATCACTTCCCACCGCCAGAAGGGCAAGCTGGTCTATGCGCGCCCGCCGCAGACAGAGGAAGTAGCTCGATTCTCGCTGAAAATACGTCACCGAAGACGTTCTTCCCGCGAGAACGTGCCACCTCTAAACTAAAAGTGTGCGCTAACACACATAGAGTCCTCGACAATAAGTAACGCGCCACATATTTTTTAAAATAAAAATTTCAATTCATAAGAGACGTGACCCGTCTAAAAGGCATGCCATCCCGTATTTTCAAGCAATACCATTTCTCCACTCAATTGTGAGGGTCACACATGCATGCCGAGGGCGCAACGGAAGCCACGGGCACATTGCAAGAAGAGCATCATCATCAACAGACTCACTGCGACTATCTACTCAATGGAGAACCCGTTTATTACCCTTGGTGCTATGCCTACTGGCGTTGGTACTGATACTGACCAAGACACCAGCCCTGTGGAGTCCTCAACTGACTTCCTGTCCGTGCCAAGTGACGACCCTTTTCATTATCTCAGTGATGTCGCGTCTCCTTCAAGTGATATTGAGTCCCCTCCAAGCGGAGCTGTTGCCGCAAACAGCTCGCCCAACAGCTTGTCACTTCGAGTTATAGCTGCATCTCCCGACAGGTACCTGCACCTTTGCCTCAAGGGAACTCCTACTCGCTCGCCACGACGTCGCGAAGAGCGACCTCTACTAGGAACAGTGAGCAGTCTCATACCTCCATATTTCATACGCCCCAATACGGAAATCATTCAATCAATTTGAAAAAATATATGGCGCGTTACTTATGTCGAGGACTCAAAATCTGGCGAATCTAGTTTTTGTGGTCTCTGAGTAGAGTCACTTCTCGTGTCCTCTTACATATGTCGACGCAGCTGCACGTCGACCATGCCCGACCTCAATTTCTTTTGTCTCACTGATGGAGAACTCATATCGAACGCGTTCCCAATCTCGATACCATCTACGGACGCCATCGGTAACCTCAAGGATCTCATCAAGGCCAAAAAAACGCCAAAATTTGACGACCTCGCTGCAGATGAGCTCACGCTCTGGCGTGTCTCGGTTCCTGTCGTCGCTGCCAACATCCACAATGCAGTCTTCCTGAACGAGATCGATTCCAAGACGGAGATCAGTCCAATGACTCGCCTCTCCAAGGTCTTCAAAGAAGAGCCACCTGAAGAAGCAATCCATATCATTGTGCAGCGACCACCGCCAGGTAATACATTCGCACTCGTTTTGCATTAGTGCCTGGACTTGTCCGTTATTTTTTTTGCGCGAGGTACTGACTCTTGACCTCATCGTTTTTTGCAATCTACCGTGCTGCTACATTAACTGTTGCTATCTATGCTCTCACCCACCCCTCAGCCGCCGCGTCACCTCCTGGTTCTCCAATTTCTTGTAAGTGCCCTAGCTGGCGACAATTATCAAGTACTGTAGTAGAACATCACTAAATGTGCTTACTTTTTTGCTGCCATTCAAACAGACGAAAAATGGGAGGAGCTTGTCGCAAAGATTGAAGGCGACTTCTTTGCACCCGACTCGGTCAATTACACGAGCCTCGTCCGATATCTGAAAGCCGATCAGGTGATTCCAACAACCGGAGGACCACTTGGAGGTCTGCCCTCTTTTATTCCCCGCTCAGGCTTGTCCGAGGGCCGACCGAGTCTGTTGTTCCTTAACTTGCCAGTATCGTCCGAGAGTCAGGACCCTCCTGGCACTGCCGACAAGGCGCTTAAGAAGATTCATGGACGATCTGTTCCTTTAACGGCCTTTTTTGGTGTTTCCGGATGTGGAAAAACGAGGACGGCTATCGAGATGCTCTGTAAGCAGTGGGGCTTCTATTTCAACGGAAGCAGCACGGACTGGGGTTCTAGAGATCTCCTTCTGCTTCTTACATTGGTTAAAGAAAGGGAGGGATACAAAACTTGTAACTCGGAGACTAACGCTCACGTACACATCTTGGCGCTGGCTCTTATTCTTGCTCGCGTCATGATCTTGCACCACTGTCTCAACATCGCAAAACGCGAAGGACTCACATTTACTTGCAAGCGCTGGATGCTGTTGCAAGTCGGTTTTCACACGATGGGTATCGAGGACCTTTTGCCAATCTATTCGAATCGATTGCACGTGTGATCCACCTTCACTTCGTCGACATCGAGTTCATCAACACCACGGTTACAGGACGATTCTCCGATCTGCGCCGGCGCCTTCTGAGCCTCCCCTCAAACACGCCCTTTCAGAACTTTAACTACAAGATCCTTCTTGTAGTTGACGAAGCACAAAATCTTGGCAAGGATGAATTTGGCACCTTCCTCTCACAACAAAGGACCTCAGAATCCAAGCGAAAAAACACTACTGCCTCGTACGACGACTATAAGCGACCGGTCCTCTCCCCCTTGATCCATGGGTTTTACAAGATCGCTGCCGACGAGAACGAATTTTGCGTGATACTTTGTGGGACTGGCCTCAGTATTTTCAATCTGCAGTGGCTAGATGACTCTGCTCCTGTCACCAAAGGCTACCAACAACAGCTTGAACCATTTACCGATTTTGATGGTTGGGAATCGCTCGAACAAGTGCGGAACTATCGTGACCTTGTGCGTCGCTCGCTGCCGAATCAGGAAGCCATGACCATTTTCGACGCACGTGTGCCGGATACATCGATGCCAGAGCTCTTTGACAGTTTTCGCGGACGGTTTCGGCCGATCGTCTTTGCCATTGAGCGTATGATTATACTGAGGTCTAACGACGGCGGAATCGGTTGGAAATCGGCGATCAAAGAAACCGAAGATATGTTGACATCGACAGATTCCCCATATTATGGCAAAGGAAACATCGTCTTCGACATAGAGCGAATGATCGCTCGAGTTGCCTCATTCCCGGCGCGATATGCAAAGTACCAGAGCATAAGAGCTACCCTCCAGCTCTTCGTGTTGCATTTCTTTTTGCATGGGCGTGCATTGTTTATCAACGAGAAGGAGGCGCCGCTGGTTGAGGCTTCTGTTGGGCGAATTCTAAAGATTGGACAAAATACGACGACGGTTTTAGATGAGCCGTTTGCGCTGCGCGCGGCTCTGAACTACTTCCGCAAATCGGATCCGGACTTCCACAGTGTTATCTGTACCTTGTTGAACTCTGGACCTTACCCTTCCGTCCATGGGCATATGTGGGAGATGGCAGTGCTTCCTACCCTGGTCCACGTTTTCAACAACAAGGGCTTATCCAAGACAGCCCTGACCCCAGACCCCTCCAAATACGAATTTCTCACGAAAACAGCCAGTATTGTTGGAGTGGACGCGCCAACGCTTGGGGTCGACTATAGGAGCATGACACTAGAGGAGTTTCTAGCGGCCCATATCCAAAATGGTTCACTCAAAGACGGAAGGAGAGTTCCGCCCTTTTACCATCCTGTTGAGAAGATCTCAGGACCTGACATCATGTTTGTGCTTCATTTCGATGGATGTGGCTATTATCCCGTGTTTATTCAATTGAAGATGCGGGTTTCCATGGACAAAGCGCAAACAAGGGCTGCGCAAACAACGGTCGATTCCGATGCGATTCAACGTCATCTCGAAAATGATCTCCAGGCATTTTGTACCCTTACTCCTAAGAGGTTCCTCGGGGTTGTTATTGCTTATCCCGCTGAACTGACGGACTTCTATGACTCATTTAACAGCTATAGACGGAGCGAGCGACTTCGTGCAGCGCAAGGAGAGCAAACCCTTGAGTGCGTTACACTCAGAATTGACAAGGACAACATACACAGCCTCTTCCCGGAACACCATATGGAAGCACTGGATCGTCTCAAGGGCATAAAGCGAGAGTTGAACCAAGATAGCGATAATCTGGTGGACCAGCAAATAGCGAAACGCCGTCGGTATGAGGATGACGACTCCTATATGGACTCTAACTAGGGTCGATCTTCCCGATTACCATATACTCGCCTAAACCGTGGCATTCTCTACTATGTCCTGCCTACGCTTCAAAACCTTCCGAGTTGTATTCATATCATACCAGGGAGGCTTAGCAGAACTGTTACTCTCTATCATTAAACCCTGGGTGCCAATTGCACTCGCACCATGTCCAACGCAGCTGTCGTCGATGCCGATAACGAAGGCAACTATCCTCCTCTGTTTCCTCCACTTTCTGATAGCCGAGCTGAAGATGAAGAAATCTCCGAAGCAGATGCTGAAGCACATGAGAGCATAGCAGATTCCAATGCTTCAACAACAAAACGAGCCAAAAAGCAGCCAGCAACCCGGTTTAACTTTCTCAAAGACTCCCTGCAAGAACTCATTCTCCTGTGCGCCTTCGCAGTTCATCGATCTCCCTTTGGTCCGCATGGAAATGTGTTCGATACTTAGAATAAGGTCGTGGACTACTTACATGAGACAGACAGAAAGTAGCGCCCAACAAAGCCTCCTTTCTCGAACGTCAAGACTCGAACTTGCAAACTCATATGGGTTCGACTAGCCGATGAGCAGAAAAGATATGAGGCCTACCTACAGAGCACAACTGGGATCGCTCTCGAGGAGACGGAGCGACGGTTGTTGATAGAAGAGTTCTATCGTCTGAAGCAAGCCAGCGTCGAGACAGTAACCGTGGCCAGACAGGAGAAAAACCAAGCAACAAGAAAATCTAGCAGAGGAGAGAAGGCTGGGTCAGTTTCTCTTGGACGCAGCAGATGGCGCACAATTTGGAGATGTGTGCGTTTGCCGTGAAGGTGCTGACAGCAATAGCGACAACATCCTATGTACTACTGGCGAAAAAGTTGGAGAGTCCATTGTCAGTCAAACTCCTCGAACACTAGCACAGAAAAAGCATGGAAGCCATCCAAAACATACCACAAGGATCAAAACTAGACAAGCGAGGAGTCAAAAGTGTGCACACTATCACTGTGCTTATCACCACTGCAGATATTACGGATCAAGCATTTCAACAACTCAGCAGTAGGTCTTTTCCTGACAATTGCCTTCAGCATCCATGCCTCCCTTCCAATGACAAAGGATCTCAATTGGAATTTTACGAGTCGGGTGACTCTAAAAAAGAAGTATAGTTTAGGCGAGGAGGAGGTGGACCAGTTCTTGGAGAATATGCCCTACCGTCCATATGACGATCTTGTTCGAAAAGTTCCTGCAATGAGTTCCAAAGGACTTGATAAGGGGATGGGACTTTTGCCGAGTAGGTTAGGGTCGTACAAATCTTACGGTCTCTAAACAACCAACACACATTATAATAATAATTGCACTACTCAAATATCTCCACGATAAATTATTTGCATGGATTTTGTGCCAGCCTCCAAAACTGCAAACACAGCAATTTCAGACACGTCGTGTCGGAAAGAAGGTTTGCTCACTTCGAGCAAATGAGCAAATGGCAAAAGTCACTCCTGAAAACGGTGGCACCGCACAGACACCATCAATTTCCTCTAGTTCTCCCTTCTCCCCTGTTCTCCTCGTCCTCTTTCCTGCCATGGTGCCCCTCACTCTTCTTTCCACTCTTGTCCTCCTATATACGCCAACAAACCACGTCGCCTGGTCACTCCATCACGCTTAGTTTCGACCATGCCCGACCTCAATCTCCTTTGTCTCACTGATGGAGAACCCATGTCGAACGCGTTCCCAATCTCGATACCATCTACGGACGCCATCGGTAACCTCAAGAATCTCATCAAGACTAAGAAAACGCCAAAATTTGACGACCTCGCTGCAGATGAGCTCACGCTCTGGCGTGTCTCGGTCCCTGTCGTCGCTGCCAACATTCACAATGCAGTCTTCTTGAACGAGATCGATTCCAAGACGGAGCTCAGTCCGACAGATGATGTCGCTGATGTCTTCCCAAACACTCCAGCCAAGAAAAAATCCACACCATTGTTCAGCGACCATCACCGGGTGATGCATCGCGAGTTGCATTGGTGCATGGACTTGCCCGCTGTATCTTTTTTTTTGTGCGAAATACTGGTTCTTGACTTAATCTTTTCTTGTCGCTTTTACTGCTCTTTTTGTAATTCAATACACAGACTTTATATCAGAGCGCGAGTTCGTGCAACGTGCTTTGGAACCTGTCACCGGCATAGACCAAAGGACACATGGGGTGACGACCGACTCGACTCGTACATACTTGTTGATCCCTGTGTCAGTTGCCGTGTGGGAAGATTTTTTTAGCCATGGTGCGCCAAATGCCACTTAAGACTGAGCCAATCCATCCACGTCCAAGCTTTCTATCAGTCAGGACGTTTGTGACCGAGCCAAATCTGCACGGAATCTTCTAATACGATGTCGGCTCCGTCCAGAGCATGTTCCCCTTTGCAAACACTCTCAGTTCCGCTGGCACGCAATATGGTATCCCCGAGCTGGTATGCTCACGCTAGAATGACTTCGCCTCGGTATTGTTTCCGATCGAAATGAAAACGCCCTCCTACCCGCATTTGGATGACGGCACCAGTTATCCAGCCGCTTATCAGGCACAAGGATCACATGTACAAGAATTACAGGCACAAGGATCACAGGCACAATGCCCGGCTAGTGCGCTAGAACAGATATTCGGATACATGCGGTCCAACGGGTTTCGATATGACATAATACCTACCTACACCCAGACTTGGTTTATTAAGAGAGTCAGTGAGTGTGAGAACGATATCCTGGTCTCGCCTACAATCCAATTTGACAGCACAAGGCCAACATTGCTTCAATGTTATTTGTGGTTGATCAGGACGGCAGACAACGACGTTGAATGGCAGCCGGACAGTCCCGATGCCTACGGTTGACAACATGCTCACAAACGAACAGCCTGAATACAAGGCTGCGAAACGTGATCGTGACTGGGTGCCAAGACCTGGCGGAAGCTTTAGACAAGGAATGAAGAGCGTTTTTACGCGAAACAGGTAAGAAACAAATAGGTTGGTGCATTCCGGCTGGAAAGGTTTTTTTTTATCATAGATGATTAACCATCCTATACTATATGGTAATACAGTGTCAGGAAACAGTCAAGAGTCACGGAACAAGAGCTTACCACTATCCTCGCTTTTGAAAATATGAAGCTTATCGCTCAAGGTGAAGAACGTGCCCGTACGTTCCGGGCATCATGGCCAAACGAGGATTTTGTGCTTAAGAAAGCCGACATATGGGATCAGCGAGAGGTTGTTCATGAGTTAGAGCATGAGGCAAGGGTTTACCAGGCTCTGCAGAAGCTGCAAGGGCAATGGATACCCAAGTTGAAGATAGCCGGAATAGCAAATGAACTGAGGGTGATTCTGGTCACGGAATTTATAGGATCTAACCTCTGCGAAGAACACTTGGTTCATCTGAGCGGAAAAAGATCCAGGCGGCACTGTCAGCAATCCACAGGCTAGGTATCCTGCACGGTGAGATTCGACTGCACAACATTGAGGCACGGCGCGATGGTGAAAACTCGCAGTTCTTTTTCATCGACTTTGGACGTTCGGAACTCACAAGAGTGAAAAATTCTGAGGCACGAGGCGGAAAAGTTGGAATCGCTGCTTGGCACAATGCCTTGGTCAGAAGGTAGTAGTCATATTTCATGCTACATGTCAGGTCAAATTAATTTCTAATTCTACCAGCCTTGTTCTCGTACAGCGTCGCGTCCCGAGATAGGAGAAAAACCACCAAGGCGCCATCCACCCAAGAGCTGGAATTTGCTGTCATGCTAATAGGGATATTTGCTCAAGATTATTCAACTGCTGGCCTAACTCAAAGGGAAACTGTTCGAATGCCGATGTGTTTCCTCCGCTCTACAAAGCATCAAAGCAATAAATTGCTCGTCCCCATATTGGAAACAAGGACAAAATATACAACATACTACTATTCACTTTTGAACACGAATGCTGACATGATGTGTATCCCCTAGATGTCGCTCCAAATTTAAAAAAAAAATAGTTACCCAAATCACAATCTTGTTCGCTTCATCTCTTTGCCTACCAGTTGCACCCCAACCATCTTGAGCAGACGGTCCGTAATGATCGCGTACTTTGCTTTCTGAGCCTTCCAGGCATCCACTGGTGCTTTTTAACAGTCATGCTGTGGTTGTAAAAGCTGTCGAGCAGCTCCTTGGCGTTTCCAAGTTCCGTCACATATTTCGCGAAGTTGGCATCGTCACTGCAAAGAGCCGGCAGCCTACTCTCAATGTCGTTAATGGATTTTGTTGTACCAGGAAAAACCATTCATTTGCACTCTTTCTGCCAGCGCCGGTACTTGAAGATCGCTTAGTAGATAGCCTTCTGCTTCGCAGCCAGGTTATAGTAGGTGGCGGGGCCGGGGGCTGGTTTAGCGTCATTGCAGGGCTCTCTTGCTGCAATATCGCCACCCTGATCTCACTGGGCCTTCTTGAGTTCCGCCTCCTTGGGTTCCTCGGATAGCAACGTGCTTGCTCCGACTACGCATGCTTGGCCACGATCGAGACCAAGGATCTTGATCTCCTCTAGACTGCATCCCCAAAGAGCTGTAACATCCTACCCGAACCTAAACAACGTTTCGAGCTTCAGTCAAGTGGTAGTCCGCTCCGGTAACGGTGGATGTAGTTGGAGGCGGCAGCAAATTTTCTGGGAGCCGTTTGAATCGAGCGGCCTGAAGTTCCTTCAACTTGAATGCGAGGATCTGAACACGAAATCCATCAGTTCGGAGAGACCCGCGTAGGATACGACTATTTCTCTTTTACATCCTGAGATCGAAATTGCTTTGTTGAATGAGTGCTAGGTGCTGCCGTATCTCCTCCAAGGGCATTGTGGTTACTGTATTCCTGTATAATTTACTGGCTCCTGACTTACTCCGCTTGGGCCTGTCCTGTCCATCCCGCCCGATACCTGTGATTAGCATTGTGATGAAGAACCCCGGTGCACTATCGGACAACCAATTCTGTGTATCCGCAAGCACATAGTCTTCTCTGGTCATAAGTTCCTTGATTTTTTTTCTGCAGCGCATTGCTCTTCCAAAAGAAGGGAAGCAGCTCGCCTTCTGAGAAGAAAAAGAACGACTGGCTGACGGGTGTAATAGGAATGAGCCTGCGGCGGTTCTTGTTGATCGGGTTCAAGCAGACAAAATCCTCGACTGTGGATTCGCCACTCTTAATATCGATGCTGCGCCCATCTGGCAGGAGCCCTTTGTCCTCTTTGATCTTAAACTACAGTATATAGATTGTTTGATGCTGTAAGCTTCGCATTCCTTTGAATCGCCATGACGTTAGACTCATAGATATAACAATGATATCTAAAGCCAGATCATTACCTTTTCATGGAGCTTATCGCCGCCTTTTCGAAACTGCTGCGGCACGGATTATTTCTTGACCGAGATCAGGGATGTAGTGAAGACGTCTCGGATCTTTGGGGATATGATCCGGAGCTGATTAAGGTTTTAGGCCTAGATCTAGGACAGGCATTCGTGATAAGAGCGAGTGCCTTATTACCCAGTCGTGGGAGACCCAAGTTGGACAAAGGAACAGGGACGAATATTGTGACCAAGGAATCGTCTGGAGAGATATCGGCCCTGTCAAGCAGAAGGCGGTGTATCAGCCCACACGAAAACATCGACACTGAATGGAACAAAGGAAGGGCATCGAGAGCAACATGTCCCCCTACGCAGCTCTGGGTCAAACATCAAAGGCCACGTTGACAAGCTCAAGGATGTGAAGGCACACCTCGGTTCCTTCTATAACAGGAACACGGTCCTCAAAAAACACAAGTGGGACGCAAGAAGGGCACGAGACAAGGAGTACAAGCAAATTGCCAACCGTCTCCTCAACCTAGTTGGAGGGTCAACTAGCGCCAAGAGAGAAGACAACAACAAGGTCGTGATCGGCGTGGGCCTCGGAAAGTTTTTTTACAAAGACCAAATTATCTTCTTTGCACGAGTCGGTCCAATCGTACTTTGCTCAGAAAGTAAGTGACCGATGGTGCCTCTTAGCGACCCTGTAATTGCTGTCTCTAGCGGAATGTCATGACTAATCTCGCCTCTCCCTCTAGGCCAGATCGCTTGGCTACATTGTCGTAGGTGTGAACGAATATTAAACCTCGAAAAAGTATCCGAGCTGTGAGAATTTTGCTAGTCAGGTCAACATCCACCGGCTTTATTGTCCAACGTGCATGACACTCATGCATCGCGATATCATGGCTGACCACAACATCAGCAGCGCTGTTCGTGGTCATCTGATTAGCCAGCAGCGGCCCCTGTATCTCCAGCCCAAAGATGTTGATGGGAGCTGCTCATGGATGAAAGAGCCAAGTCTTCGCTCGGTCGGCAGCAGTAACACAGGTCACGAGAGTCGTGCTGGACATGGTGGGGTCAAGCGACAAGCACCGTCGGATTGGATGGACTCCAAGGCACAAGATAATTCAGGACGAGTCTGTAGTTTAGTTTAGGAGGAGCGTGCGGTTCGTCACTTCGGTGACGTAATTTTCGCGCCCATTGTCCTTATCGTAACAAAAATAGCATGCAGTTGCCGAGAGTGTAAGAAAGGCCACACTGCTTGCTGCCCATCTTTCCCACTTCACATCGAGAATCAGAAATGTCTGGCATCAACAGGAAACACGACGACAAGCTCGTCTTTGAGACCAGCGAGGACGTCAAGGGTACCGAACTGGATCTCAGATTCTGGAAATCACATCGATTGTAGAATTGATCTCTTGGGTCATTTGCTAACGAACCATTCTGCTTTTTTACTAGTCGTACCTACTTTTGATTCTCTTGGACTGAAGGACGATTTGCTTCGCGGTGTTTATGCCTACAGTACGCAACCTCGACTCTTCATGAATTCGAATCATGTCCAAAAAGGATGCAGCAATATATCTTGCGTAAGAAACAATGGCCACTAATGGTACTATATCCCGCCAATTCATTGTATGGATAGATTTCGAAAAGCCCTCGGCAATTCAGCAGCGTGCCATCAACCCCATTGTCAAAGGACGCGATGTGATTGCACAGGCTCAGTCAGGAACAGGAAAGACAGCAACGTTCTCCATCTCGATCTTGCAGTCCATCGATACCTCGATCCGCGAGACCCAGGCTCTGGTTCTCGCTCCGACTCGCGAATTGGCGATCCAGATCCAGAGCGTTATTCTTGCATTAGGAGACTACATGAACGTCCAGTGCCACGCTTGTATCGGAGGCACCAGTATTGGCGAGGATATTCGTCAACTAGACCATGGACAGCACGTTGTCGTCGGTACACCAGGAAGAGTCTTTGATATGATCCGTCGTCGCAATCTCAGGACACGAAACATTAAGATGATGGTCCTTGATGAGGCAGATGAACTGTTGAACCAGGGATTCAAAGACCAGATCTACGACGTCTACAGATACCTGCCACCCTCGACCCAGGTCGTCATTCTCTCTGCCACCCTGCCCCACGATGTCCTCGAGATGACCTCCAAGTTCATGACGGATCCTATCCGTATTTTGGTTAAGCGCGATGAGTTGACACTCGAGGGTATCAAACAATTCTTTGTCGCTGTGGAAAAAGAGGACTGGAAGTTTGATACACTGTGTGATCTGTACGATACCTTAACCATCACACAGGCCGTTATTTTCTGCAATACCCGCAGAAAGGTCGATTGGTTAACTACCAAGATGAGGGAGGCCAACTTCACAGTATCATCCATGCACGGAGAGATGCCTCAAAAGGAGCGTGACGCTATTATGCAGGAGTTCAGACAAGGCGCCAGGTAACTTGTTGTTCGCTTTATCTAATCACTGGAATACTTGTCATTGCTTTTGCAGTACCTCGAGACGGCCACTAATAGGCTGCAATCTCTTTGCCGTCGGTAGCCGCGTGTTGATCACAACCGACGTATGGGCCCGTGGTATTGACGTTCAGCAGGTGTCATTGGTTGTCAACTACGATCTTCCCAGTAATCGTGAAAACTATATCCATCGGTAATGCCTTGATAATCATGCTGCCTTTGGTCGTTCAGTTGAGTACGGAAACCTTGTGACCCCATTTCTGATGCTGGCCCATCTCAATTGTTTTTCATTTATAGCATTGGTCGTTCCGGTCGTTTTGGTCGCAAGGGTGTTGCCATCAATTTTGTCACCCAGGATGATATCAAGATTTTGCGTGATATTGAGCAGTACTACAGCACGCAAATCGATGAGATGCCAATGAATGTGACCGATCTGATCTAATGCGGGGCCGCCGCCGTAGCTGGCGTCTTTCTCTTGAAAGGAGCCGGATTCAGTTGTAGTAAAAAATTCGATTATTCACAAGCATTAAAAACGTTTTTAATTGTATGAAGAGGCATCGGGGGCGTTCCCCTTTATTGGTCCAAGTTATGTTGATGAAGATCCTTCTGAATTTCATTGTCTGTGGAGGTGCTGTATTGCATCTTCGCTCATGCCTTCATCGTGCTCGACTTCTGAAGTTCAGCTCTATATGGGAGAGGGGAGGAAAATGTGGGTTAGTACGTCGCCAAGGCTGTGAGATCATGGTTGTCAATAGCCGTAACAAGGATGGGTTGAAAATGTACCTGAGTTGCTGTGAGAAATCGTCTTCGACATCATCGTCATCCCAGTTATCGTCCCATTGATGTGCGTCCTTCTCCTCCTCAGCTTCGTTCCAGTCTAAAATTATCGTCAAAGAGAGCAAATCAGTACAATCGAAACGGTCAGTACTCATGTCTCTTGGAAAACGCGTCCGGTTACTCTACGCTCGGTGAAATGGTTGAGCGCACCACCAGCGCCAAAACTGAATTGAATGGTACAAAATGTCGCTGAACCGTGTCCTCTGCAGGTTCGTTATCCAATGTTTGTTCAATATCTGTACAAAAAAGCGGTTGTGTCCACTTGCTCCTGAACGTTGTGGTAGTCGCAGTATCCTTGCATTGAATGAGCTGAATAATAAGAACGAGTACAACGATTGGATCAGTCGGCAGTACCTTGGGCGGCAAATTCCTCAAACTCGTCGTCCTCTTCCAGCCCCTGTAGCTGTGGTGCCTGTGCTTCTGGCTTGTTGTTCTGTTGTTCCTGTGGTTTCGATGACATGGCTGCTTTGGATGTATAGGTTTGTGGGTTTAGTTCATGTAGAGGAGAAAGAATAAGTAGACGCTTGCGTATGGACGTACACGCTCTCTAGAAAGACAAGACTGCAGGCAGAGACACGAGTCTACGTCACATTGAAACAAAAAAAAAGCCATCGGGATTTTGGTGGCAAAGAAAATTAAGGCGCGTTGGGCGGAGCGTTGAAATACAAGCGCTCCCGTTGATAACTTGGCAACAGACTAATCCTTCACATCGTACATGAGCACAGCTGCACACAATGGCCCATCCGGCAACCAGGGTCCAGACTCAGCGTTCCAGGCAAGGTCAACGTGCACAGCAGCGACTACAGGAACAGGGGCAACAAACACAGGAGCAGGAAGCAGGACAAGGGGTAGCACCAACACAACTGGCGAGCATTCGGAGTTTTCATGATGCGGCATGGCATTTCAACGAGTTTGAACAAAGTGGGCTGTCTACCTCCGAACAAGACCAGGCTCAGAATAAGGCTCAGAATTTGCGATCCGTTGCTTTAATGGCGCGAGGAGGGTTAAGGCGAGGTCGGGGCGACTTTGAAGGAAGCAATACACAACGTAATCCCTCGGCCATGGCTCCACCTGCCAATCCAACATCAACTATGCTCCAAGACACAAGCATGGATACTAAAAATTATGAACAGCAGCAGCAGCAGCGCCTTGGTTTCTCGCAGGCATTCGCTTTAGGCGTATCCATTCCAACATCAGAGTTTAACACAGAGGCATTCGGAACCCTCAGTGTCCGTCCTGCATTTAACTCGAACTCAAACACGAACACAGGCGTAACTGGCTCCAACATGATCACAGTGACGGCACCAGGCACTAACTGCGACCCTGTTGAGTCCTTGGACGATGATCTTGAACTACCAGGAGACTTTGATGAGCTGTTTGAGGACGTTGAGATGGACGTCAGCAAGGAGGGCCATGGTCTCGGTCACGATACCGCGATGAGCCAAGCCGCACCAATCTTTGGGGATGTCAACCCACCAGCATCACAAAATGGGGTTGAGAGAGTCGAGGATAGCCAGGCTGCTGATGAATTGGCATCGCTGAGGCAGAGGCTAGCCGAGGTAAGTGACACTGGTATGGATTGAACTCATGACATGTCACTGCATTATGTTACTTGTTAACGCTGACTAATGTTTTGAATCCATTGACTATAACTACCTCCTTTAGATGGAAACCCAATTGAGAACCAAGGAGGAAGAGCTGCAGATTAAGACCGGCCAGGCATCCATTCTCAAGGAAAAACTTGATGAAGAGGCACGCGCTCATACCGATTTGAAGGAGACGTTCAGGACCACAGATGCTCAACATCAATCGGAAAAAGCAGCACTGGAGGAAAAACACCGCATGGATCTCAGCAACGCGAAAATGAGCCTTGAGTTTGAGGTACACGCCTTTCTGCGCTCTTTCTTTCAGGCAGATGGAATACTGCTTGTTTGTAGGACTTACTAATGCCACGCCATGTACATGCGACTGCAATGAATGTAGATTGCAACGTACAAAGCAAACGGACGGCAGAGTTCTAGGGTCCCCAAAGAGATACAGATACCCCGACAACCCTCACCACTCATAGAGCAGTTCCCAAAGGGATTTGAAGGATTTGCCAGCACACAGTCATCCATCAAGGCTCAGCTGAGGAGTGGTAATACTGACCTAGGAGACACGCTACATTATATGGAGGATACCGCACTAACCTTTCGCCATATCTCCCCACTTAATTTCGTACGCATGCAGACGAAGGGTTCTCTATCAACAACTTTGCATCATCACCAAAATCGCCGAGGAAGAGCAGGTCGTTCGGGGTAAATAACGCATTATTGGAAAAGCCGCGACCATTTCGAGTCATAGGTGAACCAGTCCGGATAGTAAAATCGGCCTTTGGATACAGCAGCGATATACCTACTCACTCAGATGAGGAAATGGTATGATAAATTACCTCAAAGTATCGTACCATGTCGTCTCAGGAATTCCAGATGGTTTAACACTATTCATTTTTAGATCCGTGATAAACTACTTGCTGGCAGCGAACACAGATATGGCCTCAGAGCGCTGATGACAATCGAGGCGGATGCTGAAAAGAGATCACCATTGCCAGGTACAGGAACAGAGCTTTGTTCTTTTATCGAGAAGATGTCGGCGTCAAGCAACTGTTCCCTGACTTTGCTATTCTCTCCATTTCTACAATAGGATCCCAGGAGTATATACAGAACGCGCGATTGGAAAAGATCACCGACGTTTGCGTGAGTGCCTTGACGAGCCTCATGCTCGATGTCAACGCGACCTCAAGAGCAGAGGCTCTAAAGGCTACGGCAGATCTTTTGCAGGCTAGCCTTGTTATGCGCAAGCCCTTCCACACTGTGAACGCGCTCCAGGTTCTGACGACGCTGTACTACACATACGACGATCTGTCGAAAGAGGTGTGCCAAGGTGCTGTCCCCTTCATCGAGAACGGACGAGTGGATCCATTAACAATTGCACCTACAGAAACAGCACTTCCCACAGCCCTCGCGTGCATTCATTATTTATTTTTGGTCCGCATGGCGCTGCCAAATCCTTCGATGGCCGCCTCTGATTTCTCATCCATGAAGAATGAACATAAGCTGAGCGAGGATGCAGAAAATCAACTGGATGCAAATATATTTTTGCTTATGGACCATGTCGCGAGGTATCAGGTGGAGACCAAGGAGCTTAGTCGAATTTTTTTTCCACTGATTCGGAGGCGAATTTACGATCGCATATTGGAACTACATCGGGAACGGGGAAATTACAGAACATTGGATCAAACACTTGGTATCATCGATGTCATCACGCGGGAACCGGAATGCTCTCGACTGTTTATTGGATGGAGTATCAGTGAACAGCAATGGAAGGAGGCGTTTTCGAAGATTGAGATTTTTGCGGACCTAATCGACATCAAAGTGCCGGAGACTAGCGATATGGCGGTAAGAGAGAGTTATTCAAGGGAGGATGTTGACGAATGATATGTAATCGCATCGATTGTCAACTAAGCACTGCCTTCCGATCATAAAACAGAATGGTGTAGTCCCACGACTGAAGATCAAGGTACTCGAGATATTGATTCGAATGATTCAGATCAACTTTGAGCAGACCAAGGGAATAATCTACAAGACAAAGGTATGTGGTGCATTCTTACAGAGCGTCTACGGATTGCTTGCTGTATGGGGTTGTTAACTAGTCCTATCCATACATGTCTCAATAGCTCGTCAAGAGCATTATTTATTCGATACGGGATCTCGTAGAACTGGCAGGAACACTTCACTACCACAAGACAAGGTCATCGGCATTTCAGGACCATGGACTGCAAGCCCAAATGATAACTAGAGGTATATCAACGATAACACCGAAATCCGAAGAATTAAGGATGGGTAATTCTAGGGTCCAGCTCCCAGAAGACTCCTATCAGAATCAAGGATTATCATTAACACAACAGTCGATGGCATCGATGGCGTCAATGGCATCGATAGCGTCAATGGCATCGATAGCGTCAATGGCGACATCTCCAGCAACATCATCGTCGTCTTCGGTCTCGTCAGATCCCTCATTTTCATCATTTTCGACTTTCAAGGAGGTTGTATTTGACCCTCTGCTTTACGAACCATCGGTTGTGAACATGGACATGGATGGTGGCGTTGGTTTTCGAAAGGTGTATGCGTTCATGGCCCCCCGCACCAAAATCTTTGATTATTTGGTTTTGTTGAAACTGGAGATGGATTTTGTGCTGCACATACTGCGAGCAATTCATCAGTACCCGAGGTACATGCATGACAGTCGGCCGCTCGAGCTCCGTGCGCTTGCATTCGCAGTATCCAAGGTCGCTGTCTGGGATATGGGATTGCCGATTTGGGCTCAAGGTACGCTTAGTGCGACGCGGCATGTAGGGAGTTATGAATATTACATTTGTAACTTGATTAACGGCAACGTTCTTGTGGTGCATATATTTAGAGACAGCGCACGACGTGTTGATTGAACTGGTGAATGATGACAACGAGATCGATTACTATCTAGAGATGGTCAAGGACATGGACAAGGAGGATTAAGACACTGAATGCGACAATGAAGCATCCAACTTTTGTCACTAAATACCCGGCTGTAGTCTATAGCTAGTTTTTTGTCATTAACGCTTTGTGCATATGCCAGTCCTGGGCTCTCCAGCTCTCTTTTTTAGTTTCTATTCTGTACCATACATTCATTCACAAGATGAATCCCACGCCCTCCCAGCGAGGCGACATAAAGAGAGGGATGTAAAGAATGCGAGGATGCTTGTGTGTCGAGATCTTTATTAGTTACTAAAGGAGAAGGCGCCGCGTGGTGGTAGTGGTTGAGTCTCTCTTTAGAGCTCGTCCTTCTTATTCTCCTCCTCGGGCGTTGCCTTGATGTCGTCGTCCTTCTTGATCTCATTCTTCATCCCACTCTCAAGCTCCAGCTTGGCCTTTGCCTTCTTCTCATCGTCCTCCTTGGTCGTGATCGAAACCGAGATCGTGTAATCCCTTGCAGCCTCGTCCTCATCGACATCGAGGGCCTCATCGGGCGCGGGTGTTACGATCTCAAAGACTTCTGGCTTGTGATCGGGGCTCTTGGTGGGCCAGCCCTCGATGACTTTTTCCTTATGCTGTTCAAAGTCGATCCACTTGTCACAACCTTCGATCTTTTCCGCGGGCAAGAAGAAGGACATGGTCTTGTTGTTGTGGACATAGGGACACTCTTGCGAGCAATCGGCCTTCATCCAGTAGAGATCTTGATAAGCGACGCAGACGCAGCGCTCTTCTTCATCGGTCGAACCCTCAGGACGGAAGTTGGCGGCCTCAGAATCGAAGTCGGCGGCGCAGGCGTGAGGGAAGTGGTTGTGCATGGCCTTTTGAAGACAGGGTGCGCAGAAGTTTGGACTGGGGTCTTTTAATTCAAGGGCGGCGCGCTCTTGGGAGGTCAGGGCGGCAGAGACTTGGTAGGAGGAGCTTGACCTTGAAGAGAGGAGGGCCAAAGTCGAGACGGCGACGATGGTTGTGGCGGTTGAGAAACGCATGGCGGCGGTGTGATCGGTTATTAGCTAGTGTGTGGAGCGGATTGGAGAGAAAAATGTGGAGAAAGAAAGGAAGAAGAGAAAGAATGTAAGATCGTGTTTTGGAGAGGGATATCCCGAGTTATATAGTCCCTTGAGCAGTCGCTTGTTGACGACATGTAGCGCAATGCAATGCAATCCATTATTGGTCTCAGCAGAGTTAAGGAGCGGAAGCAGAAGTAAAAGAAGGCGGGGACCAGACGGGTCTGTCTGCGTAAAGTAAATGGTATGCGTTATGTGTAAGGAAGTAGCTTCACCCCTGGCGGATGCTCTCCTCTTAACGGCTGACAACGCATACATTTTGTTTGTCGCACAGAACACTTGCTCGCCCTCCACACACTCACCACACACATTCTTGTATTCTTCACTTGGACGCATATGCTTCTCTTTAGCATTCCCAGCGTCTCATCCTCCTTCACTCCGCGCTCCTCTTCTCTGTGGACATATAATTGTTTTCTCACGGAGCATTAATGATTTACGCGCCTCGTTTTATCGTCTTCTTCAGCACCTACTTATCTATTGAACGTGACCCTCACTAGCCAATAATCCTATGAGCGAACGCAGAAGAATGATGTGGCGCTGAGACTTGCATGTTGGAATGGTATGCAGTACTTGGTTACGCCTTGTTGTAAAGTATTTATTTTTTAGGTCATGGAGTACAAAAGAAAAAAAGAAAGAAACACATCGGCGAATAGTGTTACGAAGGGCTAACTTGTGCGCACATAAAGTGTCTTGATATTTCATTACCATGTGAAGTAGTGGAATGGGCTGATATATTCTTGTACAGTCCTCTCTCATTTTCGATACTTTTTTTCGTCGAAAGTGAGATCGCTAAAGATTCCAGCGATTCTATTGGCTGGAGGGGCATTTTCAGTCAATCAGAGTACTCTATATCTAGGCTCGTAGCACTCTGCCCTCCATCATCCCCATCCCCATCCTCATCCTCATCCTCGCCAGCGTTCCCAGCATCACTAGCATCGCCAGTACCAGTGCTCCATAATCCCTCTCACCACGTTCTACCCATGCTTCCTAAGATTGCAGACGCGCTGGACCGACCTAAGTCGAGCGAGGACGCTTCATTGTCGGACGCAGGTCGCGGTAGTTGGACACTTGCTAGCAAAAAGCGGATCATGGACAATTGGGATATCTTTCACAGAGGCTATCAGGACCTGCTTGGCAATCCTGTACCAGAATTATCACCATCAATGAAAGACTTTGAGACGGCTAACAAGCTGCCACCTAAAACGATCACCCGACTCATAAAAATGAGGCCTTTTATCAACAAAATGCCTACCGGCTCTTTGGATACAAGGTGCTACACCAAAGCCCACATCCGCGAGTTTTATCCAGTCGAGACGATTCTTCACCAGGAGATCCAACGTCTCCGTAAAATGAACGTGCCGGTAGATCAATGGCTGTTACAGTTGCTTGCAGGAGAGGTATACGACCTGCTTGTGGAAAGAAATGGACCACTCACGTTTGAAAAGCCTAGATTCTCGTCCGGTTGGGTAGCCAGTTTCAAGGCCACCTGGGGACTGTCGTTTCATAAGCTGATGGGCGAGGCAGGGTCGGTTGATTGGGATGCGATAGCGGGGCAAGTGGAGGGTCTCAAGTCAATTCTTGCGACCTATGATCTGAATGACATCTACAACGCCGACGAGACTGGCCTTTACCTGCAGACCACCTCAAGTTGGACGCTCGATGTCGAGATGAAGGCCGGAGCAGCCATTCCAGCATCGCGCGTCTCCATTCTCTTCTGCACCAATGCCACAGGAAGCGACAAGCGAAAGCCTTTTATTCTCAGTAAGTATCCTGTCAGAAGTTGATATTCGGAACGAGGAGAGACATGGTTTATTTTTATTTTTATTTTTATTTTTTTATGCTGGATGCCATGTTGATCATATTTGGATCCATTTAGGCGAAAACCTTGCTTCTGGCTTCAGGAAAGATGAAACGCTGCAGCGCTTGGTGGATGTCATGCCATGGGATACTGCAAAGCAACCACGCAAGTCCAAGGCAGCTAAAGCAGCGGCAGTCGCCCAGCAACAGCATCATGACGCTAGTGGACAAGATGGCGCACCTGGCAATACACAACACCAGCAACAGGAGGCCACTTCACAGCATACCCAGGCGCAGAAGCGGCAGACTAACAAGCGAGCAGATTACATGACCAAGTATACCTTTACCCACTGGCTGCGCCAGTTCCAGCAGGACATCGTCGCGGAGGACCCTGATCGGCGCGTGGTCCTGCTCATCGACAATGCATCATGCCATGCAGTGGTAGAACGGTGCAGTGTCGATTTTCCGAACATCAAACTGCTGCTTCTGCCGCCGAACTCGACATCAGTAACACAGCCCCTGGACGCAGGAATCATTGCTGTTTTCAAGAGGCGGTATCGTAATCTCATCCTAAAGTTACGTGTCTTCAAATCCTCCCAGCCAGTGCCAGACCCCAATGCGCCTCCTAAAGCGGCCAGCAAGGGAAAAAAAAACACGAGGAGGGCCAAGGCAGTCGACAAGGCCATGAAGTCGAAGAAGGATGGGTCTTTTAGGGTGTCCAACCTCGAAGGATGGCACATGATAGCTGCTGCCTGGAACGAGGTGGAAGGCAAGTCCATCCGGAGCTGCTTCAGACACGTCCCCATTTTCGGCGAGGCCCAAAAACAGCAACTTTCAACGCACACTTGTTTAGAAGAGGAGGTGGTTGCGGCGCTCAAGGAGACCCAGCAAAACATTCTCCATCGGTTCAGGGTGCAGGGTTACCACGACTCAGTGAGTGGCAGAGACCAAGGTCAGAGCGGCTCGTCAACAACGCCAGTCCTAGATATTTTAATGGACGCCGCGGAACAAAACGCCCTCGTCCCAGAAGATGGCTCTTCGTCAGCAATATCAAGAGGTGTTTCAATCATGGGTGCTCTTGAGAGCCATGAGAAGCTGCTGGCTTCAACCGCGAAACTTTTGGATGGCTCGCCTTACATATGCGAAGTCATTGATCAACTACAGGAGGACCCCGATTTCATGTCCTTCTTCTTGTCACTACAGACGGGTTCGGAGCTTTTGGATGGCGACTGGCTAGAGAGCACAAGTGATGGCGAAGGCGCGGAAGACGACGATTTCGTGGTGGTGCCCAATCCATTCTTGGTGGTAACCAACGACAGAGGGTCTCCTCTGAAGCCCAAACATATCAACAAGCCTTTACACAGCCGCGTCTATATGAGCCGAGTCGAGCAATTGGCTTCCTCAGAGTACTCTGACACTGACCAGTCGGGACCACAAACAACTTCGACTGAGGAGGAAGGATCTATCGACGAGCATTGGGAGAGTGAAGAGGAGGAGGTCACAGGGGACAAAGCTGTTGGCGAGAATATCGTCAATCTATTGAGTGCCGCTGCAGTTTTGATGACCTCAAAGAAGCACAGGCGATACAGGAAACAAGTGGAGCTGCTTGCAGATACTCTCATGAGCAAACGCATGGATGACGCCTCAAAGAGCTACCGTACGTCCTTCGCCGAAGACTACAGATCCAAGATGGAGGCATTCAACAAGAAGAAGGCAGCTCTGCGCGTCGAGCAAGCGCGGGTCAACAAACGTTTTCCGCCAGCAAGCAAGACCGTCAAGCCAGCACACACCAGAGTAGTCATGCCACGATGATATTTATTGATATCCCTTTGCATAAAAAAAATACATATATTGAAATCAGTACGCCTAGGAGCGGTGGCGATGAGGATGAGGATGAGGATGAGGATGGGGATGGGGATGATGGAGGGCAGAGTGCTACGAGCCTAGATATAGAGTACTCTGATTGACTGAAAATGCCCCTCCAGCCAATAGAATCGCTGGAATCTTTAGCGATCTCACTTTCGACGAAAAAAAGTATCGAAAATGAGAGAGGACTGTATACAACTGTTGAGCAGAGACAGAACTGCACACTCTGTGGAGGAGGGAACACAAAAAACTGTTTTCTTCCTTACTCCACATAAACAAAGCTTTCTTAACTTTTAGTGCAGGCGGGTCATGGTTCGAAAGAAAATATTGACTTGAGAATGCTTGCCACGTCAGAGCGCGTCAACGACAGACACGTATCGCTTCTTTGCTGCTCTTAACGACGCGCCTGTGTAGCCGCCCCCGTAGTTTCCCTAGGGATTTTATTTCATCATTGGTGATGACAAATCACGTAAAGTACCTTGATGTCGTAGAGGTTGTATTCACAAGTATGGAATATCTACCATTACATGTGTCTGGCGCACTTGGAACTTTTAGAGGATGCTATAGCCTTATTTGTTGGGTCCCGGGCTTCGTTCATGGTATCAGAGAAAAAAATGCCTGTGTAATGCTGCCCTGAATTTATGTGCAGGGGCAAGCGAGATTGAGCACAGCTGAAATGTCTCATCACTCATTTTCCTTTCGACCCATCTATTTTTATTCTAGCGTTTAAAACGCGAATAGATACTCGACATGTATAACTTGGGCCCGTTTGTAATGCATAATTCAAGTCCAGAGACTTTCTTCGAATCTTATTTGTGCTGCATGGATGTTATGCGAGATAAATGCCTACAGTTCCTCGAAACGAACATGACAGCGACCTCTGGCTTTTGGATAGAATGGACGCGCAGGTTGACTGCGTTTCAAGCGGTATTCTCAAGTCCCCACGACACAATACGCTTGATTTGTTTTAAAGGCGTCTCTTCGGATAAGAGATACCTTCATAAACTTGCTTAATATACACGGTGAATATAACGCATCCCAGCAAACTATTGTAAAATGCTCCATTGATATCGATCTGTGCATATTTCTTGTCGAGGATGGATAGGCGGTTAGGTATGCTTTATTTCGAGCAATTGTTCGCGTTGTAAGGCGTGATAGGCTTTGGATTTTGGATTTTGGCGACGGCGAAGGAGGATTTTCAATTAGCACCTTCTTGAAGTAGGCCTTATTCACATCAGCTCCTCCCATCTAGCCAACCATCAGGCACCATCACAATTCAGACACAGATCGCCCTTTCACCTGTTTCCCCTCATCCTTCACGCTATCCATCCTTGCTTGCATAGCATTTTGTACTTTCATACCATACAATAAGACTATGTCTTATTAGTGGTTGTACGCCTTTTTCATTCTCTCTTTCGCCATCGACTCAATCTGCCGTTTGAACTCGATACCAACAACAAGAGCAGATCCCCTCCCCCGCGCTCTCCTCATTGACACATATTAAAGCATCAAGATCTGCACACATCTATCCTTTACCTATCTAATCCGTCTTGATAATGCTCCATGACAACTTCCCGACCAATATCTTTTCAATCGTAAGTCCAAGACTTGCTGCCGCTAATGGCATAGCCTTATGTTGCAGGACAGTACCTTTTGTCAGAGACAAGAAACATCGCGCTGATTCAAAACCTCACACTTTCTAGTCGGAGCTCTCCACGTTTGGATACACGCGCTATTCATACACTTGTTCCACGCGGCAGTTTGCCCGACAACTGAACGCCGGTACTAGGTCAAAGACGGCGTCGAGATCGCGTACAGCATCATCGCACCACAACTCCAACAGCCACCAGCAGCATCACGACAATAGTCACAGCGTAGAAGGAACCCATGATCATCAGGAATCAGATCCGCTTTTGGCTGCCTACATCAGTCTGCTGACAGCAAGGGTACCGTGTCACTGGCGATACTCGGATCAGAACATTGAAAACGCAGCAGGAACACAAAAGAAACGATCGGCCGTCCTAGAACGGGAACTTTGGGTGTTCTGGCTGAACGACCAGTCGCTGTTACAGGATCATGGATTGGAGAGGCTGAAGGGTACGCGTCAAATCCATTCAGGAGCTCTTTGGTGGCATTTTCAGACAATGGAATGAGTATCAGTTGTCCAGCACACGCGCACCATGGCGTTCTTTTCTAATCGTCAATAGGTGCGATCGAACTTTTGTTTCAATAGAATGCCAATCAGGAATCATGACATGGGATTCAATCCTGCAGAACAATACGCCAGCGTTCGCGAGCCCGTCGCAGACGCCGCGGCCGAACAACTCGTCCGCCTCAGCATCATCTCCGGATCTATTCAACGCGAGCCAGGAATATGAGATCTTTATTTGCGGACTTCGAAACGTCCTGGATCGGTATGTGAAGGGCGCATGTAATCAACCAAGAACGTTGTTGTTGCCGACACCATCGCTTGTATTTTTTTGTACTGTGTAGCTGCATTGGATGATGACAAGGGCCTTGCGGAAATCGATGTGTTAACACGAAGACCATACCTACACCTTTTCTGATGACAATAGTGGGATGGTCGCGAAAGGAGGATATCGGCTAGGCAACTCATATGTCTTTCCAGCCTCGCTTCAACCAAAACTGGATGGATCGATACTCCCCAATTTCCCAGAGATGCCATCAGTGTAAGTGCTGTTCAACCAATGAGCCCTACTTTCCTCCTCATGGATACGGCATAGCAAAAATGCTTATAAAAACAATTTTTATTGTGGACATCTAGAACCATGCTGTCATGCACCGTGACAATGTACTTGTCCTCAAGCAACCTCATCTTTCAGCCAACTTTTCAGTATCATCGTCTTCGAATGTTGGACGCAACCGACTTGGATCCACGACAGTCATCAGAACCAGAGCTACCAGGTATCTGCTCAACAGCAGGATTTTACGCTGAAGAAACATCGTTTTACAAATCTTGGCACAATTCTGGAAATATAACCTAACGATCTATTCGATCAAAAAAAATGATAGTGATATTAAGTCCGCATGGCACGCCTGCTGTGTTAAAATTGGGCGAGATGACAGAGTTTACGGACGAGCAGACGCAAAAATGCCTCCAAGGATGGGCAAACCTCTTTGGAACAAATCAGGACCGTATCGATCGGATGTCGCTGTCTCTGCCACGTCTCGCGGCTGTCAGTATAGCATCCGGACAAAGCGAGGTAGTGCTCCAGTACCCTGTTGAGCGGGTGTTTGTGCCTGTGTCCTGCAAGAATTCGCCTAGTGATGTTGGCTCGTTAGATGGCATCGGATCGAGGAGCTGCGGTTTCATTGAGGATCTGGGTGCAAAGTTCGCGCTGTGGTCGTGGCAAGAAAAGACGAGGAATGCCATAACATCGCCTGCAGTCCCTAAACTTGTTCAGCCAGTATCGGAACACACGCCTGTCCTGATAGAGCCGAGGAACAGATTGAAGGCCGGCTCCTTGGCCTGGCGACAGCAAGACAATCAAATTCAGCAGCAGCAGCAGCAACAACAGCAACAACAGCAACAGCAGCAACAACAGCAGACTCATTTTTTACTACAGCAGCAAGATGCCCTTTCAAAGCGTGCTTCCAGCGATACGAACAAGATTGACTATTGGTCCTACATGGATCCACACGCCTACCTTACCTCGATCGTGCTCAATTCGTGTGCCAACGCGGAGCCAAAGGCTGCAGACTCACCTTCTGCAACAGACAGTCAGATGTCCGTGGTAACGCCTTCGATATCCAACAAGTCGTCGAAATTAAAGACGGGGTTGAACTCCAAAGCAGGCGTATCAACTGAGGCGGATGGCTGGATACGGAAAAAACCAAAGAAGACTACGACAGCTTCACCCAAATTCAATAATCTCAGTTCAGTGGACGCAACGGACTCTAATCAGGGTTTGTGGAGTAATGAACTTGGCGCAGGGTCGATGCAGGCATCAGATATTGAGTATGTGTATGCTTCGGTGTCTACAAGCTGCTTGCGTGCCGACACCACTCTAACATCTACATCTGTTTTGTTTATTCCAGGTCCAGTATAAACAACACCGCCCAATTTAATAGTAACGGAAATAATAACAACGGCACTACCAGCAGCGCCCCTGACGACACCAGCAAGGACTTAAAAAGTGATTCTATACCAGAGACCCAGAGTACACATGCAGCTGCTGGCAACACTTCGTATCAATTACCAATTGACCTTCCGACAGACAATTCTGACATGATGTCTGGACTCATGGACATGAACTCAATGATGGGGCTATATGGAGGAGGCTCTGATGACCTTGGTGACTGGGGTGAAGTTACTAAGGACGATTTCAGTTTCTTTGACGAGGTAGAATGGTTGTTGTCAGAATCTTTTTGACAATCGCACAAACCTAAATACTATCTCTTATATATGACATTAACCTTAGCAATTCGTATTTATTTTCATTATTTCGTCTTTAGCAACCACAACCTCCCCCTCGTTCGCTACCTATGCCTACAGCTGCATTTACCACCCAGCCGACACAAAGCAGTATACCAATGACATCCGCAGAAACGGTAGTGGTCTCGGGAACATCTTCAGTTATTGCCTCGACAAACGGGTTGATGAACGCATTCACGGACATTTCACAGATGATGACAACTGCAAGCCCGCTGAATGACGACAGTCTCTTTGCCAATATGGATCTCGACCTTTCAGGATTCGCTCAGCCGACACCACCTGCAAGTACCATCTTATCCTTGGGGACATCGGACAAGTTGACGGTCGCACAACCCGGGAGTATTGGCGCATCGCCATCTGCAGACCAGTTCATCGCCAATCAACTTTCCCATGACATTGGTATGCTGACCCCGACACCCCAAGGAAACGTATTTGACAGAGAGTCGAGCAGTCATCCCCAGCAACAGCAATTATCAGTGCAACTTCAACTGGCCATGGCAGAGCAGTCCCTGGTGAAGCGCCCTTCGATTCTCGTCGAGCGCGTTCATTCACCCATGCAAAGCTATATACCCTCATCATTTTCACCGCTTAAGATTGTTGGTGACTACTTTGTCGATGATTCCAAATACAAAGCTGGTGGCCGATTCATGTACAAGCGGCTCTACAAGCGCAGGAGATCATCTATCCCAGTAACCTACAGTCCATATCGTAAAGGAACAAAGATGCTGCCGTTTTATCAACCTGGAAAGGACCAGGAGTGGATTGTTCCGGCTCAAAAGGACAGGCCACGGAAACAAAAATCCCGCATGTTCTCGTTGGATTTCAAATGGAATCCGAACAAAAGTGACGAGCCATCGAAAGGAGGAACGCCGAGCGACATTGCAGTTGTGAAGCAGGAAGACCAGGGAAGATCGACTACTCCAGGAGAAAATAAATCGGTTATGGCGACAACAGCCTGGGGCGTATCCTCATTATCGCTACAGCAACATCATAATTCGACAATCGAGGAGGAGAGTAGTAGCGATAGTGGCAGCGATTCGTCATCTACCTCATCCGGAGGAGATAGTGATGATGAAGGCTCCAGCACTGCAAGAGCCTCGTTACCAAAGTTCGGGAAGCTGACCAGGATGTACAATCAAAATGTTGAAAGTTACTCCAACAAGGACTCGACAACGCCGTGGACTGTGCGAGGTGTCAACTCTGCTAAATTTGTGGAGACAATTTTGGCAGAGTCTTCACAAGGTGGGGTCTGTGGCGCTCTTTTAGGGCTTGATTCCTCAACGACTAGCTTTGCAAGGAAACCTGCATCTCCGACCAGGATCATGGAACTGAGCTCTGATCGAAAATTGACCAAGGTCTGGCCCTCATCGGACGCTTACCACCATGAGGCAGAATACGATACTCCATTTACACCTGCCATTTTGTCTGCTGCCCCACCTGCCCTTGTTGAAGAGCCACTGGCTATGCAGGAATCGCTAGCTGAGGAGTATTTTCTGGAAGCAGTCAAGACATTATGTGAGCAGGCGATCATGGGCGACTATCCGTTTGCTGGCTCAAACGAGGTAACTGGTATCAGCGGTGAAATCACCGAGGGTGAAAGCTTTCACGTTATGCTTGCTCGTCGGAAAACAATGAGCGAGTTTCTACATAAAGGTGAACTTATCGTCAGTATAAAGTGCAGTATATGAATACTTGGTTTGTACAATATTAACCATCACTCTGCTTGCCCTTCTCATTTTTTGTAGGAGTTGCAACTGTACCAGCATTGGGAGACGAATCGTTCAGGAACATGATGGAAATGAAGACCGTCATATTCGAGCTCTTTGACCGCTTACGGGGAAACCAGTCGGAAAACAATATTGCGCTTCCAGTACCCTCGGATGCATCTCAGGACATGACAATGAGCATAACAACCATCCATGGACATCGTCATCACTCCAGTCAAAGCAATATCACACCCCCGGTTGTCATGAAGGGGCCCTTAACACTCCATCAATACTTCTCACTTGCGGAAGCTCAGCAGATGCCGTCCAAGTACGGCAAATATCAGGTCAAGAAGAAGAAACCAGCAGAACCTAACCTTTTGCAACTTCAGCCTCCGGACATCGTAGTCGGCCATAATGAGGAATGGCTTGAGGCTGCACCAACAATCCTACGATTTTGGGAGAAACTAAGTCTGGAGCCTTATTCGAGCAAGAAGAGCATTGCCTACTTTGTGGTTTATCCAGAGGGCGCGGACATGGAGAACAGTGTCAGTAAGTTTTGGAGGGACCTCGGCGTTGTCTTTGAGACGTCTTTGCTCGGGAAGCATCAGCCAGGGTCTTTACAGGACTACAAGCCAGGACTCGTGCCGATCCCCTTGCTGCCAGCTATGCTAGGCGAGTCGATGGAGGCTCGACAGGTGCGGAGCTATCTGGATGGCTGTCAGCGACTGGGTTCGATTCTGGGCGGGATCTCGACGCCGAGAGGTGTGCACACTGTCATCTACATGGTGAACCCATTCTCACACGGAGCCGGCTACTTTGATCTATGCCGCTGCTTCTCAATCATGAAAACACAGTTCCGCACAGCAGCCATGGGATCCCTCTTGACGCCAATGGAACAACAAAGGGAGCGACTCGTCCTGCAGATGGTGCCGATTCAGCATGTGATTTATCCATCGACTTTCGGAGGATATCTGCGCTTTGGAATGAAGGACATTGCCTTCACGGTGTACACGAAGTGCAAGTTGTTCCTAGAGCGACCGATTTACTCTCGAGAAATGATGGCGCAGATCAACTCGTACGCGCCATCGTTCGCGCTGGCCAAGACAATACCTACGTCCATTCATTTCGATGTCGACCAAAAACCCAATTCGGTTCCCAAACCAGCAGCAACTCTTCATGTTGGCTACGGATTTAGTCTCGAGGGGCGTTGGCTGGTCTGTGTATGGACAGATCATCGAGGTGAAATGTTGGAGCATATGACGTTGGACTTGGCGGAATGCAACAACGGCGGTGCGGATCGGTCACCTGTAAACTGCCTGAAGGAGATCTGGACACGGACGTTGGTCTATCAAAAACGCGGGTCGTTCGCGTGGAAGACGGTTGTGTGCAAACTCGGCTTGATGACGCGTTTGGAACTTCAGGAATGGACGCGTCTAACCAGCGATACCAACCATACGGCTATTGTTGCGGTCGACATTGATTCGCCCCTGCGTATGTATCCACACAGTCGTGGTGCTGAATTCCTGGTCTCAGGACTGACGCCGAATGCAAGTGGAATCAGCACACCGGCAGCTATGGGAACAGGACAGACCCCTCTCGCTGGAAGCTCTTCAATTATCTCGACGCCTCTATCGCAGGCCATAGGATCGAATGCTTCATCGTCGACGCCAGATTTTACGACGACTGCGGCGACACCCATGAGCGGTAGCCATGCAGGAATGAATGCTCTTGGTACGACTGGTCTTGGGATCGCTGGTGCGGCTGGGACAGCAGGCGGAAACAATGGATCACAAGCTGCGGGATCTGGAGGATTGGGTGGTATTGGCGGACTCGCTAGCAGCGAAACTTTGGAGAACAGCGCAGGACAGGTGTACGCCCTAATTCTGAACCATCGAATCCCGCTGATTGTGCCACGTCAAGAGGCTGGGCTTGTAGGAACAGGCTTTGGATTTGGCACGAGCGATGGAAATTCCATGTCCAAAGATGAGCTGAAAGTACGTCCTGAGGGTGGGCAGGAAGATTCCAAGGATGATATCAACATGGATGTCGGGTTCTTGTCTGGGTCGTTGACAAATTTGGGCCAGGACCAGGACCAGGATGTAGATATGGAGTTCAAGCTGAAGCAAGAGGAGTCTGATCAGCAGCAGCAGTTGAAAATGGAGCAGCAAACGGACACGCGGCAGACGGACACACAGCAGGGTGCGTCTTCGTGGTCGAACCGACAGGCTACAGGGAACGACGTGATTCTTCCGCTATCGACAGGGTACTTGATTCAGGTGCCCATTCAATCCAACTCTGTGATGCGCGAGAAGCATTCTTTAGAAGCCCTTGCTATCGAAGTCCATTTGCTCTATCTTCAGCGTACGCCGACCATTACAGTTTCATCTTCGGCGTCAGGATCGACCCCAGGAACGAACGCCTCAGGCGGAAATATCCAACTTTCGAACATTGGCTCGCTTTCGCCGTACCAGCAGCAGCAGCATTCTACGGCGTACCATTTGCAGCGACATAGCACGGCTGTTGCTAATCCCTCGGTTCCCGGATCAGCGTTCAGACCAGCGTCATTTTCGTCGCCTCAATTCACAGGAACTTCACCCTTGATTTCATCACCATCGTCAACCTTCATGGGAGGCCATGGCCTGAGTCATCAAAATCAGAACCCGAATCAGAGCCAGAGCCAGACTCCAGGCCAGGCGCAGAGTCAGGGTCAGCAGCAGAGTGCTGGTACGGGTCCGACGATTAAGGCATCTGTGGCAGCCAACACAACGCGGGAGATTCTGAAGCAGTTCCATGCGTTGTCGTATCTGTCGATGTCGCCGGTGCAAACTAACTGTTTGCCGCATCATTTGGTCTTGGTGGAACGTTTGTCGAGAGTGTTGTTGCTGGTACAGGACTCGTCGTAGTTGTATCAATGTGTTATTGTACTGGTTTTTGTCTTTTTTCTTTTAATCATTTTCATTTTCTTGCATAGTCTTCAAATTGTACTTGAGTTATTTTGCTATCGTTTAGAGTCCTCGTTATCCTCATCATCTCCATTGCTCTTCCCATGCTTCATTATCCATTGTGCATTTGCTTCATTTCTGTTTTATTCCTTGAAAACAACGTAACACATTATTTCTCAGCGCGAATGGTTATTCTCAAAGGGTATTGAAGGGATGAAAGGCATCGAACTGTCCCTTCCATTCGGGCATAGCCTTAACGGTAGCTTCCAGCTTCTTGATGGGACTGGCTTCATCCTCCCATTTGTAGCCAATGGCCTCAAGAACGCGAACCCAGTTCAAGAGGACGAGATCCGGATAAGAGAGTCTGTCCCCAAAATAATGTCCATTGTTCCCATTTTTGTTTAACCAGCGTTCCTGGACATGAATAAACTGTGGGAGGACCTTGGTACGGAGTTCAGAGATGGGGTCTTGGATGGTTTCTTGGATGGGTTTCTGGGGGAGGAAGCAGTGTTGGTAGAGTTCGAAGAAGATGTTGAAGGCGACGGATTTTTGGAGGGCAACCTCCTGTGGGGATGAGGAGGAGAGCAGGCCGAATTTCTCGGCCAAGTAGTGCTGTAGTTTTGAAAGAGGGAAAACAAAGTTTTAGATGAGCCCTAGTTGAGACACGCCGCGTTTTTTGGTGTTGGTGTTGGCGCAAGAAGACGGCAATGCTTTGTTTGTTTGTCTGCAAGCGATAGGGCTGTGCATTCTCGTTTGACAAAGTTTAACACCAAATCTACATGTCATTTTTTTTCGATTTCACGAGTTTGCATTGTTATATACCTCGATGGCGATGGTCTCTGCGAGCTCAAAGGCAGTACCATCGGCGCGAGTTTCGATCAGGACGGGGACATGGCCAAAGGGATAGGCTGCTCTGTTGAGACCAACTGCATCCTTTTCGACGAACTCGTTTTTGTATTCTGCACCGGCCAGATGTAAAATCGTGCGGACAATGGCTATTATATGAGAAGTAGACGGAAGAAGTAAAAAAAAAAAAAAAATGAATGAAGGGATGAAGAACAAACGCAACAAAGGTGAGAAAAAGAGTTGAGCGCTAGTGAACGAGAAAGAGAATCGTAGGAGATGGCAGTTGAAGAGATAGCGAGGGTTAATACCTGCGCGGCCCATGAGGTTCATGTACTTGACGACGTAGGTCGAGCCATCGTTGGGGTTGCGGAAAGTCATGGCCTTACTTGAGAGTTTCCTTGTGGTGTAGTTGAAGGAGAGGAGGTTATTTTTCTAATGTGGATGAAGGAAGCGAAAAAAGAAGAGAAATAAGAGAAGGAGTAGGAATTAAAAGCTGGAGAAGGTCGTCGCTCGTTCCTTGATGGCAAACACGCGTGAGCCGCAGCGGCGGCGTCTGTGGTCAATGCGATGCATGTGAACATCCAGGTCCAAGTGTTACGGTCTACCTCAACTCCAGTTCACCAATCAGCTTCCCTGTAAGCCTCGCCGATGGTGGTCATACGGCCGCTGTAACCTATCTCTCCCAGCTGTAAATCCTTAAACCTGATCCATTTCCATCGATCCAAAGTCCGCAGGACGTCCAGCTCAGCTTCTAGACTCAGATCAAGTCCATCTTTACTCGGTCCTGGGGACACCAGTACATTGAGGGGTAAACCAATATTCAAGCTCTCCGGTGCCGTTAGTCGTGCGAGGTGTTCAAACATTGTGCGGTACCATCCCTCGGGTCTGTTTTTCAGTCCGCAAGCGAAGACTCGAAGCTGTCTCATTTCCAGGCAGGCCTAGCTGTACGAATCAAATGCTGGGTCCCATTGATCCTCTTCATCAGTGACATTCAGAATATACTTGACTTCCAAGCGTAATGCAGTAAAGCCCTGAAACACCGGAAAAGACATCAGAATCTGCTAGAGCATAGCGCCCAATACATGATGAAATTCTTACAATTTAAGTTTCCTTACGCTGGAAGAAAGCTGTGCTAGCGTTAAGGACGCCCGGAACCATTCATTTCCACGGCTCTCATATTCGAGCTTCTATTCAGAGTCTCAGCGGCGTGGATGTCCTGCAGTCCATAGTATGTGATTCTAGGTCTCGGAGAGATGGAAAAGCACCACGTGAAAAGAACCCTGCGAGTAGAAGACTTGTAGCGACCAGACCCGTACCGCATATACTCCAGATGAGCGATGCCAAGTTCGGGCAGTCGCGAATGAACTCTGCTTATCTCAAGGGCATCATTCGCGCAGGTCAGTGAACGTGCGCTGGTGTGGTGAAGAGACGAAGCACACTTTTCCATATCGATGACCGATTCGAAGCTGCCTCTAAATCCATCGAACTTGACGATAAGCATATTCTCAACTCTGAGGCAGACTTGGGCAAGGAGATCCGCTTCATACGATCGAATTGGGTGGGCATTATCGCGAGCTTTCCGATGCCCAAAATCAGGATACTCACGAACTCGCTATCAATTAATTCTTCGTTCTTTCTGTACTCCTGGCCCCTACCACGCAAACACAACGCGTTAAGTGTCGGACTATGGTTCAGAGTGCTCGTGAACAGCCTCCAGATCTTCTAGAACTATGTGCCAAATTCGAGCTAGATTGTTTGGAGTCGCGTGTATGCTTCAAGGGGGAACTCTTCATAGAATACCACATATCAGATGTGATCTGTGTGGGACGTGAGGACTTTCTTGCTGGCCCGGGGTCTCCTAGCGTACCACTGCGTAGGGGCGAGCAATAAATGGCGCGTTCCAGTTCGTACAAATAACCGCGGCCGAGGTGAGGTCCGTCCTGACCAGGTTCATAGCCATCGAGTCTCTGATTTCAGGAAAATCCATTACAAGCTGGGTTATTTTTTTTTAAAAAAAAAAAAAAAAAAAAAAATGAATGTAGGATGCGGCAGGGAGTTAATAGTGAGCAGCTATGTCGATTGTTAGCTGGTTGGCGAAGGAGGATGAATATCGGAGAGAACCAAGTCTCGCACTCGTCCACATCTTTGGCCTATAACGTGTTTTCCGCGTAAGGGCCTACATCTACTGCAGGACCTGCTGTGCTTCATAGCTCCAACCAACAGACCATTCGCGCCTGAAGAGACATTAATATGGGAAATAACTGGCTAAGTGTGGCAATCCAATCGTTGCAAGTGAACACCCCAACCAATTGCTGGATCGTACACTCGTCTACTTCGCTCATCTGGATCCCGACTAGCCAACCTTCACACCTCGATCCTTGTGCGATTTATGGGTACCGCCGACATGGACCTTCTGGATAAGCAGCCATTTGGCCCGAATCCTTACTTTGTCTCAGCTCGATTCAGGGGTTCGCATCTTTTCTGCATGCAGAAATATACTGGTCCAGATGGCACAAGGATACCCAGCAAGGACGGCATTGAGGCCAATGCCTACCATATCCGGCGGCTCTTCATGCTCCACGGATCAGCGGCTTCCCTCTTGGATGCTTCACACGTCTGAAGTATACCAGTTGCGAGTTCCGGGTCCGAGTCCAAGTGATTTGGAACACCCTGTGCTTCTCCTCTGTCAAACCCGAACCTATCACGCTTTAATGCAGCCGAACTTCATTCTCCCTAAAGTTTGCGCAGAGCTGACTAGTTGGCAGCGTTCGCCTGAAGGACATCGCTATTCATGCACTTTAGACTCTAGATCCTGAGTCCTTGAACAAGTGGCCCGAGTTACCTGCGATGGAGCGTCTAGCCTCCAGTATCGGCTCCGGTCTGTTACCTCAGCACCAGCCCGATATCATACAGAGGTACTCCAGTTTGCGGCCACTGAGATGGGTCTTGTATTCTGATGTGCCCTTCCCACCTCGTTAACCGTTCATTCCAACCTGAATATCGCTGACGCCACACACGCGGATTCCCTCTATCGCTGTCGCATAAGGCCAGGTCGATAGGAGTGAACATCTTCCGCGGATTGATGATGATGTGCCATCGTAGTGTCTTACAGTCCCTTGTAGTCGATCAACTGAAATCCGTTTATTAATTTCTAACGAGCTAACTCTATCAATGGCTGTTGCAGCCCTTATTAAACCATCTCTAGGGTTCGATACATTACGCTGGTAGCCATGAAGAACCGTGTTAAATATAGCAACATGAATTGGTCCAACCCTTACCGTATGCGAGGGTTCCGCCTAGATATGAGCGTAGACGGTACAGGGTGTTGTATACCACTCAGCTACATAACTGGAACCTGCAATGGAAAAACGGTCTAATAAATCAAAATAGGGAGAGACCTCGGTTTACTCGCTGATGAATACCTGGAGACGTGGCCACAGCCCTCGAAAATATGATATAGTCTATAATGGAACGGGTAAATGTTTTGATTGATACGGGATAGAGGTACATGTAAAGCCCTGTCCGATGCAGGGCAAACGTGCAGGAAAGGCCCTGCTTTATTGTGTAATAGGGTTTTCACTCTGTTGGATCCGGACTTTGACCGAGACCCTGACTTGGCCGTGTCTGGCTGAAGTGCATTGTAATTTTCGATAGGTACTGACAACAGCCATGATCAAGACGATTCATTCCCCTATTTTTACTATCGTTGAACGGTCCATTCTCTTTTTTATCCATATGGGTGAAACGCTGTGGGTCGTGTCTGTTGTGCCGGAGATATATCCTGAATGAAGGGAGCGCTGTTTATAGGATTATCAGTACAGTGTATTAACTTGTCCCGCACATGGTCATCCCCTTTTCCAAATATGAGCCAAGGATGCATGTCGTGCATTACCTATGGTATGATACAACCTGTTTCAATATGACATGCGGCAATTGCAGCAACAGCAACAGCAGCAGGTGATTGGTCTTTGCTTTCTGTGGGGTAGGGCCCTGTGCCCGACTCGGGTGCACGCGTGCTTGCTGTCCATTCGACTCTGAATGCCTGTTTTTAGTCTACTCAGCGCTCGATATGACACAGCGAGGACACAAATAGGGCCGTGGACCACAAGCAACGCCATATCTAGCCCACATACTACACCAACAGCCCCCTTATGGAACCTTCTCACCCGGCAATTGAGCGCCAGAAAGTTAGGATACGTCTTGGCATACATCCGTCCGTCCAGGAGAGGAGGCGACCTCGCTATTGCAGCACTGTATAAAAAGCCTGCATTCGCTCCCTTCTTTCAGATCATTAACCCCATCTTCTCTTGCTTCACAACTTCTACAACCACCACCACCACCACCACCGCAACAACAACTACTACTACTACCATGAAGTTCCTGTCCTCTTCTGCGATCCTCTCGCTTCTCGTGAGCGTGGCCCTGCTTCAGTCGACTCTGGCTGATCCCACGAACCAGGCCCCTGCTTCTGCAGTTGGGGGTCGCGCTGTCCCTAATCCTTCTCGGGGGTCCCTCGCCCTGGCAAGCCTGAGCAGCCTGTTGAACCCGTTCATGGCAAGCCCGAGCCTGTCAACTCCGTCCATGGCGAGCCTGTCAACTCCGTCCATGGCGAGCCTGGCAAGCCTGTCAAGCCCACCCATGTCAAGTCCCACACCAAGCCCACCCACGTCAAGCCAAAGTCCCACCCCAAGCGCGATCTGGAGGAGCGTGCTGAGCCTGTCAATGGCAAGCCCGAGCCTGTCAATGGCAAGCCTGAGCCTGTCAATGGCAAGCCCGAGCCTGTCAATGGCAAGCCTGAGCCTGTCAATGGCAAGCCTGAGCCTGTTAAGCCCACCCATGTCAAGCCCCACCCAAAGCCCACCCATGTCAAGCCTCATCTGAAGCCCAATCCCAAGCGCTCTTTGAAGAATGGTGCGGATCCCGCCCGTGGCAAGCGTCACCCCAAGCCTATCCACACCGAGCCTACTCACTCCAAGCCTGCTCACCCCAAGTCTACTCCCGCTAAGCCTGTTCAACTCTGAATGAGATACCGTAGACGAGCGACGCAGAGCATAGAGATGGAATTTGATTAGTATACAGTAGATGGAGGATAAATAATGGTATGACAGACCGTTGTTGTGCGCTGCGGAAATAGATACGCGTCGCGTCAAAAAAATAAAAAATTCCAAAAAAAAAAATAAGAGCAAGGTGCACTAAATATGTACGATGTACGGACTATGGTAGGTGCGCGCTTTGTGAGCAGTAAGGCCACACAAACAACTCACCTGTCTCCATTTGTGTAGGAGCGTCTGATTCTTGAGATCTGCTAGTATCTCGGACCATAACATATGAGCGACAAAATAAAGCAGCCGATACACACGAACAGAGCCATCTTTGTTGTACATGCGCCTGAGAATAGCCTAAGGTCGCAGGGAAAAGACGCTAGGAGTACACAGCGCAAGGAACGATGATCCGATGGACCTTGACCTGGCTGTCCCCGTCGCATACCGGAGGTATTCTCCTGCAACAGCCGTTTCGAGAGGCGGAACGTATTCTCTCTCTCAGGACATCAGTAAGGTTGCGGCAGTTCTCTACCGCAGTCCGTCTCCAGTTAGTGATTCTCACCGGTGAACGGTTAACCGCGGTGAACAATTTTTTTGAAAAATATATTTCGCCGGTGAATTCCACATGGTAACAGTACTGAAATCCAGCGAAAATCGGTGAAATCGTTGCTGTCTTTCTGGGGTAGTAGAATAGCGGACGCTGGGCATCCTGGGGTCCGCGACTAAAAAGACTTGGACCACCAGCTGTGAGATATGCGATGGGGATGAAGGGACGTGTTCCTCGTATGAATGCCGCACAACAGATTGTTGTGCCTGTTCGACTGATTTCCTAAGCACCGAAACAAAAAAAAAAAGCGCATTCAGCACCCAATTGCCGATTATCCCACAGCAGCTGCACAGCACCTATCGTGGTGGCATCATTCTTATGGCAACAGCGCTGGGCGAACGTTCAGAGGCGCGACATGTCGCTAGGGACCGCTTTGTTTCTTACTAGCAACAATCCCCGCTCTGTCTCGCTTTCTGGTAATCCCGCCTCGCAGCAGCAGCAGCCGTATGCAGGCGTTGGCACGCCATTTCCACACCTATCCTGTATTTCGATATCTATTGGCCTGAGAATATCAAGGGACCAAACAGAGAGACTATTGCATCCAATGCCGACCATATCCGATGCCTGCACATACGCAACGAGCCGACAGACCTCCCTCTTCCACGCTGCACTCACTTTGAAGTCGCCCACTTTATATTTGAGGTTATAAATCCTGCGTCCTGGGATGCCCTTGCAATTCGCATCTGCTAAACCCCTGATCTACGGGAGTTGGCGATGCCTAAGGGCCACTCTTAAAAGAGCTCATGCTGGCCGTATCATCCTGTCCAAAGTTGAAGACACTCAACACCGGATGTTCCACCTTTGACCGGGTTTGCCCGGAGTTGTTGCTGGATTCCTGCACTAGTCTCAAGGACTTGTTTATACGCATGAACATGATTCCCGACATCGGCTCCCTGGGCAAGTGGCACGAGTTTCCTGCGATGGAACAACTGGGCCTCAGCATCATCTCCGGTAAAATGCTCCAATACCGCATCGGGATCATCCGAAAATGTCCTCGTCTACGGTCCTTGGAGTTATATCGGATCGACTTTCCTACCACCGCTCTGTGTGACCTTTCTCGCGACCTCCTGTCCGTTCTTAGACAGCTTGACCCTGGGCGGAAATTGCTTGACCGACAGCAACCTTGCCAAGGTGCTGAAAAGTTGCGCGCGGCTGGTGTTGCTCACATTTTATAGGCCCACATTCGACAACCAGGCGTTTCATGCACTCGAGCGTCATTTCTCAAGCCTACGAGCTCTCTATCTTGACCGCTACAGCAGGGTCCCCAGCGCGGTGGCTCATCGGATTCTGACGTCGCGTCCAGAGCTAACGGGCTCCACTGCAGTTACCTTGGATGCCCAAGGTATCCTAGGCGTTAAGTACTTCAGGACGTTTATTCCGTGACCAAAAAACCATCGCATAGGCGCGCTGGCAAACATAGCAATTGAACGCGATCCTTCGCACTTCAACAGTTTATTGGGACTAGGAACAAAGGAGTCTTAGAGATGCGTTATTTCCCAGCCTTGGTCGCTCTCCCTACAGGTCTGAGAGCAAACAGAGTCACCTCTCAAGGACCTGGTCAGCGATTTGAGCTTGCGCGGAATGTGAGCCTTGTGAAAGTACTTCCACCTGCCCATCGATTATAACTTGTAATGGATCTCGCTAGTTCGTCGCTAGGTCGATTCTGAACAACTTTTAGGAGGGATACCACCCAAACTCAAAGGAGTGTTTTTTTTCTGCAGCAGCAGCAGCAGCTCATTGTTAGTATTCCTCGTCCGCATCAACTAGCACTCCATGATCTATAGTCTATCCTGGAGTAGGTTTGCTCCGCAAGTATTTCGTTATACACCACTCGAAGCCGGTAGTGGGTGTGAGCTGGAGCTCTATACTGAGAAAAGGATAACAAGCCGGCACGACCGGGAATCACGCACAACAATGCATGGAGTGGAGGGTCTTCCCTCCAAGGCAATTGTTGCTGTGCTTCGTACGCTTTTCACGGGGGGACTTTATTGGGGCTATTGTCTCTGAAAGTTTCAGAATGCTTTGGTAATTGTGATTCACTTCATGTCCGCAGAAGCAATATCGCTTCCCGGGGTCATCCGCTTGCCTTGGCCGGTTTTGCTTTCATGGATATAAGGATCGAGGAGGCTTTCGGTCGAAATACCGCTCGATGCCATTTGTATACTCTCTCCGGGATGCTTTTCGTCTGCCTCAAGCTAGGTCTTGATCTGCGTGCTGTATATACTATATCTACTGCAGCTGGCACTTTCCGCTTTGGTCACCGATGCTGATGAGAATAATATCTTGTTGGCGCGCTAACTTGGTCTTTTAAGCGTACACTGACGCAGCTACAACCGAAACTGTATTTAGTGCCGGCATTGCTATATATTGCAGTCAGTAGTTGGATCAGCGGTCTACGAGCGGTAGCTCTCAATAGCGAGCTTCTATACGGCAACCGGCCCCAATGCCATTATGGCGTCGGCTTAGAGCTCTCTCAGTAGTGTTCATGGCCAAAAAAAAAAAAAAAAAAAAAAGTAGCTCGCAAGGAAAAAAATCGGTTCACGATGCTATTAAAACATACTGGGGGAACGATGCCTACCTTGATTATAGTTCGGACTTCAGTTGACTCGTGTGCAATTCCCCAGCGTCTCGCTTGCTCCTCCGCGAAGGATGGCCAAGTGTACAAAGGAACTCGAGTGAGAGAGTATCTGTGATGGGGCACTGGAACCATTGACGATGAGGAAGGTGGTGGAAGGGTCGAGTAGAACATTAACGCGATTGTTCCACAACCATACGGCTACAGCAATGCCAAATTCGGGGCGCGGAATTTATTGACAAGCAGCCAAGCAGTAGATGCTGGAACTTGGTCTACGACTGCATTTATGACAAAATATCAGTGTTCACGACGAGAATAATGTCCCCTGCTGGTTAGCATCCGGACTCGTTCTAGTTACCAGTAATATATAATAATGTGCTTGTCTCTATTGCTTACTTTCACAAGTACTGTAACTGTAACTGCTGAACAAAAAAGAAACCGAAGGTGGTTCCAGACTGCTACGAAAAGAAGATATGGCGGCTAACACGAAAAACGACACCGGGTGTTTAGCACCGTGACCACTGAGGCCCCAGTTAATGCGACCGACCCGGCCTCAAGGCGGCCTCCTCGCCTTCAGCGGGTTTGTAAGTTGAATAAAAATCGACAGCCATTTGCACGCAATCTACAGGCCGGCCCTCATACACCCCAGCTTCCGCAATGGCCTTGAACAGATTCAAGTGAAGCGTAGTGCGAGAGGCACGGGCCGTCATGTCCAGGCATTGGTTGTGCTCAGTCGCCAATTGCTGTCTCATCCCAGGCGTCCCATCTTCACCTGAATCCGCCTTATCCAAACTGTCGCGCTCATGAATCAGGTCCTTCAAAGTTTTAGTAGTACGAGTGAGCTTGGCCTTGTGGTCACCGATCGCCTCGGCGCGTGCCTTGCTCCGCTTGGCATATAACCTTGCGTGATAGGTGCCGTGATTATACAGGTGTCTGAGCAACCTAACGCTCCAACTCTTACAACCTTTGCCGCCTCTGGTCTCCTTGATCTCGATGCCGGACATTTCCACACGGACTTCGTCAATGGCGTAATCAAAATCCGGTGCCCTCAGATCTGCTTCTTGTCGAGAGCCAAAAAGCTCAAACCACTCCCAATGTTGTGTAAAAGACGCCACGTGGATTAACTCGAGATCCTCGGTATCATTGTTGCGGAGAAATTCCTCCAGCTCTCGGATATCGTATCGGGTCTCGTCTATCCTGTAGTCGATTTTGCCGATGGCACTGCTGACAAAAGACATCTTGTTCTTGACTTCCGCGAGCTTCTTCTTGTAATCCATAGCGATGAGTGCATCGACGTCGATCATCCTTTGCGTCTTGTAGAGCTGCATATTCCCCAAAGAGACGGGCCTGTTCATCCTTGCCGAGAGAAGGAGACGGCGGATGGCTTGTTGTCTGAAGTATAGATACGCAGGTCGGTATTCCTCTAGATCACAATCGATGAAATGGTGCGGGACACTGCGTCCCATAATCCTGTTCAAACATGTCTTTCTCTCTTGAATAAATGCCGTAAAAGTCCTATCACTTTGGTACTGGCTTCTGAAATCCACCTTCGTATGGACGAACGAAATCAGAGCGCCCATAGCTGAAAAGATGTTGGAGTAGTTCCTCAATGTAGCTTGAAGCTCAAGAGTCAAGGGCGTTTGACGCGCGATCAAGATGAGCACAAGGTGGATAGACCCAGCGCTGGAAAGCGCGGAAAGAATCTTGGAGACATTCCTTTCATCATGGCCATTGGTGTCGTTCAATCCAGGAGTGTCAAAGATGCGGATCTTGCTTAATGGAATCTGAGAAGACTGGTCCCAACGGAGTTCGTAGCCATCGACACAATCGAGTTTCCTCTTGTATTGCATGACAGTTGCACAGTCTTGAAAATCCGCCGAGGTGACTTCCCGCTCCGCAGGATCGTCTTGCATGAACTGCATGGGGTTGGATCGATGGGGGGTAGACATATCGAAGAGTCGATACTCGGAAAAGTTGGTCTCGACTGTTTGGATTTGAACTTCCGTCGTATGAGAGCTGTTACCGTTCCCAATGGACTCAGAGTCGAGCTCGCAGTTCGGATTGGCATAGCTCCTAACGGCCTGAAGGAAGGTGCTCTTGCCTGCTTGCGTCTGGCCAAGGAGGAGGATGTTGTAGGTAGGAACCTCTGTCATGAAACCTGATATTTGAGGTGCTTCCTTGACGTAGACCGGCGGATTCGTTGCGAACCTGACAAAAGAAAAAAAATTGTCAGTTCAATTGTCATTTCCAACAGATACTGAGCTCTGGATTCATTACTTGAGTAGTACGACTTGACACTCACCCCTTCTCTGAGGTCGGTAAGCGCATGTAGTCTTGGCCGCCGACTGAATCAGGCTGGACAAGGATCGAGATGCTATTTGGCACAGCATTAGGGTGGAGCCGATTAGACGGCATTAAAACAAGCAACACACTAAAAAGTCAGACTTAAAAGTGATTACATACACACACTCGTACTAGTAGGGTCAAACGATGGGGGTGTATCCACTGCTTTCGATGCTGGCGTGTGAGATACTGGGAACTCCTATGCCACTAATTGAGTAATAAGAGTGTCACGTTGGCTCTAGGCTTCAGTCGCTTGAACATGTCCCACAATCAAAAGGTATCAATAAACATGCTACTCACCCGTCGTCAAAGATTAAGAAGTTAGGAACCTGGAGGACTAAACAGAGTGGGTGCGCTGGTGTGGTGGTAAGTAAGCAAAAGACAAGATGTGTTATGGATGGCTGTTGATTTTATGTTTGTATGGTGATAACCACAATCATCTTCCCGAAGGGTCACCTGTCATCTGTGCTGATGGCGAAGCACAGCATTGCTGTATTCCCGTCACCGCATTTTGGGCCACCATTGAGTGACTGGATCATTCGAACAGTGGTTATGCACCATACATTGGTCTGTATAGGTCCTACGTATGTAGTCTCTTTGGTCGCATCTGGGTAATAAATATACACGTACTGGTTCTCTGACCAAAGCGATGGAAAATGGTGAGGGCAGCACGACGCGGGAACATCGCAATGTCCCTCATGCAACATCTCCCACTGTTTTCTGACTTCCCGCTTTCTGTGTTTGCAGGGCGCATTAAAATGGGAAGGGGGGCGATCAGTGGATAAACAAAAAAAAATGTCGTCATAGACTATGATATGCGCTGGGAGCCATGAACAGGACGCGGTTGGGGATGATGATCAGCCTCATAGCTCTACTCCTTTCTGTCCGGTTTTTCTCCACGCAAAAATCGTCAGTGGTATAATAAATCGTGGTGCCTTGGCTCCGCTCCTGTCGAACTCCAAATTGTTGGTGTGTTAGTTGCGTAAAAACTTCCCTCCCGCGTAGAACTGTGTCTCGTTAATCATGGATTCGATCTCGTAAATAGCCACGTCGACAAGAGGGATATTCTTCTTGGTTTCTTCCGACCTTCTCTCGAGCTCCGTCGTAGTTCATTCGTCCACGCCACTCATTACGGGACCACATATAATTGCAGTATTGCGGTTAGGGACGCGTACGGTAAGATCTGTCAAGGGTGGTCGTTGTTTAATACTTTACGTAAGCACTCAATGGCATTTTATATACACGTTCAACTGTCAGTTTCAGCTGGCGGTCTTTGATCTCCGGAACAAAAATGTGTTCAATGTTCAACGACCAGGATGCAACATAACAGCTCATGCTCATGTGCACAATCTCATGGCGCCATCCACTCTAGATGCAATATGGGTGTCGTTTTATTACTGTTGCTGTTGTTGCTGATTGCAAAGTGCTCCTATCTTTCGCCGCCGCTCTATTCTGAACTGCCCCACCTTCTCACGCTCCTTCCGCTATTGCTTTTATATCTCGATCTCGGACTGCCTGGCCTGCTCTTCATTGTCGCCATAGTTGTTTGTCACCGCAACAACCAACTGGGGCTGGCCCTATAGGCCAAAGGAGGTGAGTTCAGTGTGAGCAGCATTTGAGATCTGTATTCAGGTACACGCCGTTGCTCGTGATGGTGCTGCTGCTCGTGAAGGCGCTGCTGGGATGAGAGCGGCAAAATCTCAAGGTTGATGGGTCAGTCTCAGGTCCTTGTATATGTGCAGGCTCCGAGGGCGATGCCTGCAAGATATTGCGGCTGCCGCGACTCTGTGTTGATAACAGTTATAGGGGCCCTGTACTTGTCAGCCACAGGGGTTGATTCTAGTTTTCTGGTATATCCATTGTGAGATTGTGCTGGTTTTTTCACCGAATCTTTCAACATTACAACCACAGGAGAAGATCGTGGAGCATTCTGGCTCTCGCTTTCTACTAGAAAAAGCGCCATCGCACCTTTATCATGACAAGGACCGAATGGACTGGACTTGTTACTTTTTTTTTTTTTTTTTTTTTTTTTGGCTGTCATTATTGTCGGACTTGGACGGTGAATAGGCGCGAGACTTCATTCGAGGATAAAGCATGAGACTCCTGGCAGTTTCCTGAACCAAGGAGCGTCGTTGTCGTCCAAATACCATATCTCCATGATTCCCCTCCAACACAAGTCGTCTCATCACATTCATCACTTATCGCCCGGCTCATCACTCGCATCTCATCACCGCCCGTCTCATCACGCGTCTCATCACTCAACACCTGTATCGACTAATGGAGACTTCATAATAGCGCACAGGGATGAGGGATGGGATGAAACCATGTATTTTATGAAAGGGTATGATGGGGATAGAAGGTTAGCTAGTAGCCTTGCTCGTAGCTGCTCGTAATGTTCATCATGATACTATGGCGCATAGACATCATCACGCTGACAGCCGGGATGTAGTCATAAGGGTGGGATATCATGGATGCAACTGTCCGGTCGGATATAACGAGTCTAATAAATAGCTTAGGCCTTTCGAGGCTGTCCATGAAAACAGGCTCTTGGATGATACGCATGCTAGTGATCTCTAACAACCCATCATCGCTCAGATGTTCTAATGCCGGGTGGTCATCGATTGTGGGAGTAATGATGTGCTGGGAGGTAGTATCTGGATCAAGCTTGAACCGTATATGGGCTACGAATGGGCTGATTAATAGGGATCTGACCTCTGCAAGCATTACTAAGTGAAAAGGAACGGAAGGACGAACAGTGGGATAGGGGATGAGGATGGAGTGTGGATGAGGTTGAGGAGTAAAAGAAAAACGCGAAAAACGTGTGGAAATTAATGATCGCCTGAATTAGTACAACGAGTTTGAACTATGATCTGTACCCGCACAGACATAACAATTTAAGAGCACCGCTGCCAATTGATAGAACCTGAGTCTTTGTCTAATAAACATATACTAAACCACACTCCCAGACTTGAACCTGTAGCCATGAGCACACCGGATGACAGCCCCATTAACCTCATTAACCCATCAGTGGCACTGGCATAGGGGCAGTTAGATGACTCGTTGAGAGCTCCAGCAAATGCTCTGGTATTTCATCAACAACCTCTCTATCCTGAGCTCTTGTATAATAACGTTCCCTATCTAGCGACACTTTCTTCTTGGTGCCTGGACTACCCAGTTACATCGTCTAACCAAAATGGACCAACCCGCCGAAGATAATTCCCTGAAGGATCCCACTGCAGACAACAGAGGTGACGAGGACGACCCAGAGGCAAGCGATGATGATTCTGCGATCGAGGGCGGACGCGACCGAGGGCGGACGCGATCTAAATGGTGCTGAGGATGCCGGAGAACTCCTAGGCGACGCTGAATCATTAGCAAAAAGGAAAGCCCACCTGGAAGAGAAAATCCGCCCCCTAGTCTGGGACACTGTGAGAAATACTCTATTCGACCCGTACATCCTTGAGACAGCTGAGGCATTTGATACTGCAGAGAAAGAGTGAATAGCCCGCGACGGGAAAGGAAGGCTGGTGTTCTACCTCAAGGCAGCTTTTTTCGAAGGCTGGAAGGCGCGGCACCAGAACTGCATTGGCACCCAGTTCACACTCAACGCCAAACATCGCGCATATACCAACGTACGGCCTAGCAGCTCTCAAGTCAAGAAGGAGAGGGCCGATCAGCTCAAGGCTCGCTATAATTGTCACTGCAGAGGAGCAAAGGACGAGCATAAAGAAAGACAGCAAGGTGGGGTCTCCGGGAAGACACGGATGAGAAAGCCATCGACCAAGTACGGTTGCCAATCGTTCTTCAACGCATTCTTTCGACGGGCGCCGACGATCGATAGCAGGCTACAAAATACGTATCGTATCGAGTATAGCTATCAACATAACCATTGCTTGGGCGATAAAGACAGTATTGGTAGAGGATTCGATTGTGGCGGGAACCAATGCACAGCCTTTTGATCAGGAACAGAGCTTAAATACGATAAAGTTATCAACGCGCGCCCATTCTTTGACTTGAGACCATCTCAGCAATTAGCAGCGGTGTAGAAAACAATCTGAAAAAAGGGGCATGAGCTGACGAGCAAAATGTGTGCCATTTCCTCTAATAGGAGCGGTTTATGGAACACCGGCGAGCTATTGCTAGTCTCAGAGCATACTATATAGCATCCACAACAGAGTTGAATGTCGCTGTCCCACTCGATATCTCATGAGTGTGCATTCTTTTACTCTCACTCACATCTTTACCTTGTACCGCAACTTTGCAATCGCGAGCCACTGACTAGCATTTATTACGCAACGCTGAGTAACACTTTTAGGGGGTGAAGGCTGTTTAAAGGGCCGAAACTGAGATTGTCGTGAGGTGGATACGTAAAGGAACATCGGAATGAATGTATTTTCGACTATAGAATGCAAATTTTGCTGGCCTCAAGCTCAGATCTTCAGCCAGTCGTTTAGCCCAGGGTGCCGGCAACTAAATATCAAATGGCCATTAGTGACACTTCTTCGCCTTCGCCAGGAACATAGTTCGAATAAAACTCCGTGGCCTTTTGCATGCAATCCACCAGTCGACCCTCATAGACCCCAGCTTCCCCAAGCGCCTTGAAAAGGTCCAGATGTAGAGTAGAACGAGATGCACGGGCGATCATGTCTAGGCACTGGTTGTGCTTCTCCATAAGCTGCTGTCTCTGAGTCCTGACGCCACTCTCTCCTCCATCCGTACTGACCAGGCTATTGCGCTCCTGCAGTTCAGACTCCAAAACCGTCCTCTGGCTTTCCAACGTTCTCTTCCAGTTTTTAATTTCTTGGGCATATTTGTTGCAGCGCTTGATATACAGCTTGACGTGGTAAGTGCCGTACTTGAAGGACTGTCTGATCAGTCGCACGCTCCAGTTTCTGTGCCCTACACCTCCTTCGGTCCCCTTGGTCTCGATGCCAAACTCGTCCACATGAACCACGTCGATAGTATACTCGAGATTAGCAGCCGTGAGCTCCGCTTCTTGTCGAAAGGAGAAGAGTCTCCAATCCTCATCAAATCGATCCTCGTGAATTAGTTCAAGATTCTCGGTGTTGTAATTGCGAATGATCTCCTCTACCTCCCGGATGTTGTATCGAGTAATATTGACCCTGATGTCGATTTCGCGAACCCTCTTGTCGGCCTGCGACATTTCCTTCTCTACTGCAGCCTGCTTTGCTCGATATTCCTTAGCAATGAGTTCGTCCACCTCAATCATCTTTTGCGTCTTGTACAGTTGCATGTTGCTCAGAGGGACGGGTTCGTTCATTCTTGCAATTAGGAGGAGGTGACGTATGATGCGTTGTCTGCAATACAAGTGAGCGGGTCGGTCCTCGTCGAGGTCGCAATCGATGAAAAAATGAGGGATATCGCGGCCCATGATGTCCCTCAGGGAGCTCCTTCTCTCGTTGATGAATGCTGTAAGCCTGGGGTTGTTGGGGTGCTGGTCATCGAACCTCATGTTGGTGTGAACGAACACGAGAAGACCCCCCATAGCCGAAAAGATCCTGGAATAAGTCTTCAATGACGACTGGAGTTCAGGCGTGAGTGGACCTCCAGCGATCATGATGAGAATTAAATGGACAGCCCCAGCACCGGAAAGAGCGGAAAGGATTTTGGTGACGTTCCTCTCGTCATGGCCATTGGTATCATTGAGGCCAGGTGTGTCAAAGATGCGAACGTTGCTATTATGGAAATAAGAGTGCCTCTCTGGGTTAAGGCTATAATCTTCGCGATTGAGCCTACGCCTGTGCATCGGGAGAGTTGGGCCGCTAAAGAGATCTGTGAATGTCACTTCCTTCTCGACTGGTCCGTCCTGGGACTGAAAAGGCACATGCATGTATTGCATTGGGTTGAGTCGGTTAGGGGCGGACGTATCGAAGAGTCGATACTCTGGAAAGTTGGTTTCAACTGTCGCAGTGCGCACATCTGTCGTATGAGAGCTGTTGCCGCTCCCAATGGACCCAAAGTCGACCTCGCAGTTCGGATTGGCATAGCGCCTAACGGCCTGAAGGAAGGTGCTTTTGCCTGCTTGCGTCTGACCGAGGAGCAGGATATTGTAGGTGGAAGTGATGGATGGGGTGTGAGGTAATTGAGGCAATTCTTTGTTGTAGGTCGTAAAGAATTCTCCAGTTCTACAGCATTGAACAGACCGATGGCCATTAGAGCTTGCCATCAGGCAGAGACACGGTCTTAAATCCTGGGCAGTACGATGTAGTTCGTCACTTACTCCTAGTCCGGAACTGACCTGTGTGCGGCATCGCGCTTATTTGTACGATCAGAATCAACCAGGTCAAGTCATTGAAGCGTTTCATTTCTATATCGAGAGACGAGGAGGGTTACTCGGTGTAGTTGCTAATGTCATTGCAAGAATCAGAAGGATATTGGATAAAAAGCGCACTTACGTTTGAGAGAGTGGGATATCGTCCGCTGCTTTCAAGGTCGCCTCATCAAAGCCTGCGAGCGCTTGTACGCTGTGTAAGAAGTGCGCATGTCGGACAGTATTAGGTTTGAAGCTCGCTTTCACATTGCTCCAGCATCACAAATCATACGGTTGGCATGAGGTAAAACGTACAGCATGGCATCGGTATCAGCTATGACCGTCTCTGAAGGACTGTCAGATTCATCTGCCGCGACTACAATTGCATACCCGTCGTCCTGCGAGACCAGTGTAAAGCCTTGAAGGGCATGAACTACTTCGTTTCTGAGGTTCGATGTGATCGCATTAATCACCAGGAGATCATGGATTTTGGCGCCGATGATGTAAGAAATTCGACCTCCCACCTACTCTTCTGACTCGTTCAGAGCCTCATGTTCGGTCTGGGATTGTGCTCCATGCACGTCTGGAGTAATATCCTGTACTGCATCGAACCTGCATCAATTGTCGTGACATGGTTACTGTGGGTCCTTCTCATGGCCTGCTGTAGTCAAGCATATCGAGGTATGGGTTACTTACATTTTGACAAAGGAAAGTAAGTGAGTGAGGAAAGAGGATGGTAGGCTGTAGAAATTGTCGTACACTTCACTCTTCAGGCTTTATAAAATAGCCTTTTTCTTCTTTTTCTTTCTTTCTTTTGTTTTTACCGCGGCGGGAGGGGAAATTTGTTTCTTGGCGAAGCACAGCACATCCGCAGTGCCTCTGATACTCGCCCCTATTTTTTTTTATTTATTGAGGAACTACGAACCATTCGCGCTCAAACAAAAGCACACGGTGCGCCGTAAAGCAATGGCCAAATCGAACCCTCTAGGCCTCTGCATGAGAATAGGCCGCATAAAATGCCGAAACCTTGTCCATACACTCGGCAGGCGTGTTCTCATACACTCCTCCTTTCACCAAGGCATTGAACAGATCCAAGGTCAGCGTCTCGCGTGAGCATTGTGCAATTATCTCCGAGCAAACACCCTGTTTCTGCTCCAGTTCTCGTCGCACCCCGTACGGTCCGTTCAGGAATTCGTTCGTCGCAATTATTTCAGACCGCCTGCAGATCATGTCGTCCTTCGTCCTGTTGCATCTCTCCAGCTCGGCCTTTGTCTGATTAATTTCTTGGTGCATCTTGTTACGCCGCTTGACGAAGAGCTTGGCATGGTAGATGCCATGCATGTGCCAGAATCGGACAAACTTGACATACCAATGATGGTGGCCGTATCCTCCATCCTGATGCAAAACTCTAACTCCATCACAATGCACCTCGACATGATCGATCTTGTATGGCAGGTCGTAGGCCTTTAGCTCTACTTCCTGTGGAATCGCAAAGAAGTTAAAGCCATTCTCAAATCTCTCCTCGCGCATAGATACTAGTTCGTCAGTCTCGTTCTTATTAATGAATACATCCAGTCCTCGAATACGGCCCCTGGTCTCATTAATCCTTCTCTCCAGATCACTGGCATCCGCCAAGCGTTTACGCTGTTCCTCCTCCATGTGTCTTCTCTGTTCTTCAAGGTCCGCCTTCACCTGGCTTTGCTGTCTTGCTGTGAGAGCATCCACGTCCTGCATTTTACTGGTCTTGTACAGCTGCATTGTGTTGAGAGCCACGGGAGTATTATGTGTTGCCGCGAGGAGAATATTGCGGATAGTCGTTTGTCGAAGATAGATGTGAATGGGTCGGTCCTCGTCAAGGTCGCAGTCGAGCATGAAATGAGTCATATTCCTGCCCATGATCCTGTCCAAGTCCGCGGCTCTTTCCTTCATGAAAGCCACGGTCTTTTTGTCGTCCGGATGTTGAGTTCTGTACTCGAACTTCGTGTGAACGATGGCCAATAGACCACCCATGGCCGAGAATATCTTGGAATACGTCTTGAGCGCTTCTACAAGCCCAGGTGTCAATGGATTGCCGCTCGAGACCGCAATGAGGACAAGATGAACGGCGTTTTCGCTTGACAGGGACGTGAGTATCTTTGCAACGTTCCTCTCATCGTACGAATTGGTGTCCTCCAGTCCGGGAGTATCAAAGACTCGGATGAGGCACTCGGGATACACGGAATGCTTGTCCTTGTGAGCAACCAGGTTGTCCATTCGATCGATTCTGGTTTTATATTCTCTGATGGCGCACCCTCGAAGAAGCGACTCCATGGCAACTTCTCGGGTGGGATGTGGAGAGGCCGATTGGTCTTGATCTTCCTCGGCCTCGTAAACGCGGTACAGGGGAAAGCTGGTCTCGATTTGCTGCATTTGCACTTCTGACGTATGAGATTGATTGCCGCCTCCGATAGAGCTGATGTCGATTTCACAAGCTGGGTCTGCATATCTGCGAACGCCTTGAAGAAAGGTGCTCTTCCCAGCTTGAGTTTGTCCAAGGAGGACGATATTGTAAACAGGCGGTGATTTATTGCTGAGGTTGCTGTCGAAATAGAGCAATAAACATATGTATGTGAGATACTAATATCTTTGAATAGACGAGCATCGATAGCATCGGTAGCTGTACTCACGTCATGGGTCCTCTGTACTCTCCTCCCGGAGGCGAGTCCTGCGAGAGGATGTACGTGCCGATCATATTTGGACGTAGTCTGAAAGTGTACCATCTTCTCAGCCATTCCAGGACCACAATGAGCGCCAGCTCTCCCAGGAACCTGCCAAGGGCGATAGGCATGGTTGTGTTGGGGGGGAAGAGGGGGGAAAGGGGTTTGAAGTTTAAGAAATGGCGAAGGCTTCTTTTATTTCTCAGGCCAGTCGCACATCCGCGGGAAATAATGCGTTATTTCAATACATGGAAGTTTTTTTTCTTGAGTTGACGCAGCAGCAAGAGCCGGTACGATACACTAACGCCCATCCCTTATTTGAGCTCTCAATGGGCCAAGCATAGTAAAAGGAGGCGCAGCAGGGCAGACTGTATTCGACGTCTCCGCCTGAACCAAAGGGCTTACCTTTGGGACAATTTACAACTCTAGAATATACTCGCCTTGCATGCAGCGTCCAAGACCGCGCGACTTGGGAGCCCCTTACACTTCTTATGAAAACAACGCGAAGCTCCGTCGTTTAAGGAATATTCTGTAATCAGCTCACAAAGAAATCCATGCTGGAAGTTACGCCCTGTCCAGGACTGCGGACGATTTCACAGAGCTCTTGTTGGGTACTTCCGCCGACATATGCTCCAAGCTTCCTGCGATGAAAACCTCCACCGCTCAAGTCCAAAGGTCTGACCCCGAACGCACCCTCTCAAAGTAATTCATAGATGCCCCTGATCTGCGATCCCTGACATGTACACTACACAAAAACTCAACGCCAAGTTCGCTACCGCGGCTCTATGCCACTTGATATCGACCTCTCTGCTGCCACAGAGCATATTGACCTTGGCATGTAATCTTTTGCCTAATGGCAGCATCGCCAGAATAGCGGACAGTTGCGCCCGGGTCTACCATCAGACGTCTTGGGTACTCAGTCGCCACTTCCCAATACTGGTGCTTCTTCATATCAGGGTCTACGAGGGCACGACCAATACAATGAATCACTAGATCCTGAAGAAGCGACAGACGCGTTCCATACCAAAGTTCAATATATCTGTAGACCATTTAATGCCTGTCGTGTATCGCCAACACTAATACCCTAAAATATCAAAGAAAACTGGCTGCCAGGCAGACGTGAGAAAGGAAAAGAGGCTTCTAGCAGAACGTGAGTATCCTAAGTCCACTATTAACCGCTACACAAACGACAGCGCAGACTATGGTTCCCGCTGACGTGATTGATCCGGCTTCAAGGCCACCTCTTCGCCCTCTGTAGGTCTGTAGGTCGAATAAAACTCCACGACCTTCTGGGTGCAATCCGCAGACGAACCTTCGTACACCCCAGCATCTGCAATGGCCTTGAACAGGTTCAGATGAAGAGTGTTCCGTTGCGCTCGAGTGATCATATTCCAGCAAATATTCTTCTCTGCCAACAACTGGCGTCTCTGAGCTAGCCTGTCCTTGTCTCCCATGTCCGTTCTTCCTAATAGCTCGCGCTCCCGAATCAGCCCCTTCAATATCGCTTCAGAGTAATCCAACCTGATCTTCCTCTTGCGGATCTCATGGCGGTGCATATTGGACCTCTTGACATATAGCTTGACGTAGTAGGTGCCGTACTGGTAAGGCTCCCTCATCAATCTCACGCTCCAGAACTTATAACCCTTGCCTCCTTTGCTCTCCCTGATCTCGATCTTGGACTGCTCCACATGAATGTCGTCAATAGTGTAGTCGAAATCCGGTGACTTGAGCTTCAGTTCCTGCCGGTACCCAAATAATCTCCAATTCTCTTGATACTCGGCCTCATGGCTGAGTTCAAGATCCTCGGTATCGTTGTTCTTTATAAACTCTTTTATCTCACGAATCTCGTATTTGATCTCTGTGATCTTGCTGTCGACATCACAGATGGCCGCCTCGTTCGAAGTTTTGATGGCGTTATTGATCCGGGGGATTTTCTTTGCGATTCTCTTCAACTTGTCCCTGAACTCCTTCTGGATTAATCCATCAATGTCAATCATCTTGGGCGTCTTACAGAGCTGCATGTTGCTCAGTTGAACGGGTATATTGGATACTGCCTGGAGAAGAAGCTTTCGGATCGTATGTAGCCTCAAGTATTTGTAGGCGAGTCGGTCCTCCTCCAAATTGCAATCGATTTTATGGTGCAAATGATCCCGACCCATAATTTTCCTAAGTTCGGTCTTCCTCTCCTTAAAAAAATCCATTTCACGATGGTCTTCGTGATGTTGACTTCTATAATCCACTTTTGTATGAACAATCGTGATCAGGCTTCCCATAGCTGAGAAGATGTTGTAGTAGGTCTCCAGTGCATTTTTGAGCTCCATGGTCAGTGGCGTTTGTCGAGCGATCATGATAAGCACAAGATGAACAGATCCAGCGTTGATGAGTGCGGAGAGGATCTTCGCAACGTTCCTCTCATCGTGGCTACTGGTGTCGTTCAGTCCAGGAGTGTCAAAGACGCGGATCTTGCTTTTTGGTAAGTGAGAGGGCTTGTCTCTGCGAAGATCGTAATCATAATAGTCAATCTTTTGCTTGTATTGCTTGTGGTTAGAACAGCCGAGAAGATCCGCAACGGTTACTTCCTTCTCTACTGGCGTATCCTGTGAGAGAAAGAAGGTGCCCTTATAACGTGTGGGATTGAAGTAGAGAGAAGGATTGGTGTCGTAAAGACTATACTCCGGAAAATCTATCTCAACTTCTTGAGTTCGAACCTCTGTGGTACAAGAACGGCTGCCGCTCCCGATGGATTCTTGGTCGATCTCGCAGTTCGGGTCAGCATATTCCCTGATCGCCTGGAGGAAGGTGCTCTTCCCGGCTTGTGTTTGTCCGAGGAGAAGAATGTTGTAGGTAGGCACGACAGAGTCCGAATTCGGCGTTTGAGATGCTTTTCCACTACGGGTAAAGCTTTGGAATGTAAGCCTAGAGTAACCAGCAACCGTTGACAAATAGAGCTTCTCTCATAACTAGGTGGTATTCATCGGCCGCGCTGAATGGGGAACATGGCTTGGTACTTACGCCTGCTCATGACCCATGCTATACATGGCATTTGTGCCATCGGTACGAACTGAGTTGGGCCAGGCAAAAGAGCAGTGGTTTGCTTCATTTCTGCAGTAAAAAAAAAAAAAAAAAAAAGACAGAGGGTTACTCGACCATCCTTTCAACATGATCAGCTATGGTACTAGGCATAGACGTGAGCGAAGGTAGTACATACGTTTGGACCGGCTGCGCTATAGGATGATTTTCACCCGCAGCTTTAGACGCCAGTCGCCCGTAGGCTGTGGATTCATTTTCGCTATGTTGTAAAAGCACAGCAGAAAATCTTAAGCCATAGTCCTCCTTGCTTTTGCGTCTCATGAATAGGAAAAGTTTCAAAGGAATGAATTTAAACGTACGTTTTGGGCCCACTTAGGCAGTATTTTGGAGGCCCGCCATCACAGCTGGGATCGATCGCCTCTGGAGGACTATGATCGTATGATGTGACTACGGCGCCGTTTCGGGTGTGTGAGTCTTCTAGAGCGCGGCGGGAAAGTTTCTCAGACCTATTCCAGAAGCCATGGTTTGGTTAACAGAGCCCTTCTTAATGGCCGGTTTCTTAAGCGAAATCGTTCTTTCGGATGGCGTACTCACATTTCGGCAAAAGATGATCAAGTTGATGGAAACTGAGACTAGTTGAAGGCGAGAAGCGCTGCTAATAAAAAAAAGGGGGAGCCGTTGACTCCGCACGCTATTATATTCTGTGTCCGTACCAGCGGTAGCGAGGGAAGGGTTTACTAGTCCTTGCCCATGGCAAGAACCGCATTGAAAAGGCGAAGCACATACCAATACTCTCAAATCTCCATTGCTGTCTGCAACCCCTTCTGATTATGCTGTATTGTTTGACTCCAGTCCGCATGAATTGCCAAGCTTCCTGTATATGCATAATGTCACATCTGTTTCCCATGAAAAACATCGAATAAAGACAAAGGCGGTATCTTGTGGGATAATGTGGGAATATCAGAGTGTCTCCCATTTTACCCTTGCTGCTATTCGGGCGCCCACTCTCTCTTCGTGTCGGTCTTGGCGTAGTATGTGGCCAAATGGTCATCTTGGTTGGAGCATAGGCCTTCTTTTAAAAAACAAAGTCCATGAACTAACCTTGCTGCCGCTTCCTGTATTTGTAGATGTGCATCAATGCCATCAATTGCCATGAGAGTTATCGACACTGCCTGCTTTATCGTTTTTGGTTCGTAGTAGCCATGTGCAAGACTATGCGCAAACCCCTCAGTTGCATATTGGAAGAATAGAATAAGAAAGGGTTATCAAAACAGCACAGAAGCAATTCAGTAAGCTATGGATGATGCGGTCGAGGCCATACTCATGCTCAAGGCTATGTAATCAGCGCTCTGATCCATAGATCCACATGGCCACATATTCCGCTCATTCCCGCCAATGTACTGCTGCGTGATTTCGTATTTATTGCTGACAACTAATGTGTTTCGATATCAAAGAAAGCGGACCGACCGCAGAATGAGGATGTTGCGTGTCCACCATTCGAGAACTAATGTAGACTACGGCGCCTCCGGCTGCGACTCATCTGGTCTCAGAATTGCCTCTTCACTCTCCATGGGTCTGTAGACTGAATAAAAATCGATGACTTTTTGCACACAATCTACAGGGCGTCCCTCATAAACTCCAGCCTCCACAATGGCCTTGAATAGGTTTAGATGAAGCGCAAGACGAGATGCACGGGTAATAATGTTCCAATACCGACTCTGGTCTGCCGATAGCTGCTGCCTTTGAACCTGGGTAGCGTCATCTCCTATATCCGCACTATCCAAGAGTTTCCGCTCGCGATGCAAGCCTTCCAAAATTGTTTTCGCGCCATCAAGTTTGATATCCCATTCACATAACTCCTGACGATACTTTTTATGCCGCGTGGTGTACAGCTTGGCATGGAAAGTCCCGTTCATGTAATGCTTTCTGATGAGTCTCACGCTCCAATAGTTGAAGCCCTTACCCCCACTTTCTTTCTTGATCTCTACCCCTGAGAGCTCCACGCGGATGTCGTCGATGGTATCGTCAAGATGCTTTGCTTTGAGTCTTGCCTCATCTCGCTTGGAAAAAAGGTGCCAGGCTTGTTCAAAATAGGCCTCGTGAATGAGCTCTACATCGTCGGTATTGTGGTTTCGAATGTACTCCTCATGCTCTCGAATGTCGTATCGGGTCTTGATGATTTTAGAGTCGACATTGCAGATGTTCGGATTTGCTGGAGACGTGGCCTTCTCGATCTCTGCCAGCCTACATTTGGATTTCTGGATGACCAAATTGTCGATCTCCGTCATCCTCGGGGTCTTGGTCACCTGTAAGTTGTGCATAGGGACGGGTACGTTGAATTTTGCGAGAAGGAGTGTCTGGCGAATTTTCAGTTGTCTGAGGTACAGATATGCGGGCCGTATCTCGTCTAGTTCGCAGTCGATGAGATAGTGCGGGATGTCGCGGCCCATGGTCGCACCCAAGATTCCTTTTTTTTGCTCGATATGGCTCCAAAGATTTTCGTCTTTAAGGTACTGATCTCTGAGATCGATCTTGGTGTGGACGAAAGCGAGCAGGCTTCCCATAGCCGAGAAAATGTTGCGGTAGGTTTTCAATGTCGACTGAAGCTCAGATGTTAGAGCCGTGTGTCGAGATATAAAGATAAGTACGAGGTGAATAGACTCAACATTGGAGAGTCTGGAAAGGATCTTGGCGACGTTTGCCTCGTCATGGCTGTCGGTGTCATCCAGTCCAAGGGTGTCAAAGATGCGGAGGACGCTCTTCGGAAGTTTAGAATCTCCCTTAATAGTCTCGACAGTTATGCCCGGTGTTGGATTAAAGAACGATGTGATATCGGCTTCATCGCGCAAAGCCTCTAGTTGCGAATTGGGCTTCTTTAAGTGCAGTCGGTATTCAGGAAAGTCAGTCTCAACCGATTCAACCTGTAAATCTGCTCTGCGAAAGGCATCAAGAGCCCCGTAGTTGATCTGGTAGCTTGAATCTGCATATGTTTTGATCGCTTCAAGAAAGGTGCTTTTACCGGACCGTCGTGGCCCGAAGAGGAGGATGTTGTAAATAGGAACACCTGGCATGAAATCTGGCGTTTGAGGTGCTTCCTTGATGTAGATCGGCGGGTTCGTCACGGACCTAACAAGAGAAAGGATTACGGTCAGTCTAACTGTCGTTTCTAACAGATACAGAGCACTAGACCCATTAACTGAATAGCACACGGCTTCTCGCTCACCCCTCCTCTGAAGCCAATCTGTGCATGTAGCCTTGGTCGCCGACTGGATCAAGCTACACAAGGGAGCGGACACTATTTGCTGCAACGTTAGGATAGGCCGACTAGACGGCGATTATACTGGCAATGAGTACAAAGGAAAAGTAGCAAAAGAACACAACAAAATGCGAGCTCAACAGCGGATACATATACGTACACTCGCACTAGTAGTGCCAAATGGTGAAGATATATCCGCCGCTTTCGATGATGGCGCGTAAGGTACTGAGGGTGCTTATGATGCTATTTTGCGCAACGAGAGTCCCATGGCAGTTCCAAGCTTCAGTCACTTGAGTATCTCCACATCCAAGAGGCGTTCATGGACGTGCTACTCACCGGTCGATAAAGGTTAGGGATTTGGCAGGCCGGGCTGAGTGGGCGTGCTAGTGTAGTGGTAAGTAAGTCGGAGATGAAGGTGTTGTAGGTAAGGAGAGCCAAGGCCATTGGCTTTATATCTGGAAGCGACATGGCCATTCACCACTGCCGGGAGGCGAAGGGACTATACGCGCTTGTTCAACGCGAACAAAGCGCCACATTCATCTTCCTGAAAGATCATCTGTGCACAGGGCGAAGCACAAACATGCATCCCCTTCTTTTTTTTTTCTTGTACAGCCTTGTATTGCTTTCGGTCCTGCAATGTTGCTGGACCAAGGATTGCATAGAATGCCAAGCATTTTGTAGATAGTCTACACTCGCACGCCTATTTTGTCACAAGAGGAACGAACAAAGTGCCTCGAGGGAACATCGCACTCTCCATCTCCCATTCAGCTTTTTTCTGCATAAGTATACAAACTACATGAATCGATCACTTTTCTTTGTTTGCAGTGGTGCATTAATTCCATGTGCACCATAAAATGGCCTATACTTGACTACCTGCTCTGTCTGCTTCATGGTCTAATGGCCCAGTACATGCAAGGTGAAGCGTCGAGACAATTAAGGTTCGTTCAATGACTAGACAATCTTTAACCCTGCTCAATTGATTCAATTGATATATTGTTGCCCTTAGCAGATTGGCGGCACGGCCACAAAAGCGATTCTCTTCATTCCTCATCCGATTCACCTCATCGTCCTCACTCCTCATCTCTGGCCAGCTTTCACATACCAGCGACCAAACAATATGGACCTTCCTGAGATTCGAGACTACTTAGCCCAGTTCCTTGACGACTCCCAGCTCGCCTCAGCTGCCGCTGTGTGCAAAAACTGGCACGCTTCTTTCACGCCCTTCTTATATCGTCACGTCGAGTGGTCCGACGATTACAAGACACCCAGCAAAGAGGCCGTTGAGTCGAATAGCGAGCACATCCGAACCCTCCACCTATACGACCAGCCAATAGATTTTTCCCCAGAGGCATGCACGCGTCTTGAACACCTTAACTTCCTCATTTTGATCGACGACCCCACGACTTGGAAAGATCTCGCGACCCTCGTCCTTCGGAACCCAAACCTTCAGAGCATAACGTTGCGCGCGCTCGATACCAAACCCTCATACGATTTCATGCTAGCGGTATCTACTTGCCTGCGCCTGAAGATACTCGACGTCCACTTCGCCAATCTATCCAGGAACTGCACTGACCTCTTACTGGACACTTGCGTTCGACTGGAACAATTGGTTATCAATGGAGGGGTGATGGCCGACCTCAGCTCATTGGACAGGTGGCCTGAGTTTCCTCAGATACAGGTTTTCGACCTCGACATCGACTCGGGCATGTCGGTGCAGAATCAACTTCAGATGTTCCAAAAGTGTCCCCGTTTACGGTCGATAAAATGGTACGCTAACCAGGACCAACCATGTCCGACCACATCTATTTGTGAGCTCTTCTCCACATTCTGTCCGTCTCTGGAATCATTGGAACTGGGAGGTTGGCTCTTGCCGGACAAGGATATCGTCAAAATCCTGAATAGCTGTCCAAGGATGGTATCGTTTTCTGTCTTTGGGCCTGGGTTCGGCCAGCGTGCACTCCAATCTCTCGTGCGACATTTTTCGCATTTAACGTCTCTCAACCTCAGGCTCTGCTCCGGCGCGACCAGTCCGATGATCCAGACGATCATGACGTCCTGCCCAGAGCTGACATATCTTTGCGCGAATTCACTGAACGCTCGAGACATTCTCGGACTGGACGCGGAGGATGGAGAAGCCGCTATCGGGGCAGCAGAGTGCAATCCACACAGCTGGATCTGTATGAACTTGCGATCCTTAACGCTGTATATTTATGGGCTGGAGGGAAAACCGGCGCTGTGGCAGCGGCTGGTTCTGAAGCAGCTGGCGAGGATGACAAAGTTGGACTTTTTGACAGTAGGGCCTTTCGAATTCGATCCGCGGGATTCTCACGATGGAATCGATCTCAGGCTTGAAACTGGACTGGATATCCTGTCCAGCTTGAAATTACTGGATAGATTGTGTTTTGATGGGTTGTGGCAGCAGATGGAAGAGAAGGACGTCCGATGGATGGTGGAAACATGGCCGTTGCTGGAGCGTGTCGAGGGAAGGGTGCATCACTCTAACAGAAGGAGGGAAGAGCTGGAGAAAATCTTAAAGGAAAGATCTATAGCATTGGTGAGTTACATGGATAGCGAGAACGAAAACGACGAGAACGAGAGCGACGAGAACGAAAACGACGAGAACGAAAACGACGAGAACGAAAACGACGAGAACGAAAACGACGAAAACGAAAACGACGAAAACGAAAACGACGAAAACGAAAACGACGAGAGCGAAAATGACGAAATCGAAAATAGCGATGCCAGTGCAGCCGGGGAGTAGGAGCGATGGTGGGGACACTCATCCAGGTATCAAAGAAAAGACGATAGTTAGATCATTAGCAATGCTTTGTTTATATCATTTACTTTTACTGATGCAGAAAGGACCTTGGACAGAAATGAAACGATTCTACAGTACGTATATGTTGAGAGCAAGGCAGGCACGAAGGAAGAATAGAATCTTGACCGCAGGACCCAGCTATCGTCCACCTATGGACGTCTTCTTGAGCAGTTATGCGGATTAAACCTCAATCTGCTATGGTTAGCATGGCTACTAGGATGCCTCGTCGACGTCTGCTGGTTTGAAGTTCAACAAGTCTACCTTCATATACCCCCGGCCTCCGCAAGGACTCAAAAGAGCCTCCAGTACACTGTATGTATAATAATATAATTGACTGAAAGACGATATGCAAGAGTCGACACTGCTCGGCTGTCAACTGCTGTTTCAATGCCTGGTAGCATCCATTTGGTCCACATGACTCCGCTCCCCGATTTAGTCCCTCAAACCCCTTCGCAACTTCTCAAGTCTGATCTTCCAGCACGACCACGATTCGAAGCATACAGTAAAGGCCACTCAAGACTATTTAAAGTTGACGAATATGACTGAGGCGAAAGAGAGAATTCTCTGTTACCCAGCGCAGTCTCCCAATCCAAGCTCGATCGAATACATGTGGGCGTACCTCAAAATTCACCGAGAAAGTATTCTACCCTCCAGGAATCTGCTAGGAACTATGGGAGCGAATGTCAGTTGAATGATACCGGATCCCAGTTGAATACTGCCGCAGACGCATAAAAAACATAGCCGAGGAGCCACAAGGCGGTTCATGGAGCGAAGGGTAATAATACAAAGTATTAGTCTAGTTCATAAACTCTGGAAACATACAGCAGATTCATTCCCGAGATGCACCTCCAAAACTGCCTCAACGAGCTTTTTACGAAAAAGTCAATTGAACAACTACGACAAAGTGAGCAAATACGGTAACTGGTGAACAAGTTCAGCAAAGGTAGTGTTATTACTGGGGAGAAAATGAGAAAAAGCAACCAGATATTGAAGCAGTTTTGCGTGGCTCTGTACTTTCGCCGGCCAGAATGCCTACTTGTCCCCGAACATCAGAACATACAAGAACGCGATTGCTCTGACACTAACAAAGAGACGCTACAGTGCGGGACATCTAGTCGTGGCATAAGACTTTTGATTAGAAACGCCTATTCACTTTCAAATACAACCGCTGAATCGAAGTTTGGATCATTAAGTGCGCATTACTCTTCTCCCTACAAACCAATGTTCGCCGTTTATCGATATGACCTCTAGTTCAAAGGCTTTTGAGCTTCAACGTTTCTTGCGTACAATCGCGACTGGATGTCCTGCGCTATATTTGCCGGTAAAACGCCACATGTCATTTTGGAGTGCTTGGACTATTTCGTTATAATGATCGTAGGAGCGACAGGCGGACTGAAGTTTTCCACAACCTACATGCCCTTAGCAAATACACTCCCACCAGCAGCCCGTGGTCAAGAAAGCGACTGTGGTCAAAAGTGAGCGCAAGCAAGAGGACAGCAACCGGGGACACCTCAGAAATGAACATGATGGGTGCCTGAAACTCTTGAAACGAGATAAAAGGAACACTATTTCATTCGGTGACGTCAATAGAACCAAGTTCGGAGCAATGCGAACGATTAGTTTTCCGTGGCTAGCCTTCACCGAAATCACCTCACCATCCCATTCCTACTAGACCACCTACTTCTCCCCACTCTCCTTCCTTCTTTTGCCGCGAAAATAATGAATGCCCTCAAGTGCATCAAGACCCCTGCGGTCTCAGCCCTTGCCGTCGCCAGCCGCAACGTCATCACCACTCGCTGCTTGTCCTCCACCATTGTTGTCGCCCAGAACATCCGCCACGACCTGAAGCAGGCTGTCAACAGAGAAACAACCTGGAGTCAGCACCAAATTGAAAAGAAGGAGGCGTTCAAGGGTCCTCGCTTCGAGAATGTGGACATTAATGCTCAGGTATAAGGTGTCACATTCCGATCTTTCAGGGCCGATCATCAAGTCGTGTATGACCTCCAAAGTGGGGTTTCGATATACACATACTAACGACTTATTCTATGCCACATTACTTGTCACTGAACGTGCTAGCCTCAACCACAAGCCGCTATTGATTTGATTGCCGAGGTTCCTATCCGCATGGTCGAGGGTCGCCGTGCAAAATGTGATGGAGGTGGAGGATCCTTGGGACACCCTGCTGTCTGGATCAACTTGGTAATTTTTCAACAGCCACACCACTCTACGTCCTTGTGATTTTATCAGGATGGAAATTGGATACCCTTGAAAGACCAGGGAGACTCTTAGACGCCTTTATGGATATCATCTTGACTATTGCATCAAAGATCGGACGAACGTAACAGAATATAGCCACGGAGCGGCACCTAATCATGGTTCCGTTGTATGTTTTCTATAACATAGGATCGCCCAGGTGCCCATGCATGCGGCTACTGTATGTTTCTAATATGTTCATTGTTAGTTGTATTGTGAAAGGGGTATTTTGATCTGTGAAATTACTAACCGCTTTTTTTTTCTTCGCGTGCTTTGTTTTGTGCTTCTGGATATAGGCGGCATCCGTTTCGAGCAGAAGCCTCATCACCACTAATCCTAGCTGGAAATATACAAACACGGGGCACATTCGCAATCACTCAACCAAAGAATCAAAAAACCGGATAGCCAACGACCAATAGGTTGATTCTTAGCTTCAGTGTGCGGACGTGATAGAGCATAGAGGGCATGAAAGAGAGAGAGAGTGGGGAATGTTCCTTGGATAGAACCGTCAATATCGATCGGTCAAAAAAAGAAAAAATAAACACCCGCAAGTAATTTCTGCATAGCAATCAGGAAGATGGAATGTCCACGCAGCACTATGCGAGAGGTTTGCACTGCCTCCTTGCAGGATGATAAATCCGCACATGCATTTGATGCTCAATGGGTTGCGCTGTCACGTTCCCAGCAGTTCATTCCTGTTTTCTCCACAAAGCAAAGGAAGGAACATCTCTTCTCCTACCATCGCCATCCTTCTTCCAGTCCCTTCTTTTGCCACCATCGCTCCGCGCACAAACCCGCCTTCTTATTCGTATGCCAGGGACAGTCCTAGACGCATCGTAATTCCCTTACTCCTCATCACACAAATACCCTGAAAGGTAGTAACCATACTCGACATAACTTCAAGGACACCTTGACGACCAGCAGGGACGCTTGACAACGCTGCCTTCCTGGCCCGTCGCGGTCCATTTCTTCAAGTTCGTTCTAATGCTTGCTCTTTCTCCTTCCTACATAAATAAAGTAGAAGAATACAGGTGATTGAAGACGTGAACCGAAAACAATGTTCTCGTCCTTCAAGGAAAAGCTTAACACGGGCTTGACCTCGATCCAAGAAAAGGGTCTCGAGGCCGCCAAGGCCGCCCAGGCTGCCGCAGCTCAGGCTGCCCAAGCTGCCGCCACGAGTTCAGGCGCCAACAGCCCGTCACATCGTCCTTCATCCGACCATCAGCAGCACGATCTCCTCCAGGACCCCTTATCATCCTCGTCGGTTCCCAGATCGCCCTCGCCCCACAACAACCATGGATCGCCCAGGATAAGCACTAGCAGCGGTACTGGAGGTCCAAGCGCGACGTCCTTGTTTAGGAGATCACTTCAAACAAATCGCAGATCTGCAGACTTGATCAGTTTTGCAACATCATCTCCACCACCTACATCGACACCCCCACCCATTAATACGGTTGTTAGCAAGAAGTTGAATGCAATGGTCAAACAGTTGACCCTGGACCCATTGCAGGAGAAGCCCGATCCGGCGCAATTGGAGGCTGTTAAGGCAGCGGAACCTGGTGGGATTGAGATGACGGATACAGTTATCGAAAAGCTGGAGCGTTTACAACGTTACGAGGCACGCTTTCCAGGTACTGTAATTTTCATGATGCGGTCTGCATAATGACATTGAACAATGCTGTTTACTATCCATTGAATGCAAAGTAAGCCATAGTCTGATTCAAATTTGCGTGTTTGTGAATATTATTAGATTTGGCCACAGCGTTCAAAAAACTGGTGCAGGAGAAGGTTGCAATCGAGGCTGTATTGAAAGCTTCTACGCCGCTCGAGGATCTCTCAGACGTCGAGGCGTTGGATTCGCATCTCCGAAACATGGCTTACAAGAGCGAAGTGTCCATGCAGGAGATCAGGCGCTTGAATGATGAACTTCGAGGTATGCTTTGAACTCAGCTACTTTTGTCGATTTGAGTATCTGAACACAATGAATTGGTTTTCACATTCATATTGGCCTCTTTTTTTTTAGAAACTGCAAAAATGAAGGAGGTTCATGTGCTCGAGTCGGCTTCGCAATCGGATATGATTGAGAATCTTCAGGATCAACTTGCATCAAAGACTGAGGTATTGTCTTGAACATATCACCCGGCATTCTACAGTATGTTGCTGAATCTAATATTAACGATGTCATTGCTTTTATCCGCATCTGTAAATAGGAAATTGAGCGACTGGAGAGTAGGTTATCGACGACCAATGGCTCGGAAAGCGTCTCTGACGCATCAACAAGCGCGACTATTGAAAGCCAGCAGAGGCGTATCACTGAACTGGAGGAAAAGATCACGGCTCTGGAGAATCAACTCGCCATATCCGCAACAGCAGCACCCGCAACAGCGTCTTCTGCTTCTGACCCGCTCTCTGACCCGCTCTCGGCATCAGTATCTGCTCCTGAAACCGTCACTGCCTCTGCATCTGGATCCGGCGCCAGCTCACCAACACCCAAGGATAAAAAATTGACCGCTAAGGACCAAAAGAAGAAGGATCAGGCATTGCGAGATTTGATGGCTCGTCTTGAGGTCGTTCTTAAGGAGAAGAAGCAGGCCCAGCAGGAGCAGGAGCAGGCTGAGGTCAAGTTGCTTCAGTTGCAGCTAGACTTGGACAGGGAGATCAAGACCAAGAAGGAGATGGTTGACAAACTGGATCAGTTGCAAAAGAAAGTTGGAGAGATGGAGGAGGAGGAGCATCAACAGCAGGTTCAAAACCACAAGGGTAAGCAACAGCAACAACAGGATGCGCCTGACCTCATCAACATTGTCGATGATTCAGTTCCAGAGACAAAGTCGGAATCTGCGTCAAAGGCCGATTTGGAGGCTAAGGTTAATCTGGAGAAGGAGCTAGCGGCTGCAACTCAGGAAGCAAAGGAAACCAAAGAGTTGATGTTAAAGACTCGGGCGGAGGCAGAGTTTGCTGCCAAGCGCGAGGCAGAAGCAATTGAGGCCAAGGATGTAGCCCTAAAGAAGGAGTCTGAAGCATTGGAGGCCAAGACCAAGGCTGAGGCTCTGTTGAACGAAACCCAGGCTTCTCAGAAGTCGATTAAGGACTCTTCTGCTGCGACTGAGAAGGAGCTCAAGGTTGTCAAAGCCCAGGTCAAGGAGCTACAGAAACAAGACGCGGTGCTTCAGGAAACCAAGAGACAGTTGGCGGAGGCGCAGAAGGATATTGACCAAGCTCAAAGGGGCAGGGAGCAGGCGCAAAAGGCATTGGAGGAAGAAGCCCAGAAGGCCAAGGAGGAACAGGAAGCATTAGAAACACGACTTCGGGAGGAGACCAACAAATCTATCGAGAAACTTCGTACCGAGAACGAGAAGACACTCAAGGATCGCGAAGAAGAGTTGACACGGTTGAAGAAGGAGAGACAGGATCTGGAACAGCGCGTCGAACAGCATGTCAATCAGGCCAGCCAATCCGGAGAGGAAGTGCAAAAGGTCCAGGACAAGCTGGAGACCCTTCAGGAGGAGATTCAGAAGCAGCAAGAAACTGTTCTCACTTTGACCAAAGAGCGCGATGATCTTGAGAAGCGGCTGAACGAACGACCGGATTTGTCTACAGAGTTGGCTGTAGCCACTGCCATGGTCGCTGAGAAGGAGAAGGAAGCCGAGGAAAACCAGAAACAGATCGAATCCTTGGCTGCAGAAAAGGAGGCTCTTGCTAAAGCTGCATCCGAGAACGAGCAGCACATACAGATCCTCCTGGGTGAAAAGACCAAGATTCTGGAGGAATGGAAAGTCGAGGTCGAGTCGAAGGAGCAGGAGCTGAAATCCAAGGCCCTCGAGGCTGACGAACTCCAGCAGGAAGTCGATGCGCTGACCGAGGAGAAGGACGAGATTTTGGCGAAGCTGGCTGTTGTTCAGGAAAAGGAACGCAATGGAGCGAGCAGTCTTCAGGCCATGGAGGAATGGAAGTCTAAGGCGGACGAAAAGGAAAAAGAACTGGAGGCCAAGACTGTTAAAGCGGATGAGCTGCAGCAAGAAGTCGACTTGTTGAACAGGGAGAAAGACGAGATTTTGGCGAAACTGGCTGCTGTGCAGGAGCAGGAGCGCAATAGCACTGGCAGGATTGCATCTTTGGAGGAGGATCTCCTCAAAGCAAAGCAGCAAACCCAGGCCGCTGTTGCTACTACTACTACTCCTGCGGACACTACAGAGAACAAGGGCAAGGGACTGATAGTCGAGTCCGAGTCATCATCTGCGGCTGAGGAAGAAACACAGGCCAAGATCAAACAGCTTGAAGCAGAGATCGTCGCCCTTAACCAGAATCCTTCAAAGAATGCTCAAAAGAAACTGCGTCAGGAGCTGAACCACACTAAGGCTGCCAAGCAAGAAGCCGAGGCTCTGGTTTCGACCCTCAAGGATAGTCTCGAAAGACTGGAGGCAATTGATCATGGGAGCACCGCGACTAGGATGGATGCAATGCAGGCAAAGCTTGATAACGCACTGCAGCTGTACCAGGATTCCTCCTCTGCGACGGCAAAGAAGATTACGGAGCTCGAGGCTAAGAAGGCTGCTGCTGTAAAGGAGCTGCAGGACGTCAAGGAAAGAGAGCAAACATTAGCCAATGAGCTTGAGGATGTCAAGGAAAGAGAGCAAGCATTGGCCAATGAGCTTGAAGATGTCAAAAAGCAGCTCTTAGAGGTATCCGTCTCAGGTAGCAAGAAGTATGAGGAAACTGTCGAGCAGGTCAAGACTATAACGAAGGAGCGCGAAAGTTTGGTCAAGAAGCACGAAGAACTTGAAATTGCTCGTCTGGAGGCAGAGAAGACCGCACAGGAGAAGCATCAGGCAATCGAGAAAGAAATTGTGAACTTGCGCAAGGAAAAGATGGAACTCGAGGCCAAGATCGGAGAACATCAAGGTTTGCTGACCAAGGAGCAGGACCGCGCAAAGTCAGAGAGAGAGCGACTCATCGGTGAACTTGAGACGGCTCGCGAGGCTGATCAGTCTGCAATTATCAAGCTCGAGGAGTTGACAATGGAGCGCGACATTGTTCGGGAGAAGGTTGAGGAGCTAACCAAGGAGCGCAATCTTCTTCAAGAAAAGGTTGTGGCACTTGAAACCCAGGCCGAGCAATCCAAGACAGCCAAGAAAGGTCACCAGGATGCCTTGAACAGCCAGATTGCCGCGTTGACGGAGGAAAAGGAATCCTTGACTAAGGATCTGGAATCTGTGCGCGCTAATCTCGACAAGGTGACCAAGGACAATGATACGGGGCATCAAGAGCTGAAGTCGAATTATGATAACATCGTCGTCGAACGTGATGCTGCTCTGGCCAAGCTGGCGTCGGCTGAGGCGGAGCTGAAGACTACTCATGAAGGCGCATCCAAGACCACGCAGGATGTCGAAGAGAAGGTTGCTTCCCTTACCAAGGAATTGCAGGATAACAAGACCGAACTTGCCAAAGTGGAGGCGCAGTTGAAGGAGTTTGAGTCATCGAGCTCTATCGAGATCAAGGGACTGCAGGAGCAGGTGCACACTCTGACCATGGAAAAAGAGTCTCTGGAAAAGCAAATGGGAGATCTTGAGACTCAGCTCAAGGACATCAAAGCACAAAAGGACGAGGCCGCCAAGCTGCTGAAGGTCATGGAGGACGACAATTCACAGATGTCGGCAGGCAAGACCGAGGCCCAGGAGAAGGTGAACGAACTGCAGGCGAAGGTCAGCTCGCTGATGAACAAGGACCGTGACACGAAGGAGGCGCTCGCACTCGCGAAGGAGACGATCCATCAGCGTGACGAAGACCTGGAAGAGGCCCGCAAGACAAAAGCCGAAGACGAGGACAAGCTACAGAAGTCGATGACATTGCTTAAGACAACACGCAAGCAGATCCTGAGACTCGAGAAAGAGAAGCAAGAGGTCGCGGACGAACTGGAAGACGTCAAGATTGCGATGGCGAAGGCTACACAGGAGGCCAAGACGCAAGTAAACAAGGCGACAGCTCAACAGGCAACTGCAGCCAGTGACCTGTCGCGTTTGCAAGCAGTGCATGCGAAGATGGCGCAGGACAAGGAGAAGTTGATCCAGGAGAAGGAGCAGTATTTCGATCAACTTCAGATGAAGCAGGCCGAGTTTGAATCGTCTCAAACATCTCTCGAGAACGTGGAACACGAAATGAGGGAGTATCGTCACCAGCTTGAAGAGGCGCGCGATAGGGTGACGATGTTGGAGGAAGAGACCTCGCATGCTAAACGGTTGGCAGAGACAAAGGTTGCCGAGTGCGAGGGACTGAGGAGGAAGGCATCAGAGTTGGAGGTCAAACTGGAACAGGTGCAATCTGCTATGAAGACTCGTAGTGAGACGCATCGAACTGTGCTGGAAAATCTGCAGCAGGAAGTCGAGGAGACCAAGGAGACCTTGGGCGCTGAGGTCGAGAAGCTGAAGGCGGCTGTTAACGAAAAGGAAACAGTGATTGCGGAACTAAAGGAGAAGGAGAACAGGAGGAGCGAAGAGGTCAAGCAGTTGACTGAGCTTCGGCAGCAGAATGGTGAGCAGGTGGCCGCGCTGGAGGCCGAAGTCAAGGAGCTGAAGGACCGCAAGCGTGACCTCGAACTGGGACTCGTAAGTATTTTCCTATCGTTCGTTGATTATATACACATCATCGAAGAAATCGGAGCTGACACAATGCACGCCTGCTGCGTTCATAGCAACATTTCAAGGACCTAGAAGGGATTCTTGCACAGGAAAAGAGCTTGCACGAGAAATTTGTCGAGGAGTCCAAGATGCGCGAGGGACATTTGCGCACACTCAACAAGACGCTGAAGGAGGAGGTCCGCAAGCTGCAGAAGCAAATGCCAGGAGTGTCACCATCCCCAAGTCCAGGCCCGTTCGCACCAGGTGGCAGTGGTGTACCGCAGACGCCGACGGTACAGACATCGGGGCCGAACAATAGGGGAGCCATGTCACCGCAGTCGACGCCACCTAGCACGCCTCATTTCGGGCGACTTCTTTCACAGCAGACACCACAGCAGGAAGATGATGTTAATGTGGAGTACCTGAAGAACGTACTGCTGAACTTTATGGAGCACAAGGAGCGTCGCGTAAGTTTATGCTACTTTCCTAACCCTGGCTTGCTATTTTATTCAAACTGGGTCGGCTAATGCTGCTATTGTGTTCTTCCCATTTTATCTTATTTTATCCTACAATATAGCAACAATTGGTGCCTGTGGTCGCTCAAATGTTGAAGCTTACGCCAGATGAGACGAAGCGCCTGTCGCGAGGGGCATAATGGAGCAATGGAAGGATAGGATCACGGACCTTGTAACATTCTTAATCATAGACAAGAGCATAAGATAGTGCCTGGCCTGAATTCGCAAGTAAACAACACACCATGTATAAATATTAGGTCGCTATGCAACGCGCTTCCAACTATCTAGGGTTTTCTGCAATAAGGGATTTCTGGAAGCGGTCACTATTGTCAAAGAGTACTCGTTGTCAAATGTATACATGGTTGTTCGTTAACAATTCACCATCGAACACGTTCAACTTGTCGAGATGTCAAAACCGGTCATTGATGCCAACATAATGCACGTCGCGAACAAGCGGCTCGATTACACAGCATTTCAGGCGCTCTGGATCCCGGGGACGACGAAGATATGTGCGTTCGGTTCGAACGACAGTGGGTTTGGGGTTATCCAAGTCTGCGCCAACACCTTTGACGCCCCCGCCATAAACACGAGCGCCAAAGGAAAGAAACGGTCGGCGACAAAGAAACCGGCAGCGGAAAATATACATCTCGAATTGGTCTCCGAGACCGAGAAGAAGACACAGTTCAAGAGCGGGACGTTTCGGTCGAGCGCTCGGACGTCGACGTTGCCACATCTCTTGACGGGGGACTTTGAAGGACGCGTGGGGCAGTGGGACCTGAATAGGACAGAATTTCCGCTGAGCACGTTCAAGGCACACGAGGATGTTGTCAATTGTATGGATGGCGCGGGTGCGGTGTCGGGGCGGCCCGAGTTCGTGACAGGATGTCGGGATGGTACTGTGAAACTTTGGGATGCTCGTCAGAACCATAAGGAAGCCGCGGCCGGTGGTGGGGCAAGTGCGAGCCCGATCTCGAATATCGCGCCCAAGAAGGGCGCCAAGGGACACGATGTCTGGTGTGTGACTATGGGGACTTCGATCGCGGGCGCAGAATCGGGTGCTGACGATTTACTCGTCGCGGCGGGATACGATAATGGAGATATCCGGGTTCTGGATCTGAGGATGGGTCGGCCGATTTTCGAGATGAACATTAAGTTTGGGGTGTGTTCTCTCGAATTCGACAGGAGGCATGGAGGGGCGAGGTCAATGGTCGCCTCGACCTTGGAGGGGACCATGCATACGATCGCGGTCGTGGACGGGGAATTGTCGTGCGCGCAAGGGAACTGGACTCCGTTAGAGGGGATTGGTATGGGAGAGAATGGTGAAGGTAGTACGCTGTGGCAGGGGAAGCATGTTCCTCAGCGGCCGGATATCTTTGTCGTCACAGACTCTGACGGCAAGATTCACATGTAAGTTGCTGTTGTCTTTTTCGGCTTTTTCGGCGGTAAATGTAAAGACTGCTGCAACTTGAGATATTCACTGGTATCCCTTTCTTTTTTTTTGCGATAACAAAAGGTTCCAACACGGAGACGTGAAACAACGGATCAGACCACTCGGATTCTGCGATTTCGCAAACGAAGGCGTCCTGTCGCTCGAGTTTAACGAAGACCTAGAAGGATTCTTTGTAGCATGCGATCTCGATAACCAGCTACGGATGGGAATGCTCCTTCTTTGAAGATCGCTGTGCCAAAACGGCCATTAATAAAACGAAAGCAAAAATAAAAAGATAGAAAACAAAAAACAAAACCATCGATTTAGTCCGCACAACGACATGATGTTATATAGCTCTATATCCATGTTTATCATTTCCCTCGCGACTACTGCTTCGACGCCATTTGCTCCGTCACGAACTCGGTATACGTCCCCGGTAACGACTTGTCCCACTCAACAACCTCTCGACTGTTCTTGAACTCACAGAGGACATGGCCGGTCGGGTAATTTGCTCCGCATCCATAGATCAGCTTATGCTTAATGCCCCACAGCTCGCCCATTAGAATAAAATGCATCTGCAGAGCCTGATTCTTGTTCTTATGGTTCGACGCATGGGGATGGCTATGGTGTTGGTGTCCCTCGTGACCATGATCATGATCATGCGCCGGACTATCCGTCCGCTCCTCCGAAGGTTCCAGGTCCTGCTTCTCGGGCATTGGGATAATCGTCCACTTGCCAAACGCATGGTTAATCACACAGACCAATATCCTTGGCGTCTCACCATCCCCATTCCTGATTCCTGAGAGTCGTACAAAGCCCTTGAGTCGATACACATCATCCTTATCCAGTGTTGCCAAGAACTGTTCAAACTTCTCTAGACTGAGGTGGCCGGCGCGACCGTCTCTGTCGCCAAAGCATTTGATCTCCATAGTGTCGAACTCATTCTTGTAATGAGCCTTATTCCCCTGTTGGTCTAACTCGTCCTCGAAGGCCTTGTTGTTGGGCGCCATGGCTCCCTGTAGCTCAAAGAGTTTAGTGTCGAGGCCAAAGATCAATTCGGGAGAGACGGGTTGGTCGGCGTTGACAAAAACCTTTGGTGCGTCCGTGTTCAGATCGTTGACGCGGTCGATAACTCTGTCCAATTCCCTTTCACTGACCTAAGTATATATGGGGAGATTTAGTTAGCATACTCATCAACCTATTAGTTCTTTTTCTTTTTTTTTTTTTTTTTTTTTTTTTAGTGATCTGCATAACGATATGATGGCAAACAACATACACCCTCGTGCTTGGTCAAGAGAACCAGATCTGTGTACTTGGCTTGCAACTGTGCCGTGTAACTGTTGTCAGCATATCCATTAAAGTTCTTGCAATCGACCACGTTCAAGATCGAGTCCAGCACGAATCCATCGTCCGCCAACTCCCTGATCTGCCATGCAATTGGACCTAACGATTACGAGTCATATATGGTGCAAGATACTTGATTCAGTATGATATTTGGTTCCTGATATGCAAAACGAATGCATTTCGATCGAGAAAAGTGGGCTTCGTCTTTCTTCTTTTTTTTGTACCTGGGAATGCAGAGCCACTGGTTTCGATAATGATGCGATCTGGCTGATACTTCTCCTTCAGCTCCAGGAGCCCCTCTTTCATCTGGCCGACAAGGACGCAACACAGACACCCATTGGTCATTTCCTGAACATCGATATTGCTCAGCTTTGCGATCTGGGAATCAACTGCATATTAAGAAAAGAACGTGTGCGGTCAGTGAGACGCGATCCTTTGCCATTCTCCATAGCGATACGATGATCAGGAAGAAAAGATGAACCTTTCACATCTCCGAATTCGTTCTTGAGCAGACAAAACTTGTATCCCTTGGGCATTGATTGCAGCAGGGATAGGATAATGGTCTAGCATACCACGATATAAAAGTCAATGGTGAGTCCAGTTATTCAGTTGCTTTTCGGCTGGGACAAGGACAAATAGAGTCAAGCTACATACAGTCTTTCCAACGCCGACGAATCCTGTAAAGACCGTAACAGGAGTCTTTCCTCCTTTGCTGAGAATGTTGGGTGTCTGTCCTGGCAAGTCCATGGTTGATCGCGATGCAGACAAGGTATGTAAGATCACTGGCAAGAACCGAATGGACTAGTTCTGTGACCTGTGTCCATGTTCCTGACTCCGCTCTTGCCCAATGGCGCGTCTCGCTGTTTGCGCTTTGTTGCCACCAAAACAGACACCCCTCCCCATGCGATCTCCTCTTCACCCGATTGCACACCTCCGCATCCTGCCTCGGTTAGTCATCCCTTCCCACTCAACAACACCAGCATCTCGACATCTTTCTTCGTCGACTCGACCGTGCCAGTTTCAGCCCTTCCTCGAATCAGTCTTCTTAACCCAGTCGACGACCATGACCACCAAACGCACCATCGCAACCACTTCCCTCTCCTCTTCTCGAGTCACCGCAAAGATCGGTGCCAGCAGTGTCTCCATAGAAGAAACCTCAAACACCACCACCACTATGGCCGCTACCGAAACATCCACGGATGCCTCCAACAAGCGTTTGAAGGCCAGGCACGACTACAATGAGGATCAGGACGATAACGACCTGGAGGACGGCGACTCTGCCAAGGCAGAGGCCACGACGACCAAACCAATTAAGACAGCGCCCGCAAAGAAACCAGCCTTGGTCAAGAAGGGGTCTGAAGCTAAGACGCCGATCCGTACAGGAGCCCATACCAACACTGTGATGCCCACCAAGTTGTCGTTGCCCAAGGCTCCTGAGGGATGTGTCAAGCTCACGTCCTGGAACGTCAGTGGCCTGAACGCGTCCTTGAAGAAGGTAAAACATCTGGCACATCTTCCATCATGCACTGTGTTACTTTCTATTCTGCAAGAAGAACGAAGAAACATCGATAACTAACTGTACACCGACCCCCCTCCTCTTTCTCTAATGTTCCTAGGGGTTTAAAACATACATCAGCGCCGAAGACGCCGACGTGATCTGCCTGCAAGAGCACAAGGTTAACCAACCACTCCTCAATCTTGTCGATCCCAAGGTCTACCCTTTCAGCTGGTGGGGCTTCGAGAAGGACAAAAAGGGCTACGCCGGTGTCGCCATTTTCTCCAAGACTACTCCTCTGAACGTCACCCCCGGTCTCCCCACCCACCCTGACCCCGGCTGCACCAAGGGCCGCATCGTCACCCTTGAGTATCCGACCTGCTTCCTCCTTGGGTGCTACGTTCCCAACGCCGGCCAAGGCCTCGTCCGCCTCAAGGAACGTATGGTTTGGGATGTCGCCATGAAGGAATGGCTCCTTCAGCTCAAGGCCAAGGGAAAGCATATCATCTGGACGGGCGATCTCAATGTCTGCCATAAGCCCATCGATCTGCGCAACCCGACTACAAATACTATGTCTGCGGGATTCACAAAGGAGGAACGAGCCGGCTTCTCCGCGATCCTGGATGAGGTTGATTTGGTCGATACGTTCCGTGAGACCCAGGGAGAGGGACCTGAGGCTGCAGGACAGTATTCGTATTTCTCTTATCGGTTCCAGTGTCGTGTCAAGGGTATTGGCTGGCGATTGGATTACTTTGTCACAGATAAGGAGTTGCAGAAGGAGCGTGTCGTCGAGAGTGTCATTCGTGATGAATGCTATGGAGCGAGTGACCACGTCCCCGTTGTTTTGGTCGTCAAGGGTGCGCTGTAATGGTCGCTGTTTTCCTGTAAATACATTTTTTTTTCTTTTTCTTTTCCTTTTTTCGTTGTTCACGAATAAGCAGATGCAGTTGCTCGACTGAACTTGGCAGTGTTTTTTGACGATGCGGGCTTTATTATGTGCTTGGCCAAGTGCAATCTGCAGGAGCCAAGTAAAAGATGTCGCCGCTTTCGACCTGCGCCATCTGTTGTAGGCGGTCCTGCATATTGAGCACCACCGGTATATCCCCTATATCCTTCGCATGGAATATGCTGAACCGCTAATTGGATGTGCAACATGAAACGGAAGGATAAGGACAAGTTCAGTACCAGTTCTCTTGGAAATAGATATGATGTGCTGATGAAAGAACGCACAGAAAGTGTGCGGTTTACCTTTTGCGCGTCAAAGGGCTCATTCTTGGGTACAACAATCTTCAGCCACTCCAAAATCTTATCCAGAGATCGTCCAACAGTCCATGTCTGTTTCGTAGCAAGAAACATGCGGCAGGGCAAATTAGTCAAAGTATCAGGAACAAGTATATCGACAAAACAAAATCAGCGGTAGAGAAAAATGATACCTTGTCGATATAAACAGCCTTGTCATCCAGATGCGGAAACGTGGGCGATCGTATTGATACATAGATTCTCGAGCTAAGCGGGACCTTGTCTTCGCCCTGCAGATCAACGTCCCGAAGAACAAAATAAAAAGACCGGTCAGTCCAAAGAGGTTCCAGAAGGTGCTTACAATAAACTAACTTAGAGTATGTTCGTTACCTGCGCAATCTTCTTTAGCTTCATCACCGAGACCACCCTTGACGCCTTCTTGACCTTCGGTGGTGTCGATGCCATCGTCTTCGTCGTTGATGTCGGCCCGCCTGCTTCTGCTGCTACCCCTGTGCCAGCTGCATTATTCCTTGCCGCAACCTTTGCTTTCGCCTCCGCAATCGCCGCCTTGGCCTTCTCGGCTCTCTCCCTCTTCTTCTCCTCCTCATTTTGGCCCTCCCCACCTTCCTTCCTCGCTTTGGCCTTCCCATCGCCCGGTACAATCCCAAACTTCTCCTTGATCTCCGCCCCGAGATCTTTCTTCCGCTGCATCTCCGCCTCCGCCTGCCGTTTGCGGTCTCCGATTTTCGAACACGCATGGTCAACAGCATGTCGGTGTGCTAAACAAAAAGTAACGCCGCAATCAGGACACGTCTGGACGACACGGTCCCGCCGCTTGCATCGCGGTGCGAGTCCACACAGGACCGCGATCGAGTGGACGGGTGGAAGCAGGTGGGTCGTGCAGCCGGAACTTTGATGTTCGGTCAACTGTTTGTCCAATTCGTACCCGCCCGCATAAGAAAGATAGTTCGTTAGTCAACCTCGTTTTCCTCCATGGTATCCATCCATAGCATAGCGCTCAGAAAAGTTGCCAATTGAACCATCGCCATGACACTACAGCCAATCAACAATAGCGGCAACAAAGGTACCGATAAAAATAACGAATCGAAAAAAAAAAAAGAAAAAAACCCCCCCCCCTTACAATAGTTTTAGGATCCTGCAGCTTAGGCACAAGCACCATCTTCTGGCAGACCTCACAGACTTCAACCGAGTTCGCGTACGAGTTCATCGACCAGTTCGTACAATCATGGTCCTGTGGGAGCCGATGGGTCCCACAGAAGGTGCTCCCGCAGAAAGAACATTCGAACGGAAGGAACGAGTGCGATTGACAGGATACAAAGGCACAATTCGCACCCACCGACGGGAACTCCATCGTGAAGCAATGAGGAATAAAAGGTGGGTAGGTGCTGGCGAAGGAAGGGAAAAGGAAGGGGGGGAGGGGGGACAATGGCGGAGGTGGAGGCGATGAGCAAAATGGTGAGAGTGAAGGAATTGCGCATGTTTCGACCCCGAAGGAAAACGCGTCGCGTGACGTAATTTAGCTCAGCGCGCGACGTGTTCTGTACGCGTTTCACAATCAGATATAGACCGCGTTTTACGACTCGGCAGAAAGAAGACGAGTTTTGTGATGTATATTTATTTATTTTTACTACGCTGCCAGCTTCCAACTTCGGATTGCCGTGGTAAGGGGAAAAAAAAAAAGGAAAAGAGGGTATAAATGAAACAAAGAAAAGAAGAGAGAGAGAAAAAAAAAAGATCTAAGCAGGGGGGAGATATGGATAGCAATACAAGGCTGCAGCATACAAGATAGAAAACAATGAAGAGAAAAAAAGAAAAAAAGAAAAAAAGAAAAATACAAAGATAGGGTTTGTTTCTAAAGGTCAGGAAAAGAAGGCTATGGTAACAACGAGCAACAGCAAAGACAAGGACTACTGTAATAAAAAACTATTTTTTTTTTGTGAATGAATGTTAGTGTGTGTATGTGTGTGTTAGGTATTCACAAAGTCAAATCGGCAACTCAAGAGTGAATATGCTGGGTATTCGAGAACGGCCCCATCATCGATCCGCCATGGAACTTGCCCCCCTGCTGGTTCTGGGGGCCTTGACCGAAAGGTGCCGATCCATGTCCATTACCCATCATCGATCGCAACATCGTATTATCGACCAACGTGTCCTCATGCTCCTCATCATCGTCCTCCTGCAGGCTCAAGTTCGTTGCCATATTCGCCTGTGCGTATCGACCCAACCCAATATTGCTGCTGCTACTGCTGTTCATCTGGTTGTTGTTGTTGTTGTTGCTGCTGCTGCTCACGCTCTCAATCAGGGACTCCAAACTCCCCTGAAATTTGCCTCCGCCGTTACCGCCGGCACCACCACGCTGCGCCGAACTCGGGAAAGGCTCATACCCTGACTTTGTCATCCCCCCAAACTGCTGCTGCTGTCCTCCACGATACTGCTGCTGCGTCTGTTGTCGCTGCTGCTGAGTCTGCTGGTGTCGCTGTTGACTCTGTCCGAATGGAAACTGCTGCTGCTGGAGTCCACGACGATGACCGTACTGGCTATGATCATCCGAGTCCTCGCTATCATCATCCCGGCTACCGCGATGTTCATGGCGCCCGGATCCGCGCATCGGAGCCTCCTGATGCGACTTTTGCTGTTGCTGCTGCTGTGAATGCTGCGACTGCTGCTCCCACGACATATCATCGTCCGGGAACAACGGCTGCATCTGATGCTGCAGCATCTCGAGCTCCGTCTTGATCCCGCGCAAAATAATCCGGTCCTGGCCGTGATCGGCCTCCGCGCGAGTCATGCCCATGAGCTTCAGCTGATCGACCTCGTTAAACTGCTGCATCATCTTGATCTCCATCCCCATCTGGAGATCCTGGCGCATCGACGCAATCTCTTGGAGCGAATGCGTCCACAAGGCCTTGTAGTGCTCCTTATAGTTGTTCGCGAACGTCACGTCGTTCATCAGCTTGCTGTTCGTTGACTCGAGTTCCGCAATCGTCTGATGAAGATTGTTCACGCTCGTCATGTTAATATGGGCCGGGTGCTCCTGTCGGTACTGGTTAAATTCGGCCTCCAACAGCTGGTTCTGTCGCTGCAGGGCTCGGAACCGATCCTGGAGCAAAAAGAAATCCTGAGGGGCTGGGTTGCTTCCCATCATGGACTGGTTGCCGTTGCCGTTGGCGGCACTCGACGACTTCTGCATCACAAATGGTTGGTCTGGGTGCTGGAACGCACCCTGAGAGTATCCATGGCGATCCAGAACCTTTTGGAAGTTGGTCTGCTGACGCTGAAGGGCCTCCTCCGCACGCAACAGCTTGCGCTCTCGGAACTCAAGCGCAATCAACTGCTTCTGGACTTGGTAATCCAGTGCCTTGAGATCCTTCATCTTCTGCTTCGCCTGCTGTGCAATCATGTCCTCGGCATTGTCCTTGCTGTCAAACATGTCAAGAGTCGTACTGGGGCGTGTGGACTTGTCCGCCTGCAGTGTCTGCTGGAGAGAATGGGGCAAGCTCGAGATCGGCGACCGACGGAGCAGATCGTACTCAACCTGACGGTTGAGCTCGACCTGCTTAGCAAGCTGCTGCTTCAACGCCATCTGGTAGTCCATGGGGGGGTCGTTCTTTCCAGATGGGCTCGAGGGCTTGCCATAGGGGTGGTGGTGGTGAGGATGGCTGTTCTGGTGGGCCTGCGAAAGGTGGCGGACCTGCGAGAGACGAACAGAAACGGGTCGCTGACTGTTTCGTCCAGGGGTCGCCGAAGTCTCCATGCGATCGTGGTCACTGTATCCCTCCGCAAAGTGCGAAACAGGGTGCTGATGTCTTTGGGAGCGATCATCATCCTGTTCTGAAGACATAACCTCGTAGCTGCTGCCTCTTGGATGGAAACCATACTGTGGCTCGGGCCCGCTGCTGGCCAGGTCATCCGAGATTCCTCTTGAGTGGTGCTGATGGTGGAGCTCCATCGAGTGAATGGGCGTGGTCGATAGGATCTCGCTCTGTTGGCTGTCAAAGTACTCGCCAAGATCCTCCAGGGAGCAAGCAAACTGAATCTCACCGACTGGGTTGCTTCCACCCTCCAGGACTACCACAAAACTTGATTGGAGACGTTGGATGCGGCCCTCAGAGGACGGGGACGCTCCCTCATCCAAAATATCGATCAGATGGATCTGGCCCGAGGCATGCAAGACATTCTGGTGGGTCTCGGGGTGCTGGCACCAGACTTCGACAACCAACGGGGTCTTGAGTTGATTACGGAGGGCTTCTGGTGTCTGGCACAGCTGGAATGTACGGCGCGCATCAGGCAATGAGGTAGGGACCAAACGAGACACACTGACAGGGGGCTGGGTCGACTTGGGTCCAAATGGCCTGTAGTTGTACCGCAGAGAAACGTTGGACAAGTTCCGGGAGAGCGACTTGAACGAAGTCAACTCAATCGAAAACTTGTAGTCATGTCGACGTGGGGAGCGAGAAGAGCTGGAAGAAGCGACATTGCGGGACATGTCAACCTCGATGCCCGGAGGTCTGATGATCCTTCTCGGGGATGAGCCCTGCGACGAGCGACGGATGGCCGGTGTGCTTGGGACAGAGAGCGTGTTCAGATCGCGAGTGACGTGCATGCCGACCTGGATGAAGGCGATCTCAGATGGCGAGGGCTTGGAACCCATCTCGTTCGATTGAAGAGCGGCCTGGAACGGGTAGAACTGGGGGCTGGCATGGAACAGGTTCGCGGTTCCGTGCAGGAGAATGACGGCCAAGGGGATCGTGGCTGTACCGATGAGATTCGCCTCGTGGCAGAGGTTGATCACTAACTCTTCGCCATCTCTGAAGTGTTGGTACATCGACTCCATGGATGACTTTAGCCTCAGGGCGATCTCCTCAATAGGAGTACCTTCGGCAGCGTTGCTGAGGAACTGAGTAGCAACGTTGTTGCCGAGGAAGCTATAGTAAAGGTAGAGACCCTTCTCGACAGCCTTGACACCCTTATCTTGTGAGGCTGCATAGCGTTCAACAAGGCTGCCCATATTCCGGGCGGTCTGGATTGTGATTGTAAAGATGAAGAAATCTCTACCGAGACCAAGCTGAAGGAAACCCTTGTCGTTGACTTCGGTAGGGATCAATGCCTCGCCAATGTCGACGGGAATATCCATTTGCATGGACTCGTCGGCATCAAACTCGGGTACATCGATATCATGATCATCGTCCCTGGAGTGGTAGAAGGACTTGTCACCGACAGAGGGTACGTGTGCGTCTTGATCGTCATCCTCGTACTGATCCTCGGTCTCGTCTTCCTCCTCGAGACCATGGAGCATGGCCTTGCTGAGGCGCTTCTGATGTTGCTCCAGGTGCTCGACATCCTCAGAACCAGAGGTGGACTCGATACTGGTCAAGAGGGTGTCGATCGTGGGGGTGACTTCTGAGATACCATCATCGATGGTAAAGGCAATCTTGAGCTCGGGCTGCAAGCCGCGGAAACCGGCAGTATCAGAACCGGTCAGGGTCGTCCACTGCTCCTCTGCGGACTCGGGCTCGAATGCTGAGGATAGGTCAAGAATGACATGGCCCAAGGACTCCTCCTCGTTCGTCTTTTGATTGATCGAGAAGCAGTTGAGCTTCAGGGACGCACGCTCGATGCGGAGGATGTCAAGGACCTCCGCGTCGAGATCCCAGGCGAGCTCTGTGTCCCAGATTGGGTAGGGCGTCTGCTCGACGGGATCAGTGCTGAGAACCTCTGGATAGGAATGGCTATTAGTCTCTGGGTTCTCGATGAAGAGGGCGTCGTTAAACTGGCACTGCACCAACAGTTGGCAGTCTGGGTCCCGGATGAAGTAGCGGCCTAGAAAGATACGAGAACGGAGCAATACGATTGGTCAGTCAAACACGCGTCAGGAACGAAACGAATGCGTCTAGTCTAAATATAACCAACGGTCGATGGGATGGGATAAGATGGAATAGGAGCAGATTGGAATGGATGTGGCTATGGTTCCCTTCCCTTCCCTTTCCCTTTCCGTTGCTGGACCCTCCCACCGCACACCCATGGATGCAATAGATAGCCATGTACAAGCGAGGATATGCGCGTGGCTGCAATGAAAATAAAAATGAACAAACAGGGATGTGGGGTTATGTATCTCTGTGCCCCAGGAGAGGGGGTTGGGGTATCTATGAATAGCAGCGCGTTCATATAATCCATTGTGGAAGCATCCCTCCCCGTCCTACACAGCACCCCGGTCGCCGGATATTTTTTTTCTCATTTACAGTTAACTCCTCTACACACGATCACCTATCGCAACACACGCGCTTTGGTGCTTTTCTTTTCCTCGACGGTACCCTTTGCTGTCTTTGTTTTGTTGTCAGTCTGCCTTTTGTTGCAATGCCCTGCATTGACAAGCGGCATTGCGCACATCGTCCTTGTAGATATCAATTTTTGTTGCTGATGTTGTTGTTGATGCTGTTATTGATTTTTTACTCCATGGCAAAAAGAATAAACAAATGGCTCGCCACCTTCTCGATTGCCCACCAATGCCCAAACGGGCGTGAAAGACAAAGTGTTGTCTGTCGCGCATATGATCCATATGCACAGATGCACAGATGCAGGTTTCCGAAAGACCAAAAAGAGACATCAATCCCTTCTTCAAAACAACCCTCTACTTGCCCTACCCTAATCTCGCGATGCCCTTCCCCTGTACTATCCTACACAACTCTACCCACTGTCCTCCCTTTTTCTTTTCATCTTGTACTCCTTTGTGTTCCCTCACTATTGGCTCATGCGATGAAATCATAAGAAAAAAGAAAAGTGTGGGAACACAAAGAGCCGGAAAGAGGAAGGGCAAGGAAAAAAACCCCCATTCTTGAGGAACCAAAAAAGTGGAGAGGTGAGGGCGATGACGAGAGTGAGGAAAAGATCAAAAGGGCAGATGCAAATTGAGGAGTGGAGTAGACTATTGTGTGGATGTGGGATGCGGGATCCAAAGAGAATATGAACGTGTTGAGTCCTTTGATATCACAGCGAGCAGTCGGATATGGAACTACAACTCGGTTGCTAATGCCTTAATATGCAGTAGAGCAAGGCACGGATATATATATATATATAAAAAGAAAAAAGGACAAGGACAAGGAAGATGGGACGTGAACAAGTCCTATAAACTCAATTGGATCGTTAAAAAAATAGGTTACTTGTTAGATTGAAACTCACCTTCGACAATGGTCACCAGAATGGTATATCTCGGCGTGGGGCTGGTCATCCTTGATTCTGATTGCATAATAGATTGTGAGACTGATGAGACTGGCTGGTACGGAGGCGAGGAAGGTCCCCTAAGGGTGTGTTATCGCGTGCGATGGAGTGCGTCGGGTATAGGGAGTCGGAAGATCTGAACTGGTGCGTGAATAGTGAAGAGCGGACGGTAGGCGTGTGGGGTATACGTGCGAATCGAGTGGGCGAGAGGGCGAGAGATGGACGGGGATTGGAGGGGAGTGATGGGAAGATATCGCGAGAGATGCGGAGTGGGACGGCACAGAAGATTAGCGAGAGAAGGGGGATTGAGGGATAGGATAGAAGGGATAGGAGGAGGAAGGTATAGAGATAGAAGGAATAGGGCGTGGATGTAAAGCGATCGGGTGGGAGTGAGAGTAAGAGAGTGAGAGAAGTATATTAAGTATTAGAGATTAGGGATTAGAATATTATACATATACAGGTAGGAAGGTGATCAGAACTGAACAGGAAGGTAATGAGGGAGAGGGATGAAGAAGAAGAGAAGAAAAGAAAAGAAAAGAGATTGGAGATCGGTTGTGGGTGATGGAGCAATGGTCGAATGGGTCCTCGTCCCTCCCCCCACTCGCCGCTTTCCCCTACAATGTGCATGGTACCATTGCCATAAAATATGCACACTCTCACTCAGTCCGATTACGGGAAAAGGGAAGAAAGTTCTCACTCGAGGAAAATACGAGTCTGGACAAGGAACGAGGAACAAGGGTCATATGCAAATCATGACCCATAGGAATATGGGTTCGATAGGTGATGGGGCAGCGGGTCTCGGGTATCTCTCCAGAGACTTCTACACCAGATAATCCCCTGACACTCCACGTGGTGCCAGCGCTTCCCTTCCTTTGCGCCTTATCGTGCTTCGATTACAATGGCAATGTATGCCGCCATGAAAGATGCCGATGCCAAGTCCCGTCCTCTTTTTTCTTTCACTACCCTCGGAAACAATGTGCTGTAGCCAAAGGACGAAGCGAAAGTGCGTACAAACAGAAGGAGTATTGGTGTTGGATAAATCAGGAAAGCATACATGCAGCCCAGATGGGTAACCACCACAACAATACAAAAAAAAAAAAAAAAAAGGCGTGACCCATTCAATGAAGGCTGTGAGATGTTACGACAATGAGAAAAAAACAACAGACACGCAATGGATGTCCTCATCAAGGTCTCCTCGAAGAGAACAGATGATACATCGCGAGGAGATGGCCGAGTAAGTGGCGTGGGCATGGTCGGATGTGTAAAGTTAGGGAGACCCATCATCCGCGGGAAGCGAAAGCGGGGCAGGAAAAAAAAAAAAAAAGGTGCGCAAAAAATTAAGGTCCTTGAAACGAAGGATTGAAGGAAGGGCTTCAGGGTTGTGGGCATGCCATTGCATTGGATGCTGGCGGAGCGAGATAGGGTTCTCACAAGACAGCATGGAATGCTGGCATCGAAAAAATAGGGAAGAAGCCCATTGGAGAAGGCCTTACGGGAACAGGGTATCGTTTCAAGAAAAAAAAAAAAAGCTGCGCGCGGCATGTGTGATGATGGTAAGTGTTGCTGACAAGAGGCAGGAGGAAGGAGGAATGGACGAGCAATTGGTCCAGGGCAGGTGCATTGTCGGCACTGTTGGCATAAGGACCATCTGGTAATGGGTGGTCGGGATGATTTGTGGATGCATGCATTGGTCTGGTCAGAGAGGGGGGATGTTGGGGTCAAAATGGGAAAGGTGGGAAGAAGACAAAGGACGACGGTATGGGATACCGTAATAAACTTACTGTTGGTCCGTGACAGCAGAGAGGGATGCACGGTATCTTTTCCTTTTTATGGTCGGGCCGCGGAGGTGCTTTGGATGGAGAATGGGCGGGTCGACGTTCTGCGGGAAGACGGGAGTTTAGGGTGATGACAAACAAGTGGCTGCAAGATGGGCGTTGGGAATGGACGTGCAGAGGCGGGGGGGAAATGTATAAAAGGCTGCTGTGTTTTCGTTAACTTTTCTTTTGATCGATTGGTAATGGCGAGTTGTTGTTCGTTTCGTTGCAATGGGTCGTTAATGGAGCGAATGAGTGAGTGAATGAGTATGTGTTAGGCTGTGGTTGCTGTTTCCTGTCCAAGGATGTATGGGGTCGTTAATGAAGTGTGAGGGAAGGTCGTAATCGTTAACGGTGCGGGGGGGAAGGTGTGAGGGAGAGTCGTTAAGAAAATAATAAAGGTGTGAAGAGAGGAAAAGAGGGTCGTTACAGGGAAGTGAGAGATAAAAGGAAAAAGAGCGGGGGGGACAGATGGAGTGCGAACCCGGACAGGCGACCTGAGGGGGTATGACAGTTGCCAGCAGTTAATTCACCTGCAGGGGCGGAGAAAGTTCGTCGCTGAGCGGCACCTCTTCAACCAAATTGTTTATAATCTTGCAGCGAGGAGTACCAAAAAAAAGGAGAGAAATGAAAATAACAACTGCTTGTTACAACAATTCAGCGCGGTGACCGACACGGCAAGCCAAGTCTGAGTGTCAACTGTCAACGGATATTACTTCAGTATGGAGTAATAATCGGTAGGACACCGTAATGTCGCACGACAGCGAGAGAAGCGGCCGGGTGTATCTCTGACGATAATATGAATTAGAGTGAATGGGATCTAGATAGCAAAGTAAGCGCGGGCTTGTATGATATTAATAACCTTGATAATAATGAGCATGAGGATATGGAAAGTGGGAATGAGAGTATGAAGTATATGACGGGGCTCACTCCTCTCTTTACTTTCTTCTTTGTTTTTTTTTGGCACTAGGATGGCGAATGCTCTCGTCCTCACTCTTTTTTTTCTTCTTCTTCTAATTGTTCTTGTCTCGTATGTAAACAACAAAAGGTTGCAGAGACGGCGGTCTAATAAACCTGTGCCTGCTGCAAAGAAAAGACGAGGAATAGAACCATTAAAGAACGTGGCAAACAAACATACCTGGACGTCCTCTTACGGAACGGGCAATAAATGGCAATCAGAATTTTCACCCAAAGAGATTGGTCGCCCAAGATGGAAACAACGAAGTGAGATATCTATGTGTACGAAAAAGGGGAGGGGGTTCAGCCTCGGGCCCACTATGCGACGAAACACGGTTTCGTTTACAAACAGCCACTATGCACTGATTGTCAGGCGCACACTGGCATACAAAGGGCCTTAATGAATCAGAAACCCACCGAGCCACACCAAAAGACGCGCGTGCACGATACGAAACTAGAGTGAGGAATCGAGGATCTCGGCAAGCAGGCTAGATCTGATGGAGTGTAGCTAAATGGAACAAGTGAGTTCGATCTGGACAAACTATACGGGGCGGTGATACAGATAATTTGCCGGGAAAGAAGGGCTGAAGTCCTAGAGGAGCTTTGTGCATGCGAGGGTGAAAGGAATCAATGAGGATGATGAAATACTCTTGGTGTGGAGGGGAAGGGAACAAAAGGGACTAAAGTGTAGGAAGATGGAGGTCCTCCAACATGCGAAACCAAGGGCAGAGTTTCTTTTACATTCCCTTGCCTTACCCTCCTTTTTATACCACCCCGTCTCGGATATCGCGAACACCTCTGTTCGCGTTTCCTCAGCGACATGTGCATCGCCTCTTGTTGGTTATCCATTCCGACAATCAAAGAAGAGCACATAATGTTTGATTTGCTATACAAGTGTAATCCCCGAGTTTGCCTCATCTGACCCTTTTCTTGCCTATATACTAGCCCCCCTCTGTGCTGTATCTTCTCCCCCAGCACTGTTAGGGCCTGTTGTATATAAATCCAGGGAATGGGTAAGCGTACCAAGAATGTGAGCACACCAAGGACAGAGGTGCTATTTGTGGGGGATGACTTTTCACACGAAGAGGGAGCACTTGTTCTAAGTGCAATCCCGTCCATTGCCACGACCCAAGGAGGTGGCAACACTCAAAATAAAATAAGAATGAGAGTAGCTTCGAAACGTTTGCTCCCACAATGTCTGTTCGCTCTGCCGCTGCTCCCAGAGTTGTCCTCAAACAAAAAAGCATCGTTTTGGGCGAAATGCAACAAGAAGCTGTTAAAAAAATCCAGGGGTAAGGTTGCAAACAGGGGGAGGGGGAAGGGGAAAGGGGGAATAGGGGGAAATGGACCTGCATGGGCGTTTCGAAGCAAGCCTATGCTTAGCCTAGCTTGCATACATTCGTGTTCATCTCCGACCCAACTTGCAGCAGAGGCGTCATACACATCTTTTGTGGTTGTCATATTACCGTTGTTTGCAGCATGTGCGTAGCACAAGGCCCATGCTCACTCTCATCGCACACGTATTCAAAAGTCAAAACTCTCATGACCCATGACCCATCTATTTATCTATTTGGACCATCTCATTCCGATCCGATGTCCAGTGCACAGGTCCAATAATCTACGCAAATGCAAAATACGGGCGGCTAGACTGGTCCATTGTCCTCTTTCCCATGATTCTTCACATTTCTGCAACTGATCGGGCGCCAATACATGGATATGTCGGCTTTAACATGACCAATGCGTACTGCAGCACTGTACATGTATATCCATGGCCCACTCGGCGTAAAATTAACAAACCCCCCACCTCCCCATATTTTTTTTTTTTTTCTTTTTTGGGACATCACGGCATCCTCGTACTTTGAGAGTTTTGTTTTTCCGATTCTCGCTGGGCCATCGTTCTCCCTCAATGGGTGGATGGATGTACGCCAACATGAAAGACATTTAATATTCCCCAAAAAGTACATGGTGAAAAAAAGGCCAAGGCGAGCTTGTAAAGCCATATGGCAACTCGGCTCTCGCCTTTCTGAGACCAGGAAGACGACAAGGATGTCAAAGAAAATGTGCTATATGTGGTTGGATGTACATGAACGCGCGCATGCAAGCCAGTGTATGGTGTGGGGGATGAACAAATTGGGGAAATGAAATGCTTCGACGGACAAATAACAGCGAGGAGGATTGATTTTCGACATGTGCCTTAATTCTTATATATCCCCTCGACTTACTTTTAAGAGGAGGAACGTACAATTCGAGAGAGGGAAAGAGAGAGTGAGAAAGAAAGAAGCTGGCTAACAAAGGACATAATACGGCAACCACAATAGATAAAAGAATGAGCAGAAAGCACTCATCATGCTGGTCGTTTATAATGATGCAGACATTAAATGCATTCGTCCTTCTTTTTACCTGTTTGGAGGGTAGAAAGTATGAGGAGGAATAACATCGATAAGGGTTCGTGTCATCATTAGGCTTTATATGTCTCTTGGAGTGCAGCCCAACACTCACTCTGTACAGCGATGAAATGATGGATAGGCATTGAGAGTATCCACACATGAAAGTGCCTGTTTGAAAATTCAGCTGCGGCCTGTGCACTATGTATTCATATCCCACCATCGACATGTGCCCAATGTTCCATGGTTTGACACGCGCATGGCCATGTTAAAGTCATCGTGCGCCGAGAAATGAAAGCCAAAAAGACACCCTCTGATACTCAGAAAGAATAAACCCTATTGTCATGCATACGGTACCTTGTCACTTTCTTAAGACGGACTCTTTTTCTCTATTGCACTACAAAAGATCGTTGCATGAGGCCGCTGCTATACTAGCATATGGGTATAGTGTGTCAGGGCAAGGTAAATGATTGTCTACTGACCCTTCACTCGCCATGTGGATTTTTTTTCCTTTATGCGCACGCACATTTGTTCTGTGCGCGTAGTGCCGACAAGAATCAGCCATCGATTGCAGTGCGAGAGAAATGTTTGTTGTCCCCTCCCCCTTCTTTCGCTTATTCTATCATTACAACTATCGCTCTCATATCGGGGTTTGTTCTACAGTACAATTTAGAGATGTTTGCAAGATAGATACTACCCAGCTCTGGTCTATCAGTTCCGGTCTGATCTGTTATCGCCTACAGCTTTCCTTCTCTGCTCCTCCTGTTAGCCACTCCCCCATCATCCACTAAACGTCATCCTCATCTATCTCCTGTCGTAATCTACCAGAGCCGATTGAATCGCATACTGAGCCCATCGCGTGGGATCCACAGACAGGTGATCCAGTTTTTTTATCCTGACAAGTTGCCTCAGAATCAATTTCAGGTTGTTCTTCCCAGTCTACAGACATACAGATCCAAATGCCATAGGTTCTGTCACGCCCAATCTTATGAGTCTAGCATCACCACTGTCGCTCGCCTCTGCACCAGCGATATCTTGAGCGCCCAGTATATCTGTGATGGAATCCTCTAGTTTTAGGCAAGACATCAGGATCCGGTGATCCATCGCACCAATCGCACCCTTGCAGATCTCGGTATGAAGCAGTGCCAGGGTCCAAAGGTAGCGAGCAAGTGCCAGAATCGTCTGATGGAAAATCGACATATTCTAGAGGTGTCAAATCTCCCAGAGAAATGTTCAATGGTTTATCGTACAGGTGAAGATGTCGAGTATAGTCTCCTTTGTTGTGCTTCCTTCTGGTGCTATGGGTCCATTAAAGATTCAAATGATGAATGGGGTATAAAAGTGCCGTTCCAGCTTTTGTAGACTGCAACCGCAGAAGCGAGCTGAGATTAGTCGAGGAACTTTGGTTGAGTGGTCTTGAATCTTTTGAAGGCTCGTATTGTTTGATCGCTAGTAGGTGGGAATTGGCCGAGGGATGAGGAGTAAAGGACGATGAGAGGCGGAATCCTAGAGGAATGAGGGAGAGACGATTGTTTTTTTTTTGCGTCCCTGGATACTTTTATAACCTGTGTATTCATCGCTGCCGTGCCATGACTAAACTGGGCTACATAGTTTTAAAGCTCAGTTCTCCCTGTTCAAGCTAGCACGTCCATTACTATCGTGGAACGCGTTTATGGCAAGGGGAGAAATCACCCCCTGGGTTTCCGAGCTTATTTGTCTCAGTCATTGAGCGCTGAACGCATTTTTTTTATCGGCAACACCAAACGATACTAGGTATTACACTTGAGACGCACATGCTAGACATACAAACAGCGTTAAAGCCTTGGACGTATTGCAATTGAGTCATTGGGAACGTCCTCCTTGTGAGTTTTACAAGGCGGCATATACATCCGTGTTGAAACCACAGATATCCTCGCGATGGCGCTTCATGCATGTTGTGATCCCGGAACGATTTATTGCTGTGCAACGTCCTAATGTTCGGTTTCTGGGCACCTTAGAAAGCGAATCAGGGTACAAATGAGGGCCTCCATATCAGCCCCTGTCATCTTTCTCATCCTCCTCATCTCCTTCTTCTTCCTCTTCGTCACCTTCCACATTTTCGTTGTCGTCGTTATCGTCTTCATCCATATCGCCCTCCTCATCCTCGAACTCATCAAGCTCCGCAGTCCAAACTTCATATTCATCATCCCCCTCACTCCAATCCTCCTCCTCATCCTCCTCTTCCTCTTCCTCCTCCTCCTCACTGTCGCCATCATAGACCTCAATTGAACCCCCTCTCAGGGTCCACAGGATCATCTTTAGTTTATTTCTCCGCTCAGGCAAGTGGTGTAAAGACCCTTCGATTCGGCGCAAGCGCGGCCACGCTTCCACCATCCACCGAACGTCCATCTCGTCCATCTGCTGCCGTATCCCAGCGAAGCACAATACTTCCAGGTACTTCAAGCTAGAGAGCATATCTAATCCAGCCTCAATCCTCAAGTCGATTCCATCCTGGGAATTCCCCCGGTTGAAGTTTCGCGGAAAAATCTCCAAGGTTCTTAGTTCCTTCAACCGTGAAAGCTGCCTGAACACCTGCCGATGCCACTCGATCGGTTTGCCTTGCAGTCCGCAAATATAGATGTCCAAAATCCGCAGCTTCAGGTAAATCCAGTCCTTAGAATTACACTTTCGTTCCTCGACAGCAGTGTCGTCGTCCTCAGCACGAAGACCCAGGATGTCTCGGGCGTCCAGAAAGTCCGCGCGAAACTCAATCAATTCTGGACAAGAGGTCAAGATCTTATGAGAGATCGCGCTAGTCACTTGAAGGCACCATTGGAGGTTAACAGAAGTCAACTGCGGAAAATGGCGAGCGAGAGATTGGAAGGCCTCATGGCTGAATAGGGAGTCCTCAAAAGAGAACGCGGTCAACCGGGGGCAACTATTCAAGATCATGGCGATGTCCGTGTCCGGCAGCGAATCTTTTCGCAGGCGTAACGCGTCAAGCAAAGGGCAAGATTTCGAGAAAAGCTCGCAAATGGCTGCTGTTGGTGTGTGCTCGTTATTGTCCAGGAACCATCTCAGCGATCGTAATCAGGGACACCTTTGGATGATCTCGAGTTGGTGATTCTGTGATAGGCTTTCATCGAGGTTGAGGTCTAATACTTGCATCTCAGGGAATTCGGGCCACCTGTCCAGTGAGTGAGGGTCGGTAGTGTCGCCTCCGTAAATGATCAATTGCTCCAGACGAACGGCTGTGTCCAGCAAGAGGCTCATGCTACGTTTATCGGGTAGCTTGATAAACATGAGATTGAGCACCCTCAGCTTCTGACAAGAGTGCACCGCCGACATGAAGCCGTATGATGGTTCGCCGCTATTCAAGCGCACTGTCACGTTGGTAAGACCTGGGTTTTTGCGGATAATAATCGCCAGATCATCGTAATCGTCCGAACCGAAGATCCGAAATTCAGCGCGCAGAGTGTGAAGGTTCCCACACAGCTCGTAGGGATAAATCCTTTGACTTTCTGATATGAAAAGTGTTCGAACATATTTCCCGTGAGTCTCCAGAGCCGAGTAGTCGGGCGCCCACTCATCTTCAGACAATTCGATCTTTGAGAATAAGAAAGGTGCGAACGAGGCGTTCCAGCTCTTGCAGACGCTAGCAGCGGAAGCGAGCTGAGACTTGTCGAGGAATTGGGCCAAATGGTGTCGAATATCCGGGAGGTCCATGTTTTGCTTTTTCGGTGCCCTGTGGTGTTCAAGGAGTGGAGCAAGGCGACGAAGCGTGAGAATGGCGCGATGAGAAAGCAGAATGAGAGGTCGGATCTGGCGCCAGGATGCATCAATTTTGTGTGTGAGAGATCACTGGGCATGTCTAACCTATTCCGTCTCATTCAAAATTGAACGCATTTTATATTTATTACCAAATCCAGTGGTTTAAGAAGACTCGCTTAGACCACCCCATGAATGAGCCTGGCTTTCTGGGCTTTTTTTTTTTTTTTTGCTATTTCCTTGGCATGGGCAATCTAAGAGTATTGAATCACTCATATACCCGCAACGCCATGGAGACACCTTGATCAACGCCAAGAATCATTCATCCGCCGAAAAACCCAACTCTCGAGGTCATTATCGTCCCTGCCATGGCCAATACTGATTGACGCGTACAACTTGAATCCCTCGGCCTTGAAGTTGGCAATGATCTGTGCCAGCATCATCCGGGCATAGACAGACTCGTCGCCCTTTGCATCGAAGGGATTACCCTGCAACTTGATTTCATACGATCCGCAGTAGTCCTGCTCTGCTTGAATGCTTTACAAAAAATAAAAAAATAAAAAGGACACTATCCGTTAGTTTATGCTAGATGCGACTGAAAATAAATTGTAGGAGATCTGGATAACCACGGATGTGGATCTAAGCAACATACCCATATTTCCATTGTGTAGCAATCGCCCGCTTGATTACCTCCACCATCCTGAACATGACCTGTGGTACCTGTTGACTGATGATCCTTATCCTGTCCGACCGATTAAAGCCCACTGTGAACAACTCGACCTCCCTCAATTCATACATTTCCATCCCATCCCCTTCTCTTCCCATGGCTGTTGCTTCAGATCTTCCAGAGTTCGAGCTCGACGCCGACAGCACTCCTGCGGGAGGCTCTGAATATTCGAAGAACAGCGTGTCCTTGTCATGGATCCGCTTGCTGACATCAGTCGACTGTAGCAGGTCCCACCCGGCCTTTGCCATCGTGTAAAGGATCCCCGCCAGAAGTCTTCGTGATCTCACAGAGTCTGGACCCTGGCCGTGCCATGGTACACCCGACAGCTTGAATTCGTGTGAGCCGGCATAGTTGGATTCCCGTTGGATAGTGCCCCAGCAGGAGAGGATCGCAGACCGCAAGAGTGGCGTGAGCGGTGCTGGGGTACCGATGAGACGGACCTTGTCGTAGCCAGTGAGGGAGATGGTGCAGATCCGGATGGGGCTTTCCTGGATAGGGGGCAGGGGCCCGTAAGATGGAGGAGGCAAGGGATCCTTGTTCATTTTGTGTGATCGCAGGAAACCTTATTTTGCAAAAAAAAAAATACGCAGTTTGTTTTTCTCTCAAGAGGAATGGGTGGACCAGGAACAATGAAGAATGAGGAAAAGATGATGAGATCTTGAACGCGCAATGGTGAGAAGGATTTCAAGGAAGACATGGCTTTCGCTAGTTTAGCTTTGGTTTGTCTTTTGCCAAGACCTACGAGCATATCATCCCTGTGACCAACAGGCGCTTTGGGGATCGTGGGCTGTAGTCTCAACAAGAGCCTTCACCGCACATGAACCACCATGGCTCGGAAGACATACGGATGCGGAATGTTCAGACTAGATCTTTTGAATACCAATGCATCAACATCTGTTATTCCTGCTTGTGAGGCCTGGCCCTGTGTAGACTCTTGTACCTAGCCGCTTTTATCACCAACCTGAACAGCGATAATACCCTGCTTTGTCCTCGACAAGAAGAACGATCGCAATCAAGCGCGTTTCTAACCCTCGCACACCACACACCCGAATGTACTGTCAGTTCTTGAGAGTCGCATGCTGTTCATGTGTGTTTTTTCTACGACATTCCCGTCAGCGGCAGCAATTCTGTCCGGCTGACGACATTCAACTGTCGCAACGTTCTTCGCTCCTCAAGTTTTACTATAATACGCTCCTCTCCCGTTCAATTCCTTTGTATATCGCTGTTTTTTTTTGTTTGACGCGTCAAAGCAACCAACATCAAACTATTGCGTCTGTTTAGTTCTCAGCGGGATAAATGTCGCGCATGGGGACGAGAGGGTCCTTGATTCTTGCAGAGGGTTGCTAAAGGAGGAGGGTAGACGATATCGATGTGAATAGCTTCGGTGACTGAGACGGCAGAGGCTAAGGGGAAGGCAACGATGGCGACAGCGACGATGAGCCCCATCATGTAAAACTTGCTATGGAAGGAGGGTGGCGAACTGAAAGCAACCTTTGTACGCGTTTCTCCACGCACTGGTTACTGTTTCGATGTGATAAACTGGTGCCTACCATTGCTGGTGCGACACCGGCTATTTTCTGGAGCTTACTGAGATAACAGCCAAAGAGCGAGGAAGAAAAAAGATGAGTATGTCGACTCAATCACCACGATTTTCTGCTTAGCTGCGAGCTGAGTAAAAGCCTATAGTAGAGCAACAGAGTGGGCTTAAATGCGCCGGATATGGGGTCCGCCGCGAACTGTAAAAAGTAACACGAATATAAATAGACACGGAACAGCATGAAAGCCATATAACGCACTAGCACAAAGGAAAGTGTTATTTGCATCGCCAACGAAAATGGAGACAGCGATAGCAGTGTAGCAACCTCAGCTGGTAATGCTTGAGCGTGTAACCACTTTTTTACTGACAAAGATGGCTGACCCGAGTCCATGGACACCTACAGGCTCCATGCAGAAGACAGTGCTAACGTGGCATCAGTTTAATCTTTGCGCGCAAACGGGCTGGTGAGTCTTGATGGCAAGACGGACCGGACCGCCCTCGTCAATTTTTTTTTTTTTTTTTCAGTGTGTCAACGCACCAACGGCGGCCAGAGCTGGTCCAGCAAGTACCCAGTTATATGTAGGTTTACTCTCAAACTGACACTCCCAGACATTGGCGATTGAAGCCAATATATTATGATGTACCCTTTAACTAAGATCTCCGTTCCAGATCTATTGCCTCGTCTCCTTGTGCGAACACATTGAGACCTTAGCACTCTGGTGCAGTGCTCATTGCGAGCACGAGACTCAGAGATGGAAAAGCTAAATGCGATATGGTCTGCTGCAGGAGCCAGTTAGGAGGTACTCGTGTACCGACTTGGCCCCAAGTGGCCCGAACCAAAATTACAGTGCACTTCCGCAACGAATAAACTTTTTTTTCAGTTGTCTTTATTCTTTGGTGTGGTCCAGCTATGACTGATGTGCCGCGAAATGTGGGATGGATATTGAAGGAAATGAAGACCCGGTGTCTCCACAAGCTGATATCGCTGCAAGGCAAGCGTGTAAATGATACTGCATCTTGCGGTTGTCACCCATCACTGCGCATGCGCTCGAACGGCATAGCTGACAAAGACTCTTGTTACTACAGCCCATGAGCCATCAGGGGTGTCTCCTCGCCCGCCGTGGGGATATAGCTCGAGTAGAAGTTTGAGACCTTTTCTACGCATTCAGCAGGCGTGCCTTCGTACACGCCCGCTTCCGCAATAGCCTTGAACAGATTCAAATGCAAAGTAGGACGGGATGCACGGGCAATCATGTCCAGGCAACGGCTACTCTCAGCCGCCAGCTGCTGCCTTTGTGCTTGGATGTCACACTGCCCTGCATCCTCATTATCCAAAAAGTTACGATCCTGAAGTAGCCTCTCCAAATCTATCCTGTGGCTATCCAGCTTGCCCTTGCGCTCTTGGATCTCCTGCATGTGCCTGTTACATCGCTTGGTGTACAGCTTGGCATGATAGGTGCCGTAGTGAAAGGATTGCCTGGTCAGGCGTACGCTCCAAAACTTGCAACCCTCGCCGCCTCTGATCTCTTTGACATCGATTCCAAACTGGTATACGGAAATGGAGTCGATCGAGAACTCAAAGTCGGGCGACCTGAGCTCCGATTCATGTCGTGAGCCGAAAAGTACCCAGTTTTGTTCAAAGTGGACCTCGTGGATTAACTCGACATCCTCCTTGTCGTGGTTGCGGATGAACTCCTCGAGCTCTCGGATCTCGTATCGGATCTCATTGGCTTTAAAATCGATATCGCGAATGGCCTTGTCGACCTCAGAGCAGCTTTTCTTGATCTGTGCCAGCTTTTCTCTGTTCTCCTTGGCGATGAGTTCGTCGACTCTATTCATTTTTTCGGTCTTGCAGAGCTGCATATTCTGCAAAGAAACCGGCACATTGAATCTTGCGAGGAGAAGCAGGTAGCGAATGATGCGATGCCTGAGATACACACAGGCGAGTCGCTCCTCTTCTAGGTCGCAATCTATAAGAAAATGTGGAATTTTTCGTCCCATGATCCTCGCTAGATCTGCTCTCCTATCATCTATGTATCCCATCAAATCCTTGTCTTCAGGGTGTTGGGTCTTGAAGTCTACATTGGTGTGTACGAATGCAATAAGTCCATTCATGGCCGAAAAAATGTTCGAGTAGGTCCTTAGCGTGTCCTGCAGATCAGGTGTCAGTGGAACGCGTCGTGAGATTAGAATGAGAACAAGGTGGACGGCTCCAGAACGGGAAAGAGCGGAAAGGGTCTTTGCAACGTTCCGTTCGTCGCGACCGTTGGTGTCATTCAGGCCTGGAGTATCAAAGATGTGGATAACGCTTGTAGGGCGGAGAGAGGAGCAGTCAAGGCGAAGCTCGTAATCATCGACCCGACCAATTTTCTTCCGGTGTTCCTTGAGGGTGGGACTGCCAAGGATATCTACGATGTTCAGCTCGCGTTCCATTGGAGAGTCTTGAATGTATTGCATGACGCTGAGTGGGTGGTGAGGAGAAGTGTCGTACAGCTGGTACTCTGGAAACTGCGTCTCGATAGAGTAGGCTTGCACCTCCGAGGTATGGGAACTGTTGCCGTTTCCAATAGTTTGGTAATCGATCTTGCAGTTTGGGTCTGCATATTTTCTGACCGCCTGTACAAAAGTGCTCTTCCCGGCTTGCGTCTGGCCGAGCAGGAGGATGTTGTAGGTAGGCATGGTGTGGATTGGATCCGCATTGGAAAAGTAAGGAGCCACTGTGGTGTATGAGGGAGGGGCCGCTCTAATTTAGATCGAATGAACGAAGACGCGGTTAGAGCACCTGCTTTTGCAAGCATGAGCAGCCAAGTCCCTGCGAGTAACCCTGTTTGTCACTCACTCTTGCGTCTGGCCCGAGGCAGCCTGCTTGGCGCCTTGCTCGCCCGCACTCGTTGGATCGGGCTTATAAATAGGCGAGACTGTTTCATTCCTGCAGCAAAAAGCGACGGCCATATGCCGTTCAATGAGTGGTCAGCAACCGTAACGAAAAACAAAGAAATAAACGGGCGAACAAGCTCTGGTATACACTCACGTCTGAGGTGCTTGCGCCGGTCGAGGCTCGTTCACCACCCCAAGGATGGGCTTATGCTTGCTAGTGTGTGTTAAAGAGAGAAAGCGAAGATGAACATAGGCTCAGCCAAGTATTGCTCGTCATGTAGAGCTGGATTATCAAGAACGACTTACAGGCCAGGGTCCCTCAGACCATCGTCTGAGGATGGGGCATCAAGTGTTGATCTTGCACCCTCTGAAAGAGAGGGAAGCTCGTCCGATGGGACTAGGGCGTCTTGCTGATCACGGACGACAGAACCAATGTCTCCCTGGTGATGAATGCCCTCATCCCTAGTCCAGTGCATAGTTCTGTTAGATATTAAACGCCTTTTTCTGCAGATCCCGGTACTGCACCAGACACTGGACTCCTCTTACCCTGCAGAGTCTGCCGCGAAGGCGCGGTCGCGCGAGTCTTGTTCGCCCCCAACGTCGTGAGCTGCTCCGATCCTTGGTCGGCAATGTAGAGATTAGTTATTAGGTGGCGTCATTTATGGCTCACTGAACTCGAATGAGCTGAATGGACGGGAAACTTACATTTTGATATAGAATAGCAAAGTGTGTGGGTGGGTTGGCCAGAAGGAAAGGAAAGGAAAGCGCTGGTGGGGGAAGGAGAAGAAAACCTTTGATCAACAAGAACTACGTACACAGGTCATGCGTGCCTCTTGATGGGCCATAACCAGTTGTGAAAGACCATTTGGACTGTGAGAAATCTATCAGCATTTGCCGACATCGGCGATAGCAGGTCGAGTAATAAAGCAGGGATGCTCATGGACGCACCATTAAAGCAGGACGACAAAGCCCGCCCAGCAGTTTGAGTGCCTGAGAGCAAGTAGCGGGAACCATGAACAGATAATCATGGAACAAGATACATAAGAAAAGCACAGCGTAAAGTAAGCTCCAGTTGAGAAGCATGTAACAGAGGAGGCAAGAATAAGGACAAGACAATGCTTTTAGGACGGTAGGGAGCCTAAGAGTACTGTTATGCGGCGCCCATGGAGGGCAAACCTCATCTTAACGTGCCCAGTCTTTGATTCCATTGTGTATAAAGCGCACTCCCTCTACATACGTCTCTCCCCCACCTTCACTCTCCCTCCCTCATCCTCTCCGCCGTCTTGTTCTGGCCAGATCAATCCCAAGGTGCCCCTCCGCCCATTCAACCTCCCAGAGCCCAGGGAACACATCAGCCTCTTCTTGAGCAAGCAAGATCTTCGCTGTATTCTCGCCTGCCAAGGATGGCATAAGACCTTCCAGCATTTACTGAGCAGCACCAACTGGTTGACCATGGCCAGTCAAGGTCGACATCAGTATAAGAGCTCAACAACCGCTGCTCAAGAGGACGACGTTTACTACTATATCTATGATAAAAAGGATAAATTGAACCGAACGTCGAGCTTTAAGCAGATATTGAAGATCCATCAACCAGTCAGTATGGTAAATCGCATGTCTGTAGAGACATATGCCACACATTTAGAGGGTCATGTTGCAAATATATAATGTAACAGTGGTTACAGGAGATAAGAATGGTGCAGCCTGTGCGCGCTAAATAATTACCTAGAGCTCCACTACTGTTATAATATAGCACACTTGCAGAGGTCTATGCAAGAAATAATTCTGAGCACCGAAGGAACACATGCTAGAGCAGCCAAGCGTTCATGGCGACGTTGCTTCTTGGCCCTTCGATGTCGGCTCTTCCTATCCTACTGAAGCAGAATTCAGTAAGCGTTGGATTGTTCACCCACTAATAGGGAACGTGAGCTGGGTTTAGACCGTCGTGAGACAGGTTAGTTTTACCCTACTGATGGAACGTTGTTGCAATAGTAATTGAACTTGGTACGAGAGGAACCGTTCATTCGGTATAATTGGTATTTGGGCCTGCCTGAGCAGGCAATGGTCCGATGCTATCGTCTGTTGGATTATGGCTGAACGCCTCTAAATCAGAATCCATGCTAGAGACGACTATTACCGCCTTTTCCGATGTCTAGTGAATACGAATAGACCCTCGGGTCCTGAATCATACTATATGGGGTCGCTTTGTGGAGTGGAAAGGCTTCATGAGGCGCCTGCTAATTTTAATTTCAAATACTGGAAGAGATAAATCCATAGCAGATGACTTTTATTGAACGGGGTGTTGTAAGCAGTAGAGTAAGCTTGCTGCGACGATCTGTTGAGATTAAGCCCATTGTTCATCCTCCATGCACCCTGAACTAATTTGTTTCACTGGACCCTGCTGCGACCCTGCGACGCACAGCAGGTCAATATAGTTTGGGGATAACGTGGTTTTATTTTTATCCCTCTTTTTTTTTTTTTCTTGCTCCGGTTTCCTTAGTTCAGGGTAATCCAAGCAGTCAAGATAGGGGTTGCCAGGAGGGGTTGCCGGGGAGGACAAGGGGAGGAGACAGGAGGGGAGGACAGGAGACGAGGTGACCAGAGGAGGATCAGGGGTGGACAGAAGAGGGGGCGGCCATAGAGCATCTTTGTAGATACAATAATCAATCAATACAAGTAAAAACCAGCAAAGACACCGGGAAAAGACCGGCGATAGGTCTTTGCGTTAGTCAGGCACTAGCGTAACGACCATGTTTCAGTAATGAGAGGAATGCCGCCTCTTCCAGTACTACGAATATCCAGCCTGGAGCCATGCGAATGCCTGCGCAAGACCCATGTAATGAATCCTGTGCAAGACCCGTGTAAACAATCCTGCACCTGAGCCGGCAGAGAAGAGAGCAAGAACGGTGTGTCCGAGAGGGAGACGATTTTATTCTCTGGCACATATTTGCTGCGCTGTACATAATAAGTTCCTCCCTCAAGTAGTGGAGCAGGAAGCCGGCGCGAAAAGTGGTAGTAGCTCTAAATATCAGACTGTCTCAATATATTAGAGCTTGCATATATTTGTTGGAATGAACATCACCTACGTACGTTATTTTGCTTGGAACGGGAAAGTTGAGAGTGATCATCATGGTTCTTGTTGGCTTTTTATTTTATACTCCAGGCTAAGGGTGTCGACGCCTGTCGCTAGGTTTTTTCCTTGTAAACCATTTGTAGACTTCTATAGGTACTTCATAACTCCCTCATGCTTTGTTGACGTACTGCAAGCATCGCCGTCTATGTTAGATGATGTGTGTTGGTCGGCATATATTTTAAGGAAATTGCTATTTGTCGACTGGTGTATTTTGATATATCACATTTTGCTATTTGTCGACTGGCGTGTACATCACTACATAGCTGCGGCACCTGTAGCGCCTCTCTTTACGCGTCAGGTAGCCATCAGCACGCGTCTACCATTGCTTATAGCATAACTGGCACACCTTGTTTGTTTGTCAATCCATCGACGCACTTGCACCTATCGTTTGACAAGTCTTTTTTTATGCGTTTATCAAATATTATAATTGCTCTACTCTATTCAGTCATCATCTGTTATCGCCTTCTTTCATTGCGAACCCCTACTGTCTTGGGATTTCTTGAGGTCTTCCTCTTTCTTGACTCCAGCCTTCACCTTGCTCTGCCTTTTCCTCTTGTTCAGCTCATTGCTACTCTCGATTCGCTTCTCCCTGGGCCTCCTTTTACCGCTGACCTTAATGGGATTCTGCATGTCGTAACTAGCACCACCGTTCCCTGCGATTTTGCCATCGAGCATGTTGACTACTCTCATAGCCAGCTCCGGATCGAAATCTGCCCTTTCCGATACCCTCTTTATCTCTCCAACGAGCTCGCCGAGCAGCTTCTTCTAGGATAGGATCTTCGGGCTTGGTCGCACCGTTCTCGCTGAAATGAAGAGGCCGTCGATTGTTCGTATGTAACCTAGTTGTCGCGCTCTTCCAGCAATGCTAATCGCTTCATTGTGAGTGGCGGGAAATACGGATGGCTCCCTAGTCAGATTGGGCTCGGCATTGTCTTGATAGCCCTCGCAAAACCATCTCTTCTTGATAAGACTTATAGGCACCTGCAATTCCTATCAACCAGTATCGCTTTAAAAAAGCGACACTAGACGAGGCCAGTATTCTGAAGGTGAAGGCATGCATAGAAGTAGAATCCGTCTTTCAAAAGCACTACATGCTGAACGCGAGCGGGATTTTGCGAAGTGGGAAACATCATAGATGCGCTCAACGCTGTGTTCTTCAAGCCGAGAAAGCATCGCGGTTAATGATACCCTGTGGTGATCCTGCTTGGTCGCATTCTCGACCAAAGTACAGCAGGTAAAGATCAACGATGGGCAACTGAGCAAAATTGGCAAGGAGATCCACAAATTACATGGAGAAAAAGAAACTTACAGCGCTATCTGCAACAGACTCTCCTGACTGAGTGTCTTTCGCTCTATAAAACAGGGACTCCCCCATTTCAGTTCCCATCTGATGCAGGGGCAAAGTTTCCAAGGTAACGCTGTGGATTTCTCTAAACAGAGCGACCCTTCCCTGCAACTACCTCGAGCATCTGTAAGAGAGAAGACATCAGACCCAGCAACGACTTGATGCTGCTGTGAAGCTGTTCAACTCTATGCGTGGATTGCATACCATCCGTGAAGTGCACTGAGACCCAAGGTCGGGTCCAGTGCTCGCGGCGGCCAAAGTCTTGTAAGGATACAAATATGCCTTGGATTCTGTGCCTGTCTTGGATGTTGCATCGACCTTGACCGCTGCATCTGCCGTGAATGTTATGTCTGCTACGGATCTTGCTTCTGCCTCGGAACCAGGACCAGCGCTCCCTAAGTGGTCAATGATTCGAGACCAGCCCCTCTCAAACTCGTCAATGGTCAAAGAGTTGTGAACACCATCGTCAAAACTAACGACAAGGCAGAGGAAGACTAAGAGGTCTCAAAGAGAGTAAGGTCCCGCAATAAAGGAAGGCGGTAACAGATGGTAGAATAGAATAGAACGTAACAAAAGCCCAGAAAAAAGGCACGTCAAACGATAGGAACAAGTACACTGATGGATTGGCAGGGAATCAAGGTGTGCCGGCTGTACTAAAAGCAGTAATATACGCGTGCTGAAGGATATTTCTCACGCGTAACGATGGGTTACGGCGCTACATGTTGTGATGTAGTGACGTTTCCGATCGAGTTCCTTCATTCAAAGGGGTGTGTGTTCCTGGAGTTGATGGTAAACGACATCCTCACTTCACAATCATGGATCCACCAACGGCGAGGACAGTCGTTGCATCCCTTGCGGCCATCACCACTGTCGTACTACTCGCTCGCACTCTCACCTCAGTGCCGGACTCGAAGACCAGGAGGCTAAAAAGTAATGGCAAGCCCAGGAACAAGAGCCGGAAGACACAGGGTATGGACGGCCACGAATACCATTGCAAGGCGATGATCTCTATATACTGCTCCCATCATGAGGTCACTGGACGCGGATACTGACGGTCTCTTGCTCTCTACTGTGTATCTTGTCTTTAGACACAGATGCTCCTCAATATGTCACAGGGCTGGTCAACGTCGGAAACACTTGCTTTATGAATGCAGTACTTCAGGTAAAGCAGCAAGGATTGCAGGAGAGGATGGTTACGTCGATCTTATAATCGGATCAGGGTACCAATACAATGCTTTTGCAACGCTCATCTGGATAGGCGCTGGCGTCTTTACCATCTCTACGGGCTTATCTTGAGGCGCGCAAGGATATCGGACATGCCCAGGACTCTATTACCCTTGCGCTCTGCGAGACCGTCGAAAGTATGTGTGCTTTCATTTCAAGAAACCCAAAAGTGCCATGCACTAAGCTTAGAGCCATCATGAAACTAACGTTTCTCAATGACAATGATAGTGCTCAACACAATGCATCGTCGCCCGACAGCAAAACGACTTGTTCGGATGGTCAGCACTGTCAAGGCGAAAGCGGCACATGTCCTTACCAGTCAACAACAGGTACCCTTCTGGCCAAATATCTCCAGTGAGGCTGTTCGAAAACTGCTCGGAAGAGTCACGTCGCGCTAACACCACGCTACCACGCTCCAACGTTTATTGATGTTCGGCTATTCGACTGAAGGATGCGCAAGAGCTGTTCCAGATTCTTTCGTCTCAAATTTCAGAAGAGCGCGAAAAGCTAGACCACCCGGGAACAGCCTCATTATTAGACCGGACGGCCGTAAGTGACATCCTGAACCCACCGCCTTCATTACCAAGGCGACTGTCTTCATCATCTGTCATGTCCTCTTCGCTGTCGTTCAGTCAACTTCAAGTACCAAAACGCGATGGGAATGCATCACCCTCCTCAGAGCCTTCCTCGCCCTCATCGCATTGTGCTGACGCCAAGGAGGAAACATCCGCCAAGAAAGAGAAAGGGGAACCCATGGCAATGACTGCCAGTTTGATCATGGACAGAAATGAACAGGAGAAGTTCAGTCGGGCCAAGAGTCCCTTCATGGGCTTACTCGCTAGTCGTGTATCCTGTGTGGATTGCGGATATACTGTAAGTATAAGTTGGAGCCCTCGAGCGCGGAGAGTTTATTCTATGTACTGAAACTAATAGATCCCTTCCATTTGGAAAGGCGGCAATTCGGCATTCGACATTCGATAATCTGTCGCTGACTGTGCCACGTCAGGTATATCATCGTCAACTGTACTCAAACTGCGCCAGAACTATGTCCATGCTTTTCTTTGACCTATTCTTCCAACGTTAATTCACAATAGTATTCTTGCAGTCTGGAAGATTGCCTCGAATCGTTTATTCATTTGGATACGATCACGGACTTCAATTGCAGGAAGTGCACAGTGTTGAAAGCAAGCAAGGATCTGGAACGCATGATTGAGCAGGGACGGAAACCCCTGGCGGGAGACGAAGCACGGCAGCGGGAGAGTCAGACTGGCTCAACTGCACCGCAAGAAAATGCAGGGGCCACCAACAACCATCCAGCAGAGTCACAGCCAGAAAATAGCGGATCTTCAAGGAGACGGTCATCAAATGGCGTTAATGGTGCTGGTAACAAAAAATCTGCCACATCAAGGATTAGTCTTGAAGAGATGGAAAAGATGAAGGAGCGTGTTGACCAGTGCCTCGCTTATGATATCGAGATGGATTTGGTATGTAATGAACGCAGCGTCATGTTTTCTCGTCATGACGAGCAGCCCAGCATGCCGCTATTTGCCACCAACTGACCTTATTATAACTTCACATGATAAATGGTGAATAGTCGCCACTTGAGTTGACACCTGTGCGATCTAATAGAACGACCAAACATTCGATGATTGCGAAACCGCCACAAGCGCTGTGTCTACATCTCAATCGATCCATGTTCACGCCTTCGGGCCAGATGACCAAGAACCCTTGCAAGGTCCTGTTTGGACCCAGACTGGATTTCACACAATTTACGACTTCAGGGCATCTAACTACCGTTGCAACAAAGAGCATGTCTCGTCGAGGGTCAGTCTCGGGACCTGGAGCAACATCAACGGCAGGCCTTGGCTCTGAAAAAGGCATCGCAACAGTACCAACTTCGGCAGGAGCGCCAGCGTCGTTGTTCTCTAGACGAGAAAGCAACGGATGCATCCCACTTTCATCACCATGGACTGCACATACGGGCTCTGGACTGATAGCAAGATCAACTCTTGGTGTGGGTAATGGTCATGGGGAAATTGCTGGCAAGGACGACGGAGGAGATGACCGGGTGGTGTACCGGCTGTGGGCAGTGATTGTTCATTTTGGTAGCCATAACTCGGGACACTTTGTGACTTACCGACGGATCCCTTCAAGTTCGACTTTCTCATCCTCCGATTCATCGGCAGCTCTACGTCGGCGCAGGAGGAAAGACGGCGTGGAAGAGAGGCAGGTGGGTGACATGGATGACCTCAACGTTGCTGACTCTGAGAAACTAACTCAGCCATCTGTACCGATGGTTACGACCGAGGACAAGTGGTGGAGGATCTCAGACGAAGACGTCCAGATTGTGGACTGGGCTGTGGTCAGAAATGCGGAAGCGTACATGCTGTTTTTTGAGAAGGAGGCATGATCATCTCTTTTTGCAGCCGCCAACAAGGACACGAGCCCTACTGCTGCTCATTGTTTTTATTATCGCATCGAGGTTAAAAATAAGAATAAAAGTACATGGCGAACGTTGATTGCCTATCATAATAGGACTAAATAAAAAAAGGGATATATGTACGAACGCGTACAAAAAAGCAAAGAAGACAATTGTGAAGCGCAAAGCTTAGGACCAGGCAGGACCAACACGACGGAAGACCCAGGACTCGACATCTTGACCTTCAGTACCGACGCTGATGTCAACAGAGGCGTACAACTTGAACCCAATTGCCCTGAGATTTGCCAATATTTGAGACAACATCATCCTGGAGACCACGGCCTCAACACCGCAAGGGACGAACGGGTTTCCGCGCAGCTTGAACTCATAGGACGTGTCGTATATTTGCTCTTGTTGAATGCTAATGGATGAGGTTTCCCCAACAAATGCATAATTAGTGTCGCTGCCCAAGAACATCTTAAATAAGACAAGGTAAAGGCGGGTAGGCCTTGTCAACGTACCCAAACTTCCACTGCGTCTGAACGGCATGCTTGATCAGTGCTGGGATATCTGCAGGCGCGTCAATCAGCCGGATCCTGTCTGTTCGATTAAAGCTCATCGCAAACATCTCAACTGCACCCACGTCGACAATGCCAGTCGCCTGCGAGACCGATTCAAAAAACAACGAGTCCTTATCGCCCTGCTTCTTCGAGACATCGGCCGCCTGGATCAAGTTCCAACCGTTCTGAGCCATAGTCCTGAGCACGCCTGTAAGCAGTCGTCTGGATCTGACGGCCTCGATGCCCTGGCCGAGCCAGGGGTTGCCCATGAGCTTGAATTCATGTGCACCCGAATAATTGGCCTCGCGCTGGATCCGGCCCCAGGAGGTAGCAATGGCCTGGCGGATCTGATGGGAGAGCTCGGGGGGTGTGCCGATAAGACGCAGTTTGTCGCATTCGTTTAGGGTGATGCAGCACACCCGTGGGGACTGCAAGTATTGAGTAGGTTGGTAGGCTGAATATGAGGGTGGCTCCTGTGGGTATCCCATGGCGAAGTACTTTTCTGAGAAGTTGAGTAGGGATAAGGTTCGTGCAAGAGAACGAGAGAAGAAATGAAAAAAAAAAAAAAAAAAAAAAAAAAAAAAGAGAGGATGAAGGAATGAAGAAAGAGTCGACAAGGCATGTGGCGATGCATGTATGAGAGAAACTATGCTTTTAAGGTTTATGTGCAAAGTCGACAAAGCAGCTTCGCCGCGCTCTAGTCTCTCTCATGTGGGTGTTGTTTTGTCTAGCTGCAAACCATCCCATACTAAAGAGCCAGATGAAAGAATTCTGAAATAACAACCAACGCTGCGTCTCCTGCGCTCATGCGGCAATGCTCTCGTTCGACACTTTGCAGCCGGTATCATTTGTTGCACACGCATGGAAGGCGCCTCGGTCCCTGCTAGGAAACGCTGAAGCTCCTCAAGACTGTACGTCCCTCTCTTCATAAATGAGTACAAGCCAACCCCTTCGGCATGCTTTGCCTGTCTCAGGTTATAGAATCTTCTGGTCTTGCCATTAGCGACACATCGCCTACAGCGCAACAACAACCTTCCTCTATCATACTATTTTATCGATTGATATGAGGAGAGGGAAAATCTCAGCATCGACCACATCAGCAAGCATGTACGACACGGAGGAAGACTAGTTCCTCAAGGACCTTCATCTACTTAACCGATGCTTACATCGACTTGGGATTAGCTCACGAATTGGATCCATCACACACTTTTATGAAGGCGGTATCCTCTTGTTGGACGAAGAACCTCAGGGTTGCTTCCATCGCCTTTGATCGCCCAGCCTTGAAACACCTGTGCCTTCCTTACAAAGCTGGACTTCAGCATTTAGACACAGCAGCCCGTGGTCCATACTATAAACGTAACTATGGGACGTCAAGTGTAAGTGCCATTCTCTTCCCGAGCCGATCTAGATAACGATGAGCATCGGTGAGCAGATGTGCTGGACCGGGCACTTTTTTCTGTCAGAAGGACTACTTTTCCACGTTTCTGGCGCGCCACACTCTGTTCTCCTGAATTAGGGGACCAAGACAATGCCTCTCTTCTGAATAGCAGCCCCATGCTGACTGCGATTGAATTTCACGGTGTGGAGTCAGGACCTCAGGCCATTGAATCGATGGTCTACCATTCTTCTTCCCTAATTTGATTTAACCTCGAGTACGCCTCCAATATAACCTGAGCCCTTGTATAATAGACCTTGTCATCCCGTCCCAAGCTGGTGGAATTCTTTGACCGGCGATTGAGGGCACAGCATATCCTCAAGGTTGCGGACGACGATCAAGAGACATTTCGTCTGCCGAAGTGGGAATTCAAGAAGTCTTTGTGTCTTTATCTGCGGATGGGTCCACAGCGTTCATCATGACGCCGATCAACTTTTGTGCCGCTTGCAAATCAGAAGAGGTTTCAGAAGCTGGATGTTGGCACTCTATCAAGATATGGACTCAGCCACGATGGTCTGTGACTTAAAAAATCGGTCTATTGGATGGCTTGATACAACTGCAGAAGCTTGAGTTTTCAGGACTCTGGCAAGGTCTGGACAATACTCATTCTCAGGCTAGAGATATGGCTACATTTGCGGCAAAGCTTATGTAAGGGAGGAGTGCAGCTTAGCGAAGCGCTATAGGCAGGGGAACGTCCGAGTTCAGGAACAATAGAGGTGCTGACATAGCACATTTCTAGGCACGGACTATTTCACAGAGTCAGTGCTCAAAACGACTGACTTGATGGCGGGAATGAAATATTACCCTCGGTGCCGCCCCTGAGATGAAGGGGTTATCCACTCTTCTTTCAAATAGTAGATGTTGGACCGGTATTTCAGCATCCAATTTATCTAAGCAACGATACATTCTTGTGTTTCTACATCTCTCTGCTGCTTCAATTAGATCGGCTCTCGCTCACTGCTGGGAACAATGCTTGTATGTCTTGCCTTGTGTGCCAGTGCATGGATGTTTCTCTATGTGACAGGGGTTGCGGTTGCACCTCCGTTTTTTTTTTTTTTTTCCCTCGGGTTGTTTGCCACCAACCCAAACATAATTGCACGCACCTCCGTAATTGCACAACCATCCTGGCCTGTAAGTCTGTCGCATCACTCAGCTTCCTTTCGTCTCCATTCGGTCTCCTCATCCTTCCATCGCCAATCATCATCTTCACCATAAATCACACTCACACACATACTCTCTGCGCATGCACCACAGTGTGTACAAAGCAAGCCACGATCACTCACGCTGCACTTGAACAAAGACCACAAGGACACCCCTCATACAGTTCTCCAAGGAAGAAGGCAAGGACGTAGCAAACACAGCACTGACACGCCTTATAGGTGATGCCGAATGAACTCTCCCCTAACACATTCCTTTGCTTCTTCTTGACACCCTTCCATTCTGTAGTTCCATAGCCTGCAAACAGCGTCTACACGACCACGAAATGCCATCTCAACAACCGCCGCACCTTTTGACGACCCCGAAACTTGGCTTGGAGCGAGACCGAGAAGCTATTGGCTCACCGGCAACACAGGACTGGACGTTATCGCCCTCAACAAACAACAGCATCTCTCTTGGCACGACAGGAACCGGCACAGCTTCGCCCTCCACCAACTCTGCAGGAGTCTCAGGAGTGTCAGCTGCAGCTGGGAACTCTGTCTCCAGGAGCCGCAGACGCTCCTCCTCCGTCGGAGTGTCCTCGTCGTCTTCAGTATCCGCAGCGTCCTCCTCCTCTGCTGCACCTGCCGTGGGTTCAGCTTTTTCTACAACTTCACCTTCACATCTGCCGCCAATTACGCCATCTGAAGCAGGACCCTCCACTACGGCCGCTGATCTCCCGGCAAGGACGTCTGGCACGACACGCTCGCACACAGCACGACTACATGAGTCCAGTGAACACCGTCATCATGGGACGTCTATTTCATATGCTCTTGAGCGCCACTCATTCTTGGAGAGACCCACACCTTCATCCCCTCAGCAGTCCCAGACGATGTCAGTATCTCCGCATTCACAGCTGGACCAACGCTCATACAGTAGCGATCACATTCGCACTCCTGTCCCTCGTCGGCGGCAAAGGACACAGTCTTCTCAGGGACGTTCAAAGATGCACACCCCTTCAGTCCAACTAGCTCTCGCCAACCCCACGTTATCGAATAGTCTTTCGAGCTCTCCAGCATCGAGTCGAGCGAGGGCAGAGTTGGATCAGCAGGCACATGCAAAGCACACATTCGAACGTAACGTGAGGCGCTACTACTATCAACTGACGATCGGATGTCAGCAGCACGACTGCACCAACCGACTCTGCAGATCCAGCAAGTGCTCTCCGAAAATGACCAAGGATGCCGCAGCCATTCTCGCAATTCAGCTTGCAGCCAGACCGCGGTTGTTTTTCTGCACAAACTGTCCACTGGATCCTGTTATCAATATGCCGGACTCGCCATTACCCACTATGGGGGCGCTTAGTGAATCGCAGCCATCGGCCCAAAAGAAGCAGAGTCCTCCGTCAAGGCTCTTGGCAACAAAAGCCGCCGCAATGACATCCTCTTCTAGATCATCGCCAGGACCTGCAACCTCAGTCGAGGACTTTGGACGCCACAAGGAGCACCGACTGTACGAACCTAACGAGTACTCAAAATCGGTTCCATCCTTCTCTGTCTCCCACATTCTTTCGCCCTCCAAATCCCCAAAGACGCCATCAGGGTCTCACAGCACGGACGAAATTACTACAGCAGTGCACTCGACGCCTTCTCAGATGGAGCGAGCAGGGACACCACTATTTCGATCACTGCTATCGGTGTCACCATTTTCGGCAATGTTCTCCCCTGGAAAGTCGCCATTGTCTAGCCGAGCAGGCATGGGCAAGAGCCGGGAGCTGTTCAGGAGGCGCGCAACATCGCCAGTGAAGCGACTCAAGCCGTCACTATCAGTCGGAGAAATCGCCAGCGCAAACGAAACGCCCAGGAGGCAGTCAGGACACACACTAACAGGAGAGAGAGCTAAGGCCATGAACGGCGGTATTCAACCACCAGACCAGCCTCATCCCTTCAGTCCATCACGTTCAGACAGCCCTCCACGAACGCCAACATTGCCCTCGAATGTCGAGTCGAAGAATAGCTTCCGTATTCACCCATCTCTCCGGAAAGACGATACGCAATGGGGAGAGTCTCAATTAGGAGGGGGCTCTACGCTCTTGGGAGAGGAATCGATCGGCTTGGGATACTCTTCGAGGATGCTACACTCGCAAAAAGTCCTCGATCTTTCGCGATATTACCACGCCCAATTGCCGAACTCAGGGTCAGCATCGAGGCATAACCACAAGCAGAGACGGAAAAGGGCTCAAGTGGCAAAAATCGACACTAGTCCGAAAATGCAGCCAGTCTTTGGGTCAAATAAGGATCCGGATAGCGACAGTTTGGACTCGTCGTCATGTACGGAAGATGATTATGCGAAAACTGCCCTTAGTACATCTCGGCAACAACCACATCATCAGCAGCCTTTCCCTATTCAGTCGACATGTTTATCTTCGCTCTCACCGCCTCAATCACCTTCAGAGCAGGAGTTACAAAACAGGACCCTTTATTCATATGCACGGACAAACCTGAGGAGAGATTCATCGGGTTCTTTGAGCTCTGAGGGTGAAAGTATTCCAAATCGTCAATGGCCGTCTCGCGGCCGGTCATTGGAGGAGGATGTGCATTGTGGTGGGTTATCGTCAGCATCCAGTAGGAGGTCTTCTGTGAGCGAATCGGACCATGTGGAGGTTGTTCTACCATACCTCAACCTAACCTTACTTCGGCAAGCGATCGCGACGTACAATTCCTCAAAGTTGAACGATAGTTCAAATCTGTCACCATATTTGGGCTACAAGGAGTTCAAGCCGAGCCGGACCGTCTCTGCGACTCGACCTTTGGAAAGCGGAGAAGACCTCGAAACTTTGGAAGGCGGTGTTTCCCCGGCCTTTGAAGCTGGAAATGAGCCGTCTCTGGAGGGGACTCTTGAGGCGCTGGACTTGAAAGACGACATTTTTGGCGGCGATGTCTTGCCTGCGGATCAGAAGGTGGTAGACTGCAACACACGGGTTCCAGACATCCAGGATGGACACATTGGTTTCGCCAATGGCGAGGACGAACGAAATGAGTCAAGGAGAGCCCACAATGAGGATCTCTTACAACAATCGTCCGGTTTGGATACCGGTGACATTTTTGGGCGATCCAAATTTGGATCACCCGCTCATTCCATGGTCTCGTCTAATACCTATTCCACTGAGGGTGATTCGACATTTTTGGTGGACTCGCTGCGATCCGTGTTCTCGTCAGCCACGGCCTTGGGGTCCAGCTTTTTGATGAAGGACCGAGAAACAAAATCGGAACTGGAGTTCGAGCCTTCGTCTGGAGGAGTCAACGTCGGAGGAATTGATCTGGAAGCGCTGCGGGAATGCTACGAGATGATGATTGAACTCAAACCCAGAACTATTTTCGCCATCCAGGTCACCAATTCAATCGAATTGTTGTTGGCGCGATTAGAGCTCGAACAGGAAGTTACCAAGGACGGAAAGATTTGGTCTGAAGAGGAGATGAGAGCCGTCATTATCCTGCTGATGGTGAGTATTATTCTGGAGAAGAGCGTTTTTATAAGGTGTGCTTCATTTATCCACGCCACTCATTCTCTTGATGTTTTCGATGTATAGAATCCTTTTCTGTTCGAGCAGCCGTATCAGGAGTCGCTTCTGCGCCGAATTCTCTTGATCTTCACTGCGCTCACGGACAAAGCGACCCTGACCCAATGGCTGTCGTGTATGGACGAGGAAGGAATGGCACAGCTGGTGACGCTATTCAAAATGTACCTCTCGGCCCATTTCACGCCTCGACCCGTTGGCACGATGCACCCTGCCATCTGTGCGGTCAAGGCGTTAGGCATTTTGTATGAGGCTAACAATATCGGCACTTGTCGTGAACAGGAGCGTCAAAGGCGTTCAGCCATCAAGGATGCTAGAGACGGCAAGCAGAATGTGCTGCCGGAGACCACATCGACGATTTCGTTCAAGTATTTTTATTCAGGCGTAATGGAGGCACTCAAGTTTAAGGACGAGTACCAGATCTGGCGTGAAGGATGGGGCAAGAGGTGGGTCATAGTATCCAAACTATGTTATGTCTTTAGGACCTGCCTTGCTGAAGAGATTACTAATAACTGCACATGTCTGCGCATATCTTGTGCCATAGGGAATCTGAAAGGTCATTTTCATATTTCGACTACCCGTTCCTCCTGTCACCAACGTCGAAATCTCATATCCTTAACTTGGATGCCCTGACCCAGATGAGTGCTCATTACGAGGATGCCTGTGTCCGCCACGCGCTAGCAGACCATGCGCAACGTCTTCTCCCGGACACCATGACGGCATCAGCACGCGAGTTCCAAAAGGGCATCAGGGCGGGATCTTCACCATATCTTGTTCTGGAATTGACCCGAGCACATCTGGTGGAGGAGGCGTTTGAGCAGATCACAAAGAAGCATGCGGATTTGAAGAAGCCTCTGAAGGTGGCCTTTGTGGATGTTGGAGAGGAGGGCATGGACCAAGGAGGCGTGACGAAGGAGTTTTTCCAGATCATGGTCGAAAAGGTCTTTGATTCGCAGTTTGGGCTGTTCAAGGAGTTGGAGGAAGGGAGATGCTGGTGGTTTGAGGGCGTGCTAGATGGATCGAGTCAGTTGGAGATGTCGAAGAAGGATATGAGGATTCGACTAGTGGAGTATGAGCTGGTAGGGATCCTGGTTGGACTTGCACTGTATAATGGAGTCATCTTGGGAGTTCGGTTTCCGACGGTTGTGTATCGCAAGATGCTTGGTTGGGAGACTGGCCTTGACTCGTTCATTGAGTCGTTTCCGGTACGTATCAGCTCTACGAAAGATGTGTGTCCTTGGCGTGTTAGCATGGGATGCTTTATTTACACACTGTCCTTATGTTTCAATTTGATAGTCCCTCGGCCATGGACTGGAGCAGATGCTGACCTGGACAGATGGTGATGTGTACGATGTGTTCATGCGAGAATTCGAGATTTCATATGAACATCTTGGACAAGTTACCACGCTGCCTTTGGTTCCTGGCGGAGAAAATATACCGGTGACAAACGAGAACAGGGGGGCGTATGTCCGAGCGTACATGGAACATTATGTGCACGAGCATATCCGACAAGAGTTCGAGGCATTCCAGCGAGGCTTCGAAAAGATTTGCGGTGGACAAGCGCTCAAGGTACATGAATAAGCGAGGTTGTTGATGCAGGCGAAATTATAGTGATTATCAGATTCAATGGAACTAACAGTTCTTCATCATTTTTCATTCTTTATAATTAAACAGCTCCTGCGACCTGAGGAACTGGAGTTGCTGCTCTGTGGAAACTCGGAACTAGATATGCACGATCTCGAAGCCAGCTGCCTGTACGACGACGGTTACAGTCCTAGTCATACACTGATCCAAGAATTCTGGGAGATTGTTCACGAGGATCTGTCGCCGGAACAGCACAAGCAGCTTCTGGTCTTTGTCACTGGAAGCGATCGTGTTCCCATTCGTGGACTCAAGGACCTGATGTTTGTTATCCAGCGCAATGGACCTGATTCGGATCGATTACCGACTGCGTTAACTTGTTTCTCAAGGTTGCTGTTGCCAGAGTATGCGAACAAAGAAAAGATGAAGGAACGGCTGGTCACTGCGATCGAGAACTCGAACGGTTTTGGACTCGTATAGGAAGATGTCTTCGTACCCTTGATACCACCCAACAGAGCACAATAAAGCGAAGATATTGATATGGTGCACAGCGCATGCATGTTTTTTAATAATAGTCATATGAATGAGAAATGAAGGTAGTGGTACTAATATACAAACTGCATAGAGAGAACGATGAAAAAATTGGTAAAAAGTAGCCGCTTTACTTGGAGCGAACGTACTTGCCGACAACGAGGGCGTGATCTCTCTCGAAGGGCTCAAGGGTCAACTGCTCCTGGGGCTTGATGCGCTGCTCCTGAAGCTTAGGGATCTCACCCGCAAAGACGGTAGCGGCATCAACAGTCGAGTCGATACAGTTGGCCTTGATGGAGATGACGATGTGTCCGTTGTTCTTCAAGAAGTGGTGAGCGTTAATACCGATGATACGGGACTGATCCGGCTGGGCGACATCTGCGAAGATGACATCGACCATGCCGACCAACATGCGGTACTTGTGAGGGTGGCGAGCATCCTCGATAATTGGGATCACGTTCGTGCGCTTCTTGGCCATGTTGATCAAATCGCGTCCGGAGCGGTGAGAGAACTCAACAGCATAAACAAGACCCTCAGGTCCAACAATATCAGCAACGTGGGAGACCGTGGTTCCGGAGGCAGCTCCCAGATAAAGGACCTTCTTGCCGGGAGCGATGTGAATGTTATCGACACCACCAAGGACACCAGCAGCGACCTTGGAGCGGAAGGGGTTCCAGACACGGTACTCGGTCTTGACGCCGTCGGCGCCTTCGATCGCAATGCGCTTCTCGCCATAGACGGATTCACCGGGAACGAGGTTCTTGGTCAGAAGATAATCCTCCTTGCCGTGGGCGACGAAGATACCCTCGTGACGATGAGGCTCGACAGTGACCTTGGCTCCGCCCCTGGCACCACCTCTGGCTCCTCCGCGGGCACCGCCACGGCCACCTCGACCGCCGGGACCACCGCGCTTAGCAACACCTGTGAAATGCGAAAACATACTTTGTTAGAATGGACTCTTACGGATGTAATGCATAAGCTGTAAGGCTCAGAAAAGAAACGGAGAGAATGGCTTACCACCACGACCACCACGGTCGCCGCCGAAACCACCACGTCCGCCGCCACGACCACCGCGGTCGCCACCGAAACCACCACGGCCACCACCACGACCACCACGGTCACCGCCGAAACCGCCACGGGCGCCACCACGGCCACCACGACCACCACGATCACCTAGCGTACACAGAGAAGAAAGGGATAATATAGCGTTAGATGTCTTTTGTTTCATACAATGAGGCCCGGGAGATGAAGATCTGGTTTTCAGAGGACAGAGTGGGGCCAAATTGAATGTTGAGATAGCCAGCCCTGTTAATAAAAAGTCAATTGGCTGTAGCGATTTCGATATGAAAGACATCAAGTGGGTGCTTGACATCACTGAGAGTTGACTCGAAAGAATTGCTTGTGCTTCTTGTCCTTGCTGGATCTTCTTTCAAGTGGTGGTTGATCTGATGAGTCCTGTAGTGATCCTGTTGAGTCGATGAGACTGATCCTTCTTTTCCCCAGGGGTTTGATTCACGACAGCCGCTTCAAAGGACATACCGAAAGCCATTATGATAGTGTATTAGAGAAGAAGGTAGAGAGGGATATCAAAGTGACACTGCAAAGAGAGTGTAAGGGCGAGGAGGGGTGCTGAGAAGAGGGAGGGAGAAGAAGAAGAGAGAGTGAAAAAACAACAAGACGCAGGTTTATTTTGACGCTTTTTTTTTTTTTTTTTTCTCTTTGTTTTGAATCGAGTAAACACAGTCATAAAACATCAGCCTCCTCTCGCTAGGTCGCTGGGCTGAGTCGTGCGAGGACCAAAAGTCCGATTCACTGGCGTGTGTGGCCAATGGCATTACACTGCACAGAGGTTGGAGGGTGTCCCGCATGGATGCCCCGATAGTTTCAGATACTAGGGCCGATGCTACAGCTATAATATAGACATACTGTATATCTATCCAGGGAGCAATCGAAAGTCCAGGCTCTGTGCATTAGGGCTACTATGCTTTCAGAAGCACAGCCCCGGTGTGAGGACCATGAGACTGGCTCTTACAAAAGAACCCATGACACTCGAATGAACAAACCTCACACTTTTCTTCTTACATCCTGCAAAAAGAAGAAAGAAGCATTCCACCATGCCCATCAAGGTAACCGACCATTCTTGTGTGAGCATTCTACAACTTCATTCCCTCCTTCCAATTCCAATCCGCCTCTTTACTCATCCGACCCCTCGTTGTTGTGTTGACAACAGTATCTATCACAGCGTGCAGCACAGGCTATCGACGTCGAGCTCATGTCTCCGACCGGCGGAGGGTTCAGCTTTGACCAACTTGTCGAACTAGGTACAATGCAACACATCTTCTCCTTCAATGACTCGCATTTCCTTCAGCTATGAGACCCTTCCCTTACCCATATATTCACGTATATGTTACTATCGTGTAGCTGGATTCAGCGTCGCTCAAGCGATCACGAAAGAATTCAATTGCGACAAGTATCCAAGAATTCTAATCTTCTCTGGTCCAGGAAACAACGGCCTCGATGGTATTATCTTCAGCCAGCATGATATTATCTTCATCCTCGTTATCAGACCCTTTCCATTGCTCACCAATGCCAATGATTTTTCTCGATATAACATTGTAGGTCTCGTAGCAGCTCGCCACCTCTCTCATTTTGGGTACCAACCCAAAGTATACTACCCAAAACGACCAGACAAGGCCGTCAATAAGGTATCAACAGTTTATTGCCCGAACCTTCACTTTGACACCGACTCTTCGATACCCCACCCAACTCGCTGACACACTAACACGCGGCCGACTTCTCGGGTGTGGGTGTCTGTAGGGGCTTATGAAACAATGTACTGAACTGGAGATTCCTTTTGTGGACACACCCGAGTCAGGCTTGCACAACAGCGATCTTATTGTCGATGCCATCTTTGGATTCAGCTTCTCGGGTGATGTCCGTCAACCCTTTGTCTCGGCGATCGAGGCACTCAAGACTACCAAGCTGCCCATTGTATCTGGTGAGTTCTTGCAACGAACAACTGAGTGAAGAAATGCTGTTGTGAAGCGGTGTCATGAAAAACAGCTGAAGAGGGGGGAAAAAAACTGTTTTCTAATGTTAACTTCTATGACACCGTTTCGGATGCAATTCTTTTTGGTAGTCGATATTCCCTCGGCGTGGGATGTGGAGAAAGGTAAAACGAAGGACCCGAAGAGCAAGCACCGAGCGGATTATCGAAAAAAAGAAAACTCTATGTGTTTCACAGAGACTTATGCCGCTTAATAACTATGAACTTCATCAGGAAACGTGAACGAAGGATTCCAACCGACCATGCTTGTGTCTTTGACTGCACCCAAGGAAGGTGCCAAGGACTTTCAAGGCCCGTACCATTACCTTGGTGGCCGGTTTATCTCAAAGTATGTACTCCCCACATCATGATCTCGCCTCTCTGAGTGCCATGTCCCTCTTCTCATCCCTCCGCTCTCCCGTACCCTATCCCTCTCAATCAAGGGCACCCGCACTAACTGGCTCTGAGTTTGTGTATGCATAGGCAAATGGATCGCAAGTGGGGACTGAACTTGCCAGAGTTTCCAGGAACGGATCAATGCGTTAAATTGGAGAACAACCGTTCAACACCAACATCAACATCAACATCAGGTTCATCCTCAACAGCCGCGCCAACAACGGATACGAAGAAGAATGTTGGCGATAAGATGGACCGGCATTTCATGGAAAATGTTGTCTCCAACAGCTTTGCTTAAGCTGCACGAGGGGAGGAGAATGAAAGAAAGGAGAAAAAAAAAAAAGAACGAAAAAATGCCATTGTACATATGAACGCCCAACGCACGGGCATGCATTTTTTTTCGAAAAATACAGAATTGGTTCGCACTGTGGATCACTGAAGAATTGATGATGTAACAGAGCTCTGTAGTGAAGAGCATCTTATCACATTGGATCCTGCCCTTTTGCATTCAGACCTTGTCAATGGTGGTAAACGTTGCCTTTCTTAAAAAAAAAAAAAAAAAAAAAAAAAAAAGACAAAAGACAAAAGTGTCTGCTGGTCGTTCCACGGCCTCAAATTTGACTCATTCTAGGGCCCCTTAGGTGAAGAAATGGGCCGGCGACCGGCATAGTTCAAAAGGATGGCTCTAGTCTCGTGGTCGTCAGCATCCGCTCGCCAAGGTCTGGGCCCATGAGACTTAGCATACCATGGAATTTCAGTTTCAAGAAGTGTGGGAGCGGCACTGGGAGTGGCAGTGGGTATAGAAGAGAATTTCCTGCGTGAGACAGAGTAAGGGCCGGATAATGTGGCATGGGACCTAACGGGTCTACAGATAGGTGATATCCTTAGAGCAGGTGTAAATTCTGCAGCGTTGTTATTATATGCAGGCACAGGAAAAAGGTAAGAATGTTAACGATCACCCCATTAGATAGGATAAGACGTTCTGGCAGAATTAATTGCAACACGATAATGCTAGTGTGATGCGATCCTGACATACCTGGAGATACCGGAGCAGCAGGTGCCGAAGTAGTAGATGCCATGAGGACGAACGCCCAGATCGAGGGGAGAGCCAGAGAGAGGAAGCGCATGTGCAAGAGGAAAGGAGGTGATAAGGAAGCCTAGTTTGTAGGTGCAATGAGCGATGAAAACAAAGGTACTGTTGAAGCAAGAACGGGTGAAAGGAATGAAGGGAAAGTGGGACGATTGCCGCGTATAAATAAGAAAGGACATGAGATATGTAGAGGAGCGCCACACAGCGCGAGAATGTGGATTTGGTGACAATTGCACAGCTGGACAATTGAGGTGGAGGCTACAACGCGTAAAATTACCCTGAAAGAATGCAGTGGAAAGTACAGGTCGAATATGTAGAGCGTCAACGTGCTTTTAATTAGTTATCTAGTCAAGAAATAAGGAAAAGGTGGCTACAGGATTCATAACACTTCGCCTGTGCGAAGTATGTAGAGCATGGAGAGGCAAGTATGAATATCTAGTAACAATCTCCAGGTCCATAACGACTACGACCAGCTCAGATAAGTAGAAAGCGTCAAGCCTCTTGTAAGCAGCTGCACCATATGGTCTCGTTCACTTCCTTCCATGTAAACGCGATGCCTGTACGGAAACATGCTCCATCCTGAAGAAAACACGCGACGGAAAGCATCTTAGCCCCCCTCTCCTACAATCATCAATGGTCTTTCTATTTTCCTTTCTTTTCGTAGCCCAAATCCAGCCATCATCGACTAATCCGTTTTTGATGCTGCTATTTCTATTTATAGCAGGGCTGTTGTGGTCTTTCTACGCATTCCATGAGGCATGTCCCTCCCATAAGCCCTCCTCTCCCTTCAAACCTTTGTCAAAAGTGCGGCATGTGGACGTGTTTAATAGATTAAGCATGATCTTCCTGAAGCCAGGTCGATCCTGAATACGACACCATTGGAAGAGGTGGGACGATGAGGCCGAAACCAAGCCATTCAGCGATCTCCGTTAGAACAAGAGGCACGACACGACCAAGGCCAGGTCCACCAACTTTATCTGATATCACCTAGGGCTATTAATGACGCTCTGGTGCCGCCGGGTTTAACCCCCTTATCATACAGAGCGCTGTTCTAGCTTGCTTCGTTGATTGCAGTCTGTATAAGTAGGAACGTCTTCTTGATATGGAGACCGAGTTCGTGGAAAACTGCAGCAGGGAATGCGTCGTCTCCACTGGAGGCTCTGGCCAGGCGTCGTAAATAAATTGACGATCGGATGAGATGTCTAACTGGATCGAGAGTTGCAATTGCTGCAACTGAGGGGACACTGGCTATCTTTCCGGTGAGCTGAAGTTGTTTGCCTCCATGCAGTAGAGGTACATTTTCTTCAGACGGACATAGGTAGCCAGTACGTATTCACCAAGGATTGGCTTTGCTGAGAAAGAGCTTGACTACTCTCAAGCCTGGACAGGAGGACACAGAAATTGTGATATTGTACTGGAACTCAACTACCATGGCGCACATGTGTATATGTCTAGCTCTTATAGCTTTGGATTATGCTGGACGAGATATTCAAGGCGGTGACTTCAAGGATTCTGGTTCATGAGCTGCATGAAGTGGAGACTGCGAAGGCGTGTGCAAGACTCGAGAAGGAAGTCCACTGGGTCGTCACAAGCTCAGATATGGTCGCCATGCAACCTAATGGCCCATTGCGCTGGTGTTCCAATCAGATCTGGACTATGGTATCTTAGGCGTGGAGGTAGGGTGTAAAAGAGGCGTTTCGGTTTTTGCAGACTGCCGCTACCGAAGCGAGGTGGGACATGTCGTGGAGCTGTGCTACATATGTGCTTCATATGTGCTACATGGCGCCGAATTCCCGGAAGGACTGTATTGTGGGCGCCTATTTATCCAAGGAATGGGCTAATGGTGATTAGCCGGAAGAAAAATGTTGCTTCTCAATCTTATTGTGCTACTTGAAAAAAGGGAAAAACTTCCGCGTGCGTAAAGAGCGAATTTGATCTACGCAGGAGTCATTTCCAGTATGACTATTCATGCGCATGACCCCAGGAACCGGCGTGGAGGAATGGGATAGGGAAGGGGAAGGTGCTAATTCCAGGCCTTACTACCATCCTGTTCATGTGCGAACAGAGGGTGGAGAGCACCATGTCTCCTGGTGCGGCAGACTGCCAACGCCTTGTCTTGATACAAAACGCGTTCCGGGATGTGAAGATATGCGGGGAATAAGGTTTGGTGTCAGTCCTCGGAATTTCGTTTATGGGGCAATAAAATCAATCAGCCAGGCACACAGCGGTAGCAAGTTAGCCCAGGATCCAGCTAATGATTCATGGTGCCCGTCAGTCCAGCCAAGAGAGCTTCAAGATTTATACTCAAGACTCTTGCCCCGTAGCGTATTGCTGCTGCTATGGCTACCATGGCGATGTGTTTATCCAGGGAAACCCTCTGGCACATAGAATTGTCAATACGAGACATTTGTATGCTCCAACGTTGACACGGGATGCAGCTCAATGGGTGCGGCGCTTTATACCGAAAGTGCAGCTGAACACAATGTACTCTGCTGGTGGCAACGAGGATCTGGGAAACTGCGTCAGCGTTTCTGAGTTAACCCCTATTTGAGGGTTAACGACTTCTTCTTCGACACCACCATTCGTCATCTTCGACACTTTGGACCCCTCAAATCAACTGCCTGGTTAGGAGAGACCTCGTCTTGCATTGGCCATCTTTTGGTAATCGTCCGTTAGCTGGCCACGGCATGAGCAACGCGGCCTAGGTTTGCCTGTACGCCTAGACTAAGGGGATATGGCGTTAAAAAGTATAAAAAAAAAGGACTCTCAGAATATTCATTACCCAGCTCTATTTTAAGAAAGATTCAGGACGGTCTACACTCATGCAGAACACATTCGCGACCTCAGACGTTTGGGCCAGCACTCCTGAAAGACTTGCACTCCGCTCCAGGTGTTCGCATGATACCATGTAGACAATGGTCGTTAGTGTTCTTCGGCAGCACTTTCGATGGTGTCTACGCAGAAAAAGGATCATCGAGACATAATCACGAGGCTCTGGTGGGCCGTGAGAGGATGGGGCTCTCGACACCGGGGTTTGTAATGATCGTGTGGGTTCATTTTGATCGCGTGGGCTCAGGGGAATATGCGCCCATGAAGGGGGTCTCCTGCTCAAAATATGTCTATATATATGCGGCATCCTTTACCGAGAACTCCATACATTTCCAGACGTTCTTTTTCATTTCCGCCACACTAAAGATAGTCCACTCCGTTGGCGCGCCGAACAGAAAGGGATATATATATAACAAGATCCCATTTTTCCCTTCACCCCAACTTCCGTTCCCCCCACGTAACACCCAACGCCTTTTTTTATATTCCCCCCCTCTTTTTCCCTCCCTCTCCCTCGCTCTTTTCCCACCCACCTCTCCTTCCCCCTCCTCCCTCCGATTCACCATGAGGCAATCGCTTGCTCTCTCGGCGCTGCTGGCTCTTGCCGCCACTGCACGCGCTGCCCAAGTCACCTTCCATGTTGTGGCTCCTGGTGCCACCACCGTGCAGGTCTCTGTAAACGGCCAGCTCACTGCCTTGACTGCCGCTGACCCCACGCTTCCCATTTTCACTGGTGCAGCAGAGACCGGTGCCGACACAAAGTACAAATACGTCGCGGGCGGTACGGCCGAGACCTTTGACCGCGAGCTGCCCTCTGGCAAGACTGAAACGTACAACGACTTTTTGGATCGTCCAGTGACATACGCCAACATTCCTGAGCTGCCATGGCCCATTGAGAACGATGTAAGCCAATATGCATGCATATCGCTCCCGTTCCTGCGCATCATGAAGGCAAGAAAAAGATGATAGGGATACAGAGATTGATAGTTTTTCCCTTTTGTTACTTAGCCTCAATGGACACGCTCAGGACCAAAGCAACCCATCTTTGACAGCAACTACATCCCTACCATTTTCGTCAATGGCAACTCCGCTGACCTGGACTCGCTTATTGCCAACCCCGTTGCCACACAGTACCCCGTTACCCTGACCTTCGTCTTGGCCAGCGAAGTCAAGACCTTCAGTGTAAATTCCTCTCTCCCTTTGGCTTCGTGATAAAGTTAATTACCCTGCACGACATTTCCCTGCCCCTGACTCACACGACAAATCATAAACACAAAATCGTCCCTGCCTTTCTTAGAATGTCAGCTTCGGCATCCACGGCGCCGGTAAGAAGAACAACAATGCCAAGCAAAGCTGGAACTGGAGTCTTTCATCCGGCGATACTTACCAGAACCGCAGCTTCTTCAAGATTCGCCACCAAGAAGAAGATCCCACTCAGATACGTGAGAAGCTCTATGCCGATATCGCTCGTGCTATGGGCACCTATGCCAACGAGGCCAACATGGTCCGACTCTTCATCAACAACGACGGCTTCGGCACCTTTAACCTCTTGGACGACGTCACACAATATTCTTACATCTCAGCCATGTTCTACGGTGGCAACCCTCCAGCACAGATGGGCGCCCTCTTCGATGGTGCCTCTGGAGCCAGCTTCCAGTACTCCCCCACCGGCGATGGCTATTACTCGTGGATCAAGAACGCTCTGAGTCCCGAGGAGCCCACCGCCGTCGGCCCTCTCTGTGAGCTCTGGAACAGGACTGACAAGACCAACGACGCAGCCATTGCCGAAGTCAACAAGCAGTTGGATTTGGACCCTTTCATGCGTTTCATGGTTCTCGAGTACCTCACCGGTGACTGGGACGGTTACTGGGAGGAGCAGACCAACGATGGCCTTTACCGCGACCCCACTCAGGAAAATAAGTGGTACTACCTTGCACAGGATTTCGATGCCACCTTTGGTGTCAACCTCCCGACGGCCGATCCTACATTTATCGAATGGTCCTACAAGAACTTCCCCACCAACTTCCCAGGCGGTGTCATGATCAACGGACTTTTGCAGAACACTAACCAGCAGAAGACTTTTGAGACCTATCTCAAGAACACTGTCCAGGTCCTGTTCAATAATGTCACCTTGACCAACCGCATTCTTAAGTATCATGACTTCATTCTGCCCGATCTTGCCTGGGATCGCAACATCACCCAAAGATCTCCAGGTATCAACTATGGCTGGACCTTCCCCCAGGTCACTGAGAACCTGTGGCAGAGCGTCGCGGCTCCCAATGCCAACGGTGGCGGCGCCATGTTCGGTCTGATCGAGTGGATCGCCAAGAAGTCGAACGCTGTTGCCAAGGAGTTCGCCATTACCATTACCACTACCCCAGTCGGCCCTCCTACCAATTCGTCTCAACCCAACGCTGGAGGTAACAACACTTCAAGTGGATCATCCAAGCCCTCAGACACCACCGGTTCAAATAAGGGCAACGCTGCTGGTCATGCTCTTCCTCAAGCGCTGGCCACCTTCGCCTTGGTCGGAACGTCCTTGGTTGCTCTCTTGCTGTAAATTCAGTTTACTATATTTAGCTACGCCATTTAATGCATAATATATCAAAATCCGGTTCTCTCTCTCTCTCTCTCTCTCTCTCTCTCTCTCTCTCTCTCATTTCCATGTCTGTGGGTCTCTCTGCATCGGACATCCAACTCCTTTAACATCCACCGACGCCTCAACATTCCCCCCTAGACGACTTGAGATAGGTGCAGGGTACTCAAGGGGTAGTAAGGGTTTAATATGAAATAATTCGATGCCCATCCAAAAAATAAACTCCTCATCAGGTTTGTGGGGACGATACGAAGCTGTAGAACCCAAGGGAGATACAATCGCGGATTCAGTACAGTCAATGAAGAAGTCTGATGGCAGGGATGTAGCGGATACAGCAGATCAAAGGAATCAAATAGAGATGGCGCAAAAAAAGATGGATACTTTTAATACACATTCACTTTAAGGGATGCTGTTTACATCGTTATTTCTCCTTTCCGTGTTCTTTTAGTCTATTACACCGCAAATTTTACCCTTATACATATTCCCTACGCCAAAGGCCAGCAATAAAGCTCGCCTGTGTACCACCATTTGAAAGAGATGGACAGGCAGCAACAAAAAATAAGTATGCTATCCTGATGAGGGTCCATCAATACCTGCAAGGTTATGGCCCTGCACGCGAGAATGCAGAGAACCTGTCACCTCGTGGGCTGCTGGCTTCAGTGACATGTAATTACATATTCAATATGGACTAGACGAGATGCGCTACGGTGGCGAGACATACTCTTACATGTAGCCTATTTGGTCTTTAGGCATCAGCGAGAAAATTGCAGGGAAGGCGATCCATCTCCTGATCAACTAGCAACAATACGAGTTGAAAAAAACCGAACGACCACAGCGCAAGACACCCGACAGCCTAAAGGGAACCACCGCCGACATCATCAACACAGGAAAGTATGATGCTATACCCCAGTCAAGAGAGACAATCAGGCAAGCACTCAAGGAACGAGGCGAGCCACTCGGTGAACTGAGCATCCGCTCTATCCACTATTGCCTGTGCGCAGTGAATGATCGCTATAGCAAGGGGTATCGGCGTAACGTCCTGCATGACAGCGACGCGAACATTCGATACCGTCAGGTATATGCAGAAAGACGTTTTCAGAGTGTTCGACTCCGAGATGGGCAATGTGTTTTGTTGTCTCAGGTTGATTTCGCCGACCTCTGGTTGTTAAAAGACCCTTCCCCTTAAAAGAGGCGATATTATTCTTTGGTTGCAACAGGAGCCTAAACTTCAGCGACTCTTAGCTTCAGTGGCTACTTGGCTGCGTGCGGTAGCTCGTTGCTTAAAAGTCGTCCGCAATGGATTTATCTCTTCCTGTATTCGAAATTAACATTAGAGGGCGCCCCAGGAAGCCTTTCTGCTCCATAAGGCGACCTCACATAGTATGATTCAGGACCCGAGGGTCTATTCGTATTCAACTAGACATCGGAAAAGTCGGTAATAGTCGCGTCAAGCACGGATTCTGATTTAGAGACGTTCAGCCATAATCCAATGGATGGCGGCTTCGGGCCATTGCCTGCTCAGGTAGGCCCAAATACCAATTATCCGAATGGATGGTTCCTCTCGTACCAAGTTCAATTACTATTGCAACAATATTTTATCAGCAGGGTAAACCTATCCTATCTCACGACGGTCTAAACCCAGCTCACGTTCCCTATTAGTGGATGAGCAATCCAACACTAACTGAATTCTGCTTCAGTATGGCGAGTGCGCTGTTGGCTGTAGGTCTGGCGTTGGCCACAGAGGTGGCGCTCTGATATTGGCCAGGGTCGGTGAAGGAAGTTGGGACGATACTCTCCATGAGGGGGTTGTTTAGAATCAGGAGGGTTATGTTTCTCTTGGGCGTATTGCTTAAGACAGTGGGCTGCCATGGTCAACATTTGCGGGCCTATAATACCTAGTGACCCTTCATTGTTCATCACTTTCGCTCCCGCCCTTTGGTTTTCGAACCCATTGAGTGCTTTAGTTTGTGCTCTTGAATATCGCTTTTAAATTGTGAACTTGTCATGGACGAAAACTGCTCTGTATGTTGTCTTCAGAAAGCGCAATCCATGCCCTAAAAGGTTGGCAATGAGTAAAAGACAGGGTACCATCGCTAATATCCTATTTGCTTCACTTTCACTTCTCAAGCAAGCGAAAAGACATTCGCCGACTCGACCGGCTTTGCTGACTGTACAGTGAGGGAATCGGTCGTGGCGACGGTATCGATCGTACTGCGGTTTGATGGCGCCTTGAGTATATGCGCCACGGATACCATGCTAATGAGCTTTTTGCTTGACTCGTGGAAGCTCAAAGGCGAAGTCGGCTTGCCCACAGCGCCGCGTTGCTCTAATAACCGCGCATTTATCCTGCTTAAGCCTTGCACGTTCTGGATAGAGGTATTTGACACGGTAAGTCTGTCATGCATCGAACTCCAAAGCAGGCGCACCTGATAGCGATCCTCCTCTTCCATGACCTGCCATATGCGAACAGACATATCGCAACAGCCGGTTGCGAAATAGGTGCCGTTTGGAGTAGTGTTCCAGGCGATGCTTGTGATATGTCCATGAAAGCCTTGAACAACTGCCAAACATTGACCCGAATTCACATCCCACAGCCGCACTGTGTTGTCCCAACTTCCCGAGGCGATCTGCTGGCCGCTGGGCGAATACACCACGCTCTCAACATTATGGGTATGGCCGCTTAATATGGGGCCGGGTGCGCCGGTTTGCGCATCCCACAGTCGCACCATCTTGTCACAGCTTCCCGAGGCGATCTGCTGGCCGCTGGGCGAGTACACCACGCTTTCAACATAGCGGGTGTGGCCACTTAAAATAGGACCGGGCGCACCGGTTTGCGCATCCCATAGCCGCACCGTCTTGTCCGAACTTCCCGAGACGATCTGCTCGCCACTGGGTGAATACATCACGCTCGTAACATTGGAGGTATGGCCTCTTAAGACGGGGCCGGGTGCACCGGTTTGCGCATCCCACAGCCGCACCGTCTTGTCCGAACTTCCCGAGGCGATCTGCAGGCCGCTGGGCGAATACACCACGTTGGTAACAGAGTCGGTATGGCCGCTTAAGATTGGACCGGGTGCACCGGTTTGCACATCCCACAGCCGCACCATCTTGTCCGAACTTCCCGAGGCGATCTGCTGGCCGCTGGGTGAATACACCACGCTCTCAACGTAGCGGGCGTGGCCGCTTAAGACGGGACCGGGTGCACCGGTTTGCGCATCCCACAGCCGCACCGTCTTGTCCGAACTTCCCGAGGCGATCTGCTGGCCACTGGGCGAATACACCACGCTCCTAATATAGTCGGTATGGCCGCTTAAGACGAAACCGGGTGCACCAGTTTGCGCGTCCCACAGTCGCACCGTCATGTCGTCACTTCCCGAGACGATCTGCAGGCCGCTAGGCGAATACACCACGCTTCTAACATTGGAGGTATGGCCGCTTAAGATGGGAGTGGATGAACCGGGTTGCGCATCCCACAGCCGCACCGTCTTGTCTAGACTTCCCGAGGCGATCTGCTGGCCACCGGATGAATACACCACGCTCCTAATATAGTCGGTATGGCCGCTTAAGATGGGGCCGGGCGCGCCGGTTTGCGCATCCCACAGTCGCACCGTCATGTCGTCACTTCCCGAGGCGATCTGCTTGCCGCTAGGTGAATACACCACGCTCGTAACATTGGAGGTATGGCCTCTTAAGATGGGACCAGGTGCACCGGTTTGCGCATCCCACAGCCGCACCGTCTTGTCCCGATTTCCTGAGGCGATCTGCTGGCCGCTGGGCGAATACACCACGCTCGTGATATTGGAGGTATGGCCTCGTAAGATGGGGCCGGGTGCACCGGTCTGCGCATCCCACAGTCGCACCGCCTTGTCATGACTTCCCGTGGCGATCTGCTGGCCGCTGGGCGAATACACCACGCTCGTAATCCAGGAGCTATGGCCTCCTAAGATGGGACCGGATGCACCGGTTTGCGAATTCCACAGCCGCACCGTTTTGTCCAGACTTCCCGAGGCGATCTGCTGGCCGGTAAGCGAATACACCACGCTATTAACGCAGGAGGTATGACCACGCAAGGTATGGACTTTTGCCCAAGTCGAAGTGTCATACATACTGATCGTGCCGTCCTCGAGACCCACTGCGCAGAACTTCCCATCTGGCGAATACGCGCAGGAATGCACCGCACTTTCTTCTAAGAGGTACGGCCATTCGCCAAACTGCACACCCGCCATCTGTGCGTTGCTCAAATTCGCCTGACGCAGCCAAATATTGCGAAGGTTGGCTTTTCTCAAATCTGCCCCTTGCAGCTGAGCAGAATCGAATTGGCCGCCACTCAGGTCCGCTCCTGGAATCTGGATGCCTTTCAGATCTGCACTGTTAAACAGCATCCCAGCTCTGATCAATATCGTGATCGCATTGGCTGCCACCTTGCGCGCCTCTTTGTCGATTTTAGAGCATTCGATCGCGGCGAGCAGCTGCTGCTTGAAGAGAGGTTCCTGTTGGACACGCTCTGCTAAGAACTGCAGAATCGACGGCTCGCCCACAAAGCTTTCTCGTGCCAAGGGCGAATCGAGCGCGACCTGTTCAATAGCTCCGACGGGTTCCTCCACAGCAGCCTGTTTTTCAAAGCTCATGACGGAATGGACGCTCCCTCGGCGCGGCAGGACTTGAGGTAAGGCTGCGCGACTCGTGCTCTTCCCGTCTCGCGGCTCAAATACCGCACGGGCCAAACAGTATTCCAGCAATGATTTATGGATAAACCGGTACTGATTGCCACTGCGCGTCAATGGACTGGCTTCCAGCAAGAGCTGATTCTCGTAATTGCGATTGAAAAAAGATTCTTTCCACGTCCCTTGGTCTCGTTTGGGCGAATACTCCACCACAGGATTTCCTGCCTGATGTTGAAAGATCGCCCCAGCCAAGTCCTTCAGAAACGTAAAACCGTTTTGAGTAAAGCCATCATCCGTCAGCCTCTCGAAAGCTTCCCTCGCCTTACGACTCAAGTCTTTCTTTTCGCCAAGCTTTTTTTTGCCGCGTTCCAGCCACTGCTCCACGAACTGGTCGTATAACGCAACTCTGGTGATTCGGGTATCCGAGACGTGTTGCCCTGGATCCATCATGCGTGGCAGCACTTCCAGGGACAGCGTCAGAAGGAATGGATTCTTGACCAGGCCCAGTAAATCGGGCATATTGCTAAGAGCCTCCAAGTAGTCCTTTGACCGCCAGAGTGGTCTGCTCGTCAATACATACCGCTTGACATAGTCTTCGATCTGAGCTGCAGAAAACGGGGCGATGACTGCTTCCTGAAAGAGGTCCAATGGAGCGCTGTGATTCGGGTCCGTGGGTTGAAAGCGATCCCTGTAGTCGTGAGGAAGGTACCCACTACGGCAGCTGATCACCATCTGCGCGCGCCATTGCCTAGCCTGGTTCAGCTGGTTGCTTGTATACAGATTGTGTATCTGTTGACTCTCGTCGTACCCGTCGCAGATCAGGATGAACTCGCGATGATCTTTCAGCTCCCGAATCTGGGACTCCGTAAAATCATTCCTGCGCAGTTGTTTTGCGATCAGGTCCTGTTCCGGTCTGTCGACTGCAGGCAAGTTGATATGGAGTGGAATTCGGCCCTCTTTTTTTTTGTACCGACTCCACAAGTCGCACTCCACTGCCCGGTTGAAGGTTGACTTGCCCACGCCCGAGTCACCCAGCAGGAGCATTACTTTGTACTGCTTGCTGCCCAGGAAGCCTTCAACGTACTCTGTTAGGTCAAACAGGTTGTCGTCCGACGCTTGCAGGTTAGCCTTGGCTTGAGGGGGTATATAGATGGCGTCGTCTCGTTCCTTCAGTCGCTGCCTTCTCAGTCGTCGCAGATCGGCTTCAACATCGGGCTTGTTCTGGACACGATCAAGCAGTGATGGAGACGAGGCGATTGGCGAAGCGACCTTGAGGGGATGTGAGCTCCAATCTTCATTTCTGCACTCTTGATAAAAAGTCCTTTTTGTCTGATCGCCATTCGATTCTAGCTCTTGCAGCAGAGATTCGACGCCTATATCATGTATGTATTGCATAGGTCAAAATAGAGCGCGGCAAATGCCATTAGTGCTTTCTGGTAGTGAACTCCATCCTTCACAAAAAGACAATGGCCTCTTGTGCATCTTCATTATAGCACATACCTGGCATAGCTGAGTCAAATGTCGAAGCCAACTGCATAAGAATGTGAAGAATCCATTGCTTAACGAGGGCTTGCTGGCCCCACACCGCATCGTTTCGGTACATCTCACCCAGAAATGCAGCAGCGCCTTGGCGAGACTCGACGTCCCACAGTGTATTGGCGACAAGGTCCCCCAAGCGCTGGCATACTCCTAGTTGGAAGGCTAGATCACGCCGGCATGGCGCTTCACAGACCAAGGTCTTGAACTTGGCGAGTTGACCGTCCCGAAGCAGTGTGTCTGTTCCGCGCAGTGCTGTATACCAGGCACGTTTCTGGTTGGAAATGAGACCGACCTTGAGAGATTCCAACAGTCCTTGCCCACTCTCAGCCAGTGCGCTCACACCTTCATAGCCGATTTTCGCCACCTGGATCACCTCTCCTAGTCCCTCCTGAAGATGCCCGAGTCCTGTGATGAAGCCGTTGATATCTAGACCTTTTACGGCGCTAACTAGTCCCGAGACGCCCTTCAAAACAATTCCGGTACGCCGCATCGTTGCTTGCCAGGGTGATTCATTGTCTGGGACGCACTGCAGCGCTTGGAAGGCGTAAGCGGCCTGGTACACCAAGTAAGGGTCGCTACTGGCTTGCAACCCATTCAAATAGGCAGAGAGTGGCTCGTGCAGCTCTACGCGCTTTAAGCCTGAGACCTTGGTATCGGTCATGGCATCCAGGACATTGGACACCGCGAGCGTCAAATGGTAGATATGTGCCGGAGACTGATTATGAGTGTCTTGTAGGCGGGTGTTGAGGATACGTAAAATCGTGACTAGGTCATCAGCATCGAGATAACCTGGGGAAGCGCCTTGCATCAGTTGCGCCAGTCCCTTGAGAGAATGGACATCCAGCAAGCTGGACTGTTCGATGCCATTGACAAAGAGCATGAGCAAATGTTGGAAATCATCCTTCTCGAGAACCGGGCTCAAGCATACGACTTCTGCAACGGCTTTGGCATCCTTGAGCTCATCGCGAGTGAATGCTCGGACCACATCTGTCGCCAGCGTTTTAAGTCTCTCCTTCTCCTCTGCATTCTTCTCTGTGGATTTCACCCAATTTCCTGCGGCTGGTTCAAAGACCTCTTCGGACGACAGCGTCACTTGCAGAAGGCCAAGGCAGTAGGCGAGCTGGGAAGTATCGCTGAGTCGCTCATCTGCCTCTGGCAATGCGATCTTGACTGTAGGCTGACGCATGTCATCGGGAAAGATATCCTCAGAGACCCGTGCCATGTCGCGGCAGGCACTGTCGGTGGCAGAGGAAATTACAGAACTTGGATCTTTTGTAGGACGCACATGGCTGTTGAAGTCAGAGGTCAGTCCACAAAGCGAGAGATGCGTTAGGTGCGACGTACGATATAGCCGGCTAATGCGAACAAGTAGAGAGCAGGCACCTGTCACTTACCCCCACTTCTCTGCCCTCTTGTAGCTGACCTGCGCCATTTCACTATATCCTAAGCTCTCCAATAAGTTGGCGTGCTCGAAACAGGCGCCGGCGAATCCATCGCGTAGGGCTTGATCCTCGACGGACAGGGAAGTTGTAAAAGTCTTTTTCGCTGCTCTTTTCATCCGGGATAATGCAGCCTCCGCATCGTCGCGCAACACTAAAGCAATTTCCCGATCCTTGGTCTTGCGCGCATTCTCCACGTAGATGTTGGTGAGCTCCAGTTCCTTTTGTGCTGAGAGAGCCTTTCGCGGTGACGAGAAAGTTCTGCCAAACATGTTGCTTCTCTGAGGGAGTTTCTCCTTTTATCATTGGACAGATGGGGGCGATATTAGTGACCTTGTGGGTCGATTGATATACCTGTACGAGTAGCCAGTATACGTACTTATACCTGACAAGCACTTCAGTAACGCAATGGGAACTAATAAGTCGCCGTGGGCCGGTATACTACAGACGCAGTGGCACCAGAATGAGCTATCGTAAACCAAAACACTTTAATATACATAGCAGCCGCATGAACTAGATCATATGTAGCTGCTCTGCCAAGTGATGGCGCCCCACCTCGGAAGTGTCTATTCGACTCTTGTTTCCATTGATTGGATGAAGAGGTAGTCCTGAAGAATTGACCTCTCCGTACCTCCTAGCAGCGATGCCAACTGCCCACCGTGAAGCATGCAGGATTAATAACTTTATAACATGCCTGCAGCCTGCTATCGACTGACAAGAAACAGTGCCTCGCCTCAACAGGAATCTGTTTCTTGAGTTCTTTCACCAATCGAGGATATGATCCGTCTCCGTGCAATATTCTCTAATCCAATTCTTTGTTTAAGACAGCCTGCACACGAACAAGGCAGTTGAGTGGAGTGATATTCGCTTCCCACGTCACTTCTAGCAGAGATTCCTGTGCGCATGAAAGAAAGGAATATTATCCATTGCACATGAATGGCTGCTCTCCTGATCTCGGCCATTCTAGCATTAGCACTCTTGACTCGACTGTAGCTATTCAGGAACATTTAGGGATGGGGCTTTGGCAGATAAACTGTGTCTTGTTACCAATGAGTCGCCGCTGGGCTGTGCTTATTGAGATCGAGCAGAGACGTACGACAGACAGAAGAGCGAGAAAAGATGAGAAAGATAAATGGCAGTTCCTGATGGATTGAGAGAGGGAGAATCTGGGCAAAAGGGAAAGTGGGAAAGTGCGAAAAGAAGGAAAACGAGTGCAAAGACACACATCCATCCGCCAAACGGAACCCCATGCTTGTAGTCATATTACTCCCTCGCCCTCGTGTAACGTGTGTGGGCTCTCGGATGCAGAGGAGAGAAAGAAAACAACACTGAGAATTGTGCAATTAGCCACCACAATGTTCCTTGCTTATCCTCTCTCGCCACTTCAGCATCATTCTGACTTTGAGGCGTTCAGCCATAATCCGACGGATGATAGCTTCGGGCCATTGCTTGCTCAGGTAGGCCCAAATATCAACTATCCGAATAAACGATTATTATTGCAACATTTCATCAGTAGGGCAAACCTAACCTGTCTCACGACGATCTAAACCCAGCTCACGTTCCCTATAAGTAGGTGCACAATCCAACGCTTACTGAATTCTGCTTCAGTTATGGCAACCTCGCTATTAACGCTTGACTGCCACAAGCTATTTGATTAGCATACTTTATTTCTCCTGCTCTAGCAACCGCACTTTTACCCCTTACAGCCCGCAGTTCTTTTCTTTACAACCTGCACTTTTTTTCCTTACCACCCGCACTTTTTTCTGGACACGTTCCATGCAACCCATTTAGAACCTGGATTCCTGAAGATCCAAGGATTGAAAGAGCCTTGATCAAAATGGTATTCAGTTGTATATGGGTTGGTTTAATTTGACTGCAGTTCCCATGGTAATGAAGGCTGTAGCTGTTAATCTCAGCGTGCTGCAGACGGCGGATGGGCTCTATTGCTGGAATATCCGTGCTCTCCTACCAGGGCATCCCTGCTTGTCTGTCGTGATGGGCGTGATCCTCGATTTGCATGATGTCGTCTTAGTACAGTGTGCTGTACAACTCTTCAGTCAGGTAAGTTCCTTGCATCTTCCGCCCTCAAGTTTAATTACCCCAGGGATGTCTGCATAATACTGAGGGTCAAAATGCAAAGATTATGTAAACTAGTCTATGTAGGATCGCGAAGTGCAGTGAATCGATATTACAATGAAATATAGCGAAAATGGGACCCATTCCTACTTTTCTATCCCACCTTGCGCGGTCTAAAGTTAACTGTACTGCCCCAGCATAAGTTCTTACCAAGGTGCTCGAGTCCCGTCTACAGCATCACAGCACCAGCCATAAAAGAAGCACGGTAATGAATAGAAATGGTCGAGAATTTATTTATTTTGATGATGATGTGCATGGTCCAGAGGCATGGTTTGGTGCCTTGCAAACGCATAGGAGCACCTCCAGGACGTAGGTATGCACTAGCCTCCGGTTAAAATAGCACCGCCTTGGTCTTCCATCTACCCCGGCACAACTTCTTAGTTCATCTCAGCGAGCTCCTCGACCTGTCATTTCACACCTCCATCGCTGCTACCGTCACCATGGCTACTGTCGCTTGTGTACTTTCCAGCCAAACTGGCCCCTCCTTCGATACGTTGAGGTACTCTAGCTTATGACACATCCAGTCCTGTGGTTGGCACTGCACTTTCTCAATGGCGACGTTCTCATCCTTCTTCGGTTCCAGACCCAGGATACCATGGGTCCCCAACGATGGTACCTGAGAATTAGCCAACTCTAGGCAAGGCGTTAGGGTCCTGTGGAGAATCGGGCTGATTACTTCCGGACTGAAATTTCAGGTCGAGAGCCGTTAGGTGCGAAAAGGGGCTTCCGAGTAAACGGGGTACTTCACAGCTTATGGCGGACTGAGAAGAATAAAAGGATGTTATTTGGTGGCAACTATCAAAGACCCTGTGGACACTTTCGTTCAGCAACGGCAGATACAAATACAGCCTCTCCAGACTTGGACAGAATGACGAGGAGAGGCCGCATATAAGCGTAGTTGATGTGCATGAATACCATAGCGAGGTTAGCTCTTGTAAACGAAGATATCGCTGTATGAAATCGAGTTGACGGGGCCCCAGAAAGACTTTATCGTTGTTGAAGTCCAAATTCTGCATGTGAGGGAAATACGGGCCGCCTGGCCAATGAGCTGAAGCTCGCCATGCCTTCTCCTCCTAGGACAAGTCTCCAGTAAGAGTTCCATACAATCTTGAGCAATTGTCTCGAAAGTGATACTAAGCCCCCAAGTCGGACAAGCGTGACGCATCGCCTTTTAGAAGCTGTTCCTTGCGGACGAGATTAGTGAGGGAGCTGCAGATAGTGGGGCTGGAACGTGCACAATCGAGATGGAGGTCATGAAGACGTGTGCATGCCTTGATGAAAAAGTCATGTCCTTGTTGACCCACGTAGAGAGGTCGGATGTGTTTGTGTGCTACTCAATCACTTTTATGCTTGTCTCTGGAGACATTTGCCCAGTCGAATGTAAGAATAGATCAGACTGCTGCTGCTGGACTTGTTGAGAGACTGCACTGTAAGGTGCCCAATTCTTCTTATGGACCATTCATAAGGCAAGAGCCAGCATGGTAGGGCGTATCTTCCGTCCTATTGCCACCCTGTTCAGGTACTAAATGGGCGGAGTGGGCCGCCGATCATACTCCAATATTTGATACAAAATGTGTTCAGGGGGTTGAGCTTAAATCCGATCAGCCAGGCACAAGTGCAAGTCATTTGTCTGGATAAGCTTGTCATCCAGTGGAACATGGATATCTTGATTATCTGTCTCACTACGAAAGAGTGGGTGGTACAACATACTAGTTTAATAAGATTAACCGCTGACTCGTTCTTCCATCGACATCGCCATCCGCCATTTTTAAGCAATGAAGGCAGTGGGCCTCCCTAAGATCCTGTGCATAGTGGCACGCTATCAGACCGGATCGGACCTCTTCTCTCCTGTGATCGTAAACAAGAACTGGAATCGGCCTTCACTCCCCACCTCTACTCTATGATTGTTTGGCCATTTTTGAAGGAACCGCTCAGCAAGGATGCTCTCTGATGGCCGTGCAGACCAAATCCGGCACTTATGATTCCATGTCGAGCCCAGTGGCTTCCCCTTGGTGGCATATACTCTCGTTTGAATCTCGCTGGCCAATCCTCGAGACCTAAAGGCGACTTGCGGATGCTGTGAGTCGGAATCCTACTTTTGGTGACGTGTCCCTGAAGCTTCAAACAGGTGTCATCTTCAAGTTTGCAAAAGCCTTGTCCTCGGGTAGCGCGAGGAAGCTCTAGGCAGAGGCTTACTTTGACCGTAATGTCTCGGACCTGTTCCCTATGGCTGTTTTCACTAAAGAATTGCATCTTTCTGCGCTCGGTGCAGATTTCGATGCCATAGACAGGTGACCCTCCCTTTTCTGTTCACTTACGACACTTGTACTTCAAAGGAGCCGTCAAGGTTAGTCTAAAAAATCATATTGAGTTCACTCGAAAGCGCTCAAGTCTGGAATCCCTTGGCTAGGCAGCCACCGGTACGGTGGTTCTAGATTTCCAGGGCACCGGGCTCTTCAAGCCTGGTTCTCTTCCAATTCTTCAGAGCCTCCACATTAAGCACTCAGTGCTGCAGGACGAACAGGTCGCTGAGATACTGAACAGCAGCCTAGTGCTGACACCCAGCAAGCCAAGAGCTACTCTTTTTGGATCCTGGATATTCCGATCGCTAGTCCAGCACTTTTCATATCTGAGATGCTTTGAGCTGCAAGCAACCTTGGGCGTGTCTAGCATGATGGTGCAGCAGGTACTTACAGCCTATCCTGTGCTTGGAGAGTTAGCTGCAGAGAAGGTGGACGTTAAACATATTCTTGGAGACGTAGAAGGTGCAGATCAGCAGGACACAGCATTTCACCTGCAGGATTATACCTATTTGAACTTGCGAATGCTGCGGATCTTCTCCTATGGATTGAGTGACAAATCGCTGGAATGACATCGTGCAGTCTTTGAGAAACTCCCGCGACTGAGGAAGTTGGAGGTGTTAGACGTCATTTATTATCGTCAGTCAGAAAGCATTGTTGTACTAAGCAATGGCCTTTCTCTGCGGCTGGAATGATTAAACATGATCGAGGCTAGACATGCTCGATAAGAGATGAGTGAGGAGGAGATCGACTGGATGTTCGAGACCTGGCCGAGACTAATGCAGGCCAGTGGGCTGGTCTATGCCTTGCAGAGTCGATGAGGCAGAGTTGACTGAAAGGCTAGAAGAAAACTTGTCGTAGAGACAGCGAGCGATTGGATGAAGTGTGGTTAGGCTCAGTATTCGCGGAAGAGGATCTATATGCGTCTAGGGGTGTTAGACACTACTTTTTGGCACTAAACTCAATGACATTCACTACATCCTCTTCATCAACTGCCTGATGCATAGACATTATTGTTATCTCCATGCAAGACGTGCCATGTTTTTTGAAAAAATAAATGGACAAGACAATTTGGACCAACGTTAGAATGTGAGATAATCAAAGGCCGGGCGGAATGCACGATTTGATCGAGGCTTCTAAGAGCCGCTTATATAGCGTGCACTATGTGTAAAGGCATGATACCCGTGGTGCAGAGCTGTCTTTTTTGTTGCTCTTTCTCATCACGTCCGCGAATCGGACTGGGGCCTCGCTACGCGCAATGGTTAGGACAAGGATACCCAGTACATCTATTACTATATTTCACTACATCTTTTATGCTTCTGCCTTCAGCCATGCCTCTTTAGTGAGCTGAACTACAGAAAATGTATGCTGCATCTGAGCATAACGGCGCATTTTAATCAGGGCCATGAGCCATGGCGGATACAGCAACAAACAAATGGCCGCACAGCCCAAGGATACCATTGTAGTTATCCATTTATTGACAGTCCGATAGTCCGATGTGCTCGAGAGGCAGCTCTATATTTCACGGATATTTCTTTCTACCTGTAAAAGCAATATGTAGGCACAGGATTATGCACAGTTTTATTACCGCTCCTGTACAAGCTACTCCTATTTTCCCAAAGTCCTGTTTAGCTAGTGACTTTATAAAGAGAGAGCATATAGTCACAATGGCGTAAAATAATCAAAACATTAAAGCTGCACCTGAGCTTTCCCGGAAAGAAGCAAGAGTCGAGGGTTGCGCTCATTTAGTGATCTGGAAAATGAAGGAGATCGGTTCCAAGGTTCCGGAGAAAAAAAAGAGGGGGATGCGCGTTCTGCTGAAAGATCTAAGTAGATGGTAAGGAAGGTGACGGATCTGCTTTTTGAGGGCGTCCTAAACACGCGTTTTTTTGTAACGCGCAACAAGAATTGTCAACAAGGACACACAGACGGCAGAATGAGTCTTGGCCTGATTTGGTATTTTGCGGGGTAGCTCAACAGATATTTTCCACCGTGCAAAAAAAATAAAAAAAATACGAAAATGGAAACCTCCGACCGCACTGTCCACAAGTGTTTCCGTGGATAGTACCAGAGAAAACAAACGCCCGTGCTCTTTTTATTTTTTTTTGCTTTATTTTTTGTGATCAGTATCTCGTTGTTAAGGGAATGGAGACATAAAGACTTGAGAGGAAATATTAAAACAAAGACCAGCAGCATTGGGCACCTTTATTCTCGGGAAATAAAAGAAACGACTTTTAATCACAGGTATATAGTCAATGAAGGACGGCGATCTACGCTGCACCCAAGAATGAGAGATGCATGGGTGTTTGACGTGCAGCCTCAGGTTGTTTTTCTAGAAACACGTATCACGCGTATACTGCGTATCTCTTGAAGCTAACCAACCACGCGTCTACGGATTTAAGGTTTGAATGTGACATGTGCAAAGATAGCCAATCAAGTGAGTGGCAGTGATATGGGATTCTTGCTCCAATAAGCGCGTGTTTGGACCAGAGAGCGTTGTGCGGGAGATAAGGGCGTCCATCCTACCTGTGCAGACTAGTCCAGTCAATGACGAGGCATGGCGTAGACACATACAGGTTGGACGACATGGGATGGTCAATGCACTTGGCAAAGTCCGCCCCCTCCTCCGCTGTTGCTTTTCCTCGGTTGAGTTTGATCGTCCTCTTTTCATTTTTCATACACCTCTTCCTAGCAAAGGAGCAGCAGAAGCAGGCATGTACGCATTCTCTTTTATTCATTCTCTCGAGAACGACCGGTCGTGAAGTAAATGTGCTAAGCCTGGTTCAGATTGCAACAGCTTGTCGGCGCACCGTTATAGAGATATTCGTGCCACTGGATTTTGGTGGCTAACAACAGAGCACACATGTATTTTGTTCCTGACACTTTTAGTCCGCAGCATAGTTCAACGTCGATCAGAGGCATCATTGCTTAGGGGAGGTTTCTCTGTTTCTTTATTCCTTCTTCCCCTATTCTGTAGATTCTTGGGTTTGAAGATCATTATAGTCGTTAGAAATAAAAAATATGATGAAGGGAACGACAGCAATGTGCAGTGCGAACAAAAGGAATCATGGGTGCAGAAGGAGCGATGTTCATCTGGACGCGCCGCAGGTAAATGGCGTCTTATCAGAAAACGAGAGACGTCTCTAGACCTGACTAACAAAGCATCCCAGCTCCTATCTTAATATTGCAGGGATAGGATAAGATGTCTTTTTCTGCTCCTTCCTCAGTCTTCAAAGATAGGGTGTAAGGAGTAGGATTTGCCATGTGTCTACAAGGGCTGAGCCCTGCCCTCTATCAATCCTCTTCCCCGGACAGACACGTCTGCCATATTCGTCAGTAAGGTTTTTGGGTCCAAAGGAATTGGGCCTTTCCCTATCCCTCCTATCTGTGGCACCGTTTACAATAGTCTCCACTCAAATAACAGGGACTCAGTCGGACTGCCCACGGACAAAGTGCAGCGCGTGCTAAAGAAACATATTTAGAGTTCACCTGCTCGGCATCGACTCAATGCTCCGGATCCTCCTAACGTTTACTCTGGACTCAATTGCCGTGAACAAGGGGAACCCTGTTTTTGCTGTAGCTGTTTGTTTTGTTGATGCATTTAGATTGTATTGCTGCTGCTGCTCAGCTCTCGCAATACATCAGAGTATGTGTGGGGAATTGGATCTGCTTATGGATCTACGGCTTTACTTGGACTTTGTATGCGCACAACACTCACGGCAATCTCCTTCTGGTCCTGATCCTGATCCGATCCATGCCCCATTATAAATACTCCTGCCCAGCGCACTTCTCCCAAGTCATTGTCCTTCTCTCATCCACTCCTCCAACATCACCTTCTGCTTCACTCTTCGGTCCTCGTCAAGGATCTATCGTCTCCTCCTTATTACTTTTTTTGTACTCGTGCATCCGCGTGCATATCTGTGGTTACCACTAAAAGCGACCAAACTTTCATACCCCCTTCGTATACCCCTACCGCAATGGACAACACAACCGAAGCACCACGCATCGGATCAGAGTACGAGGCTGGCGATATCGCCTGGACCCTCGCATCCACTGCCCTGGTCTGGCTGATGATCCCTGGTATTGGCTACTTTTATTCTGGCATGGCGCGTAGCAAGAACGCGCTTTCCCTGATCATGCTCTCCTGCTGCTCCCTCGCTGTCGTTACCTTCCAGGTACTATACATCTTTGCAACTGCAGTCAACAACATCACATCACCAACATTCCAGGCACAACACTATAATCTAAAAGTAATACTTGTAATCTAACACCTCCGCTTTATTACTCTCTCGCTCCTTGCCCTACAGTGGTTCCTCTTCGGATACTCATTAGCTTTCAGTAAAACTGGTAGCAAAATCATCGGAAACTTCGATAACGCCTTCCTCCGAGGCGTCCTGGACGCTCCCTCCGTGGGCTCGTCTAAAATCCCCGACATCGTCTTCATGATCTATCAGTGCATGTTCGCAGCTCTCACACCCGCCCTAGCCATTGGTGCTGCTGCTGAGCGTGGTCGCATTCTCCCAACACTCGTCTTTATCTTTCTCTGGACCACCTTCGTCTACGACTTCCTTGCCTGCTGGACCTGGAGCGCCAACGGCTGGAGCTTTGTTATGGGAGGTTTGGATTTCGCAGGCGGCACGCCCGTTCATATCTCGTCCGGTGGTGCTGCTTTGGCTTATGCGATCGTCCTTGGGAGACGTTCGGGCGACCACAAGGACTTCCGCCCTCACTCAATGAGCAACGTCGTCATCGGCACCTGCTTCCTCTGGTTCGGTTGGTTCGGCTTCAACGGCGGCTCTGCTCTTTCTGCCAACTTGCGCGCTGCCATGGCCTGCGTCGTCACTAACCTCGCTGCTTCGGTCGGTGGTATCACCTGGGTTTTGCTCGACTACCGCCATGAGCGTAAGTTGTCAGTCTTGGGCTTCTGCTCCGGTGCCGTTGCAGGACTGGTTGCCATTACCCCTGGATCTGGATATGTCTCCCCTGCTTCCAGCGTCGCAATCGGATTCTTGGGCGCCTGCGCTTGTAACATGGCTGTCCGCCTGAAGCACCACCTCAAGTACGATGATGCTTTCGATGTCTTCGCAGTTCACGGTGTTGGTGGAATCGTTGGCAACATCTTGACCGGTATCTTTGCCCAGAAATGGGTTGCTGCTTTGGACGGTGCCACTGTCATCAACGGTGGATGGTTGGACGGCAACTGGATCCAGGTCCCTTACCAAATCGCAGATTCTTGCGCGGGTCTCGCCTGGTCCTTTGGTGTCACCTTCTTGATTCTCGTCATCATGAACAAGATCCCTGGACTCACTCTGCGTGTCAAGGCTGACCACGAGCAGCGTGGTTTGGATCTTGCTGAGCTCGGAGAGATGGCCTATGGACATTTGGATGAGAAGGCCGCCAATATCAACGGCATCGATCACTCGATGGATATTGGACGTGCTGGCTCGGGCTCCCAGAGCACCGATAGCGTCAACGAGGTCAAGTTGGGCAGTGTTTCCACTCTTGGCCACCCCATCACCAATTCTTCCGCATGAGCAAAATGAAAAACGAATAGAAATACCTTAGAAACCCTCTTCTCAATAATCCCCTGTAATATACAAAAAAATAAAATTTACCAAAAAATTGTACAGCAACACCGCCAGGGATGTACGCTAATATGAATGCCAATGCTGTTTATTACTTCCATACATGTAAGCAGTTGAAGTCCCTTCAAAGATCCTGGTCTGGCTCGCTCTGCTCTGCGTCAACACCTAACTTTATCACTACTTCGGAACGTCCTCGAGTCCCATGGCGAACTTCATGATCTCTGACTTGAAGGGACCCATATTATCAACAGCGGTCAAACCTAGAGAGCGAGCCCAGACAATCGGTCCAAAGTCAGTGTTGTACAGCTTCGACAGTTTGTCAACTGTTCCAAGCATGGCCAAGTTTGGAAGGAAGCGCTCGCTCGAATATGGAGTCAGGGAGTGGATGTTGCCTACAAAGCACATGATCGTATTAGAATGAAGAGTCGCAGTAAAAACGATAGTATTGACTGAATGGTGCTCTAGTTTACCAATGTCGGATCCACTGAGAAGACTTTGTTCGATGACGCGAGCGAGGCATTCCACATCTGCCAAGCCCTGGTTAAGACCCTGGCCTGCCAAAGGATGAACGGTATGTGCGGCATCTCTAGTAGTTTAGTAATTTGTATCAAAAAGATGGAATTGTGTTGGCCAGCTAATTTTCTGCTGGATGCGAGACGCTAAGGCACATTCTGTCTGTGAGCTTACCCAACAAGGACAACACGATCCTCGACATAGCTGTTAGAGTTGCGCATTCTCAACGGAAATGGTGCTCGAGTGTTCTCCTGGACATCCACAACCATGGGCGGCTTGGGATCCTCGCCACCGGTGCCACGGACCATGGTCTTGGATGCCTCCATATCTTGTACGCTAGCACGCCACGAAATTTCCTGCTGAAAGTCCACAAGGGGCTGGCCATCGGCTCCAATGTTCTTGTACAAGTATTCTAGATCCGCAGGGCTGGCATTGAATCCTGCGTTCACCAATGCACAGAAATCACGCGGTGGCAGCTTTTTGAGATCCTGTGCAATCTTAGGCGTTGTCGACCAGACCAAACTGGCGAGTCCATTGTTCAACTAATTTAACATCCAGAAGTAAGAATAAGCGTTAGGGTGGTGACCTCCCTTTGCATTCTTTTTTTTTTTTTCTGCTCGCATTCCTATGTTCCTGACGTAGCTTACAGGCAACATAGCGATGGGCCCGGTGGGCAAGAATCTCTGCCATGCAACCCCCCTTCCATGTCCTGGTGCCGTAGATGTCAATGGATCGACCTTGAGGGTGGCAACGAGTCCAAACTGTCCGTAATCCCATCCCAGTGACTCGATATTAGCGAATGACCTCACAGGCGAGTTGACACCATCGGCTCCAACCAGCAATCTCGTCTGCAGTTTCTTGCCATTGTCAAGTTCGATGACTGGCCAGTCCGAAACATCCAGGTGCGTTGGGTCTGCTGCCTCAGCGGCCTCTCTTTGGCTGGCAGTGATCCCCTGAACCTTGGTCTTTTCAAAGATATCCAAGCTGACGCCGCGCGCCTGGTGCGACAGGATCTGTTTCTGAAGACCATACTGTACATGCAGATTCTCCGTCATCCATGCCAGGGGCGATGACTCCTGATTACCCACAGTCCTTTCCTGAAACTCGCTTCCATTCACGTTGATGTTGCTAACTTTGGGTCCAGAGAACACCTGGTGCAAGAAACTCGACTGAGTGCTATTCACATTCGCGGCATCGAATGTGATCCTCGCGCCACTGACGCCATCCCAGACCTGCATCCCCTCAAGGCCGGTAACACGCGAGGGATCCAGTTCTGGCCAAACGCCAATGTTTTTCAAGAATGCGACGGATTTCGGAGTGAGAGACGATACACGGTTTGAATATTGATCCGCACGCGGGGACCAGTTAATATGGTTGCTGAGGTCAAATGCCTCGATGAGGGCGATCTTTTGCGTGCTGGAGGCCTTTCCGGATGCTATCAGAGCAGTAAATTGTGCGGTCATTAGCACCAGAAACCAGTGAACTAGTAGCATTGCAAGCAGAATCCTTTCGTCAAAGTCCAAGGAATCGTACCGAGAGCACAAGCCAGAGCACTTCCTGCGATACCCCCTCCAACGATGACCACGTCATACTGCTCCGGAGCTGCCGCTGTTGAATCTGTAGACTGGAAGCGAATGGGTGTCATGCGCCGATGTTGCGAGCGCATGGAGGTCAAGAGACAGGCTGTCGTTGCTGGGCTCAAGCGACTCCCGAATCCACTTTTTGCCGCGCGCGAGAATAGTTGTATGGCCATTGAGGATCGCTGTATTTGTTTCCTTGTTCCTTTGCTGATGTGTTGCTGCTGAAATGTGCGCTGAGAGTTAATGCTGGCAGTAAGGTCAGGCCACTTCCTCTTGTGCTGCACAGCGCGAGAATGGCCGGAATAGCATTCCCACAGTCACTGCCGATGCGCGCACAACCGCGGTGCCGCCAATTGCGAGGAAGCATAAATTTCGCGTCGTGTTTCTCCTGCCTTCGACCTTTTCAACCCCTCTTTGCTCCATTGTAACTTTTCCTATTCAGCTCTCTTGAATAACATGTCCATGGATCAAGTCGTTCGAGACCAGGAAGATCTGGTCGAAGACGAAGAGGAGGAGGTATCAGGATGTCACAGCCATTGGAGTCGCTACTCTTATCTTCTTATCCTGCTGAATATTTCATGGCGCGTTCACCCCCCCCCCTAACCTCAACACTTTTCTGCTCCCACATTCACCTTAAACCACAAGGAGCTCTTCTTCACCGGTATGTTTTCTGCTTCCCATTCGCTGTCGTCTCTTTAAGCGCTTCATGCGAGAGTGATTATGGCGGTAACGAGGGTAATCCGTGAATGAATGCTCAAACATTTTTACCATGGTATTAAACTCAAAATAGAGATTGATGAGCTCCAGAACCATGGGATCAATGCTGCCGATATCACCAAGCTGAAGCAAGCTGGAATCTGCACTGTCCGGGTATTGTTTAATATTTCAACTTTCAGCTCGTCGAAGGATAGATCAAATACCTTGAATCTGCTTTGTCAGAGATCCTTATGATGCCGCTTTTACCTACCCACTTTCTGACACAACATAGTCGGTGCAAATGATGACCAAGAAGAGTCTCTGCCGGATCAAAGGTTTCTCTGAGGCAAGTTTAGCGGTCCACCGACAGAGATGTGAATTGGTGGCAAACTCGGACTACTGAATTTTACGATCGTTTCGATTTCTAGGTCAAAGTCGACAAACTCAAGGAAGCAGCAGCAAAGCTCCAGAGCGCATCCTTCATTACGGGATTGGAATACAGTGTCCTGCGCAAGAAGGTCATTGTGATTTCCACCGGAGCCAAGCAACTAGACGAACTACTCGGAGGCAAGCTGCTAGGTCAATATAGGTGGTACGTTCAAGTCCTTCGTCTATAGCTAAGCAGGCACAGGTATATTTTATCTTCTTGTAGGAGGCATTCAGACGATGGCAATCACAGAGGCCTTCGGCGAGTTCAGAACTGGCAAGACACAGATCGCCCATACTCTCTGCGTAATGGCTCAGCTCCCTGCTGCCATGGGCGGTGGCAATGGCAAGGTAACACGTGTATCATCAAGTTGCTCCATCTTTTGTATTGTCCTATATGCTTGGCAACGGTTATTCACCCATTTTCCGCCACTAGGCTGCATATATTGATACTGAGGGTACCTTCCGCCACGGGAGAATTAAGGCCATTGCCGATCGATTCGGCATCGATGCTGAGGCCGCACTCGAGAATATTCTGGTTGCACGTGCATACAACTCTGAGCATCAGATGGATCTCATTACTGAAGTCGCTGCGCGGTTCGCTGAAGAAAAGGGCATCTTTCGCTTGCTGGTATGTTACTTTAGTAAAGCTTCCAGCGCTTACCAGACTTGGTAGCGTCCTTCGGTAAATATATATCCACAAAAACCATCCATTGCTCCTCTGTTACAACTAGGTCATTGACAGCATCATAGCCCTGTTTCGCACTGACTTTTGTGGCCGCGGCGAGCTGTCAGAGCGTCAGCAAAAACTGAACCAGATGCTCAGTCGCTTGACCAAGATTGCGGAAGAGTTTAATGTAGCTATCTATCTCACGAATCAAGTTCAGTCGGATCCCGGGGCTACTATGACTTTTGTCGCAGACCCAAAGAAGCCTGTCGGCGGCCACATTATGGTAATCAGGAGCGACTTTGTGTACCCGCGTTGTTGATGATTATGAATTGAGTGGAGATAATTGACGCGTTCCTTGATTAAATTTTTCCATTGTCTCAAGGCACACGCCTCCACGACCAGACTGTACCTTCGTAAAGGACGAGGCGAAGAACGCATTGCCAAAGTGTACGATAGCCCTGATGTCCCTGAAGCTGAGGCCCGTAAGTCCATGTGCAAAGTTCCTGCAGAGACATATGGAGCTGCTTTCGTGAATACAGATGTTGATTGATGATATCTATGTCTTTATGGAACCTCACCCTGGTAGCATATGTGATCTCGGCAGGTGGAATCGTGGATGCCACTTGAGCGATGAACATGGGCAGTCTACCCTTTCACATTCTTTGAACTCTTTGCAAAGCCTTGCGCCGTCTAGTGGGACCTTTCAATTTGCGTTTTCTTCCTTGCACTACTTGCTTCCACCCAAGGATAGCCTCAGGCATCAGGCAACCGATCTCTGGCTCAACCCCTTGGCACTTTTCTGTAGTTGCCATTTATTCTGCATATATATCTACAATACAAACTGCAGTAGTAAAAAAATGCACATAAAAGCACCGAGGCGTAAAGAGACAGAAAAAGAGACTGAAAGCGCATGCAGAAAAGATAGAGTGCTGGATCGAGATAAGACGAACGGAAACAGGGACGGCGGCGATCAAGATGGAAAACATTTAGAAGGAGTGAAGACGATAAGCTGCCCCTTTGTCACCAAAGTGTCTACACAGATCTTGAAGGTGAAGGTAGGAGAGTCAGGGTGGGGTATTGGGTCTGGAGCGTGAGCCATGGGCTTTTTCCCCAGTCTTCAATATACAATACTATACAAAATGCAACTTTTCACCATAGGGGGCAATGTGCACTTTAATGGCTCTATCCTTTCGTCTAGTTAAAGCGATGCCTTATTGGCAGGGACAATCATGTAGCCGCTCCGGGGAAAGTGGATCACCACATCGATCTCTGGATGGCTAGCTAATGGCTCTGGACGGATGCTGACTCGGCGATGAGTGATCTCGACAATGCGCCCTTCCACAGGCACCTTGCCATAATCATTCGGTGTCACTGCAACAACATCGCCCACATGTCGTTTCTCCAACGGGTGGACATCTTCCTTCGACGACACAAAGCCATTGCTTCCTCCAGCCTGCTTCGCAACCTCGAGTGCCTCCTCAGCAGAAATCTTCACGCAGTCTTGTGTCGGATGTCTGTGTCGCTGGATGCAGTCCTTCATCTGCTTATACCATTCAAAAACACAGGGATATTGCTCTGCGGTGACATATTCAGGAGCTCGCTTGGTTGTCATTAACCACCAGACGATGGCGTAGATGCTAAAGTCCGCAATCGAGGGCAACGCTGTGCCTAGGACCCATCCACCCTCCGCACGCGGTGTCTGTTGTTGCTTCAGCGAGTGCATCGGGGTTTGCAATACAAGTTCCAGAGAATCGAGGTTGGATAAAAGCTGGTCAAGCAGGTAGGGCTGGGCTTGTTTGATGGCCTCGGCGTTGATGGATCGACCACCCGAGAGCTGAGCCCTGTCTGCCAAGAAGGCCTTGTTGCCGAACACCGCGTGCAGAGGGCTCGCCTTTTGTTCCTCCACACTTGCTCCCCATGGCATCTGGTCCTTAACATTGTTGAAGAGTTGTTTCTGCAAGCAGAGAGGGATTAGTCAAGGGGAGTGAAGAGGAACACTAAGAATGAGGTATCTAGTTGGGGAGCTTTTTGTGTAACCAAGAAGGAGGCAGATGGGAAATGGGGCAGGGATCACATATCTTGGCTAAAATGCAGCCGATCATAAACCCGATTCGCTCGATTGAAAAAGTGAGGTAATAATGGTAATAATTCAAAAAAGACTTACATCCGCCCAAGTGGTGATCATATCCGAAAGGCCCTTCGAGCAATCCTCTCCGGGGTATCGACGCTCGAGTTCGTGCAAGATCAGCGCGGTATCGCAATAGACATTGTTGCCAATCTGCATCACAGGAATCCGGCGATAACCATGAGCCAACGGCTCTAGCAGACTGCCGTTTCCAAGCAGATGGGTGGAGGTTGGGCATTTTCTTTAGTGATTGCTTGACGACGATCGGCTCATGACAAAGGTTGATCAATCGAAGCAGAGGATGCAAGGCAAAGCAAGGGTATTACAGTCTGGGCAACATGGGACTTGTGCTAACAGAGCACCAAGGAAGACCCTTGACGCGCAGCGCCGTGATGACTTTTTCGGCATATGGGGAACCTGTACATAAGGTTAGAGTCATTCGGACGCATGGTGTCAGTAAGTAATGGCAATTGAAGTACAACGGCAACTTAGGGGAGGAGATGCTTTCGTGTAGCAGTAGTACCTTGGTAGTGGTGGAGAATGATCTCTGGCTTGGACATAACGAAGCAGGTAGGAAATGAAGGAGTGGAGGAGAGTGGAGTGGAGAAGGAAGATCCGTGCTTCTAATTTATACCGCACATGTTTCCCACGGACTGAATGCCTCTCAGGGTTCAGGCGTGCACGGGGATCCTAGTCGCCGTCGTGTGGTGACTGTTGCGCTCCCTCTCCCAAAAGAGACGCCACTGTTCAAAGATCAACGAAAAAACACCTTTCCATTTCATTCGCCCATCCTCAACGAAATGGCTTCTGGCGAAAAAAGACGGATCAAGACCCGGGAAGCAGGAGGAAAGACTCCAACTCATGAAGACGCTACGCTCGAGCAAAAAGCTCCACGGGACTCTCTCGCTATTAGCAATAAGTTCGCCAGCCTAGACGGAGAGGATGACAGCGATATGACAGTGGACGAGCGGACAATCTTAGTGCGAAATAAGACTGTCGAGGAGAACACCATCAAGGAGACAGTAACAGTGTTGACTAGTACCAAGATCGTACACAGCACCTCCAATCATACAGAGAGTGTGCCAAAAAAGAGAAAGATCGATGAAGCTAACGGCAATGGTAGGCTATGATCTGCTATGGCACTCAAACGATTCAGCACCGTCGACCTCAAGTGACATGCTTTAACACGGTCTGCACACTTTCCTGCTTTGATCTGAACTACAGAGTCCATCCGGGAACTGTCAAAGCTTGAGCGCAAGCAGCTGAAGAAGAAGAACAAGACGATTGCAAAGAAATCAGAAGGCAACGGAAGCAGGCCATGCTTCATGCTTAGTCGTGACTACGACAAACTCAGCATCAAGGTATGTTCACACTCATCAAGCTCGTCTTCAGGATTACTATCAATACGACGAAGAATATCACCTCCAGTTAGCTAATGCGTCCTTGCTCCTCGCCGTTTGTAGGATATTCGGGACCTGGTCATATACCTACTGACAGAGACAAAGACATTGCCTTGGATTATGGTCAAGAACAAGTTCAGGATCGACAAAGTCCTTCTTCTGTATGTTCCAGGACTCGATCCTAATTTCTTCAACATCGATCTACAAGATCCAGAAGCGCGGAAGCCGATCCCCTGGGCGCAAAGGGCCATGAGTGGACCTGCCACGGAGTTTCAGCATCTCAAGACCTTTTTTGATGTCATGAATGTGATGAAGGCCGGAGGCGACAAGCAAAGAATCCATCATCCAGTCGACACACTTTTGAACGTACCTCTGAGCAATGCAGAGCAGCGGCGGAGAGATCAGGAGATGAAATCAAGTATGTCACGCTACATTCATACATGAAGGTCACCTGCATGTCCGCCTTCCTGGTGTATTCTAATGCCTTGATTTCTTTTGGTTTGTATAGAAAGGCTGGCCGCGAAGAATTTTGGACAGGAGCATTACATGTTAAGGATTGAAGACTTGAGGGAGAGCAACTTTCCATTACCAACGTATCTTGATTCGGATGCAAAACTTGCGGAGGAATGGTTCGAAACAAAACAAAAGACTTCGAGACCATCTGTTCCAAAAAAAATGGTCGCCATGGACTGTGAGATGGTATGACAGGATGATCACTCATATATTTGTTCCTCGATATATTTTCCTCCGCATCAACTTTCTAACTCTAATGCACCACTCTGTGCTTCTTTCTAGGTCCGGACAACTGCTGGATCAGAGGTGACCCGTGTGTCGGTGGTCGACGATGAAGGAGTGGTCATATACGACGAGCTGGTGATGCCTGATAACCCGATCGTGGACTATTTGACGCAGTACTCTGGCATGACCGCTGAGCGACTGAATGGCGTTACGACGAAACTAGCGGATGTGCAGAAGAAACTGCAGGAACTCGTCACGTACGACACGATTCTGGTCGGCCACTCGCTCGAAAACGACATGAAGGTGTTAAAGGTACGTTCAAGGAGATGAGTACCCAGCTGTTTATTATCAACTCGCGGTGTTTTTCATGACACTGATCGCCTCCCCCCCCCCCCCCCCCTCCTTTTTTTTTTATCTTACATGGATTAGTTTGCGCACCCATTCATCATCGATACCACAGTGGCTTTCCATCATACACGCGGACCACCCTTCCGACCCTCATTGAAATGGCTCGCGCTTAAATGGCTTCAGAGGAGAATCCAGGCTGGCGGCGATAAAGGCCATGACTCTGTAGAAGATGCCCGTGCATGCATGGATCTCGCCAAATTAAAGATTCGGGAGGGACCCGGTTTTGGGGAATATAATCAGGATCAAGAATCTATTTTTTCAAGAATATCGCGGCATACAACCCCAAGATCCTCTGCTGTGATCGACCGCGAGACGTTTATCGGACAATCAGCAGCGAGTACAGTTATTAAGGCGGCCAACGACACGGAGGTCGTCGAGGCAGTTGCGGGAGCGATCCAAGAACACAACCTTGTCTGGGCCCGGCTTCGGGGTATGGAGATTAACTATGGCAGGGGCCGACCATCGCCAGCAGAAGTGGACCCAGAGGCATCGGCCGGCACGAAGGCCTCTGCACCATCTACACCGCATGCTCCAAGTGCAGATAGGGATGAAACAGAAGCGACAATGGAAGAACTCCTCGAGGCGGTCAAGAGCATTGACAAGAGTATTGCTAAAATTATCGAGTCCTTGCCCGAGAACACAGCTGTAATTGTGACGAGTGGGCAGGGAGATCTCCGAGAAGTCCGGAGGATGCAGGCGCGCCAAAAGAATTTTCAAAGGCTGTACAATACTCTCAATCTGAGTGCTATTCCCAAGGAGGACCAGTTCTTGGACGAGGACCAGAAGGCATTGGAAGAGGCTGTGAACCGGGCCAAGCATGGTGTATGCTTTTTTATGGTGCGGTGAATGGGTACTACGTAATGCCATACCAGCTATTTCTCCAAGGATCACCATACAAATATAAAATGACTTCGCCCACATTCTCCCAACTTCTTTAATGCTCATTTGAATCGATATGTGGTTATGAGCTTGGTGTGGTTGTGGCTACGAATAATGTCTCCGCTTGGCAACAGTCGTGAAGGTCGACTGTAATGTTGGTGTGATAATGGTTCCCGTTGTCTTTGCTCGTTCCTTTTGTTCAACAAATGCCGAAAATAAGGCATGGACAAAGAATATGAAAGCCTTGGAGGCGATCGCCTTTTATTGCTTGCGCTGTATGTTCAATATAACAACAGATTCGTCGATCAAGCTTTCGTTTACCACCTTCCCTTCTCGCCATCCAAGGTCCTCCCAGCACAGCAGAACAGAGACATCTTTGTATTCAAATATACAGCACTTAAAAGTGATCCATGGCCCGTTCAACATTCTCTGGCGCAGATGCTGCCGAGGGATCGATCATAATCCAGGAGCTGGAAATCACCGTAGCCAACGACGAAGACGTGAATAACGATAACGATGATCTTAGTGGTGAACATGTTGGGGCAGAACAGGAACTACGTCGTGTCTTACAAGACGTTTTAAGTTCTTATGGGCCCGTCTATCCATTGAACAACGACTTTGATGGCTGTCGGGGCAAAGGTGGTGAAGCGTATGAAATGAAAGATCTCTCAAAGCTACACAGTGGGACCGAACACGAGTGCAACCTCGAGCATGCTCAAGGCCATGACCAAGATTTCGAAGATGAGGAGGAATACGACTACGGTGATAATGATGATGATGATGATGATGATGATTACGACTATGACTACGACTATGATTGCGATTATGGTTATGACCAGGAATATGACTACTCTCCTAAGTTCGACCTGAACTACTACTTGACCATGGACCATGGATCCGAGTTCAAGCGATGCGACTGTTACCACAAAGAGCACGACATGTGCATGCCACGCGTTGTGCCTGCGCCGACAGTCTTCTGTAGGAGTTGCGCCCGCAGGACTGGAAGGATGTGTCGGCGTTGTCGAAGATGCTTACAGAGCTGCTGTATCCATCGCAAAGTGGTCGCACCCCTACCGAGGGACCACCCTGAGAGATTGAAGGTCCGGGGACAGATTGGTGCGCGGTGGAAGAGCACGGCCTCAGGCGAGGAGTAGAGCAAAGTGGGTTGTTTGGAGAGGGAATAAAAATAGGGCGATGGAGAACTGCCATGCATGTTGGCCGTCTACGCCAAAAACGCCTTTTTGCTTAGGTCCTCCTAGGCCGCCTCTACGCGTCAGAACATGCTCTTCTACGAATAGGGATTGCCGCATGAAACTAGACTAGCAGCAGAGTTGTATCTTGGCGAGGATTTAAAGGGTATGAGGTAGACTATGAGGTATGAGCGAGTGAGACCCTTTTATCTTTTCCCGGATGGCTCGGCTCTTTGATTTTCTCTCACCACTTCCTCACCTTCTGCTGCACTTCTCTTTTTTTTTCTTTTTCCCGCCAAAAAGGCTCTATCCTTGTACTCCCACGATTCTTCAACTGCTCTCTCTTCCCTTGACCGACAAACTCCTTCTTCCCCTGCGTACCATGTGTGCACAGCGCTCTGCTTCTTCCGCACACCCGTCTAGCCTTACTGTGTGAATGACCAATCCTTATTCGCTGCACTCGACTATCCAAGCTCAATTCAAAAAGGCCATGAAGCTGTTCAGGCTCGATTTTGGGATCAGGGATCGCTACCGACGCGGTCTGACCCAGGGCACTCGAGCGAATCGGTCTCCTCAGTCCCAGGTTAGCCGTCCCGCCGTTTCTTCAGCTTGCGGGCATATTCTTTCTCACATGCCATGAACTCTTCCTCTCAAACTGACCACATCTTCCTTAAACCCAACATAGGAGTCGGCACTGTTCGATGACTACGATCCGCACCACCAAGCGCCCTCACCTTCGTCGCCCTCAGTCCTCTTCTCTGCCACAATCCCACCCCGCGAATCCCACGGAGGGCCACTAGACCAATGGTCCCAACTCGACCACTCCTCTCTCGCAACCTCCCACGCTGCCCCGCATTCCCATCACACTCGTGGAGGTCGACACCTCGGCCAAGAATATGACAACGGCGACGAGTACGAATACGAAGATGACAGCTCCAGTGAGGGATACATATCTTCATCCTCTTCAATATGTCCTTCACAGTCGTCTGAGGACGATGATGATGTAGAAGACAGCGACGAGGATGACGCCGGTGCGGGTGATTCTGCCGCTGGGGCAGAGGTTAAGCTGGACGAGCACCATCAGGAGGACTCCCGAGAAAACGATTCGTTGAGTTTCAGCCACCTTAACAGGAAACATTCTCACCCTCACCATAAACAACAGCAGCAACAACAGAGTTTTGATTATTATGCTAGCAGTCGGCGTCGCAGCACGGGGCTGTTGCCGCGCGCACCCATCCCGGCGATTGTACCGATGTCGAACAGAGAAGCCTTGGAGCAGGAGGCCAGGCAGAGACGGCTGGAGAGGCATATCGATAAGCGACGACAGTCTCTCAATGGAACCCAGCCTCTACCGTAAGTGCGATCTCTGTTGCTCCGCGTGTCGCTCCCTCTCCATCTCTCTCGAGAATGCTTCTGCATTAAGGCGAAAAACTTGAGATATACTAACGGTATCGTTCTATTTTCCACTTTGTTTTTAAGTGCTCCAAAGAGGAAGAGGCGAAAAAAGGGTAAGGACCTGCGGAAGCAGGTGCTGCTCAAGAACGCACAGTACCTGCACGAGTGACTGGATGGCAGCGAAGAATCCAGTTCATCCACTGGCGAAGAAGCCAACTCCTCTTCTGGCACCGAGGGTGTAGTCGTGGACTCGAATGACGAGGGGAATGACGGGGATGTGGATACCGAAGAGGACCCAGAAGAGGAAGACGAGGAGGACGAAGATGTGGAGCATGAAAGTGAGGAGGAGGACAGTGGTATAGATGAGGCGGAGGAGGAGAGTATTGACGAGAACGAAGAGAATGATGACAGCGATGAAGATGAACCGGAGGATGTACCAGACACTATGGATGGGGACGAAGACGACGACAACGAGACGTTCGAATCGGAACATATGGACAAGGAGAACGACTCACAGGATCCATATGGTGCCCAAGACGGACCACTACCCCCGAAAGGCTACGTCTTTTCGATCAACAGTGAAATCCATGCAGATGATACCGACACCACAGCAACCATCACAGCCACCAGCGCTGACAACAATTCCTCATCGCGGCTCACCTTCGATCGCGAGGATCTCAACAGCACAGCATACTCGTCGATAGTAGTAACAACCGTACCCAACACATTCTCTTTCCGGGCCATGCCGCTATCGCCAGACGCTATGGCGCCCATGCCTGTAGGAGCTTTCAACTCTGGCAGAGATATCCTCACCATCCACTGACGAAGCTGCTAAAATCAAATAAAATCCATTGTATCATATTAAACGACGATGTTCTGGTTTCTTGGTGGCGCTATGCCATATTAAGATTGCCTCCAAATCTTATCATAGATAATGCCCCGTCGTACGTAAAACCAAAAACGAATCCACTAACTTTGAAGGCTGTAGCTCAATGCACACGCACTACTCTTGAAAGACTACACTTATTAGGTCGTTATCAGTCATCTTTAGGGTGTTTTTTATTATTATTTAGTGAAAAGTCGATATGGTACAAGCATGGATGTGTTCGCCTAGGCCTCGTCTTCGAACTGCGCAGGGATTTAGTACTTCTGAACAGCGTACTCCTTCTCCTTAGAGATACGAGCAGCCTCGTTGATCGAAGGACGGTTCTTGCGAGGAGTATAAAAGTACGAGGCAATGCAGTAAAGGATGAATCCGAACAGTCCAATACCAGAGTAAGCCCAGCCCTTGGTGCCCGAGGTCAATCCAGCGTCGGCGAAAGCAGGCTCGAGGATTATAATCAAGATCGAACCCAAGGAGGTCGAGAGGAGCCAGAACGAGGTGGAGACGGCACGGAACTGGCGACCAGCTTCGATGTAGGTGAACTGGACACCGGTGGGTGAGAACAGGGCCTCACCGAGCGAGAGCAAGAACCACTGAGGGAACTGCAACCAGGCAGAGTAGCACTGCTCGCAGTAGGTGCCATCATAATCGGCAGCGTTGTCAATATCACGACCAGACTGGCGGAAGGCCTTCTCGATCATGGGTGCAAGAGCGGCCGAAACGGCAAAAGATAGGACGACGAAGAAGAAACCGGTAGCCATACGACGCTGGGGGCCGAAGCTCCATCCACGGCGGGCGCAGAAAGGGTAGACGACCGTGGCCAGGAAGGGAACGAGGAGAATAATCAGAATCGTGTTGATGTTGCCGTACTGAGCAGACTGGACATAGGACTTCTGGGGGTCCTTGCCTCCAAAAATGGCACCGTTCATGAGGTAGTACTGGTCGGACCACTCGTTCGAGTTCTGGTTGTACAACATCCAGCAGAAAGCGAAGGGGATGACGACAGGGACGAGGACAAGACCGAAGTCGCGGCACTCCTCAACAAACACACCGCCGTACTCCTCCTCTGCAAAGTTGAGCCAGTGACCCTTGGCCTGGCGCTCAGCAGCGGTGGCGGCACGATAGCGGGTGGCAGCGAGGATCGTAGCCTTGAGGGCCTTGAGGGGAAGGAACTCACCCAGTGGGGGAACAATGCGGTAGAAGCGATGACCGGAGGCGAAGATAGCCAAGGCCAAGGCAAAGACGATGGTGGGGAGCAAGAAGGCTCCAGCGTAGCAAGTATCCTGGCCGTAGCACTGCAATTTGGTCAATTCAGGGACGACGAACTGGGCGATGAGAGCACCAACATTGATGGCGACATAGAAGACGTTGAAGAAAACATCCTTGGCAGCCTCCTGGGAGGGGAGATACTGGTCACCACCATGGGAGGAAACACAGGGTTTAATACCACCGGTACCGATGGCGATGATGAGCATGGGCAGGAAGGTCAAGAAGTGAGAGACCTGTCCGACAGGTCCGATCAAGTTGGGGATGGCGAATACGGTAACCATGATCATACCAATGAGATAGACGATCGCGAAGGAGATAATGGTCCACCTGTGACAAGATGTTATCAAGGAAGGGTTAGATAAACTACTCCTGTCTAAGCTGTAATATTCATGGACATGCAGTGCATCATGCTACTTACCATTTGCCCAAGAAGGAATCTGAAAGGGCAGCACCGATCAAGGGGAAGAAGTAAGCCAACATAGTAAATGCCGTTGAGAAGACCTTGGCATCGACAGAGGTCATTCCACTGATGAGGCGGAAGTACTTGTTCAAGTTGGGCTGCACACCGTAGTAGCAGAAGCGCTCTCCAAACTCGTTGGGCAAGATGAAGAAGACGGCCTTTGGCATCTTGTTGGGGTTCTTCAACAGCTGGGCATCGAGCTCAGCGTTCAGACGGGCCTCCAACTCGAGCAACTCCTTCTCATGGTCGGTCAACAGATCCAGAGCCGAGATCTCGATGTTGGCAATCTCGGCTGCTTCAATGTCGCGCTTTTCGTCCATCGTAAGATTAGTGGTATATGTGTGATGATAGATGGGGGATGGATAAAAAAGGCGGTACAGATAGACGAGAGAAGAAGGGGAGAGAGTGAGGGTAGGGGAGTTTGCACTGAAGAACCAACAACAAAAAGAGAGAAAAGAACTGAAAAGTGCAGTTGCTTTTATGCGTTGGCTTGCTTCTGTTTCTAGTGGGTGGATTCTCAGGGACGAAGAATAAACAATGGAGACAAAGGTTTGGAGCCGTTGTCCAGGGGAAGACTCGTTTGCGCACGAACGATGAACAGCAACTAGATGAAGGACATTTCTGCCTTACTGTTTGGCAATAGAATAACGAATAACGGGCCAACCCTAATTAGCGTTTACTCGTGTCCAAACAGCCTGGTTTGTCCTTTTTTGTTTTTTGACAAAGCAAAAGGGCAGGGTATGTCTCTATTGGGTTCTTTGCTCACTCGAGTGTCTCCGCTTTCGGCCAATGAAGACCCTCAGCCGGTTGGGGGGGACGACCTGCAAGGTTACAAAAACGGCCATGTTTACTGTTCCACTTGGACGCATTCAACTCAATTTCGCAATCTGCTTACCTTTTACAGAGGACTTTCAGGTACAGCTTCCGAGTTGTTATGGATCTGGAACCACCGATTTTATTACTTCTGATTCGCCGATCGCTCTTTTCAGGTCGGGATTTCGGCCGAGTTCTTTTCATTCTCTCCCCTGTGACCTTCAGCCAACCCGTGGCACGCTCATCCCTGCAGAATGGTCTAAACCAGGTGTGGCTGCAGATTCCGTCTCCAGTACCTGGAGTATTTAACGTGGATATGTCACTGAATTGGACAGAATGGCGGACGTAGGCGCCGTGGTGAAGACATCTAGAGCTGGCACCCCTTATTGATATCAATGGCTTCATAAAACGAGCGCTAAGAATAGACTGTACCTTTCGTCGTCAGAGCCGTAATTCTCTTCCATAATTATCTGATACAGAAGGCAGAGGTATGTATTGCTGTGAAGCTAGTACATGTACACCTGAAATGGCCCAATTGGGGCAAGCCCTGGCTGAAGCCCTCCTTTCATCCAGAGAGACCTTATTTAGGAAGGTGCCTTCGTGCTATACTTTTGTGCGTATGTATCCTTTGTATGGGGTTATACGTCTCGGCTAATGTCCAGTTCCACAGAAAACAGAGGTACTTTTGGTCGTCTTCAAGCAGCCTGTTCAGAAATACCCAATTGCTAGCAGCCCAGATCCCCTATACGGCAGGGTGCAAAAACCAAAGATTTCTCCGTCGCAGCCCTAATCTTGAAGCGCGTCTTCCCCAGACCTATTTGTTTGCTTAGGAAAATAAAAAATTCGAGCCCAAAAACTCAAAACCGAGCAGCCTAAGGAGAATTTTTTCCCCAGAGCTTTTTGCTCTGTTCAGCGTCTCATAAACCCCTCAATTTGTATGTCCGTGGCTGTAAAACCATAAAAATGCCATTCAGCTCACATCGAGATAGAGTCGAAAGCATTGGTAAACCGCGAAATATAATTTTGAATTGAAGTGAATACTCCTAATTTGGACGCATATATTTTTTGAATTGAATGATTACTATCCCGATTTGGACAGATTCCTGTTGTTCCCAATTTGGAACGACTGGTAGCTCTCTACAAGCAAACTGAGACGTAGTGCACTTAGGGAATGGGGCTACGGATGCACAACGCCAATGCTCATTTGAAAGCTCATGGCTAGATGATGAACCACACAAATCTTGCAACACAACCGAGAAAAAATGTCCAACAGCACTAGCATTCCCATTGAGACCATCGGACGCGTTAATTCATCGCTTCCCAATGCTTCCCCGAAACAAGACGCGTGGAATATTACCACATCCCCTACTCGCGTGAGTTGTCGTACCCCACCGAGGCCTGGAACCCCTACTGGGTCTCCAGGGTCTTCAGGGTCCCCAGGGCCTCTTGGCTACAACCGACGATCCCCTTACCGTTCCCCGAGTCATAGGATTCGTACTCCTCCTCCTCTCCGATATCACCCACCAGTAGGAAACTTGTTCTTTGTGCAGGAAACCCCTTCCAAGAGTCGCGGCATTTCGACCCAGTCCCCCAGCCTCCACCAGGTGCCTCCGACGTTAACCTTTGTCGAGGATGATCCCTCGGACACCTTCACCTCCAGAAATAGTTTCAGGACGCCAAAAAACTCTGCCAAGCCCAGGAACTGTCCCAAGCCCCCACAGAGGCGCAGAACTCCTACTCCTACTAGATCTCCGGGGTCTCCGGGGTCTCTTGGCTACAACCGACAATCCCCTTACCGTTCCCCGAGTCATAGGATTCGTACTCCTCCTCCTCCTCTCCGATATCACCCACCGGTAGGGAACTTGTTCTTTGTACAGGAAAC